ATTTACATTCCGAACATTAAGCAGAAACTTGAAAGATCTAGATTCTAGAATTACTCGGGCATTCGGTGTGTGGTCCCGCGCGTCAATAACAACTTTGCCAAAATCAAACCCGGGATGCGATAGCCAAACACATACAAGTTGTGTTTGGATGCTTTTGAGACCAGCCAGTCAAGTGTACATTAAATGCGTTAGTTACCGAAGTTATTTTTTGCTCCAGTACCTTCCAGAATTCGAGAATTCTAGCTTTCGGAGTTGAGTGTGATGTTTGGTGCAAGATCCCGTAGGCGGGTAGATCCCCTTCAGGGAATTGGAAACGTTGGCCATATTCTGATATTGAATCGATGCTTTTAGCTTTTCCGAATTGGAATTGCCTGCTGGTGGTGTGGTTTCGATAACAAATGTCATTTGAGTCTACTGCATCCGGAATCGAATTAATTTATTTATGCAAAACTAGCTTTAATGACCTAACCTATTTTTTTCTAACCTAACCTCAAATATAAACTACTAGCTTTAACCCGCGGCTTCGCTCGCGAATATCTAAAATAATGAAGTTGCTTCCGTACGCGTCTGCAGTCACAGAAGAAGTAACAATGAAGTAGAATGGCGGGAAGTTTAAAATGGCTGAAAGTATAGTCTATGGAAGTATAGTGTACAGTCTCCATAGTGTAGTCAATTGGATTTGATGTTGACGTAGCTGTCGGTAATACAGTGTGATAATACAGTGTGATGGTACTATAGTACTTAGGTTTGAGCTTCATTGCTGGAATGCTAGATGGCGTTAAAGAAGTCAAATAGCCAGATGCAGAGGTATTATTGGCTAAACAATTTCTTTATTTTATTTAAAAAATATATTTTTTTATTAAATAAAAAGTAGCCTATAACCATTCGGGGACCACTAAGAATATGTGTACAAATTTTCATGATGATCGGTTAAGTAGTTTTTGCGTGAAAGTGTAACAAACATCAGGACTTTCGCATTTATAATTTTAGTAGGGAAGTAGGGATGTCCGTGTAATGGGTAAACACCGTTATCGATTTGTAGAATATATAGAATGAACAAATGCTGTGAAATTTATTGCTGGTGCACATATATGCGGATTTGCGGCGATCCGTTTTGGCTCTAACTAAATTATTGCAACGCAGGTACAAAGTACACTAATCCAATTTACTTTTTGTAACATTTGGCATAACACCACCTGGCAATTTGCACGAACGTCACGTTTTCACACTGATCCGCACGATCGAAGCTTAGATTAACCAATTTTCTGTCATTCTGTCACTCAGTGATGATGTGTGCCGCCAGATGGTGCGCTTCTCGCTGAGAAACGAATGACACTCATATATTTCGTGGAAAACTTGGGCTTTGTGCTCCTCGTGGAGAATTTATGTGAGCACTTCAAACACAAGAATACTTCAAACCGGAAGACCGGAAGCGTATGAAAGTTTACGCCGAGCAAAAGTTGTGTTATTACAGTCGATATTAAATTATTAAATTACACAATCTGACTTGGAATCTAAAAGTTTTTCAAGTTTACGAATAGATGTAGTGTGAATAATGATGAAACAAACGTTGTCAAAATCAGACGCAGAATGGTGCCATCTAATTTGCAATGCAAACGAGCAAATATAACGCTGTTTCCAGTCTCTAATCATTGCTGACACCTGTAACGGACAGATTAAAGCAGGCTGGTGCGCGCGTACCCTCAACATGGGCCTAGGTGCCCGTAATTTATCACGCTCGATGGGATACCCGTCGTCATTTTAATTACGATGATTACATTAAGTCCCACCGTAGAATGTATTTTACCACTTGTTATAGAACCGCCGCGGTTAACCTAGGAGTATTTATCGATTTCTGGGTCGAATCAAAACTCGCGTTTTAAGATAATGAGGTCGAATATTTTCATAGTGCAATACCACTTGGGGGTTTAAGTCAGTTTATCTTGTGGTTAGTGTAAGAGTCGAGGAAATCCGCTGGCTGTCTGCGGTGTTTTATCGAATGGAAAATGTTGAGTGCGAAATAATTCCGCCCGGCCCGGAAGAAAAACGGAAAATCTTAGAAGATAAAGAACGGATAAACGCGAAATACGAGCCGTTTCCGTCGCGTCGCGTTATTTTTTCGGCGTTTTCGGCGAAAAGCATGAAACTGAATTGAATAAGTTTTATTAAAAATCCACCTGGGAATGTCTCCAGTCCAAAATAAAAAACATAATTTAAAATTTTGAAAATAAAACAAAAAAACTAAAAACGTATTTTTTTTCTGCAAGGCTGGAATCTTGAATCTTCTGGGAAATGAATATTACGAGTTTAGCTAAAACATTAACAGCTAATTTGATTTGAGTTTGTGTTGTGTTGGATGCGCGTCAACCCGAAGTTTTTTTTTTCACAATTAGCTCTCCGCAGTGAAACTTTTCGCCTGGCAGCAAAAGTTTTATAGCGTTTTGTTGTGGTTCTTCTTTATTATTGAACACACAGACACATACAATTAACTTCTGGGCAAATAGTGCACCGGGCAGGAAGAAAATAGAAAAGAAAACAATTCGTTTTGCATTTGAGCACAATATTATTATTCCTCGAATTATAGCGCTGCAAAGCGCTGCCGGCCGACCTCCAGAGAGCATAGAAAACGAAATATTCAAATGGGTTGCATACATATTCAGCAGGAAAGTCCTCTGGATCGGTCAGTTTTTCATGCTCGCAGGAACTTTCAGTCCGACATTGAAATAACCATACGTACGAACCAAGCAAACTTCTTCGTGTTTTTTTTCGTTTTTCGTCTTCTTTTTTGAACGTCGTGCAAAAATTACACGAACGAATTCATGTTTGTGCGGTGGTGTGTGTGTTGGATGGCATACAACGTGTTGTATTCTTGGTCCTGGCAGGTCCTGGCTTTCGCCAGAAAAGACATGAATATTCGAGACCTTCTTCTACTTTTATAACGTGCGCAAGCTTGCCTGTAATTCCCATAGGTTGGTGTACCTTTTGTAACGTCCTGTTTTCGTTCGTTTCGTCGTGGCTTCGCGCAGAGTTACGCTGCTCCTTTATTCGCCCGACGCATAACTATGTTATACTTCTTTAAATTGTGTATGCCGGAAAGTTCAAGGTTTCGAATTTGGGGCACGTGGCGCGCGCGCCCGCCGGGTTAAAAGTTGCGCGCACACAACTCTTGAATGACGCCCGATGGTCATTCAAACGCGATTCGCGCACCGGGAGCACGATTTATGACCCGCTGTTGGTTTACAATAGATACAACTTTGGTGCGGTGGTAGGATTTTGTGAAAATCTAATTAATGCGGAAAACATTTGGATTTTTTTGGAGAAAAAGAGGAAAATTTCAAAAAAATTGAATATTTTCGGAAATACTAAGGGCACAAAGTTGGGAAATATAGGGTTATCTTTAGAAATGAATAGCAAAAGTTGTGAGTCTTGAAAATTTGTAATTTTTTCGCAAATTTCAGAAAAAAAGCGGTTTTTTGGTATTTTTTTTGCAAAAAACGACAAAAAAAATTAGAAAAAATTAAATATCTCCTAAACTATTAAGGGCACAAGGTTGGGAAATATAGGGTAACTCTTGGAAATTAATAGCAAAAGTAAATAATTATGAAAATTTTGAAATTTTAAGGAAAAAAACTGTTTTCCAGTATTTTTTTTGAAAAAATGAAAAAAACTTAGAAAAATTGGAATATCTCCGAAAATATTATAGGTACAAGGTTGGGAAATGTACTGTTTCCCTTAGAAATTAATTCCCAATATAATAGCTCTAATTATTTTCACAAAATTTGAATTTTTATGCGAAATTTTTTTTGCGAAACCAATTTTCAAATTTTGCAAATACCAACATGCAACTTAAACTTTATGTAATTTTCACTCGCGTTACTAGATGATAAACTTACATATCGACCAAGGTCAACCCACCCTCGCGAAGTTTCTGACGTGATGTAATATAAGGTGCCGGTCGCGTGCCTCACGTGATGTCACGATCTATTTCAAGAGCTATGCGAAACCATATTGGCCCCCAGCGATCGCGGCGCGCAGGTAGACCTTCGTAAAAACAAGACCCTTCGTTTTGGCGAAATCAAATTTCGTCGATGGCAATTCCGTCATACCTCCACGGGGCGGATCAATAGCACACCGCCGCCGGACGAGCCCTCCACCAACGCAAGACTTTCAATGAGCAATGAGCGGCTTATTAGTTATGCTCCACGTTCGCAATTCATAATGGAGTTTAATTAAGCGCGATGCACACGTGCATCGGGAGAGTGATTTCGCAATTGTGTTACAAGCCAAGAGGAGGAGGGAGGTTACCATGGAATGGATGAAACCAGATGTCGAAATGGCGGATTCAGTTACATCAGCGACCTTGTAACCCCCAAAAGGGTTAGGGAATATTGTTGACGAGGCAGATGGGATATGCGCGTGGAGTACACGATTTTGGAAATGCAATTAGCTTTCGTGCCTTGTTCCTGTGGTTGCCTATCCTTCATGGATGCAACCATCGAAAACTCTCGACTCAATTAAAAATCACCCGGCGAATCTAAACTCGTACAATTTCCAACTTGGCAAAGTAGGTAATTTATTTAAATGCACACTGTTCGAGATCCCGACGAATAAATCTTTCCATGTTAATAATGGCGGAAACTTTTTGTTGCGCGCTGATTTAGTGCGAGATTTTTGGGTCTCTGTGGTTTCCGGGGGGATTTAGGCTCTGAAGAAATTAAACTATTTACATTACTCTCGTAGATTGAAGTTTAGAAAAACAAATTATAGATAAACAGGCCGCGGGAAGTTGGAAAAAGTGGTATCGCTCAAACAAAGCCCCACGAGTGGGTGGGAAAGCCACGTGTGAAGTAAACCGGTGATATATGGCTCCGGCCGGGGTCGTATTAGGAAGTTTTCACTTGAAGACGGTTTGCAATAGACACATATGCCTGCCATAACAAATTCGAGGGCTTAACATCAACGCCAAGGTCATTCAAAGGACAAATTATTTCAAAATCACATTTTAGCTTAGAAATATGTTTATTTACACACAATCGTGATGACAGGCGAGTTATTTAAAGACATCGAATGTTTATTTTAATACTGCATTAATTCCGCACGGATATTTCGAATTCTTCGACCATGTGTGGTTGATCCAACAAGCTGTGTTTGTTTGCGCACACGTCGAGCAACTGCACGCCGATCTTTTCCAACTCGCCGCTGCCGCTGGAAAATGTGTTGGATGGTAAAGAAGATGACGTAAATAGCGCTGTTGCAGCGGTGAAATATTACCTGACGTGGGCTCCCGCGGGATGTGCATGGTGGGCCTCGGCGGAAACATTTGCGCCGCCATCCGATCCTTGTCCAATTTCCATACGAGTGCACATCGTTAGAATTCGCACCGCCGTATTGTTAAAATAGTACGGGTCGCTGAAGGAGCGGTCAAGATCGTTCAATAATCGGTGGATGCTGGCGTACTCATCGTCGCTACGACCACGGATCACTATTGAATTCACCACTGTTCCACCATTACCCGCATTCATGCTGCCTAAGTGTTTGATAGCCATGAGGGTACTACAAATCAAAGAATTCTACAAAAAAAAAAAATTTTTTTTTGATAAAAAAAATTTTTAAGTAAATTTTGAGGTTAGAATTACAATATGGGTTGTAATGACGTCTTCCCATAGATCATCCGCATTCAATTCTTTGTGGTTGATGACGAGATGAACCTTTTTCTTCGTCCTAGCGAGGGTTTTTGTGTATATCACTGTGAATTACAAAGGTTAATGGCCGGTTTTGTGTAATCAAATCACCTACTTTCCAGGTCTTCAATTTTGGTTAGGTCCGCCGCGTAATGCGACACTCGCTCGTCCGCTAACCCAAGCTGGTCGATACTATCCTCGATTGTGTTCCCAATCACCAAACACTTTACATTTTCGTTTAGAAGCACTTTGATTATACTGCCGCTGGTTTCGGTGATTTCTCCACAAAACAATACGTTTTTTGACTTGAGACTCATGCTTCGTCGTGTAACTGTTTTGGACTAACTGTTGTGCTAGTGGACGCGTTTGGTGGAAGTCCCTATCAGCGGTCTAAGGTCAAGTACGTGAACTCAAACTCAAACTCAAACTCAAATAGTAATGGTTACTATTATCACTGCGCTTCTTTCTTCATTGTGCGCGCCGCGGTTAATAATACAATTTATTCTATTCCGGTGATGATGGTCGCGTCATTTGTATGCAGTTTGTTTACTTCCTTATAGAAACTCATTAGGATGCATTATAAGTGATGGCATTGAAAGTAATAATGTGCATTTAAAATTATCTTTTGTGTTTTTATCTTTGGTTGGATCTGTATGCGTTGTTGAATTGGTTGCATACGGTTTTTTGTTTTGGGTAAAAAATTAATTTGGTTTTATTTTCGGCGTGCGTTAAATCTTTGGCCCGCAAAGATTTATTTCTTCAATTGACAAAAAATACCGCCTCTAATAGATAAAAAACACAGCGTGCGCAAATCCGTTTGACTCTGCGCGCTCGAGTTTCGTTAACTTTTTCCGATTTTTTATCCCAGACATATCCTTGGACGTCGCACGGATGTTAATGCCTTGATCCTGTTTTTTTCGCTGCGCATCGTGCGTATTTCCTTCTCTATAAACCACGAATTTCCGATACCGAGACAACCGGACATTACTCAACGTCCAATCGGCCGAACGCAAAATTTATAAAACGCTCCGAAATAGAATGCGCATACATCAAAACGTCCACTTCGAGTTATCCAAATTTATTCAACCCGCCATTCATATTTGTTTACATAAAAAATTATCACACATCGCAAAACTTAATTTTCACTAAAAAGTTTTTCAACAATACCCAAAATTATCTTGTTTGTATCACGTCCGTATAAAAAATCCATGTGTGAGTAAGACCCGGGTAATTTATACATCAGTTTGATATTCTTCAAGTCGGCGCTGATTCTCTGCACATCCTGCAAAGTAAATAGAAATTTTTATGCATAAAAAAAAAGCTAAAACGCACATAATGATTTATATCCAGTAAAGTGGATGTTATTCTCGATGTGAGCTGTGTTGTATGCATTAAGTTAAAGTTGTTGGCGCGATGCCAAAGCCATTGCCGAACGTTTTCGTAAATATTCATCTTTTCCGGGGGCCGCGACTTTAATTCCACAATTCGCATTCATGCACACCGCGCCGAATATTTTAGATTACCATATTTTTCGCCATTGACGTGCGAAGAACCGTTGCGGTCGGCCGCAAACTTAATTAAATCCGTTATTGAATAGTTTCGCGCGAAAGAAAGCATGCAAACAATTACAGCCGGAACAAATTGAGCTCTCTGCATCATGTGGAATTTATAGAATTTTACGAGTGTTGAATTAAAGTGACTTAAGTGCATGTTGCCAGATTACTTACGCGTAATTTAAGAACCAAAACAAGCAACATTATGATTTATGTCTGATATTAAATATTCCGAAGCAATATGAGTGAATATTTTGCGTAGGCAACCAAAAAATCATTTTTTTACTTACATCTTCGGTAGACAACCAGTCATTCACACTGTAAATAAGCGCTGTTGGGATTTTTGTCCGTAAATTATATTTCGGCGGTTGCCATTGCCCATATATCTGCATGTTCATCATCGGGCCGTGGTCATAATTGCGAAAGGAATCTACCGCAGAGAATTTACATTTTTATCGTCTGAAACCGCCAACGCCAACGAAGTTATGCTAATCGGCCTACCTGAGCGTTTGTTTTGCAAGTAGTGCAATAACTGCCGGCTTGACGCACCAGCCGGAAAACTACCGACTATCAGCGGAAATAAACGCTAAAACAGCCAATAACTAAGCATAGATTTACTACACCTGGAATTGAATGTAATTACCGGATTTGTATCATTACTATAACCTGTATTGGTGTAAAATATCGAGTGGAATAGGTCTCGGTATGGACCATCACGGCACACCAGTCGAAACATATCGGCTAAGGTTTTACCATGGGGGAATACCTCGATATATTCAAAAGTATAAAACATCCACTGGAATATTAGTCATAGATTAATATTATATAGATTTATTTATTATTATTTATATTACCTCGATTTGTTTATAAAATGTAGCTCCAACAGACGCGATTATTGAAGGCATGCCTTTCGGGTAGGCAACCGGTGCTAACGCCACGAATAACCTAACTTTTTTTATATACTCAGGTCGTTCGGACGCCATGATAAACATGGTTGTGGTACCCTGGGAGTGACCCATATAATAAACACTTTCATATCCTGTGGTATTAGTAACGTAGTCTAGTTTTGCAGGTAGGTCATAATAACCTATTTCATGCAAACTAAAAAAGTAATTTTTTTTCAAAATTTTTAAAATTAATTTTTTTAGTAAAATTTTTAAAATTAATTTTTTTAGTAAAATTACCTAAACTTCCAAAAACGTGGTTCATCCGGATGATATTTTACATGTTTACGACTCCAGGTGTTCCCTCGACAGTTACCTAACCATACATCATACCCATTATTCACTAAACTATAAGCCATGCTGATATTAGGTCCCATGAGGATAAAATCATGCGCGCTTGATAGAAACCCATGGATAATCAACACAGGCGCACCTTTTCTCGATGCCTCTTTGGGTTTACCAGAAGATAACCTAAAAAGAGTTAGGAGGTAGCCATCTTGCGTTTGTACTTCGTGTTCTTCAAAGGAGTATCCATGACTATGAATTTGGTCCCTCTATGTAAAAAGAAAATTTTATTTTCTTAAATTTTTTTAAAATTAATTTTATTATGATTTTACAATGGTGAGTCCTTCATCAGGATGCACGTCGGTTTCTTTCGGTTGTGGTACGTTCGCCGCAAAATAATTATACGCCAATAAGATGAGCGAGTTGTAGACGTGCTGCCCCACTGTGACCATTGCACTATCAAACACCTGACCACTTTTCCTAATGCTACAAGTGCTACAATGAAACAAGTCGACCGTGCGAAATTCAAACGACTGATGTTTCACTCCAGCGAAATTACCTTTTTCTACATTGGTATATCCTCCCACTACGAGTGAAACATAAGAAAAATAAAATATTGGGAAAATAACAAACTTATGTTAATTTCAATAATAACGCAAAAAATAATATAAACACCCACATCCACAGTGTGAGGTTTTGTTTGAATTTTTATTTAGTTTTTATTTTTTGGGGCGTTTTACTGCAGAAATGTGTCAAGCACAGATTGTTCACTTATTTAGTCGACAACAATGGCACCGCGCGATAAAAAAGGCACCATCTGCGCGCGTGCTGGCGAAAAAACGCTTGGGAAACGTGAACGGTTTCTTAAATATTTCTAAAAACAGGAAGCGCACGCGATAAGAAGTGTTTCAACCAGACACAAACACGAAACTTACGCTTTGTTAATTTAACGAGACGTAGGTAAACTTGAAAGAGTAAAACAAGCGAAATGCTGCTTGCAAAAGTTGTAAACTAGTTCTCTCGTCTAGTTTTGTTGATGTGGCAATGTCAACATTAAAATTTAGTCTACCTACGAAATTTCGCCATTGTTTACGGATGAAAATTTAATGCTTTTGGGAAAATGGTTGAGCATTTGCTACACGTATCCCAATAGTTTACTGAATAATTACAATCGCCGCAACCTTTTTTATCGTGATTTATGGCTGCGTTTTTTTTTTCTTTTTGTGAAAAAATTGAACAAGTTCAAGGTGGAACAGTAGCACAAGTTGTGCTGAATTCATGTTGTCAACCTTACAAAAGATGAACAAATTATGTATTCACACATCGTCATTATATTGCAGTTAATTGAAAATGTGCATACGTTGCTGTTGATTTTTAATTGATTTATAAATTTTATATCTATTTTATTCAAGGTTTGCATTGTAAATTAAAACAAACATAAAAATTTATCGTTTTTCTCGCAAATAAACACATCAAATGATGGATAATTTATTAATAAATTATGTATTTTTGATTGCAGGTTCTATTGGGACCTCTGTATGCTGCTTCTGTTAGTAGCGAATCTCATCATCCTGCCTGTAGCCATTAGTTTCTTTAACGATGATTTGAGTACGCGATGGATTGCCTTTAATTGTCTATCGGATACAATATTTCTTATAGATATCGTTGTCAATTTTAGAACAGGTAAGGTCAACCAATTATTAAACCAGTTTCATTACATTAAATTATTACTTATGAATTAAATAGTACGCATGATGACTTTCACTTGAAATTAAAATACATAAGTGTTTAATTTTTTGTTAAAACTCTAAAAACAGGCAAAATTTATGTACAACCAATCAGAACGAAGTATACAACTGACGTCACTTCCTATTGGAAGCTGTCAAGTGTGGATGAGGTATGCAACCCACATAACGGCAAAATTAGGCGCGAATTTCAAATTTTAAGCAAAAAAATTTCGTTTTTTCTCATTATTGCCACAGTTTTTAAGGAAAATTTTAATTTATTTATTTAAAAACCTTCATTATGAGTATAATTAATTAAATATGATGAAAAATATGCAAAAAATTAATATTTTCCAGGTATAATGCAACAAGATAACGCGGAGCAGGTTATTCTCGACCCAAAGTTAATCGCCAAACATTACTTGAGGACCTGGTTTTTCCTGGACCTCATCTCGTCCATTCCTCTAGATTATATATTTCTAATATTTAACCAAGTAAGTGGGTTTCAATATCGCCAACATCCTGTACATATATGCGTTTGCAATTCGGGCAAAAATTTAATGTGTCGCACCACCTAAATGTCTATCTCTTAGCGAAAGGTGTCTAGCAACATAAATGGACAAATATAACCCACAAATGGACATCATGCCGCATGCGATGATAAACGCTCTAGTTTGATGTTTATGGAAAAACATGCATGCGAAGGCTCTTGGTATTCCGGCGAATTACACTTGACATGTTCGCAATGGAAGACGTCTTCCATTTCAAGGCCACGCGGCGTGTATAAATAAATAAAAAACACTAAACGTACACTCGACGAAATGAATAATGCATCGGACGATTACAAAAAAATATTGCAAAGTGTGGCGGAATACCAGGAATACGGAAGGATGTGCGGAATGTGTCATCGCGCAATTCGTCGCCAAACAAAAGCCGCGGTTGGCGAATTTCTTTTGTGGCGTTCAACCCTCCATGGTTGTTTGTACGTCTGTAAACGCCATTGTTCGCGCTCGAATATTAATCGTTCATTACCGCACGCCCGACAATGCCAATGTAAATGGTCTTGTTCCTACCGATGTCAGCGCCTAACCGTCGTGTTGTGACGTTTTGTTTCTTCAAGTGCGAAACCAACTTCTCTCTGTGTAATACCCTTCGATTCTAATTACAGTCTGACGAAATCTTTAACGCAACTTGCACTAAACATCAAAACAACTTTTTATACTCTACAACAACCAAAAAACAAAAAGAAAAAAAGTTAAAGATTTATTCATACTCACCTACTTTTGATATTTCATGTGTACGCATATTAATTCTTCTTAGATGTGATGGGCTGTAGATGTGCACTAGCGAATTACCGGAAAATTTAACCCAACTGTTCCAGGATTTCGGCGACAGTTTTCAAATCCTGCACGCCGGCCGCGCGCTCCGCATCCTGAGACTCGCCAAATTGTTGTCGCTAGTGAGATTGTTACGTTTGTCCAGACTTGTCCGATATGTCAGTCAATGGGAGGAAGTTTATGTAAGTACCGATTATGCACAATGTTGATTTATCGATGTTCTACTAATAATTGTCGAATATACTGTGCATAATAACAATTAGCCACGATGTGTGTAATATTGGTTGCCTATATAACCGGTTCCGATGAACATGTGGCTAATTGTCGATTTACTCACGGTATGTTGCGTTTAGAGTAGCAATTTTTGTTGATTTATTGCGTATATACCAGAATATTTAATATTTAACGTTAAGATATAACCAGAACGCGCTAAATGCTTCAGTTTTCTATGATTTTGAACATCATGCGTACCTTTATTGCATCGTTCATGGATTTATTTCTGTACTTTATAAACGAGCAACAATTTTTTGGACGAGCTTCCCGCCTTTGCTCGGCTGATATATAAAATATCTATTGATTAATAAACGAAGTGACCGTGCTTTGGAATGAATATTATTACTATTTTTATTATTATTATAATTATTACATAATCGTTCATCGCACATTACAACTAGTTTTGTTTTATATTATATATCACAATATTTGTTTTTGTTTTAAAAGTCTAAATGTGATATTTTGATTTGATATCTTTTCTTCTCATTCAACTCTCGAACATATATACCTACATAAAATCAATAAACACATCAGATAAAAATCATGTATAAGTTGTAAAATGAAGTCTGTCATCCTTTGAGTTCGTTGTTCATCGCTCTTTTTTATTTGTTGATGATGATAATGATGATGATGGGAAACAATGCGACGAGATGCACTCGGCAATGATTAAGAAAACGTTGTGGTGTTTGGGCCGCAGATCCCCATGTACCAACACCCCCAAGGTCGGCAGGCTGAATATGCCCCAGACGGTACCCCAATTACCCCACCTAGAGACAGGACGACCGAGGTGCTTTATCAAAACATTCATTTTCTGTTTCTGTTGATGTGATCGTGAATAACTATATATCTAAAGCCTCCGCCAGCGATCACTCGCGTCGACGCGGCCATTTTGTCTCTCTCTCAGCTACTGCGAGTGCGCATTCGCGAGTGATCGCGTGGGGACGTGTTAAATGACATTTAAATGGAATGTAGATGTTTTAGAGGAAAGCCGCGTACAAATCCTATAGCATATCAACGAGATTATTAGGCAAATCGAACGTGAAGTTCTCTTAAATATTTAGTTTTTGACCAATTGTGTGGTGTGTGTGCGCTGAATGTACCGTGTTGGTTGATGTGTTTTGAGTTGCATCCTTGCATCGTCAATGGACGCCAATGGACGTGCCAGAATATTTTACCAAAAAAGAGTATGAAGCACGTAAACGTTGTAGCGTATATATTTTTTTTCTTATTTTTTGAATTTTGAATCGTTTTGATTTTACTAGGTTTAGCCGATTGCGTCCGTTGTTATATTATATTGTGTTGATAATGTTTTTTGGAAAGTTGTGCGTCGGAGCGTTATCGTGTCACGTCAATGCAACAATGCTGGCTTATTTTCTGTTTCATCTACATTTGCGTGCGGTGCGCATTTTTTTTTCGCACACCGTTCATCATCTCGATTCATGTGTCCCGCAGGAAAGGTGGAAATCCTATGATGAATGGCCACTCATTTAACTCGCAGCGCATTCAAGGCATATATTAATTCATTCTCTCATTTTTTGACTTTTTCCTTCACGAGTACCTACTTATGTTGCGTTCAGTGATTTATTATATTAAAAAAATGTCACATTTAAATCGCCAACGAAATAATAACAACAATCGTTTACATACAAACATATACATTGCATATTTTCAATGTTTTTATCAAAATGAAAATCCCACAATAGCAACAACGCCATCTGGATATCGAACTGGATAACCTCAAAAAAATTAAATCTGTATTAAGATAATAATGCTTTTTGCAATTTTATGTTCCTTGTGGGAAATTAACGCGCCGCGTGAAGGATAACAAGGTTATCATCTCGGGATTGCATTTGATTGCGTGTAATTTGTGTGGATTTTCATCCGGACCTTCATATTTTCATTTATTTTACCTCTCGAGATAAAGATCACAAGCCTTTTAAATGCGTTAGTGCACCAACCACGAAATTTATTCATTCTGAAACGCACTTTTTACGATTTTTGTTTTTGCTTCTTTTTCTTTGTAAATTTCTTCTTTTTCTGCATGTTGAATATCTCTGTGTGTGTGTAGCAGCGTAGTGTGCTGAGATGTAGTGGAACTACTTTTTTCAACTATTTTCATTCTGAAAAAAAGTGTGTATGTGTGTTTGTATTTACTTAAATTTGACTTGAGAATTATTGATTACTAGGTAATTAAATAATTCATTAATTTGTATGTATGCGTGCTCTGTCCATGTCAGCTTTCGCACTGCACCTTTAATACTATAACTAAAAATAATTCTTAAATATTTCGAAACAACTGTTGTCATGTTTTTTGCTACTTACACCCTCTCTTTATTCTGTTGATTTAAAATATTTACTGCACACTTTTTTCTCGTATTAATTGTATTAATCCTCGAGTTGTCGTTCATTTCTTATTTTCTTTATCTCTTTGATTAAATTTTTCTGTTTCTTTTTTGCGAAATACGTATGCGTTTTTTTTTTGTATCCGAACGTATTTTTTGGACGTTTTTTAACGAATCGAATCGTTTCTTCTTTGGAAAATCTCTAGTTCCACCGCTTTTCTCTCTACCTACTACCTTGTGTTCTTCGCTTTTTCTAGATCTTGCAGAATCTTCAAAAAAAGCGAACGGAACGAAGGGGGCGCCTCAGTTCGGAGGTCAACAAGTCTAAATACAGCAAAAGCAATCTGATATTTAAGGTAACACGCTTCGAGCTTGCTTCGCCTTACGCATGACCGATCGTGGCGCCTCTGCTTCCACATTTTTTATATATATATTTATACAAAAAGACAACAAACAGTTTTTCTTTTAAAACGTGAGAGAAACCAGTGATACGATGCAAAAATCAATGAAGAACACGAAAATTATCAACTGCGATAATAAATTATTCGAAAAAGCAATTCCAGCATGCTGTAAACTACTACTACTGTATTATGCGAACAACTGAGTATAGCCAACACCTTCCATACACACTTCTTTCACTATATCTTGTTTCTTTTTCGTTCGTGTACTGTAGAACTGTGTATAATGTATAAAACAAACACACATATACATGAGACGCAAACGCCTTGTGTTTTTTTTTTTGGCGAACGAAACAACAACAATCTAGATACGCGCAATTTATATAACTGTGTGCATGCACTAGTTTTTTGGCAAATGTGAATATGTATTATGTAATATCGTAGGTATAGAGGTAAGTTTGTTTCGATGGTGGACTTTGAATGAGATGAAGACAATCTGTTTGAACTTGTAAATGATTTGATTCACACACACACACGATATGGACACTAGACACACATAACCAAGTATTTGAACGCATTTGACATAACCTGTTCGAGTAGTTTCGCTTGTGTGTGTGTTTATTTTTCGTTGATGCTTACGTTTTAGGTTAGGTTTTGGTACATGGGAATGATCCAGCCGACAGAAATGACAAATCACTCACCGCGCCAAAGTTTCGAAAACCTTTTTGCGAACGACATTTTCACTTTGCTTTTACTTGCAACACAGAGACGCGCGCGGAATCATAAATTCTCGGGTGCATTAAAGAAAATTGCGCTCACGGAACAATAAACTGTGGAATACTTTACTTATTGCGTCAGAAAAATACTTAGAGTTACATTTATTGCAAAAAATGTTTAAAGAATGAAGAAATAACACAGATATGTTAATTTTTATTTTGTTTTTTTGTTGCACGCGCTTATGAAAAATTAGCTTTTGTGATTGGCTTCCAGCAATTTTAGTTTCCCTTAACAATGCAATACAATGACAGGCAAGAAGGGTGCTTGTTTTTCTTTTTTTTTTTGTTGGTTGTTGACAACAAGTTATTACTTATTACCTACACACGTTTGTTTTTATTTCAGCGTATGCGAATATTTTAGTTTGGTTACTATGTATTTTAAAGCTGACGCTTGTGTTGAGGCGATAGGTGTTGATTGAGGTTATACACTGTTGCAGTTTCTTAACATGGCGAGCGTATTCATGAGGATCTTCAATCTGATTTGCATGATGCTCCTGATTGGACATTGGTCTGGATGTCTGCAATTTCTCGTACCGATGCTGCAGGGTTTCCCATCGAATTCATGGGTAGCCATTAATGACTTGCAGGTTAGTCATCAAATAAATATTTTATTATTAGGATTTGATTAAACTGAAAATCTCTCCAGGAAGCCTTCTGGTTGGAACAATATTCGTGGGCCTTATTCAAAGCAATGTCTCACATGCTGTGCATAGGCTACGGCCGTTTTCCACCGCAATCTCTAACGGATATGTGGCTGACCATGCTCTCGATGATATCCGGCGCCACGTGTTACGCGCTGTTCCTTGGTCACGCGACCAATCTCATCCAGAGTCTGGACTCCTCGCGGCGGCAGTATCGCGAGAAGGTGAAACAAGTCGAGGAGTACATGGCGTATAGAAAACTACCGCGAGAGATGCGCCAGCGCATCACCGAATATTTCGAGCATCGCTATCAAGGCAAGTTCTTCGATGAGGAGTGCATCCTGGGCGAGCTGTCGGAGAAGCTCCGCGAGGACGTGATCAACTACAACTGCAGGTCGCTGGTGGCGTCGGTGCCGTTCTTCGCGAACGCCGACTCGAATTTCGTCTCGGACGTCGTTACCAAGCTGAGATATGAAGTCTTCCAACCAGGTATTTAATAAAAAACCCAAAAACACCCTGTATATACTTAAATATTTTTTATTTCAAATAGGTGATATTATAATAAAAGAGGGAACGATCGGCTCCAAGATGTACTTCATCCAGGAAGGAATCGTGGATATAGTCATGTCCAACGGGGACGTGGCGACCAGCTTGAGTGATGGTTCATACTTCGGTGAGATCTGCTTGCTGACGAATGCTCGACGTGTGGCGTCCGTACGTGCCGAAACCTATTGCAATCTCTTCTCGCTGTCGGTGGACCACTTCAACGCCGTACTAGACCAGTACCCGTTGATGAGGCGCACAATGGAATCGGTAGCCGCCGAGAGGTCAGTGCGTTGGTTGGTATACATAAAGCCCGGAGCGGTTTTATTGAATTCTTTATACATGTTCATCGCTTCTTTATTGTCGGCAGTGCTGCTCTTATTATTCTATAACCTCTATATCTCTATGATTGGTGTCGTGGACGGTTGGACTCCCAGGCCGCACATTACCCTTCAACCCCCCTTGTACCCTGTACCTTCTTCAATCATCTTTTATGATTATTATCATATCATTTTGGTGTCTTGTGTTGATCAGCACACACATTCCAAGTACACGTGTTTGGTTTTCCGAGACAAAAGATTGCACACCATCTCTTATACTCTTATACTGCACCCCACACCAAGAACACCGCTGTGTGCGCAATGGCTATCCTCGATTCGAACATATATTATGGTACCGAATGTACAAGCAGACACAAAACTTGAAGCACACACAATTAAGGGCGATTGAACAGATTCAGATTCAATAAAACACAGAACACCGAATTATCAAAATGATTGGGATATCTTTGTTGATGTGTTCATTCATTTAGTGTTAATGTTTTGATAATTCATCAGTCGTTCGAGGCAAGTATTTGGTATATATTGCAACTAGTGACTTTTGAGTTGAAAGCGCATATCTCTACTCCCCCTCAAAAACCCTCTGAGCTTTTTTACGATTGATTTGGTTGCAGTGTTTGGGGTTTGTATCTGTAATTTGTCACCTCTGTGGATCACCCCCTGCACGCTGTATTTTCCATAGTTGCATAATTGTGTTAATGATGGGTTTGATGCGTAGGCTAAACAAAATCGGCAAGAATCCGAATCTGGTGGCGCATCGCGAGGAGGATCTCGGCAGCGAGAGCAAAACCATCAACGCAGTTGTGAACGCGCTGGCGGCGGAAGCGGATCACGTCAATCTCTCCGACGAGTCGGTGGCGCGTCTGCACGCCAGCGATCGCAGCCTGCAGGAGTTGGGCCGCACGCTGCAGAAGTTAACAACATTACCGCGACCCAAGTCGGAGAACAACTTTGCCTCGCAGGATATACCGCTGACACGTGGCGGCGACCACAACGGACGGCCGTCGTTCCACAAGTCGGACACGTTTCACAAAGAATCGGCATTTCAATGACGGCACTCCACGCACTAGTGCTCTCTGCCCTCTCTTTTTCGACTCGACGTCTCTCATCGACTTCTCTTCATCATCTCTACCGACTGACTTTCTTCTGGAGTGCTTGTGCGTGTTAAAAATGATCAACTGCTGATTCAAATCTCTTGCAAGCGACATGCGAACCCAACAAAATATGCAAAAAAAAACAACAACCAAAAACAACAACAACCACCAGTCAAGCGACACTTGAAAGGATAACGTTAAAGCAATACGTGTGCATTGGACACAAAGCGCTAGAGAAACTGCAATACTAGGAAATAAACTTAAGTTGTAGCTTAACAAATGAATTATTAGCTGCTCAATGAATCAACTAGACAATTACACAAAGAGTTTTATGCATAATATTGAAGCGACTAAACGAATTCGCCCGGTTTTTGGTTCATGATTAATTTCGAACGACATCAATTACGAGTGTTACCACACGGAGCGCGGAATAATGTACAAACACAACAATCAACACAAATATGTAAAAAGCAAACATACTACAAATCGAGACAATATTCGATGATAATGAAGCGATATAATAAAGAGTAAGCGAAACAAAAAAAAAGGGTAAAGCACTGATCTAATAATAAATAAGTAAGTAATATAAGTACAGTATTTTTGCGCGTAAACAGCAAAAAAGAGTATTTTTCATAATAAAAGCTGATGAGACAGCCCGAAATACAAACATATAGGACGGACACATAGGCAGAAAATATGTTTTGAGCCATGCTATGCAGCTAAAACCGGAAAAATATTACCTACAAGAGTCTCAAGCGCGGATATCAGCTATTTCAACTCGAATATCTCCTATTTATTTCATTTCATTCATCACATGTACTGCTTGGTACAATTTATCGACGGCAGATGACAGCAGCAGTATTACATTCGCTTGGAAATAACTGATATCCGAACAAGCAAAAAACCTAAACAATGCAATTGTGGAATTGATGAATAAAAAAATCAGGCGCGTGTCTTGACGAAATAATAAAAAAAAAACGTTCAACTGGAAAATGTAGTCAATTAAAAAACATATTCATTAAAGAATAAAGAGAGATTAAAAGAATCAACACAACAAGAAGTTTACGAAGACAAAAACCACACACGATACAAAAAATCATTTGTAAATATAACATCTCGCGTACATACAACATTTTTATGTACATACAGTTAACAAAAAAAAACAGAAGAAGAAAACGAATCAATGGACGAGACAAACACATGAATATTATTCATATTGTAACCAAAAACCGTGGCCAAGCGAGAAACTAGAGAAAAAATATGCACAGAAACAAAGTAAAACTAATCTAACAAAACGCACTATGAGGCTATAAACAGTTTTAATGAGAAACAAAAAGGAGAAACATCATCAAGCGATTAAATATCCTGCTGTAGCGACTAATAACTAAATAAATTTTAAACATAACTAAACATAACCAGTAGTGCAATCAAAAATAAAACAAGGTTTAACAAGTGGGTATAGTGTACGTAGGCCTAACACGGAATTATTGATTGATTGTCAAAGCAGGACCACATTTAAATCTATATTACACGAGAGAATCAAAACCAACGTGTGGTGTAAATCAAACATTTGAAACGCGACAATTATCATGCTGTTGCATACCATTTAGTTAAATGCCGTTTTGTTGAGAAACTTTAAACGAATTACTGTTGTTCTAACATAAGTTTTAAGTTTTAAGCGAAAAGTCCACACATTCGATCGGTCAATGCGTGACTCTCACACACACACAACACATACACACACTTAGCTGTGATCTACAAACAAACCAGAGAAGAGGAAAACAAGTGTAAACATAAACAGAAACATAAAAGAATTAAATTGCAACGATTTGTGGATATATAGGACTTCATTGTATAAACATAATGCGCATTTGTATATCGCACTAATTAATATTGAATCAAGCTTGTTATTTATTCGTTTGTAAAACGTTAATTTTTAAGTTATTTATTGAAGGTGTTTTGTTTCGACGAAAACGAAAAGCGCGTTATAACTAGTTAGTACTTGTACTAATTACGTAGGTATGCCTGCTGCAGATGAAGAGGAAATATAATATTATAATGATTCAATTTAGAATATAAACGAACGACTCTTTTAGGACGATTTTAATCAAAAATACTTTAAAATGTTGCAAAAAAAAATAGTGATTGATTAGTGATTTTAGCCGAAACTAAATTGAAATGATTTTCATACACTCACACACACACACAGGACACGCATTCATAGTGATATTGATAAAACAGAAGTATTTGCGTTGTTTCTGAATTACATATGTACAGTGATTTCTAATGGAATGAATTAAAATGAGAATAACGTAGATGACTGAATATTATAAATATATATTGAATAAATAACTGTGTATGTTGAATTGAAGCACAAGCAAAGCGAACGAAAATCGAAAATATCTCTCTTCATACAACAGAATAAGAATTTGATAGCGTTACTGATTGTAATTAAACAGTGTGTGCGTAGCTATTGAACAAAAAATATGCGTAGCGTTTGTGATTTCTTTTTAAGTATCGTAACGAAAACCAAGGCAAACAAAATTTAATAAACACACATGCAGGAAATGTAAGTATCGGACAGCACCCGCGCGCCCTCTCAGCCATATCCGTATCATTGATGAAGTAATTAGCTCCCACAAGCAATTAACGCATACAGCACAACATCGGCGTTCGTGCAAAACAAAAAACAACTAACATTTTAAACAAATTAAGAGGACATTAGCGTATAAGTAGAGGTGACAATTGAAATATTACGACATTACGAGAGAAACAAATTTATTGAATAAAGAAATCAATATTATATATAAATATATATAAAAATATATATTATACAATATATATTATGGAAATTTATCGGTTTCACAGCGCTGGAATTGATAAATCTCCATTTTATATACTATTATATCACTTTATCAAGTCTTACTTAAAAAGAAAGTTTGAGTTTCTTTCATGATGATACCATTTGAACTTAGGTTTCACGAATTCTTGCCATGATGAAATCCTAGTCTAGACTGACATTATCGATGCTTTCCGTATTCGTACATTTCGATGGAGGCAACATAAAAACAAACAAGAAAAACATTTGATTGATTCTAGATGGATATTTTTTACCAAAAGTGCTCATTGCTGTTGATTATAAAATATAAATACTTATCTATATGTGAGAGGTAAACAAATATTAATATACACACACAACGCCCACACTAACACACAAAAAGAAAAAAAATCTACGGGATGCGATGAATACAGGAGTGATGCTTTTATTGAATATAAAAAAATCTAATTATAAATTATAAACGAGATACAAATATATCTTCTGGGTTGTAATTACGAATTAAATGAATTCAGTTAAAACGATGCTAGTGTGTGCGTCAAACTGTTGTCACAATCAAATGGTTTTGTAGAATCGGTTTGAATGATATTTACGAATATGAATATTAAAAACAAAAAAAGTTAAAGATGAATCTCGTAGCGGACGTAGCGGACCGAGAGTCGAACAAAAAATTGTTTTTTTGGTTTGGTCGTATTTAACACACCCCCTCACCATTTATATTCGATATGAATATGTAAATAATATTGTAGAAAAGTGCCTCTTTTAAATTTGCGCATCGCTACTGTCTTGGGTCAACTATTAGAGAGTAAAAAAAGTACAGAGAATATCTTGATTTATTTCAATGTTTTAACTGTTGTTATTATTTGGTTTATAATCGAATAAAGCTGCATTTTTACAGTTCGGCGCCATATTACTCCATAACCTCAATATCTCAATGTCTAACCTTAAAATTTAGTTGACGATTCGCGCGGGAACTTCGAAACACATCAGTTGTCCTTGATTGCTTTCCAGTGCCCATCGCACCACGACTTTAATCTAAAAATATAAATGGTTGGTTTACAAGGTCATCTACTTTGAATGCATGTGCATCGTTATATATTTAATTGCCTATTTAAATAATTGCTTACAGTTGGGTATATTTCCAGAACATCAATGTTGTTTTTGTAAATGTATTCCTTGCCGGCCTTCAAAGGACACACGGCTTTAGTTTCGCCATCGGCTTCGTAAATACTTGGACATGCGTCTGTACCATCAAATCCGATGAATGGGAAAGGTATTCCGGCGATTTGGGCCGACACAGCGTTACGTAAACTTTTAATGTCTTTTTCTAAACGACCACGAAGTATTTAGTAGTGTAATGTGAAATTTTGGGCAAATATTTATTTAAAATCAACTTACCTGTTGTGAATTTATATTGGATTGATGTAATGGCCTTCTTTTTTAAACGACAGTAGGTTTTTCTACATCCGGATAATTTTACATCATTGTCGAGATTACTAAGTTTTCTCCCTGAAATCCATGCAATTTATGATTATTATTTGTATTAGAGTCAAGGATCACTTGTTGTGAGAATGAGAATTGCAACATTGTTGCAAGAACTTTCATATTGATGCTTTGATCATGCAACAAATTAATGACAAGTTAATTTGACAACTAGACAGACAACTTTCTCTCATTAGTGCAGAATAAAACGTTTAATATAACTACAAAGTAACAATTTTTATTTTATTTTTAATTTTGAAGTAAAATTCCGTAAAATTTGATTTTTTTCGTACTTACCAACTGAACATTGATTAATCAAAGCATAACTGCATGCGATACAACCCAGTAACAATAAAATAAATATCACTTTCATCTTATCACGTTAAATGCTTGATTTTAGTTTTAATTAAAGTTTAAACAGGTGCACCAGGTGGGTGTACACTGATTGGCTGTGGAATGAAACTTGTAATGGTAAAACTCGGATGGTGCAACGTTTATAACTTGTTCCCACCTCACTTTTCACGTTTTCTCGTCGTGTGGACACGCTGATGACCGCTAGGTAACTGTGTAACTATGTGTACTGATGGAATGTGATACAAGAGCAGTTTTATAAGAAGCCAAGACGCACGCTAGCGCATCTAGAGGAGTGGAAATGTTGGATTTCCTACTTTTTGACTGGAATAACAATGAACCACTCGAAATTATTTGCATATAAATCTTATTACATGCAGTGCGTTAATGGAATATTTAATGTACATTCACCGCAGTGTATTTACCTAAAATGGACTGTAAATAAATATATTCATTGCCAAGGCTAGAACTTGTTTTGAAAAGTTAAATTAATAAAAATTATTTTCTTTTCGTTTTAAATATATTTTTAAAAATTAAAAAAATTTATTCTGGGAGTTATTAGTAATTTATTATTATTTATGATGAAATTAATATTCTTTAAATGAATAATTTCCTTGTTATTTGTCTGGAATATTAATTTGATGTGCGTATTTACAACATTTAATAATCTCATTTTGTATTTTGAATTTATGTAGTTAACAATTCTACTGTGTCATTTTTACTGATGAGACAACAACACGCAAAACATTTCTTTTTATTTTGCTGCAATTTGAATGTTTATGCGAGTGCATTAAAAGAGACTTACTCTCACACACTCAACGAAGCAAATCATGTGAAGGTACAGTGAGTGTGTGTGTGTTGTGTTTAAACATAACTCTATAGTTTAACTGTAGAAGGCGCTAGCAGGTACGTCTTGATTTTATCAACTCTCACGTGTTCCTTTCTCAGTCTTGTTGTGAACATGTTCGTGCGTAGTTGATTGTGGCGTGGCGTGATGTGGTGTGTTTACATACAAAAATTCGGCGTGCACGATAACAAATATCGCCATTCTTATAACATTCGCAATAAATTATATTTAAAAATAAGTAACATTTACAATTTAAATTTAAACAATTCGAATATCAGCACAAGACCGGAAATACTCTTGAGGTCCACATCCGACTGCACCGGTACCATTCTCACAAACACCCCAGTTATTTCCGGCTCTATAGTGCCATCGCAGTACACAATGATTACAAGTGAAATCCGCCGGAAGTTGAATTCTATTTGTGATTTCTTTCATATCCGAAGATATTTGGAATTTGTCGTCACCATTTTCGAACTGTAGTGCGACGAAACATTCCTCTCCCGATTCCGGTTGACTAGAATCAGTGATTTCACAAATGTGATATTCAAAGTGACCTCGGTGATTGGCAGTGAGAAGAACTGAAGTTTCGATAACTTCTCCGGCCTTGTATTCGCCTACTATCGTGCCGGTACCGTAAATGCCAGTGTTTTCGTTTGCTTGTGGATGTGGATCAGTGTAAACATCGCCGCAGACACCGCAGTTGCCTTTGTTGATACCCCAAAGTGTCTGAAAGTGAAAACATTACGTTTAATAACATTTTTACGTGACATTAATTATCTTACCCAAAGACCACCACAGAACAGTTGATTATCACCGTAGTTTATGGGTGCATCTTGATCAAAACGCCATAAGGAACTTCGTCCCGGAGGATTCAGCATCATGCCATGACTATTGACTTCCAGAACAATTAGACTCAAGACTATACAAGGTAATGTGAACATTTTATTTATATTTTTGTTAATTAAATACTACGATCGTGATTTTAATGGATGAAGATGGTTGTAGTTTTGTACTGATATCGGATTACTACATTCTGTCCGTATTTATACCAATGTGGACTTGATAGTATCAGATAGTGATAAAAATCTGATAATACTTTCTTGCTTGTATTCTGATTCACATTTGTTTTGATCGTGATCCGGTGCGTGAAATCCAATACTCAATCACTTGACTTGACTAATATTTTTTAAATTGTTTCCAAATTGTTACTATATGCGTAATTGAAATTATAAGCTGTGGGTAATTAGTCAACTTGGTTTTTACATTAATCTGTTTATTTTGGGACATATCTTGTGTGTGCCAGATAATTTAAATTACAAAGTAAATAATTAAGTTGAATGACTAATTATTTATTATTTTTATTAGAAAAAGTGAGTGATTTATTAAAAAAATGTCGAAAACCAGCAAAAATCTTTGATTTTAAAAGCAATTCTCTATGAAGTACTATATTAAAATTGGGGAAATATGATTTTATTGGAACAATGCCAAGATATCTTTGATATTTCGATAGTGAATACCTCGAGAACTAAAAGTACGGTGCAATGAATGAGAATTAGCTGTGCATTCACCCTCGTTCGATGCACCCTATTAGAATCGGCTATGCATTTACCTTTGTACGGTGCCCTGAATAAAAGTCACTTCTACCGCTAGCTTCGTAAGGTGCTCGAACCGAATCACTTCTACCGCTACCTTCGTACGGTGCCCTGAATCGAGTCACTTCTACCGCTAGCCTCGTACGGTGCCCTGAATCGAATCACTTCTACCGCTAGCCTCGTAAGGTACCCTAGTATCTTAAAGAACAAAAGTTTTTCGGCCTTCCACTAAAAATTTGCATTTCCCAATCAATGTCAACTCATTGTACTTGATACTAGTGCGTAGATGAAACACTGAATCACAGTAGATAATGGATTAAGTAATAATGAACCAATTAATAACACTTGAGATTGTAAAAACAAAAGTGTTCTCCAAAGTTCATAATTTTCCAGATGTTTACGGAGTGATAAGTGATACTATTTAAAAAAATGTTATATCCAAAGTCAAACTTTGTCGTAGAAAAAATTTATTTATGTAACCATTTACAAAATAGCAATATCAGAACAAGAACGAAAGGTTTCCTGTGGTCCACATCCTGGTTTGTTGCTACCATCCTCACAGATACCCCAATTGTTAGCAGCAACGTAGTGCCACCTCAAAACGCAACGATCACACTTGAAACCATCAGGCAACTTGATGCGATTGTTAAATTCAAACACACTTCCGGGCACAGAATATTCCATACTGCCATCCTCAAACGCCAAAGGTTGGAAACATTCCTCTCCAGATTCATAGGTATTAGCATCGTGTAATTGACAGAGGTGATATTCAAAGTGACCCAGGTGGTTGGCACTCAAATGAATATAGACTTCTGCTACCTGACCAGCGGAATAATTGGCGACTACTTTACCAATACCATAGGTACCAGTGTTTTCGTTTGGTTGAGGATGAGGATCGGTGTAGACATCTCCGCAGACTCCACATTTGCCGCCATTTTGGTTGTGTTGAACCTAAATTTAAAAGAAAACATCAGAATTAATTTAAATTTTACAAAAAATAATTTTTATTGAACTTACGGTTAATCCTCCACAATAGTTCTGGTTATCATCGTAGTTTGGGGGTGCTTCATCATCAAAACGCCATAATGAGCTTCTATTTGGAGGATCCAACATCATACCATGTCCGGATACCTCCAAAACCACCAAACTAAGCGCAATACAAAGTAATTTCATCATTTTAACGCAATTTTTTTGTTTCTGCGGAGTGAATGCACCTCAACTCAATTTATACCTGTTTTTTGACATGATAATGAATTATCATAGGGATTAGAGAAATCTATGAAGTGTTTTTTTACTTCTTGAAACAAGATTTAGATTTAGATCTCAATTGGATGGATCATCCACATACTACGCGTTTTTATTGTGTTTTATTTATTATGGTTTGATATTTACATTCAATTAGATAATTGCAATATCAGCACATGAACGGAAAGTTTCCTGAGCTCCGCATCCAGGTCGCGCTTCCCCATCCTCGCAGGTATCCACATTATTACCACAGGTGTAATGCCATCGCAAAACACACCTCTCACAAGTAAAACCTTCTGGTAACTTGACGCGGTTCTTAACTTTGTAAGCATTTCCTCCAATTGGATATTGGGAAGTTCCATCTTCAAATAACAAAGGTTCGAAACACTCCTCTCCTGCTTCGTAGGTATCTGGTTGGTGTAATTCACACAGGTGATATTCAAAGAACCCAAGATGGTTAGCAGTGATAAGGATAGAAATATCTATAACTTGGCCGGAAGTGTAGTTGGCTACTACTTTGCCTTGACCATATTTTCCGGTGTTTTCGTTTAGTTGAGGGTGAGGAGATTGGTAGGCATCACCACATACACCACAACGTCCGCCATTTTGACTCCATTGTACCTAATAGGTATATTTATACAAATTGAGAGTAAATAATTTTTTTTTTGTTAAAGTTCGATATAAACCTCAAATCCTCCGCAAAAGTTCTGGTTGTCCTCGTAGTTCGGCGGAGCATCTTCGTCGAAACGCCACAAGGAACTTCTGTTAGGCGGGTCTAACATCATTCCATGACCGGAAATCTCAAGAACAATTAAACTCAACGTAACAAGTATTAATTTTATCATTGTCACTGCTTTGAAGGAACTATCACTGCATAAAATATTCAAAATTGGTGCAGCCATATTTATAGTCAGAATAATAATCCATTTTGATCAATAAATTAAAGGATTATTGGGTTATCTTCAAAAATTGCCAAAATTTTGACTTAGATATTCTTTTAAACTTGATTATAAGTTGGTTTCTCCGAAATTTCAAGGATTATCAATAGATAATGAACTATAACGGAAATTTTTGAATATATTTAAATGATTTTATTGCTTAATAGCAATCCGACATGACTTTCTCATTAATCTAATAATTATATCTATACACTGATAGCTCTGATAACAGCATGGAGTAAAAATGATTGTTTGAACAAACATATTTTTAATTGTTATCAATTGGCACGTTTAATATACATTTTTACATAGTTTACATGAATTTCATCAAGTATTATTTAGTTGATGCGGATATCAGCGCAGTTACGGAAGGTTTCTTGGGGTCCACATCCCTGAGCCTGGGAACCATCTTCACAGGTACCCCAGTTGTTGCCTCCTCTGTAGTGCCACCTCAAAACGCAATGCGGGCATGAGAAACCGCTGGGCAGGCGAAGGCGGTTGGAGAATTCTTTCACTCCGCTCAAAACTTGGTGCTCCAAAGATCCATCTTCAAAGGTCAACTGTTGGAAGCATTCCTCTCCGGTTTCAGGGCGGCTAGGGTCGTCCAATTTGCAGAGGTGGTATTCAAAGTGTCCCAAATGGTTAGTGGTCAAGGTGACTCCAACGGTGATAACTTCTCCAGCTTGGTATTCGGCAACGATTTTACCAGTTCCGTAGATTCCGGTGTTTTCGTTTGCTTGTGGGTGGGCATTGGCGTAGTTGTCACCGCAAAGACCACATTTGCCTCCGTTTTGGTGGTGTTGAACCTATTTACAAAGTATTAGTTCCTCTCTTAAAGAAAATCAATTTTATTACGAATAGTACTTACACCAGCACCTCCGCAGAAGTTCTCGTTGTCATTGTAGTTGATAGGTGCTTCATCATCAAAACGCCAGAGGGAACTCCTGTTGGGAGGATCCAACATCATTCCATGGCCGGAGACTTCCAGCACGACAAGGGTCAACGCGACACACAAAAGTTTGAACATTTTGAAACGTATTTTGCAACACTTCTACGAGGTCCCATTTTCGGATTCTTTTTATATAGAAATAATCAAGTTGAGATAAGATCGCAATCGATCAATATACTTCAGGTGAAAGCTTTGTTTTGATGCATTATTTGTCATAATTATTAAATTAATAAAAATAGGATTACGATTCGTGCGAACAGGGTAGGTAATCTTTCAAAACACTTGATTTAAAGTGTCTTATGATTACAAGACTGTCATTGTCTGAAGTAGACATATATTAATCTCATCACATCACATCAATATCATTCATATTTGTACTTGAAGTAGAGAATTTGACAGTTAGGATTTTTCCACATAGAATTTTATTGATTAAGTTTTATATGATCAAGGTAAAAGTGTTCTACGTTTAAGCCGGGCCCATCGCAAACACAACAAAATTAGCAAAAGATTAACGATTGCCGGGGCCCGCGGATCTTCCCCAGGGCCCGCGCTGGCTCTCGACGGCCGTGCCTATCTGTGACACAAATTAAACGATCGGCACGGTCGGACACAATTAGGAGATATGCGCAATTTAAAAAAAAGGGCGTACGAGGGTGTCGATAAAAGTGACTCGTGTTCAGGGCACCGTACAAGGGCAGCGGTAGAAGTGACTCGTGTTCAGGGCACCGTACTAGGGCAACGGTAGAAGTGACTCGTGTTCAGGGCACCGTACTAGGGCAACGGTAGAAGTGACTCGTGTTCAGGGCACCGTATGAGGGCAGCGGTAGAACTGACTCGTGTTCAGGGCACCGTACGAAGATGATTGTATAGCTGACTCCCCCATTTGCCCATTTTTTCTTATGAATTATGATTTCATTTCTTATATATGAATTTTAATAAGCTTATCTTATAGAAAATTTTCCGTAGATTAAGAATTTGAAATCTGTTCGTATGTATCTCTTTTAGTTTACGAGATATTCGCAATTGAACTCCAGAATACCTAGAATAAATATCCGTTATTTGAGTTGCCTATAACTAGAATCCATTTTAAACATTTTCATATTCCCTCTCTACTTGAAGATAAATTTCAAGTTGCGATAAAACTGAGCGTCTGCGAGTTCTAATAATAACTCAAAATAAACAAATACTGGAGAAATTGCTTACGGTTTTTCATTATTACTTTTATCGCATTACGAAGAAAATCGACTGTCCAATCTTCTCAAGCAAAGAAAATGATCGCCAATCATTTTTTCTAAAATTTGCATTTAAAAAGTTATTAACAAAATAAAATAATATATTATTAATGTTTACAAACTTGCTGATTGTTCAGTGTCAAAAAATTCAAACTGCGCACGCAAGCTGCTGATTACTGAGCTACAACCGGAGTATTCAACTTTTATGATGTAACTACATGAGTCAGAAATACCAACACGTAACCCACATATTTGTTTATATTAGCTTCATGCGCCTACCACAAGTTCATATCAATTGATAATAATTTATAAGCGTTTATTAAATTTATTATACATTAATTTTAACATTTTATGCATTTCTGCGTTTGTATCCAATCCAAAATCCGCCTTTGATAGCAGGTGAGAAGTGATCAACACTATACTCAACCGGAATAACTGTCCTATTAATCACGACCAGCTCAAAATGCCGTAGAATGTGATAAACGACTGTTTTGACTTCCATGAGAGCAAAACGTGATCCAATACAATTTCTGGGACCAGCCCCGAATGGCAAAAATGTATACGGTTTAATATTATCTTTGTTCTCGTCAGAAAAACGCTCTGGGTCAAATTTATCCGGGTTGGGATAGTATTGTTCATCGGAATGGATACCTGCGACAGGTAGCCATAGAACATCACCAGGAACAAGGTTTACAGGGGTTTCACCCGGTAGTTCTGGTTGAATTGTATAAGCTTTGGTGCATTCTCTATCAACGGCAGCAAATGGTGGATTTTTTCGGAGAGTTTCCGTTACCACCATGTCTAAATACTTCATTTTGTTTAGAACATCATAGGTTAGCTTCCCATTTGTGGCTTTGTATGTTTCGTCAACATCCTTTCGTAGTTTTTCCTGAACCTCTGGATGAACAGCTAATTCGTAACAAATGAATGACATTACTGTAGAAATAGTGTCAAAACCAGCAAAGAAAAAGATCAACACTTGTGCCGCCATGTCTTCTTCAGTCATTTCCTTTTGTTGAACTTTGGCAGTTTTTCCTACTTCGGATTCTTCCATGGTGGCGAAACCTGCATCATGTTTCTCGTGGGTTTCATCATACTTCAATTGCCCTTTTTTTGCTTCCATCAAACAATTAATCATATCCGGGCGGACAATATTCTGTACCTCACGGGTTTCCACGGTATTTCTGACTAGTTGTTTAAAGAAATCTGTGGTTTCTTTGGGGAAAAAGCGTACATTGAGTAACTGCAATTATAAAAATATTAGTAAATCATTTTTAAATATGTGGTGGTAATTTTTACCTTTGCAAGTTTTGGCAAAAACATTGAAAACATAAATGTCACAAGTTTTGAGAAACTGCTCAAGTTGGTAATTTCTTTACCATGCTTATAAAAAGTATTTTCTGGTTCTTTCAACGAGTCAACTGTCACACCAAACGCGCAGTTCGCGATCACATCGCTAGAATACCGCGAGAAAGAGTTCTTCAGTTCAAGTTCAATGACATTTTTGTTTTGAGCTAAATAAAACTCGACATATTGATGCGCTGATTTTTCCATCAGTTCAAACATCAAACGCATTTTGCTTGCAGTGAAAGTTGGACTCAAAGTTGCACGCATATCCTTCCACTTGTCACCTTTCAATGCGAAGAGATTTTTAGACCATAACGGCTCCAAATCGCCAGCAAAGTTAGTGTGGTCAACAAAGTGATCAAAATCTTTTACTGTTAGTTGTTTAATTAATTCCGGATCGTGTATGACAAGAGTGCGCAAATTGCCTTGGTACACTCCAGAGTATCTATAATTAGATATGTTTTATTTATACTGACGAAATAGGAAAGAGTGTGATTACATACCGAACATTTTTAAAGTTATTGTACAATCGTTTAACACTCTCGGTTTGTGATTCTTGCTTTATAGTTGCTTTGAATCCATCGCCTAAAAAGGGCACAGGCATAGCTGTTTGCTTTACATTTTGTGATCGCCAGTAAAACATAGTGTTCTTGTAATTGTTGTACACCCACCATCCCACAACAATAAAAGCTATCAAAATTAACATCTCACAAATCTAAAAATTGTATTAATTTAGTAAACTTAATTAAGTTACGGAAGTTTGCTTACTTTTGTTTAGTTTGCGTGTTGAATCAACGAACAGCGCACTAGCAACTAATAAATGAATTTGTGAATAGTCGCGTCTCAGTCGCGTAATATATATTCTACAAATGCGCAGGCGCGGTTGAGTTAGAATGAACCTTGTAATCGAAAAAACACTTTACAAATTACATGCACTCGATTTAATGATTAAATTGTTTTATTATAAGGACTATTTCGAAAAATATAATGACAACGCATTATCTTTTTGATTTCTGGAAGATTTTTATTTATTGCGACGTTGAAAATTAATCCAAAAGTCATTACATTCTTAGCATTCTTCATTGGAGTAGTTGTTTTATCAATAAAGTTATAAATATAAAATAAATTATCTTGCGCTACATCATCGCAAGTCATGATCCGATATAAATTTATGAAAAAATGCAAAAATTTAATTTTGGAAGAATAACGATAGGTTTTAAATATTTCAATGACAACATCCTGTACATAATGACTAAGGCAGACATTTATTTAGGTATTGCATACATTAATTCCTTATTTTCTAACTTAAAAATACATTAATAATTAGTAACATTTTTGCGGCGTTGGAAACCAACCCAGAAACCACCTTCAATGAATGGATTAAAGTTGCCTTTAGCTAATTTCATAGGAATAGTGGTCTTTTTAATGACAGTCAATTCAAATTTACTCAAAATATGGAAAATCAATGTCTTGCATTCCATCAGCGCAAATCTTGACCCAATGCAATTCCTAGGTCCTGAACCGAAGGGAATATAAGCATACGGATTAATTGAAGACTTATTCTCGTCCGAAAAACGTTCCGGGTCGAATTTACTAGGATTTGGGAAGTATTCTTCGTTGTGGTGAATGCCAGTCATAGGTAACCATACCATATCTCCTGGTTTTAGATGCACAGGGACCTCACCAGGTCTTTCCGGTTTGATGGTGTAAGCTTTCGTGCACACTCTGTCAATCGCAATGACAGGAGGATTTTTACGCATACTTTCAGTGATCACCATGTCCATGTACTTCATCTTGTTCAATTCGTCGTATGTAAGGCCGCCTTTGTTTGCCTTTCTGGTGGCGTCAATTTCTTCAATAAGTTTTTTTTGGATCTCTGGATGAACCGCCAACTCGTAGCACAAAAATGACATCATTGTAGAGATAGTATCAAATCCAGCCAGGAAGAAGATGACAACCTGGGCGGCCATGACATCTTCTGTCATTTCTGTCTTCTTTACTTGCTTCTTTCCGATTTCGGACTCTTCTACAGTAGCGAAACCGGATGTTTTCTGTTCGGCGGCCTCCTCGTACTTCAATTTTCCTTTACGTGCTTCCATCAATAGATTGATCATATCTGGACGGTGAATGTTCTTTTCTTCACGCATGCGTACTGCATCCCTGACGAGATACTTGAAGAAGTCAGTTTTTGGGAACAAACTTACTTTCAAAAACTGTAAAAACAGGTTGTTAAAGGTTTAGAAATTTGTTTTATAGTACTGTTTGATTAACTTACATCTGTGAGTCTTGGAGAGATTAAATTAATCAAAAACTTTAGATTTCTTACAAATCCACTAAAATCAGAAAGGTCCTTGCCTCGCGTATAGAATTCATTAGTTGGATCTTTGAGAGAATCAACACTAACACCGAATGCGCAATTCGCAATCACATCATTAGCGAAACGTGTGAAGGAATCTTTCAGTTCAATATCAAGTGAGTCTTTCTTTTGCTCCAAATAGAAATTGACGTATTGCTGAGCAGATTTTTCCATGAGTGCATACATTGAACGCATTTTACTTGAAGTGAAAGTTGGACTCAAAGTTGCACGCATATCCCTCCACTTGTCACCTTTCAACGAAAACAAATTTTTACTAAAGATGGGGTCTTGATTTTCCGAAACGAAAGATCTATGATCAACAAAGTGATCAAAGTCTTTGACGGTAATCTGCTTGATAAGTTCAGGATCACGCAGCATCAAAACAGGATGAGTTCCTTGATACAATCCTGTGTATCTAAACACAGAAATATTTTTTAAATTTTTTTCTCTCTTAAACTCTTTTAACTTCATAATTAACATACCTGTCATTTTTATTGCGATTGTAAATGTTCCGAACCATTTCCGTTGAAGTTTCCAGCCTCAGGAAGGACCTGTAGTTGTCACCTAATAAAGGTACAGCAGGTCCTTGCACTACATTTCGTTCCCTCCAATATTTTTGAGGTTTTACTAAGTAGTAATAAAACAGCAGTGCTGCTGTCACCGGAAGGAGGACCCAAAACATGTTGCACGCTATTCACGTTGTCACCTGTGGTAAAATTAAACAATTTTTCGTTTATAAAGCTGGTTAACAACTCCCACTAAAATTTACTTGATTGATAAATACTTTAACCGATAAAAAATATATATCAGACCTATTTAATTTGATCCCATTTATAGATAATTAATTTTTCACTTATCAATATCTCATAAATTGAAAACAACAAAATACCTGCCTCTAGATGAGTGTTTACTGATGATTTGACAGAAATATAAATACCTTAATGATAAATACGTTAAAATTTTAGTACACGCAGATTATAAAAACACTGCTTTGTTTTTAAACCGTCTGGTTTCCAACCTCAACCAGTACTGAATGTACAAACATCAAATACTAGTATTAAGTAATATTTGCGTTTTCGATTCATGTGTAATTACATAATGTGTGCTTAATTTTCTGTCGGTTGTCTAACCTGTTTTTATTCTCCTTCTACTATAATTTGATTTTTTGCTTTGTTAGTTCATTTTCAATTCAAGTGCATATTTCAACATGAGAATTGAGATCACTGATTACTATTTATCAACACCCGACAACTGCTTTCTATAAAATTATTAAATTACGTCTCTGATGCAATGAATTATTAATGACACTGACTAATCACGTAGGTTCAAATTAAATGCGCAATAGAATTAAACGTTTACATAATAATGACAAGCAAGAATAATATTTATTGTAGGTACATCATGTACATTATTTTAATACAAGAGTAGATACATGACAAAGCATATTATTTGGTGATTAAATTGTTTTCTTAACATCGGTCCTACGTTTGAACCCAATCCAAAAACCGCCTTCAAGTGACGGATTGAACTGATACCTGTCGTACTTCAATGGAATAGTTGTCTTATCAATCACAGCCAGTTCAAATTTAGACAAAATGTGAAAGACAAGTGTTTTCACTTCCATGAGAGCAAATCGTGATCCTATACAATTACGTGGGCCGGAACCGAATGACAAGAACGTGTAGGGTTTGATGTTATCTTTGTTTTCTTCAGAAAAGCGCTCCGGGATAAATTTGGAAGGATTTGGGTATAATTCTTCATCGTGATGGATGCCATGTACTGGTAACCATATGATTTGACCAGGTTTAAGGTGAACGGGCTTTTCTCCTGGTCTTTCCGGTGGGATAGTGTAAGCACGAGTGCAAACTCTATCAATTGCCATTACAGGTGGATTTTTACGAAGACTCTCTGAAATAATGAAATATTTTGTGTTATTTTGTGTTGATATTGGGTTATTTTTTATTATTACCGCTTGTTACCATATCCATGTACTTCATTTTGTTTAAAACGTCGTAGGAAAGTTTACCATTGTTTAATTCAATCGTTCTGTCCACTTCTTCTCGTAATTTCTCCTGAATATCAGGATTCACAGCTAATTCATAACACATAAACGACATCATAATAGAAATGGTTTCAAAGCCAGCAAAGAAAAAGATTAAAACTTGTGCAGCCATATCATCGTCAGTCATTGCAATCTGTCGAAGATGTTCAGTTTTTCCAATATTTGATTCTTCAACTGTTGCAAAGCCAGCATCTTTTTGTGCAGAAGACTCCTCATAATGTAGTTTGCCTTTTCGTGCCTCCATTAATAAGTTAATCATGTCCGGACGAACAATATTGTTATCTTCCCTAACTTTTACAGTCTCTCGGACAAGAGTTCTGAAAAATTCAGTAGTGGATGGCGAGAATAGCGATAACTTCAGTGCGCCAGCTAATTTTGGTGCTATCATTGTAACTATAAATTTAACGGCTTTCCAAAATCCTACAAATGACGTCGCTTCTTTTCCGTTCATGTAAAAATCATTCTCCGGTTCTTTTAATGAATCCACAGTGATGCCAAAAGCACAATTAGCGATGACATCATTAGCAAAACGTGTGAATGAATCTTTCAGTTCTAATTCAACAATATTCTTATCTTGTTTCAGGTAAAAGTCAACGTATTGCTGGGCGGATTTCTCCATCAACTCAAACATCAATCGCATCTTGCTTGAGGTAAATGTAGGACTTAATGTTGCGCGCATTGCTCGCCATTGATCGCCTTTCAAGGAAAACAAATTTTTGCTCCAGATAGGCTCGATATTAGAAGCGATAAAGTTCCAATGATCGGTAAAATGATCAAAATCTTTCACTGTTATTTGTTTAATAATCTCGGTATCACGGATCAATAAAATCGGAAGTGTAGTTTGATAAAGTCCACAATAACTGTCAATCAAACATAAAACTAAATTAATTTGCTCAAATATTTATAATTTAAACTTACCGCAGATTTTTACAGCGTTTGTAAATATTAGTCACGAAGTCAACCATTGATTCAATCTTGAAGGTAGATTTTACGGTGTCCCCAAAAATGGGAATCGGCGGTCCTTGTTTCACATTTTGAAACCACCAAAACAATTGCGGTTTTAGTAGAAAATAATAAAAGAGTAGCGCAAATGCTATCACAGCTAATATTAAAAACATGTTGACCGCTGAAACGCGCGCAGCAGTCTAATTTTTTAATGATTATTAATACGAACGTTGACAATTTCAGAGACTGTGACGAACTGCGCACAACACCACTGAGTTTATCTCCAGTTGGGAACACTTGTGGGTAAGTGATTAAATATTGACTGTGTCCGCTTTGTTTGAGACGTGTGTTCGTTACATTATTGAGTTATATTGAGTACTGCGTCGTATTCCATAACTAACTTCGCTCAATTGAAGCCGCAACTAATGTGTACACGAATAGAGCTCATGACCTTCCAGAGGTATTCATGCATGATGCCCACTAGTTATTTAATTATTATGTGTATGAAACGTTACCTTGAAGTTAAATTATAGCACAATTAACAAAAAAACTAAAGTTATATTTTTTCAAATATTTTATTACATTGTATACATTTAATCATTGTTTTATCGGCGTTTAAAACCGACCCAAAATCCGCCTTTGATAGTAGGATTAAACTGAACTGTGTCATATTCGATTGGGATTGTTGTTTTGTCAATAACAACCAACTCAAATCTTCTCAAAATATGAAACAGTACTGTTTTTATTTCCATCAAAGCAAATCTGGAACCGATACAATTGCGTGGGCCTACACCAAACGATAGAAATGTGTAGGGATCAATATTTTTTTTGTTCTCATCCGAAAAGCGCTCAGGATCAAATTTAGTTGGATTCGGATAGTATTTTTCATCCCTATGAATGCCAAAAACAGGCAACCAGACCAATTGACCCGGTTCTATCTGTACCGGATGTTCTCCAGGTCTTTTCGGTTCAATTGTGTAGGATTTTGTGCAGATTCTGTCAGTTGCAGCCACAGGTGGATTTTTTCGTAGACTCTCTGTAAATAATTTGAATATTTAACTAATAATTAATTAAATAATATTGTTTTGTACCGCTTGTGACCATATCCATGTATTTCATCTTGTTTAATAATTCATAAGTTAGTTTCCCGTTTGCTGCTTGATAAGTCCGATCAACTTCTGCTCTTAATTTCTCTTGTATATCCGGGTTGACAGCTAGTTCATAACACATAAACGAGGACATTGTTGAAATGGTTTCAAAGCCAGCCAAGAAAAATATTAACACTTGTGCAGTCATATCATCCTCAGACATTGCAACTTGTCTCAAATCTTCTGTTTTGCCAACTTCGGATTCTTCAGCTGCTGCAAAACCAGCGTCTTTTTGTTCAGGTGATTCTTCGTACTTTAACTTGCCCTTTTTAGCCTCCATCAATAAGTTGATCATATCAGGACGTACGATGTTATTCTTTTCTCGTACTGTCACCGCATCTTTTACCAACGTTTTGAAAAACTGTGTTGTTTCCGGTGAAAATAAAGCTAGTCTTAAAAACTATTGGTAATGTTTAATTAAATGTGAGTTTATTTTTAGTATCACTATATTTACCACAGCAAGTTTGGGGAATGCTATTGCGATCAAGAATTTGATCCCCTTCCAAAACCCAGATGCAAAATTACTAATTTCTTTACCTCTCATATAAAATTCATTTTCTGTGTCTTTCAAAGAGTCTACTGTAATTCCAAATGCACAGTTTGCAATTACATCATTGGCAAATCGAGCTAAAGAATTTTTGAGTTCTACATGAATGACATCACTGTTCTGTTGTTGATAATAATCAACATATTGTTCAGCGGATTTTTCCATCAATTCAAACATTAGACGCATTTTTCTGGAAGTAAATGTCGGACTCAAAGTTGCGCGCATTTCTCGCCACTTGTTGCCTTTTAATGAAAACAGATTTTTGCTCCAGATTGGTTCTAGATAATCAGGTGCAAAGTTAAAGTGATCAACAAAATGATCGAAATCTTTGACGGTAATTTGTTTGATTAGTTCAGGATCACGGAGCATGAAGATTTTAATTGAAGTTTGATAAATACCAGCATATCTGTTTGGAAAATATGTAAGCAATACATAAATTTGACTATCAAATTATTTTTTACCTTGCATCATTATCTCGATTGTAAAGTCTTTCAACAGCTTCGATTAATGATTCAGTTTTAAATGTTGTTCCTATGCTGTCTCCGAAAAAAGGTATTGGTGGTCCTTGTGGCACATTTTTTGAACGCCAATAGAGTTTAGGTTTCAAGAGTAAATAATAAGAAAGCAGTAGCACTGCTATTATTGTTAAAATTACAAACATTTTTTGAAATGCTAAAAAATATTAAAATTAAACTAATTTGATTAATTTAGTATTTTAAATTTGATTTTATAACATTTACTTTTAAACAGTGACCACTTCACGTTACAACAGTCTATCAAGCAATGAATGAGTTTTAACATTGCAACGCGTTTATAAAGTTTGACCTTCGGAATCACTTGTTTTATAATTTAAATTTCTCACACACACTCGAAAATAAATTGATTGATAGATTCAAATATTATTTACTGGTAGAGTACAAATTGAGATAAATAGAGATAAATGGCATCCTATGCTCTCAAAAATTCGATGGAGTTACAGTTATTTTCTCTGTGCCTTGACGTTGCCATCTTAATTCCACGCACGTTGTAGACTCTACTACGTCGAACAAAGAAGTGGCATCGACATACCTATATTCGATTGACTCGAATATGTCAAGAACGTTGATTTTTCCTTGTTTATTTAGTTATATTGCAATTAATCGCAATTGTATAATTGAGTTTCATTCGGTTTACCGTAGCAGGGTGCCGGTAAAAGTGACTTGTGTTCAGGGCACCGTATGAGGGTAGCGGTAGAAGTGACTCGTGTTCAGGGCACCGTACGTGGATGATTGTATAGCTGACACCCATTTGTCCATTTTTTCTTATGAAATAAAATTTCATCTCTTTAATTTCCAATTTAATCAGCTTATTTTAGAGAGAATTGTCCGTAGTTTAAGAATCTTTAATCTGTTCCGTTGAATCGCGTTTAGTTCTTGAGAAAATCGAGAAAAATTTGAAGATTTCCTTTCCTCGTCATTGTTATATTCGCATGCCACATCCATTTGCCACCTGCAGCAGTATAGTACAAATCGCATGTATGAATGGTGCTTATTGCAATTCGCAAGTCATAAATTAGAGTATTAGTATTAGTTTTGAACACAATTCTGTTTGCTGCTTTTGTATATAAACAACTTTTTTATCGCATGTGTCCCGCACGCCGTCCTCTCGCGCCGCATATACTTACAGCATGCAGCGTATTTCAGTTTAGTTTAGATCGTAGGTATCCGTGTCTATTGCTATTCGCGCACAAGGTCGCGTGAGCACCTCTTGTATTTACACGCGGGGCAGCAGGCAGCCTTATCTTATCGTCAGCTGAGGTGTGTATATTCGGCATGCCTTAACATTTTCGGTTATGCTGCGGCCAGTTTTCTGCCGGTCTCTGGTTGCTTCGGACGTGTCTCTCGCGGATCGTATTCTTTTCTCTTAGTTTGATTCATTAATCTGCGTTGTGGTTTTATCGTGTGCAGTTGCCGTTGCCGGTCGCTTCATTTCGCCGTCATGTTGATTTATTCATCATTAGGATGATCCATCGGCTATCTCTAGGTAACTTTTAACTGAACCACATAGATTATTAGTTTTCTTTTGTTGTGTGAATATAATATTAATAAAATTCATGAATTGTTTTAATTTGTCTTTTATTTTATTTACAGTACTTTTCGGGTCTTGGATTCCGATGAGTTCTGCTTTGGTAAATTAATATTTTAAATTTCTTTTTCGTTTATACTTACGCGTCACATTTTTTTAAATCGCGTTTTACCTACGTCCCTCAATGACATAAAAAAGTCGCGTACCATGCTGATACATCACGGAATTAAACTTTTAGTTTTTTTCGGCATATTCTGTTCGAACAAGAGTTCTGTTAGGCGATGCATCTCTGCATATAATTATTTTATATTTTTATCTGATAGACAATTTTCCAATCTTTCATAATCAACAATTCGTTGGTAGCTATCTCTTTTAGTTTAAGAGATATTAATTTTTGAAAATCGTCGAAAAAAAGTATCAACACCCCCCCCTTGGCAATTTTTTCTTAAGAATTAAAATTTCATCTCTCAGATTTCCGTTTTAACTATCCTATCTAATAGAGAATAGTCCGTAGGTTAAGACACTGCGATCAGATCCTATTTATCTCTTTTAGTTTACGAGATATTCGCTATTGAAGAAAATCGTCAAAAATTGCAAAATGTCACTTTTTAGCACTTTCAGTCGCGTTTTTTGATCTTTTTCTGTGGGAAATATAATTATTTTATATTTTTGTCTGATAGAGAATTTTCCAATCTTTCATAATCAACGATTCGTTGGTAGCTATCTCTTTTAGTTTAAGAGATATGAATTTTTGAAAATCGTCGAAAAAAAGTATCAAGCACCCCCCCTTGGCAATTTTTTCTTAAGGATGAAAATTTCATCTCTCAGATTTCCGTTTTAACTAGCCTATCTTATAGAAAATAGTCCGCAGATTAAAACCCCGCGATCAGATCTTATTTATCTCTTTTAGTTTACGAGATATTCGCGATTGAAGAAAATCGTCAAAAATTGCAAAATGTCACTTTTTAGCACTTTCAGTCACGTTTTTTGATCTTTTGCTGTGGGAAATATAATTATTTTATATTTTTGTCTGATAGAGAATTTTCCAATCTTTCATAATCAACGATTCGTTGGTAGCTATCGCGTTTAGTTTAAGAGATATTAATTATCAAAAATCGTCGAAAAAAAGTATCAAGCACCCCCCCTTGGCAATTTTTTCTTAAGGATGAAAATTTCATCTCTCAGATTTCCGTTTTAACTAGCCTATCTTATAGAAAATAGTCCGCAGATTAAAACCCCGCGATCAGATCTTAATTATCTCTTTTAGTTTACGAGATATTCGCGATTGAAGAAAATCGTCAAAAATTGCAAAATGTCACTTTTTAGCACTTTCAGTCGCGTTTTTTGATCTTTTGCTGTGGGAAATATAATTATTTTATATTTTTGTCTGATAGAGAATTTTCCAATCTTTCATAATCAACGATTCGTTGGTAGCTATCTCTTTTAGTTTAAGAGATATGAATTTTTGAAAATCGTCGAAAAAAAGTATCAAGCACCCCCCCTTGGCAATTTTTTCTTAAGGATGAAAATTTCATCTCTCAGATTTCCGTTTTAACTAGCCTATCTTATAGAAAATAGTCCGCAGATTAAAACCCCGCGATCAGATCTTAATTATCTCTTTTAGTTTACGAGATATTCGCGATTGAAGAAAATCGTCAAAAATTGCAAAATGTCACTTTTTAGCACTTTCAGTCGCGTTTTTTGACCTTTTACTGTGGGAAATATAATTGTTTTATATTTTTATTTGATTGAGAATTTTCCAATCTTTCATAATCAACAATTCGTTGGTAGCTATCGCGTTTAGTTTAAGAGATATTAATTATCAAAAATCGTCGAAAAAAAGTATCAAGCACCCCCCCTTGGCAATTTTTTCTTAAGGATGAAAATTTCATCTCTCAGATTTCCGTTTTAACTAGCCTATCTTATAGAAAATAGTCCGCAGATTAAAACCCCGCGATCAGATCTTAATTATCTCTTTTAGTTTACGAGATATTCGCGATTGAAGAAAATCGTCAAAAATTGCAACATGTAACTTTTAGCACTTTCAGTCGCGTTTTTGACCTTTTCTGTGGGAAATATAGTTATTTTATATTTTTATCTGATAGACAATTTTCCAGTCTTTCATAATCAACAATTCGTGGGTTGCTATCTCTTTTAGCTTAAGAGATATTAATTATCAAAATCGTCGAAAAAGGTATCAAGCACCCCCTTGGCACCCCTTGGCATTTTTCCTTAAGAATTAAAATTTCATCTCTCAGATTTCCTTTTTAACTATCGTATCTGATAGAAAATAGTCCGTAGATTAAGACGCTGCGATCAGATCTTATTTATCTCTTTTAGTTTACGAGATATTCGCGATTGAATAAAATGGGCAAAATTGATAAATGTAACTTTTAGCACTTTTAGTCGCGTTTTTCGACCTTTTACTGTGAGAAATATAATTATTTTATATTTTTATCTGATAGACAATTTTCCATTCTTTCATAATCAACAATTAGTGGGTTGCTATCTCTTTTAGTTTAAGAGATATTAATTATCAAAAATCGTCGAAAAAGTATCAAGCACCCCCTTGGCATTTTTCCTTAAGAATTAAAATTTCATCTCTCAGATTTCCCTTTAACTATCCTATCTGACAGAGAATAGTCTGTAGATTAAGACGTTGCGACCAGATCTTAAATATCTCTTTTAGTTTACGAGATATTCGCGATTGAATAAATTCCGCATGCCCATTTTTTCTTATGAATTAAAATTTCATGTTTTAAACTTCCTATTGAACTGACTTATTATTTTCGTACGCCGAGAAGTATTGAAAGTAAATGTAAATTTCGTGTATGTGTATTTCAACATTGTGAATTTTTAGTTTCGTCGACATGAATTTTGTTGATTTGTAAAATATAAACTTGTATTCTATTGTTAATAAAGAAATAGTAAGATATATTGACTTCTTTGATTTGTGTGTTCGCCTTCTATCATTTCAGGAACAGGTCTCTAAGAGAGTTCCCTCTCTCAGGGATGATCCCCACTATAAAAATTGTTAAGGTATCCTGTGTGATTTGTGTGCTCCTTCTTTCATTTCAGAAACAGGTGAGAACTTGTAAGAATATTTTTAAGTGTCACCTCTGGAGGCGACAAAACTTAGAAATATTTGAACAAGACTTTATAAGGATTGTCCTTATAAGGAGTTCCTCCTCTCTCTGGGGTGATCCCCACCATAAAAATTGTTGATATGCCTGATAATTTCGGGGATGAAGCGCAGAGACATCGTAGCTGTAGGTTGGGCCGGGAGCAATGGACGGATCGAAGCAGTGGGCCTCCGGCGCTCTGGTCGATCGACCGTAGACTGTCTTATAACGACACGTGCCAAAAAATTTAAAAATCTGATCCTCCCCTGTTCTCTTTCTTCTATCTCCTCCTCTTCTCTACTCTATTCTCTGTTCTCTTCCTTCTATCTTCTCTTATTCTTTACTACTCCTACTTCCATTTCTCTGTTCTCGTTTCTCCACTTACTTTGTTACTTCTCTTATTGCCTTCACTTGTATTGCAATTTCTCTTATATTTCGTTGCAATTCATATATGCAACCCAAATTACACCTGATATTTTTATATTTGAGAAAAATGCCTTCTATACCTGAGATTCGATCCGTGTCTGCTAGCATGCCAGCAGGTGCACGTCTCCACTCGACCACCGAGTGTTTTTATCATTAATATTTGATTCTTCTATATATGTTTTTACTATATTTTATTTATGAAACAAAACAAGTTACAGTTATATTGTACACATTTCACGCACATAATAAGATACATATGAAATATGATTTAAGACGCTTATCCTGAAAACGGCAAAGAGGATATCACAAAGAAATAAGATTGAGATTTTAATTTTAAATTGTGTTTTATTATTTATATTTAACAATACATTAATTTCTTTAATAAAGCGAACGTACTTACGATCCAAAGCATCGTAGCATATCCTACGAACCATCGAGCCGCAACGCTCTCGTATCAAACGTTACACACGAAATAGAATTATTAGTAAAATGGATGTTCATCTCACTTACTTGAACGAAAAACAAAATCCATGTTATATATAACCCAAAAACTATTTAAAATGACTCGATGTAAACAAACAGTTACAAGTTATCGAAATAACAACGTACAAAACAATTTTTCTAGCAATACACGTTTTTTAGGTGCATCTCATATATTAGAATATAACTCTTGCAATTTTTGTCGCAATTTCATGCGCAAATCACAAAAGTTACGTATGAAAACGATAAAGAAATTAAATACTTACAATCTGATGCAAGAATGGTTCTCTCACGATATCAGGCTCAGGTGTAAAACTCCTAAAACAAGCAAAAATCAGTCCTTCGAAACACAAAAATGCAAGTTTTGTCATTATTTCGAAAGCTTGTCACAAAAGTTATGCATGAAAATGATAAATAAATTAAACACTTACTATCTGATGCAAGAATGGTACACCTACGATTAGGGACTTAGGTGCAAAATCCCTAAAACATACAAAAATCAGTCCCACGAAACACAATATATACATATTTGCAGCAATGCAGTCACACATTTCAAAGCAAATAGTCAACTGAAAGTAAATACCATTGGGATACATTGCAAAAACGCTATTGATATCAAATTATGTACTATTTGCAAATAACATATTTATAAGTATATAACAGTATAATGTGAATATGTATAAAAGGTGTGACTTACATGTATATAAATTAGTTCTGTATTCACTTCCATACAATTGGTATAGTTATAATGAAGAACTTGAGTTTCTTTTTACATCAAATAATTCACAATTGCTTTAAGATATTAAACATACTTAAAAAGCGATAATTTATGTTGTACATTACTCTCGTTAACAAAATCACTGATAGATCTATTCCATCAGTAACAGTTTCATTTTCTATCATTCGTTTATAAAATTGAGTTTTGTTCTGAGTACTCGCAATAAAGTTTAATGTGACGTGCTCGTATATACTAGAAGATTCATGAGGAATGTTTCCATCTTCCTTCGTTAACGGTTTCTATGACAAGAAGACATTGATACTACATAGAATGTGTTGATTTTTTTGTTCATACTACGATAATACGTATATCAATTGTTTTGGTTCACGATTATAAGCAGTTTTATCGACCTATATGCACAGTACGTCCTGATAGGACAGAATTAAATTTAGTCCACTTCCTGAATGACCTTCACATTGATTGAATTTTCTACTGGTCACTGTTCTCTAACGATTGTTGATAGATTATATTATTTGTCTGCAGTACAAAACAAATAGTTTGGTTACATTTATAATTATGGCAGCAGCTTGATTATTTACCAATTAGTAACATACGATAGCTACAATAATACGTATGGTAATTCGTCGTAAAAAAGACGTGTACAATTTCAAAAACTTGTGCGATCCCAGAGCGCTTACTACAAATTGTATTTCTTGGGGGTTTTGGGGAAAATTGCAAACGTAAATAATTGCAAAACTTCCCCGTACTCGAACAACAAACGCAACACTCAGTAGTAAACTCGAAAAAATGGTACGGCCGACTTATAATCGTATTAGTCTTCATAGTTTCCCTTTCGAAATGCTTTGTAAACAAATATCGTTATCAATATAAGAATGAGGACTAATCGTCAGTCTCAAAATTATCGTTACTAACATGCTTGCTGAATGATTGGTCTACATGTATGCACTTATTAATTTCTTAATAAAATAGTAAACTATTTTTGGCCTTTAGTACACTCGTAAACAATATCGAATAGATTGCTAGTTCGTGCGTATGCGAAATGACAAAAATTAGGATTACGTTCAGTACGGGGGACGGTAACCGCCACCTGTCCTGTTGAGAGCCTAATGATAATGCACATCGACTGCATTTCTTAGCCAATCAGCAGGCAGGTGGGCATGCCCTCAGTATGCCGAAGCTTCTTTGTACTCGGAGCCATCCATCGTGAAGAAGTCCTCCAGTTTCCATTGCAGCGTTTCGAAGGTTGGTCGCTTCATCGGGTCCCGATTCCAGCACTCCAACATTATGTCGTAGAGTGGATTGGGGCAGTTTGGCGGCGGTGGCATGCGATAACCATGCTCTACTTGGTGCAATACCTCGGCATTTGTCATTCCTAAAAGAGAAATAATAATTTAAATGTTAGTAAATAGTTAGTATGCAAAGAAGTGCATTATTAATAGGTTCAAGGAGCAATCTACGTATTATGTAAACAAATAAAGAATAACAATCATACCTGGATATGGTATACGCCCATATGTTACAAGTTCAGTGAGTAAAATACCGAACGACCACACATCAGACTTGATTGTGAATCGACTGTAATTGGCGGCTTCCGGTGCGGTCCATTTGATAGGGAAACGAGCTCCTACACGAGCTTCGTATTCATCCTCCTACATAATAAAACATTTAATATAAAAAAAAACACCAATTGTTTTCGATTAATTTACCTTAATAAGTCGCGCTAAACCGAAATCGGCAATTTTTACAACATTGGAATCATTCACAAGCACATTTCTCGCTGCTAAATCACGATGAATATAATTCTGTGACTCCAGATACGCCATACCGGTTGCTATTTGCGCGGCCATGTCAATTAACTGTGGCAGCTTCAATGCTTTTCCTTTACCCTGAAGGAATTCCAACAGAGAACCGTTTTTCATCAGTTCAGTGATGATGTAAATAGGCTCCTCAACTGTACACACGGCATACAATTGAATTAGTTTTTGGTGTCGCAGTTTCTTCATGATTTGCGCTTCGGCTAAGAAGTCCTTCGGGTCCATTGTGCCCGTTTTCAACGTTTTAATCGCCACAGGCGTGGTGTTATTCCACTGTCCTTCCCAAACCTCACCGAATTGACCGTGGCCAAGTTTTCTGATAAACTTCAATGAGGATCTATCAATTTCCCACTGATCACGCGTTCGATGTGAAAGGCCTTCCGGTTGTGGCTTTTCAACCTGCAAAAATAAAATATACAAATAAAAACAATCCCAACACAATTTTCAGTTAAATAATTAAAATTAAAATTTTAAAAATCTGGCGGAGATTCTAAAACACACGTTCCTACTTTTAAAATACTGATTTAATGTGATGTGTAAATATTAAACAAAAAATGAAATAAACCAATGGAACCTGTCCTAATAATCAAATGCATCACATGCATTTCTTTTTGCTGATGGAGAAACTAAACAAATGTATGTACATAAAAATGGTGATTCATTTCGATCAGGTGTGGAAACGTGTACAATTGTCAACAGGTAAACGCCTAAAACATACCTCGGAAAGCTTCTGTTTAAATAAGAATTATAAACACGTAATTAGTAACAAATCTTGGAGAGAAATTAATATAATCGTTGAACAATGAACGTAATAAAGACATGCGTCAGTTAATTAACGTATTTTACACACCTGAACACAAGGTTTGCAAAGATTGACGCATAATCCATCCGCATCACGACTGTAATGATCAACAAGCTCCTGTAGTGTACGGAAAGTAGTTCGTCGCGCGATGAAGAATCCACCTTCGTCCAATTGTCTTATTCTATAATGTTTTACTGTGTCGCCGTCACGAACTGAAACATTTCGTGTTGAATTAGTACGCTTGAATGTTACCGTAACAAATTGTTGTAATGATAATATTTACATACCAGAGAGAGAATAATCGTTGTGTCGACTTTCAGAGTCCCTGATTAGGAAGGCGCCGTGTTCGTTCTCAGGGAGCAGCAATTTCTTTTCGGCTTCTATCCGTTTAATTTTACGGAAATACCACCTGTAATTAAATTAGTTTTTGTTTTAATATAGTCTACATACAAATAAATATGATTGCCAAATAAAATTTTGACCTTGGCGAATATATAAATCTAAATAAAACCGTGTCACAAGTCAAGACAAGAAAAAATATACATCGATTAGGAAATTTATACGTGCATTTATAGTCACGTCTGGCGCTGTGTGCTATGTAATTACGAAACTTTGAGGTCGACGAAATTTCTGCAACGATATTATGTGCCAATGAACCATAATAGAAATATTATTATAACTATGTTTAGTTTAAATCAACACAGACAGTGTCTTGAGCGCATATACGCTCTTCGCATCTTCGGATGGGTAATTTACGAGTTCGCGCTTCCTCTTAACGGTAGCTTACCCCAGATTTTTATATACGTCTAGCGACGAGCCATCAAAAAGCTCCAGTAAAGTAAGCTAAATGAAGAAAAGAGGCGTGCGCGACCACGAATGTAACACATCGTCGAAAAATACTGGATTACTTGACATTTTGTTCCAATTCAAAGCAACGAAAGTAAAATCACAAGCAAACACGCACAATCCAGAAATATGATTATGTAAATCCACTTTAATCAGTATTATTGGAAACAAACGAGTTGAAATTATAGTTTTTCTGTAACAACACGTTTCTCATTACCTTCATGTTGTTGTTTTTTTTAAATCCACGCATTTCGTGACAATTCGCATACAAAACTATTCATGCATAGTTTAATATGATTCATTTCATAAACAAAAACGACGTATAATGATAGCGAAAGCCTAGGAATGTAAATTTGGCAATACTATGACCTTCAACGGTTTAATAATTAAATTTTACGCAACTTTTAATCCGGTTTTGGGCTTGTATTTAATTTTCGGTGACAACTTACTCGGCATCTAAATTATCACAAACATGCACGACTGTAGTACTAAGTTTCCTCCTGGTGTTCCTCGCCCAAGCTTCCCGCTGCTTCTGCAATCGCTGTAACCGGCGAGGATTTCTACCGACCGCGCTCGTCCAGGTCAACGACGACGCCACATTACAGTCGTCGCTTTCGGAACAACAACTTTCCGAATTGGACGCGACACTACTTTTCCGACTGCTGCACGTGTGCGTGCCGTTGGTCGAGTCGACGCTCGACTTCCTACTCGAAGAGAAGATGCCGCTGGATTTGCTCGTCAGGCTGGATTTTCGACTGTCGGTCGGCGATGGCAGCTGATTCGTCTTGGTGGGCAAACGTTCCGGTAAACTACATCGACGTAACTTCGCCTCCTTATTGACCAAACTCGCGGCGCTTCTTGGATGGTCGATGGTAAACCTGCGATTCTGTTGCTTCAGCCATCTAAGCACATGCTCATTGCGATCGTTTTCGAAATCATTGCAATTCTCGTAGAGTTTCTCATCAATCGGATAAAAACTAAGCTTCCTTGTTCGCGTCCTTGTCGTCTCACTAGTATTTTCCTCGGCGGTGGCATCGATGGCATTTAATATCTCATCATCCAATGCGTCACGTGAATATTTACAGTATTTCTTCAACAATTGCACAACCAACTCGTCACTCTGCGAAGAGTATTTGCGCCCGGATGTGGCCGAAGATATTAATTTAGATTGGTCCACGCACGCACTGTCCAATTTAATTTTATCAGCGTTGTCTTGTTCTTGCTGAGCTACACTTTCTTGCACATTATTTAACTTGAAACTAACAACTTTTTCACGCCGCAACTCGTTCAAATCCAATTTAAATTCTTTGTTCGTTTCGTTCGTCTCGTTTTGATGCAGCAGGTTGAGGCGCTCCTGCTCGGTGAGTTCGATGAATCCGTTTTCTTTTAATATTAGCTGTTTGTTGGTGACGCTCTGCAGAAAATCCGAAACGGCCGCCCAATGAGCCTGCGTGATAATACCATGCAGACGAATCGAGCTCAATTGCAATGGGATCCATTGATCTCCCTTACAACACCAGACAACCCCAGAAGAAACCATTTTATCCACATTTAAATTTAAATTTTAAATTAATTTTTTTTGGTTTCGTAATAGTATTAGTAAATACTAATCATTTCCTAGTCGCACTGCCAAATTGTTTTTTCTGCACTTTCTATAATCTATCAAAATCGATGTCCTAGATGTTTTAGTTTAGACTACAAGGAACGTATGGTAATTAAACTCCGATAAGAAGTTGTAGTTGCGTCAGCTCATCAGCTGTTTCAAAGAAATGTTTGTCTAATTACTTCACTAAACACATTATTTATTATTATTCCCGGTATTAGATGTAATTCATTATCGCGATGCGCGCTGTAGTTGAACTTGTCTCTCGGGCGACGCGTTTTGTTTCTGCCGAGCAGCGTCCATGTCGCTAGCCGCATGCCGAGATACTGGCGCACCCGACCAACATGATTGTCGAGCTAAGGTACGAGTACTCGCGTACGAGTACTGTTTGTATGCGTGCTCTGCAAGGATCGCAGGAAAGCACCGAGCACAAAACAAGCGCGCAGGTAGCGCATTGGCACATTTAGTTATTGTAAATATAGCGACAATTAGTCATCACTGAAGATAATAATGCAAAATAGGCCCCGGCTGGCTTATGAATTCGTTTATGTATTGTTTCACTGTTATGTTTTATTCATTCGCAGTCATATTTTAATGTAAAGCCAAGACATAACACAATAAAGTTATGCAATGTATGAATATAAACCAATAAATTAATATTTGCGATTTTTTTTCTTGAGATTTTTTACATCTCACCTTGTTTGATTTCGATCAAGGTATAAATGCTTTCTCAGAATTTGGGTATTTTGGAATCTTTCATTCATAAATTTCGTCGAATTCTTGCGGGCTTGAAATCCTCACGGTCATATCTGTTTTGAGGTCGCGTTTTCACCGCAACGTATAATCAAAAAGTTAAAAAAAAGCGTTGATTACGTTAAAAATTTTCATTTTTAACCGATTGAACACGTGAACCATCAGCGCGTTAAACATAGACATGTTATGAACACGTGCAATTGTTATTTGACGGAATTTTCCAGTAGTTATTGCATTTGAGTTCAGTTTCTTCACGGGAGCAATCAACGGCTCAGTAATAATGGATTTTAATTCATCTTAAACGAGAGCTAAATATGGAACAATATGACTCAAACTAATTACAACCGTACGTTTGTTTTCATAGCGATTACAGCTTTTTGTAGTAGTTACAATGTGTTTACTCATGTCGTGTTTTTTTCATTTTTATTGCATTTTAAATATTTTTTATTAATGGTGTAACGTTCTTGGAAATACAATAGAAGCTGTATTATCCGGATTAGCGTATTTTTTATGACTCAAAAATCTTGACCAGGTAAAAGAATTCTGAATAAGTAGCATAATAAGTGATGTAAAGAAGGAAAAACCGAAGTATTGAAAAGTAAAAGTTGAAAAACATTACAAAATTAGAAGAAAATTTCAAAAAATCATATTTTCGTCGTCGATTCGTATTATTTTTAATAAACGCATAATAAAAACAGGTTTTCTTTAAAATTTTGATAACCTGAATTTTGAGGAATCCGGAAATTTGAGTCTCTACTCGATGCTGACTCACAATTACGAAAGATCCTCGTGCGTATATTTACTCGTAATGTTTCACAGAAAAAATTACGTTGTAGTTCCCGGATTCGTCAATAGGTGTTAATTCAATAACTAGACAATTTAAATATGTCTAGAACCAACATTTAAAATATCATTTAATAAATGTTTCCACCATTCACGTCTAAAATAGATTTATACTTGACATCTTTTATTAAAATACCATTTGCCGACGCAATTACGAAACAAGAAAGTTTTCTAAATGACGCTCGCCGCGCACAATTTAATTATCACCTGTTCGCCCCGGACTTTCAGCGCTAATTATTTGCAAGAGAAACATAGCACCGAAATTAATATGCGCGAGGTGTTCCATTCAAAGGGACGCGACGCGTGTTAGCTCAATGCAATGTAAAGCATTGAAATATATCACGCAACCGATCAACAATCTCGGCTTGCACAATCGTTCCATGAAACAACAATAAAAACCTCAAGGAAATTAATAAACGACACGACAATGTCATTTTCCGATCGTCATTTGTTTCATTCACTCATCGATATTATGCAATTGAATTAAAAGTGTTCTTCGCACGTACAAATCGTAAAAAACAACTATTAAACTAGAGTAACATTGTGTTTATCTTGGATTTTTGGAATCGTGGTTGAAATATTAAAGTTGTTGTGCAAGTTGTATGCGGCACGGAAGTAAATGTCATATGGAAACGGAAAATTCCGCATCGTTAAATCGCAATGCAAATGATAATTTATCGAGGTCTTGCACTGACGTGCCGCAGAAAACAAAACAATATGCTACCTGCGACGTGATTATGTAGGAACCATAATCAAAATGTCCAACAATCACAATTATCTATTCGCTTACTCAATGACAAACCAATGTGAACTCCGTGCAGGTTCACGGATCAATTAAATCCGCACACAAATTCGCATAAATAAATTTCGGAAGCCAAAAATCATGCGGAAACATATATCAAGAAACGCGCTGTGAATTATACTAATATTAATGCGAATGTATGTTTGTTCCTCTTTCAAACAAAAACCAATCAACAAATTTTGCTAAAATTTGGTACAGAGATATTTTAGACCCAGGAGAATCATTTAAGCTAGTTTTTATCGCAAAAAAATATTTACAGGGTGTGCAAAATAGTTTTCAAGTTTTTGCAACACTTTTTTTCGAATTTTCTTTTACTAAGCAATAAAAATTTTATTAACCGGAAGTGCATATTTTATGCAACATTTATATTATTGATTATCCTGATCAGCTTCCTCCATTCCATCCATCACACGTATCAGCGCTAAAGTAAACAGAAAAAAAACGTGTATCCATGGCAGAATAAACAAAAGCAAAATCAGTTCTATAAACATTTCGACCGCTTCTGTTTGACCTCGCTTTGCTTCCAAATTTGATCCATAAAAAGGTCCTCCTCCTTGGACGGCATGTACGAAAAGAATACATCACGAAATGTCTTGTTGTGAAACTCGTATTGTCGCATCAACGTAAACAATTGACGTGCATAGTTTATACTGACACCCTTATTGTGGCGATAATAATTGATTCGATCGCTCAAATTCTACAAAAAAATATTTAAAAATCTAAATACTTTCTGTACAGTTTTAAACCATCGTACATGTGAACGTATGAGTTTAGTATGATCCCAGTTATGTAAATCTTTACGATTTTTCAAGAATGTAGCTCTTATAGTATAATTCTTCGGACGGTGTATATCCATTCTTTCCATAATCGGATAATCTTTAAGGTTTAACATGTTCGCGCGTTGTTTAGCCGTGTAATAATCACGCAAACGAAACCGCCACCAACAACGAAAAATCGGTAAAGTATGCACGTCGGGAAGACGCGCAAGAGGGAAACCATCTTCTGCAAGCTTCTTTAAAGCTTTCTATAAATTATTATTTTAGAAAACTAATTTTTAATTTTTTTTAGAGGAAAAAACCTTTAAAACTTCTGTTTGTTCCCGATGTGTAGCCGGCAGCTTTTTAAAAATCATATACCGTTCCAATTCCGGCGGATCTTCAACTTTATACAACGGATGCTTCTTATACTCTTCCTTGATCCTCTCCAGCAATAAATCAAAATCATCCTTTTCCTTTTTCACCTCTAGATCTTCACTTATTTTCTTAACCACCTTCACAATGTTATCTTTATTCGTAAGTGAAGAACACGCACAATTCGAGAGTAACAACCCTTCAGCTCCTTCACTTCCCTCACTAGACAACGTACAATCACATTCCCCTCCGCATTCATACAAGGATTCATCAATTGCACCACCTTCTCCTTCGGTGACACACTCACACTCCTCAAACCCACACGGGCAAGATTTCACCGAACAAATACAATCAACCGAATCCTCTGTGTTTGTATTACAAACACAACACATTTGCGTAGCCCTATCACAATGACACGTGCAGGATTTATCTATAACCTCAACTTCCGATCGATTCTCCGACCACGTGGCACTCGCAGTAAAATCCCCATACTGCGAATTCACTTCTTTGAGGTATTCTTCGGTATCATACGCAATTTTCTTCATGTACGCGTTGAATAATTTCAAACACAGTGTATGTTCACGTGTGAAGCGTTCATACAGAGCCATACAGTCACATTCAACATTTTCCGTGGTACCAGCTAGGACATAAACATTACCTTCGGGTCTTTCTTGAACACCAGCAATGTGATACTTTATACAACCGCCTGGTAACATTGGCATTTGTTTCAGCGTGCGTTTTTCCTCTTCTTCGATTTCTTTTATCCTTGCGCATTGACAACATCGCTGCGGCATTACACTGGACAAAATATAAACAATTTTACCATCGGGGCCGACCGCTGTGCCATTTATAACGAATTTTTCTTCGAGGCTTTTCAAAGCTTCCTGGACTTTTCTGATACCGCGCGTGCGCTCAAACTGCTCCCATTGTTTCTTGTACTTTTCCATGCATGTACAAATCGGTGTCGCTTTACAATCTCGTATAACCGGCACTGGTTTGTTTTCGGTTTCTTTCGTGTTATCGATGATATATTTTAAAATACTGTTTTTTCTACGCCGATCGTCTTCACAGCGTTCGCAATAACATAAACTTTCATCGATACGTTTTAAAATAGCTTCTTTACAAGCACAAGTTTGGGAATCCACTGTTTTGACAGTTAATAAAGGACCCATCATTAAATCTGTCTCACAGTAAGGTACAGGAGTAAAAGTCCCTTCGGAACTGACATATTCCTCTTCCTCAGCTATGATTAACTCGTCAGTATCGTCAATAGAACAGATACATTCCACTTCTTGGTCTGTGAATGTCACTGATGGCATTATATCCTCAGTTTTATTTTTTTCTTTTGACTCTGCTTGTTCATTTTGATTCTGTGATGATTTGCAAGCACATTTTTTTAAACTATCAGACGGCAGGGTAGATATTGACATGGTAGTTGATTCCGGTGAAACTACCGGTGATTTTACTTTTTTCACAGATGGAACACGCCGCGGACGAAATTTTCCGATTGGACAAACATATACAGAGGGTTTAAACAGTGCGGGGATATAATTTGCATTACCCAGGGAACTGTAGTATTTCTGCGCTCGGGTCCATTCAGTGATGAGGTCAATTTCAATGCGTGTAAACTCTACGATATATGATTACAATGTTGTATAATAATTAACCAGCAATGAATGTGATACCGTCAAGATCCCTGACAGCGCTGCAATCAGGAAATGTGCAATTATCGCATGTGCATACGCCTCCCGAGTAGGTTTTTTCATATTGATAGTCGCGATGTGTTACAGGTTCCGTCGATTTATGAAGAATTATTTGATTCAAGCACTGGAATCGTTAAATTCATCAAAAAATCAAAAAAATAATTATAAAATCAACTACCATTTGGTCCACATAATTAAAATATGCATTATCAGCATAGTATCTATTCGGAGGGTGATATGAAGCACATTTTACTTCGTCCCTTAGTAATAGGTTCTGTTGATAAGGACTTTTACCACATTTAGGGATAACTTTTTTAGGTTTTGTTTTTTTGGGTTGGATGCGAGGAGGTGACGGTATCCGCACGTGTAATTCCTTAAGGGTACTTCGAATTGTCAAATGGACAACAGCGGATAACAACAATCGATCATTAATTGAATAAGACGTACCTGAAGAGAATTATTCTAGATGTTAAATAATTAAAAATATAAAAAGATTACGATTGGGATTGATAAGCTGATATAAAACAAGTAGAAACTCCACTGGGCAACTTTCACACAACTGAAGGGCACGTTTAACATGAACATGATTAGGTCTCAGGACTAAACCAAGTCTAGCTATGACATCCTGCGTGTTATTGATGGTATTCCGCCCTAAATCTACAACAATCGCCTTTGCTAAACCATCGATTGCAAGGCGTTGTGGATTAGACAACTCCTGATACCAATCCGGACCCATTATTTTATCAAACGCTTTTTTTATTTCCTCTCTTTCGCGTTTCGCCTTTAATAATCGCTCTTTTCTGTTGCGTTTTAACACTTCGTGCGCAACGCATTGATAATAATCAATCACTTCAACGAATTGTTCCATTAGTAATTTATCCAGAGGACCATGCAGACATTGCGCGTCCATTTTATCAACGTCGCTGAAACCAGGCGGATGGAATTGGTACTGACATTCAGTATCTCTGATACGTAGCATGACCGGATTTCTGTCCATAACTGTGTACGCTTGACTCAATTGATAGTCTTTAATCTGCGTCATATCTTTGCGTTTCGGGCGGTATGCAGCCATTGTATCGACGTGTTTTCTTCCGGTTGATGGTATATTACACACGGAGTAATCGTGAAACTGATCGAAAACATCTTGGTGTTTACGTTTTGATTTCACAGACCCGTCTAAATTATACGCAGACATTTTAAAAATATTTTTAAATTTTATTTTAAATATTAAAATTACGCACTGAGAATTTTGAGATTTCGATAGATTCAAATTGTGTGTATCTGTGACAGACGCACAATTGTCATGTGTACAATGTTGCATGTGTCTGTTGGGTTGATCGCAAAACCGCAAAATGATCTCGGCAGTTGATTGCTCCGTCGCCATCATCATCCTAAGCACGTTGCACTGTTGGACAGACGGATGGATCTATTTATAGATATAACGTGCACACGTTATTGCAATATTGACGATGACTGCAACTGATCGCAAGACTCTAGACGCCACATGAAGACATGGTACGACCGCAACGGCGCTCGCCATGCCCATTTCAGGTGTAACAAAGTTATATGACTATGTTTATGCTTAGAGACGGGATAAACTCAAGTCAAGCACGCGAAAAAATTTATAATATTGCACAAATACGGAATCCATCGCAAGTTCAAGAGCTACAGACTGCAATTAATTACAATCAAATGATATGGATTTATTTATCTCTGCGCGCGTATGCACATTCTATTTATAGAAAGTAAATAAACGAAAATGTTCGTCGGCCTCAGTGTTGTCGAGTGTATTCATGCTTTAAATTGATGCCATGAATATTAATCAAGAGCGGCCGGAGTTATTTATAACATACTTAATCCGCAATTAACTCATTCAGAGTTAATTTGTTAAAGAAATATCAATTTCGTTGTGCGTTTGATGATCGTGCAACTGTATAAATCGTACGCGCGCGCAATTACATACCGAAAGGCACTTATTAGATGATCGCCGAGGCGACTTTGTTGCGAATTGCGATTTTAAGGTGGATATTTTCTGCGCGCGGCATAGAATTTTACGTTCTGGTTCTTCGGTTCGGCCTGGCGCCGCGTATTCAATTAAATTCTTCCGATTGGATCGCGAACACGTCTGGGACGCGCATGATACACCCATCGTGGTGATTTTTTTCATTTTGTGAAAGTACCATAACATTTATCAATATACCGAATGTTTCCGAAAGAAATTTTTACTCCGCCAGCGATAATATTTACGGAATATAAATTTTAATTTTATTATCACTCCGAAGATAATAAGCGGCGGTGTTTTTGTTTGTTGTCGTTGATATTTTGATTTTGTTGTTGTCGTTAATGACGATGATGATGATGATGGGATTGGCGAGGTAATGCATAACGTAATGGACATGCATGCGGTGAAAGTGGGCCATTTTTTTGTTGTTAATATCTCTCGCCGGACTAGACATCGATATATTTACGATTTTTATCGAGGGTGTGGGTAATTTGAAGATGGATATAAAACGATGTGACCTGTAACATAATGCACAAATGTCGTTGGCGTACTTGGAAAGGTCGCTCGCTGAAGAAGTGAACGACCCAGCGCGTCCTTGGCGTAAACACGAGGCTATTCGGCCAATAACGCTGCTTCTTGCAGGCAAGCACGTCAAAATTACCGACCGCCTAGCTGGACTGAACTGAAGAAGCAGTTGCACTTCATTCAAGACAACCCTCCGACCTGCACAAGGCGAATGCACTGCGCACGTAATCGCACGCATAAATATCCTCCATTTCACCTTAATCCAATGTCAAAACACTCAACACATACAACGAAAGATAACTACTTTTCAAAATCGTTTAGAATCATTTCGTGAGCACGAAACATACGAAAACGAAAGTGTGTTGTTCATTAAAAAAAAAAACAACATCCGTGTTTCTTATTGTACGCATGTCACTAATTAAAAATGTATTGGAAAATATCCAAACTGAAAGTTTATAATGCTTATCACTTGTGTTGAGTACTAAATTTCCCTTGGAATCCCTTCAGGCAAATCCGGCTTGTATTTATATTATTTATTATTATTTAACGACAAACAAAAATAAAAATAAAAAATATTTCACCTACCATTGCTTGCTGAACGTATGCAACCGAATATACAAAGCAGCGTCGGTTACCTTGATATTTATCCAACGTAGCCTAACACAGTATGCAACACATCTAACGTAAACATGTTTATAAAGTTGCATAAGTATAACCACCTTGACCACGTGCGGCTGTTGCAGGTACTAAATATAGATTTTCAATATAATGTACCAAATGTCCAAATAATAGCATTAAAAAATGTTTGGCTGAATTCCAAAGGTTGTGAATTCATAAATAATTACGCATCCTTTAAATTAGTATCAGTAGAATACAATTTAAAGTGTGAGTAACGTTGTAAACACTTCTTATCTTATTTTATATATCAACTTACATTTGTTTATATTCAAGTCTACTGGAGGTGCTTTGGTTTAGTTTAGTTTAGCACATAATACTTGGAATTCTAATTTTCTAATTAACTTGTTCACTGTACACATAGCACAATACATTGTAGTGCAGTATTAATTAAACTAAAAAGCGAGCAACCAATTTGTGGTGCTGGTGAAATCGAGAGGTACCTGCGAAGTGTGCCAATGTGAACAATACGCGAATATATTCCATGTACGTGGTTAGAAAGGCTAAGCGAATTAAACTATTCGATAGAAGACTAATTCCTACAGCGGACGGAGTAAAAATGATTCTGAATATACGAGTATTCCTCCAAGAATTGAGTAATATAAATTAATTATTTATATTATGAGCTGTGTTTGCCTAGCATAATATTCGCTTTGTAATTGAAGTGTAATAATAAAATCGATAGCAGAAGAAGGTTGTAATTATTATCCAATGCTGTAATATTGCATGTTGCATGTTTTCACGTTCGTGTTAACTCGCAATATTCTGAATAAACAACGTTATTAGACAATTGAAAAAAATATACTGGCATTATGCCAATTTTAGCATAAAAAAGAGAAATTTTGAAATATTTCAGAGTAATAGATAATTTATAATTTGCTAGGAAAAGGGACAGTCTTTTAAAAGAAAACGTTACATCATGGCACAAATAAAAAAACAAATATTGGGATTTTACGCGGTTTGGGATCTGTTTAATCTTTGTAAGCTGGTTATAAACTCAATTACTCTAGTAAAAATGTCGGTAAATATTTCCTGAAGTCTAAATATGAATTCCGCGTCGCTCAGTTGTATTCACTTGTGTTTTGTTTAAATGATTTTGTTGTAACGTAACGTGCACCCCAACAAATTAGCTGAAAAATCGTGCTTAAGTTATAGAAATTTGCATTGCAATTTGTAGGGATATTGGGATCATAATTACAACAATATTTCAAATGTTACCATCGATGTCATGTCTTTGAAAAAATATTCTAGCTCATAATTGCTTGAAATAAAAATATTTTTCGTCGTTACACAAAGAAATTATTATAAACCAACCAAATTGCAGGCATTTACTTTGTCTATCTTTTAAAACAAACAAAAATTTTGTATCTCGATTAGTTCTAAAGTTATTAATAAAGCAATAAACATTTTTTTGTGTTTCTCAGCTACCTCGTTTAATTGCAATATTTATCATTGATGTTGATAATTTTTAACTCACAATCAACTATAAGCTGTGAGATATGACCAATCCTGAGTAAACAAATTGGAATGTGTCTTAATCGCAAATAAATGATTCCTAGTAAATATGACTACGACACAATCGAAAATGAACATTCTCCACAAATGCATTACATTGATTAAACAATGCTCACTTTGTGTTTTTTGTTTATCGAAAGCAATTGACATGAAATGAAACAAAGCAAATCACAACACAAACAACCGGTATCAATACCGGTATACCGGTATATTTATATCCAAATTCCTATATTTTTCGAATAGAAAAACAAAAAATATAAGAGTTAACTTACTAATTGAATAAATAATTATTTTTATAAATACCGGTATTTTAATTAAAAAAATACCGAAATACCGGTATTAATTATTCTTTATCTGTAATATCATAGCACACAGCGCAGTAGTCGAATAAAGCACGTTTCCTTATCGTTTAATAAATAATTTGTGAAATGAATCATCACATGCACCGGAAATGAATTAGAATTAGAAATCGACTTACGGTTCAGCTTCAATACTCCTCAGCTTGGCGACATAGTTGGATGGAATGTATCCCTCTTGCCTCGTGCGTTTGCTCCTCGCCAGCCACCAATCCCCCTGAGTGTCATTGAGTATCTCCAGATGCTCGCCCTTACGAAAACTGAGATCCTCATCTGTGCGCGCATCGTAGTCATACAAAGCGACGAAGATCTTCGCGTTCGGCGGATCGGGCTCAGCTGGATTCACCGGCTGCGGGCGCAGATTGATATCCGGCGAGGGCGCAGGCACCGGATTCACTTGCACATTCGGTTCGATGATATTATTACCGCCGCCACGCACATCGCGATCGTCCCGATCACTTTGATTCGGACTGCTGAAGCAATTCCCCATGGCGCATCAATGCAGCCGTTTCGAAACTTTCAATGCTTCTGCACCAGTTACACACGGCTAGACACGGGTTTTGTTTCGTGACGGGCGCGCTCACACACACCGCACGCACACCATGCTAATGGATTCGATCTGTGTATGTGTACGGAACGCGGCGGGCACCATCGACAGCCGCTCACAATAACATTGTGGGTGCTGGTTTTTGGGCGATGCACTATCACGCGATGCGGAGATGTTCGACGCCCGGGCGTTATGCAAACACGTTCGATGCACACACCTCTCGTTGCAATTGTTCAATGTTTTGTTGATTTCCGAGAGGGAAACGTGTGCTAATCGAACTAGAATGTCCACACGCAGCGCACTTGCAGTCTTACAACTAGCACTAGCTAAGTCTACTTCACTAAAAACGCCACTAACAAGCTTCGTTAGCTGGCGGACAAACCAACGCCGCGCTGTGGCCTATTTTGTAACCAGAAAGCGAAAACTGTAACTATATGCAACCAGGGTGACGATACTTTTAAAGTTGGCTCAGATTTAAAAACAAGAAAATAAAAACAAACTTTTACTGTCACAAAGACAATTTGTAGGCATTATTAATATTAAAATGAGCAGTTCTAAAGTGAATAAAAAATATGGAGTCCTCGAAGAACATAAAAAACACATTTGTACCTTGGATGCTGAACATGCAAACGCTTATCGTCCTGATGATAGATCCCTTAGAAGCGCAACTATTATATCATCGAGAAATCCAAACACGAGATATTTCTTCCGAAGTTTAACTTTGGTCGAAAAAGAGCGCCAGCGTCAAATAAAATTGAAATATTCGCATATTATTCATCCGTTGAGTGAATTTAGGTAACTATTTTTAAAATAATTCACAAAAACATTTAAAAACACATAAAAAACATTGTAGATTGTACTGGGAAGTAGCACAACTGTTTATCTTATTCATTGGGCTAATTATCTGCCCAATTAATTTCATTCACGGTCCAGTTCTGTACAACCAAAAGACTTATTTTGGTTTCAACATATGGTTTGCCTACGCTGAGATATTCTTCGATATTCTATATTTAACTGATGTTGTAATGACGTTTTTCACTGGATTTATCGATGCAAGATATCAAGTTGTACATTTAAACATTCGACTTATCGCTAGGTAATTTTTTTTGCTTTTAAAACTATTTTTTTATTAAAAATCTTTTAATTTTTAGAAAATATTTGGCGTCAACTCAATTTTTATATGATATTCCAAGTGGTATAAGCACAATGACAATATTACAAATTTACCGCTCAATGATAACAGAAACATTCATCACAATCAATCAATTGCGTTGGTGGAGACTTATCGGTGCTTTTAAATTATTCAGAGTCGCGCGATTTTTGAAATATTTACAAAACGCGAGTGAATTATTGCATCACTACTATTATTCCAAGTTGGTGATTAGATATTTTGTGCTGATTTGTATCGGATTACACTGGTTAACATGTATTTATATCACGATGGAGCAAAGTACGCAAGTGTATAGTTTGTATCTTCATTTAAATGAGAATGAGTTTGAAGATATGGAGATATTAAGCTTCAATTATGAGACACTTTTGTTGTTGGATTATGGGCATATGTATGTGTATGCACAAAGTATCGTCGCAACACAGATACTGTGTAAGATTGGTGTTATTGGCGTTAATTTTGAGTTTTTTATACTTATTTGCTGTGTTTTAATTCAGGGATTAGCACAACTTATAGTTTTGGTACATTGGTGGATAGACAATTGAGGCATTATGGGAATATAACTCAGTTGACTATTTATGGAACAGCAGGGCTTATTTTATCTACTTTGTTGAGTGGTAAGTAACACGCGGTAAAAGTGACTCGTATTCAGGGCACCGTACGAGGCTAGCGGTAGAAGTGACTCGATTCATGGCCCCTTACGAGGCTAGCGGTAGAAGTGACTCGTTTCAGAGCACCGTACTTTTATTTCTCGAGATATTCGCTATCGAAATATCGAGGAAAACGATGATTTCCTGTATTTATTCCTATACTCTGTTTATAATTTATTACAGTACTGATTCTACAAATGATTCTATCAACGAATGCATCAGAAGCCAAATATCACTCAATAATGTCCCAGTTATTAAATTATATGAAACTGAAAGCACTTCCACAAAACATGAAAGAACGTTTCGTTTGCTACTATGAATACCGCTTCCAAAAGAATTACTTCCGTGAAGCAACTATTATGAGCAAACTGTCTGGTAAATCATTATATTTCCCATAATAATCCTAATTCTTATATATTTTTAAATTTATAAATTGTAGAATCATTACGGCATGATATAAATTTACACTCCTGTCGTTCACTAATTCAAAACGTTTCAATCCTACGAGATTTACCGCATGAAATCATATCGGAAGTAGTCTTCCATTTGAAACACGAAGTTTACTTGTATAATGATATCATTGTCAAAGCTGAAACCATTGGTGATTGCATGTATTTTATTGCTAATGGTTCAGTAGCAGTGCTGACCCCATCCGGACGTGAGGTAAAAATTATTTATTTTGAAGCCAGGACATTTTAAAAAGTGTTTTTGTTTAGATTTGTCACTTACAAGATGGTTCCTACTTTGGGGAAATCGCCCTGATTGCATCAAATCAAAAACGCACAGCAAATGTCATCGCAATCGAAATCTGCGAAGTATATCGCTTAGAACGTGCACATTTTAGTACCTGCTTCCCGAAGAATACAATGTTTTACAAAAAAATTCAACAAACCGCACAAGAACGTAAAGAAAAAACTGTTCTCTTGGAAGAACTGCATAAGAAGTACCAAATTGATCGCGGTGTTTCCGAGGCGCATTTCTTTCGATCCTCCACAAAATACAACAAATAATTCCCAATGTTTATTTGTATGTTTGTTAAGAAATAAATTTTGTTACTCTAAATGATTAATTATCCTCTGATTCTTTCTTTTTGTTATATTCCATGAGTTGCCAAATGAGTAGAGATCTGGGTTTCATTTTATTGCAACGTTCTCCGCGACATTTCAAGCAATACCATTTACCTTTCGGCTTGACGGTAACATTCACACACGAAAAGTGAAACCATTCCATCGGACACAGGTCGTTATCGCAGCGTATCATTAAACCACGCGATACATTTTCACAATGGCAATACTTGGGCTCATCGCCGGCGATTTTGCGTGGTTTACGTTGGTATTTCACCTCTAGAATGCGTGATAATTAATTTTAGTTATATTCATTGATTGCTGGTGATTTTACGCATTATTTTCGTTTTCTTTTCGAAGTTGTTTTCGTTATTTTCGGGTTTATACTTCGGACGAAGCCATGGCGCCATTTTGAATTAGTGCAGTTCAATTATAATCAGGTTTTTCGTCTTCTGATAATATTTTGTAAACTAGTGATAAATTATGAATGATATGTGTCATTAAATATGCATTATTGCTATTTCATTTGAACAATTACGACTACAACATTATTAATAATAATAATGTGTCTCCCTGGCTGCAATGGTCGTCAGTTTCGTTATTTTAACGTCAAACTAAACTATAGAAAATAGAAGTAAAAGACTACAAATCAAGACTCAGGTGTCTACATAAACTTTACTTACTTGATTCCTGGCTTTTCACAAATAATAATAACTATTCACGCTTGATGATCATGCTTCTGAAGTTGCAGATTCCACCACTTCACTAAATTATAGATAAACGAATAGTTAAACATATTTATTGCCCGAATGCATTTATTGACGATATTTTCCGGAAATGATTCGAGCGAACACAATATTTAAACGCATGTAATAAGAACCAAAACCAGACTTGATTATTATCAACTATTATTAACCAATAAATCATTGACGGTTTGCATCAAGCTGGTTTAAACTATTTATTTACAAATTTCTGCCCTACCTGAACAATTAACTTTACTCATACTTCTTTCTCCATTCACCTGTTGGCTCTTTCAACAATGTAAAGTCATGCCTTACAGCTTTGATTCCACCATGCATCTTTGGAACATTCAATTCAGGTATAATCACAACACCATTCAGGTTAGCATATTTTTTGCCTAAAAAACAATTACACATTAGTATCATTGTAATTCCAAGCATGAATCACCATTACCTCCAGCAGCAGCTGCAAAGATACCTGCATTTACCCACCCAACTTGTGGACTACCTCTCCAGATACCCAACACACTCCCAGCAGCAGCACCAGCTCCAGCCCAGTTCCAAATGTCGTCCTTTCCACGCGCATTGCGTAACATGTTAGAGGCCAGCACGAAAACAGTGGTCATCCCAAACACAGGCATGGATAAGTATGCATATCGGCCGAGGGTGGCCATGTAACCCTTGGGTTTTGAGTAGAGCATCACATCACAAGTGCCCAGGCCAAGCGCGACAAGTGCGGCTGGTTTTAAAACGAACCATAGCTTCTTCAGGATATCCTCGCCATCGGGGGTGTCGTGGTAATGGTAGGGCTTCACTTGTTTGCTCATATTGTTGTTTTATTTCAGCCGCAAATTGGTATTATGTAAAAACAACTGACAGTTTTATAAGGTTAGAGAACTGCTAAATGATTTTAGGTGATGTACACCTAGGCAACCAGTATTACACATCAATATTATATTATATTTGATTTTATTTACTTTTTATTTATTTATATGAAATTCTAAGTTAATAAAGTATGCAATATTATCTTCTATTACGTTTTTTCTTTCTCTTCTTTTGCTTTTTACTCACTTGCGTTGGTAATGTTCCCCATTTCAAATATGCATACAACGAAAATGCTACAACTCCAATCACCAACAAAATAAAACAAATTATAACTGTAACAATAGCAGCATCATTCGGCATCTTCCCAAAAATAGGTCTAGTTAAAGGGTCTTCCTTCAAATGCGTGTAAATATTAGGCGCTCGTTTAATTTTTACTAATTCTATATTAGTTGTCCACAACAACTTCAAATCTGGTTGTTCAACAACGCATTTCCAGAGTCCTGTTAAAGATCGATTTGTTTTCTCGATATGTTCAGTACTAACTGCAGCCAGGGTTGTTACTCCATAATCTATATAGTCTGAATTGTTCAGGAGCCATTTTTGAGTCAAGTCCGAGTATACATAGCCTAGAGTTACAGATTTACAGTCCAAAATCATTGGTAACGTCGCTCTGGTAACAATTGTATTCCGATTAATGGTCACAGCAAGTGTCACCACTCTGATGACGACTTTCTGTTTATTAATCCTGAACAATAGACACATGTAAACACCAGAATCATTATGCGTAGCATCTTTGATGATAACATCATCTCCTTGAAAGTATAACCGTCCAGTTTCAGGAGGTAGAAAGTGACCATTAAAAGTCCACTCGTAGAAAGCATCAGGAGATTCTGTATTGATGGCGGAAAGCACGTCAGCATCATTTGTAATTGTCACAGATTGATGTTCCTTTGCAATAATACTCGTTGAAGATTTCTGGAGATTCTCCCGAATTAAATCAAACGTATCCGGACTTAAATCTCCACATTCAAATTCATTACATTTTCCTGTGGAAGTATGCTCACCATGACAGAGTTGTCCAAAGATATTTGGTCTTGGATTATTACAAGTTCGTGTTTTGTATCCATCGCCACCCCCACAGGTTACACTACACTGCCAGGGGGACCACACGGACCATCCGCCATCTTTAGGTGGACCATCAATATCCAAGGGATCACAGTTTGCCATCCAGGTTAACCAACTACCACCATCAACAGCAATACCAAAGTAGTAAAACAACATCGGGATTTTACTTCGATAAGAAAACACTTCACTTCCGTTAAAACTAATGTTTAAATGCTCTTCTGAGAAGGTTATGTTCATACAAGTCCACGCATCCGGTTTCATGACCAATTCTTTTGGTACCACATGATGGACCAATACCTGAAGGTTTTTTATTCGCTTAGTTAACGTGATATTCTTCCCAGATTTATGAAGTTCTATCAAATGACTGTGTAATGACCCAGGGACATGCATCAACCTGATTTTTATGTGACCCACACCACGTATTTGAAGAGTTAAATTATTAAAAACTATTTGATCATTGGTGGTCCATATATTAATGGGCATAACTTTACCAAAATGTGAAGAGGTTGTATTCTCTGCGTGACATTCATCACACGTTACAAACATTCCTATGGGATGACCAGTTATAGATTGAAAGTTGAGAAATATCGGATTTGGTTCCTTGGATGGGTCCTCGGCGATCCATTCTATTAAAGTGTCACGGACACCTTCAAATCCTAATAAAATCTCACCCTGACGCATTTGTAACCAAAAAGAAACCCATTTACCAGCTGGGATTATATATGGCATTGTTTTTTCTAAGATTTGTTTACCATCCTTGTACAAATTCACTTTCTGGTTATTTTCTGCACCGATATTCAAGGTTATGTTTAAATTATTCTTTGATGTTATTTCAAAACGAATTCCTTCCACATTGTCAGGATTCCATTGTTTTAGTGAAAAACGTATGCCGCCATGATGTCCCGCTTCCCGCCATTGTGGTAGGATGAAAACACGACGTCCACTTCCGTTTCCCACTAAGAATATCGTACATTCTTCATTGCGGTCACAATCAGGGACATGACAAGCATCTAATATCACCTTGGGATCCAAAGTGTAACACCAAGCACCTGTTATACTTCTAGAAGGGTTTCTACAAAAGTTTTCAGCTCTTTCAGGAGCCATGTCAGCATATAATGTCCCATTCAATAGATTTAAATCCACATTATGCACTTTTACAATTTTGACACTTTTCCTTTCCTGCTCTGTTTCATTAATGTATTCATTCACAGCTTCTGAAATATTCTTTACTATTGGTCCTGAATTTGGTAAAACCAACTCATCAGTGTCACGTTTTCGGGTAGTACTGTTCCCGCGCATATCATATCGTGGAATTAACTCCTCGGGAATACCTGCTATCCAAAACTGACACGTGCGATTTGACCTGGTAACGTTAACCTTTCCAATGAAGTCATTTCCGGTGCCAGCCATGCGGCATTCTGCGGATTTACACTTACGAATCTTACAATATTTCTTCTCTACTTTACTACGATCTGGTACGAATGTATAACAATAGGTACCAATTTTATTTTCCAAAGGATCTCGACAAAAGTTACGCATTTCTAGCAAAGTTTTCTTTGGGATTTTAGTGGTTACCTCATCAGGTATCCATTTTTTAGATGACCATGGTAAACAGGGATTACCTTCACCTGTTATCCGCTGGGTACCGATATAAAAAGACTCTTTTTTATCCAGGGCACATTCAGGTAAAAACGCTGGATTCGCATGTGCAAATCGTGGCGGTTTACAATTGAAAGTCCAATGAGCAACGTTGTTATCAGATCCCGGTGAGAACCACCTCATTGATTTTACAGCCGTGTGGGAGGCTTCCATTATCAAAAAGTTACCAACGTCTTTGTTCCAGTAGAAACTCAAAGTATCCGAGAAAATATTTATTGAAAACTCGGAGAATTTCCAGTAGGAAATTAATTCACTAAATTTAGTTTCAACTAGAGTTAGAGTAGGTCCCTTGATATAGGGTGTTGTGGTAATTCTGGTAAAACCATCAGGTTGACCAAGTAGAATTTTTATATTGGGGTAATCTAAGACAGGAGATGATACCAGTATTAGATTTGCAGAATGGGTTGCCCTAACATGAAATTTCAATTCGTGGCCTACATCTGTATCATACAGGGGGTAAAAATTGGTAAACACAGAAGATGTTGTGGTGTGCACGTCACATTCATCGTCATCATCACAAAATGGAAAACTCCACATTATATTGTTCCCTTGTCCAGAATAATATCGAAATTGTTGTTTCATAGCCCCCATTAAATTTCCACTGGTTTTAATTTCTTGTAAAAATATAGGTTTAAAGTCGCCATTTTTGTTCAGTGTGATAAACCCACGGTCCCAATTCAATGTAAAGAAGGTATACTCTGTAGATTTAAGAATACCATGTGTCACTTCATATTCCGGTTCGTCTTTGTTACCAAAAGTCAACGCGGTTTTTGTATTTGACATGGATATCTCAATACCAACACCAGCATGATCAATCTCCTGACCACTCAATGGCAGTGGTAATAATGACAACACAAGCGTAGCTTTTGCATCTAAATACGAATCAGGATCCCACAGTTTAACCCCGAAAGAAAAATTGGTCAAACCTTTGGGGAATGCAAGATAATGTCCATAAAATGAATGATTCCTTGTAAAAACCATGCAGTCTTGATCGTCACAGAACTGTATATCACAATATTCCTTTATAACCTCTGATGAATCAGCCACTTCTACGAAACACCATGGTCCAGCTAAATCTCCATCCGGATTACGACAGAATTTCTTCGCGGCGTCTAGATTCTCTTCAGGAAATCTACTTTTGGGAACTTTTCAATTGTGGTGATATTACCACGTAACCTCACTTTTTTACGCTTTTATCCCATTTTAAACATTTTAGAGTAGACGCTGCGGAATTATGCACTCCGCCATATTCCATTCCTGGACCAGTTAATCTACACACATCTAAACTACATAATGGTATCGCACAGGTGTCATCAATCAGTTGGGGGTCCATTGTGTAGCACCAGGGACCGTTTGGGTCACGGCTTGGATTCCTGCAGTAATTCTTTGCTTTTTCTTTGGAAAACTCTGGGAATTTCTCATCTGTATAGCTGTCGTGAACAGGATGGACGGGATTCTTCGTCGCCCATGATTGACAACGAATATTACCTTCTGTTTTACCATGGGTGCCCATGTAATCAATACCTTTATGTGTGACTTTACATCGGATGAAATCTGTGCGGTTTCCGGGCACTTCTTCAGAAAAACCAAAGAAAAAGTTAAAATTAAACAAAACGGTAACATTTTCAACAGGGCGGTGCTGATTTTTAGGTTATTGTGCATTCCCACAGCAACCTGTGTTCTGTTAACGATAAATATTTATTATATTTCAGTCAGTTTAATAATAAATGACACAAAATGACTAGAATTACACAATACTTAAATTGTTCACTTGTGGCTTGTGTTTTTTTTTAGTCCAACTAAAGTTATTGTACGCATTTGAACTGGTTGATTATTACACAGGGTGTATGCAATTGCTGCACATTCTACCGACCATTATATTGACTCTAAAACACGACTTGTTACTTGTTAATGTAAATTCATACTTGGCACGTGTACGCAAATTAGTAGACTTGTCTGGATAGTATAAAATAGGAATCGGTCTTCCTCTGGTTTTGATTAGCTGTCTCTAAATGTACCTAGAGCCGTTCATCATCACCTAAATCTTCGATTTCCTCATCATCTGTACCGTTACCGTCATCCTCAACCTCCTCATCGCTGATTTCAATCGAATCTTTTTCGGCAGCTGTGATTGCGCTTACAGTGGTATATTTAGAATCTTCTTCGGCGCGTTCCGCTTCGAATGCCTCGGCTACACCAATCACGGAAAGTGTCATTTTACCAGCGAGCACGACAGCTGGGTCCTCGTTGTCGATATTTTCGGTTTGTGTCTCGGTTTTTGCATCGGATACCAATATTTTTGTGTTTGCTGGCAAGGCTCCTTCAAGGTAAATCTCCTATAAAGTTTAAAAATTTGGTTATGTAGTTTTGTGTTGTTTGGGTTGCCTATAATCACCTGTGGTGCTTCTACTAATTTTAATGGTGGTGAACTAGGTCGCATTGATGGTTGCGTCGTCCATTTCTCGCCACCTTCACAACTCGCAGTTGTTTCCATTCCCAAGACTTTTACCTTCGCAGAATCATCAACTGCTTCTTCAGTTGCCTCTTCGTCAATTGTTTCCTAAAGAAACATGAAAATAAATCAATTTTCCTTTTTGATTTTTAAATTATTATCAAGCAAGCAGGAAGGAATGGTAATTCGGGATGGTGGTTAATTAAATACCAGTCATTAAAAGCTTTTTAGTTATTTCTGTTAATTCAAGCCGCAAAATGAAAAATTGAAAGCAAAATTTTAAGTTCGTCATCAGCAAATGAAAACGTATGATACCTTTTTGGCAAGTTGTGCGGCGGCCTTCCTGCGGGCCTCAATTTCTTCGTCGACCTCATCCAGGAGGGCCGACATTGCGTTTACAACTGCAGCACAAGTGAAAATAATTTGAACAGAATGATTTCCAGCTTGATGCGGAGCGCGACGTATTTATACAGTGCAGTAACAACGAAAAAAAAAAACAAAACAACAAAAGTAATTGCATATCACCGCATAACAACTAGGAATAGAGTTTATTCGCATTTTTGAAAATGATTACACAACTAATACTGTGGAAATAAATGACGAGTATTATACAAAAACCAATAAACGTGAAACAAACCAACGAAGCCAAAAGCTTGCTAGCGTATATATCAAATATCAATCCAGTAACTTGATAATAATAATTTAACTTTAAATTGTTTACAGGAGGGACGAGAGAGTGGATTGGTCAATTTTTTGATTTTTGGAATAGAGAAGAGATATTTATTTAATTTAAATTTTTTGTCGGTGTAGGTAATGACGACGCTAGTGTGCGTGTTAACAGCACACCTGTGAGCAAAGCGGTGTTTTAGCCATTTGCGCCACGACTCGCTCCATGGCTAATTCGGTTTCCCGCAGTCTCTTCCGCAGCTGGACGATTTCCTGATCTCCTAAGGAAACACATCGTCACTCTGTTTGCGCATTCTTGGTGCATTTTTATGTTTGTACGTGATTAGACTTAAACTTTACAGAGATCTACTCATCTAGGATGCGTCACTCAATTCACACAAAGTTCTACGCATGAATGTAAACACTTTTCTCCACAGTAATGAATGAGAAAAGGCAAAACGCTAGGAAGAAAAAAACGCTAGACTAATGATGCTTTTGAGGATTAATTGTTACTACACAAGCAGATTTACAATGAAAGCATAGTAGTACATTACTTACTCGCATCTCTTTCTTTCCATCCTTTCGTAGGACAATTAAATATTAATTACACAAAATGGTTAGTTGCAACGATTAACATCGAGCATGCTTTTTACGTTTATACAAAAGTTGACAGAGAGTTTCTCCGGGGAAATGACGTACCTATTTTACTGTTGGCGTCGTTTCGGGACATTGAGGAGAGAGTTTGTTGACTTTCGAAGACTTCACGTCTGAAAGCTTTGTCTGGGTCTACCGGCGGGTATAATTCGGTGACGTTATCCGATTGTTTTTTAAACAACAACTGGAAAATTGTTGTTTTTATAGAAATTTTGATTGAAATTTGAGTGGGAATCATACACACCTTCATTAATGTGTAGGTGAAAAAGATAACAATACCAATCGTGTAAATTGGCATAATAATTCCCATACTGCTGCCCTTTTGGGAGGGTGGGACCACTCCACCTGCACCTCCCATTGGGGGTCTCATTCCTGGGATTGGTCCAGGCTAATAAGAAAAATAATAAATAAAAAATTATATTTTGTTCAAATTTAGTTATTTGGGTCTTTGATTGCGATTATCTCGGGAAGTAAAAGTGATAGAGAGGAACGGAATAAAAATTCTGAATCTTCAGGAAATTCTCTATATGATACAAAAAAATTAATAATATTGGAAAACTACAAAGTGTCAAAAATAATTTCTAAACAAAAAAATGAAAAAATATGAGTTTTTCTATTTTATCGATGTTTTGATTGCGATTATCTCGGGAACTAAAAGTGATAAAAAGAAACGGATTGAAAATTCTGAATCTGCAGAAAATTCTCTATAAGATACAATAAAATTAATAAAATTGGGAAACTACAAAGTGTCAAAAATAATTTCTAAACAAAAAAATGCAAAAATATGAATTTTTCTATTTTATCGATGTTTTGATTGCGATTATCTCGGGAACTAAAAGTGATAAAAAGAAACGGATTGAAAATTCTGAATCTGCAGAAAATTCTCTATAAGATACAATAAAATTAATAAAATTGGCCAACTACAAAGTGTCAAAAATAATTTCTAAACAAAAAAATGAAAAAAATATGAGTTTTTCTATTTTCTCGATGTTTTGATTGCGATTATCTCGGGAACTAAAAGTGATAAAAAGAAACGGATGGAAAATTCTGAATCTGCAGAAAATTCTCTATAAGATACAATAAAATTAATAATATTACAAAACTACAAAGTGTCAAAAATAATTTATAAACAAAAAATGCAAAAATATGAGTTTTTCTATTTTCTCGATATTTTGATTGCGAATATCTCGAAAACTAAAAACGATAGAAAGTAACGGATTGAAAATTCTAAATCTTCGTAAAATTCTCTATCAGATAAAACGTTCAACCATTGCAAATCCTTTGAATGTGTCCGTGAAATCAATAAAATAAGCATATTTTAATAAACCGACATTTAGTTACATTTATTTTACGATCCATGCAAATGTTTGATGTCTAAAAATGACTCCCCGCAAGTTTGAAATCTGGGTCAAAGTTTTTATGTCAAGTACATGCATTATTGCAACTGCAGCATGTTCGTTCCACGTCGCAAATATTGTGCGTCGTACCGAAATAACAAACATCACGCCGGATGCTTTCGCAAGACGCGTCGCGTTTATTCATCTTCCTTTTATGTTATATAAACAAATAGGTGTGCGCTGTGCACGAAATGCGAAATGACCACGTGAAGAAATCGAGCAAATTTTTATCGCCGCAGGAGCAAATCGTCAAAAATAGATCACGAATTGGGCAATGGGCAGGCGTACGCGCTGTGAGTTATTTTTAATTTAATTCTCATCGTTTCAGCCGCCGCAGAGTTTTGTGTAAATATTGTAAATGTATCTCTGCCACGCGGCAGTTATTTCAGCCGCCAATGCGTTGCCAATATTTCTCTGCGTACATAGAATTAATGAATGTGGTTTTAATTTCACTCACTCGTCCTTCGACTATCCTTGGCGGTACTGCGCGCACTGGAGGTGTGTGTGCCCCAGGTGGGATGTTGCTGCCGCGCTCCCGGAATGCCGGATGCATCATTTCCGGTCGGAGGTGTGGTGGGCGTTCTTGTCTGACAACTAAAAACACATTATATTAGTCTCAGAATATTTTAAAAGTGTTTTAAGGGTTAAATTAAGCAACAAAAAAGACACAAGAAGAAAAATTCTGTTGTCAGTTTGTTTTTGCACACATCACGCGTTTTTGAAGCTTACTGGTTGGTTTGTAATGTGTAGAAATTTGATGTGGTGCTGAAATGGCCCACGGCGCTACCCCAAAGTTGTATTTAAGGCATAGGGAGCCGTTTAATGAACGCACTTCGTTAATTATCCGCTTGACTGGAATTCCCAGGCGGATTTTCTCATCCAAGACGGCGGCTATGTCAATGCCGCACGTCTGCAACACTTCTTCTCGGCATTTTGCCACAATTGCCTTGTGATTTCGTAAATTCGCACCTTTCGTATCGATGATGCTGGCGCACAGCTCCGACATCATCTTTATCGTATTTATGTCTCGTTCGGCCAGAACGTCGCAACATCCTATTTACATTCGGTCAAAAGAAGAAGAGATAGATACGACATCAAAGAAAAGAATACACAACAACATAGAAATATGTAATAATTTTGATTTGTGATGAATTACCATTGCTTCTATCAGCTGCATTCGGTTTGATGTAATCATCGTTGCCGCCGAACATCATCGGCTGGAACACTTTGGGCCAGAGCACCGCGAAACACCCGACCACGATCACAACGACGATCATTGTCTTTTTGGGCCCGATGTCGGGCCCAAGGAGTTTGTTATTGTTCGTGGCGAGCGGTGCGCCATTGCCAGTGGGGCGCATCCTTTCATTCATCGTCGCACAATTTCGATCGTCGCGAGGTCGCTTTGCACTTCGTACTGATGATGCCGCGTGCGCGTGCTGGCGGTGAGGCGGCGGCGGCGGTTTGCCGCGTCGGGAAAACTCGGCTGGCGGAAAATAGAATCGATGACGACATACGACCAACGACAACTTGCGATGCGTGCGTTCGTTGGCTTTTACTGCATTAGAATATAATTTTACTGCGGTAGAAACAGATGATTAGAACGGAATTTACTTTACTAATGAAAATTCTAGGACATTGTATTTATACCACGTATACATGATATTTGAAGTATGGTGGTATTAAATTGTCCATAGGACACTCATGGTTCAAGTTGGAATAAATGCATTAATTATTAGCTGCTCTACAACATAATATTATTTAATTTTAATTACTTATATAAACAAGAATTAAAATGTCAGGCGCCTCCGCCATTTTTTAAAAATTAAATAAATGTTTTGAGAAATTTGCTAAATCCAAACTTTTTATTGCTGATAATCAAAGAAAATTAGGTTATTGATAAAATATTTTAATAACTTTTTGTAATTGAAGTAAAAGTTTCAAAGATATTCGTCAAATTCAGAATGTGCCCATTCAATATTTGTTGCAATCATTAAATTCATCCTAGGGCCTAAACAAAGCATAATTGAAACAAAATGCTACTAAGATTTATGGATAAGAATTAATCGTTTGTTTAGAATTCACAAACAAAATCAGAAAATTCCAAATTTTAATTTCAAACATAAAAAAATAAATGTTTTATGACAAAATCAACCAAAAATTGGCCTAAATGGTTGAGTTTGTTACTTAATGACACCAATGATTACACCTAATTAATCCTTGCATTTATTTAACAAAATATGTATTACTGTGCATTAAAAATTACAAATAAATAATTGCTGTAATTATTAGTCTAATAGTAGTGCTGGACATCACTTGAAGTAAATTGAATTCCTAATGAAAAATTAAATTGCTAACCCATAAACAGATACAATGCAAAACATAGTCTTATTCTCCCAGCGCACTGTACAGCTACCATCTGTGTTATCATCCCAATAGCAAGAGCTCGCAGTATGCAGACCAGCACCATTCTTCTGCATAATGGTGCAAGTCACAATATATTTATATGGTTTCATCAGTTTTGTCAAATCTGCTGTGCATGCCTCAACCACTCCCGTCGTCCAACCGTTGACTTTATTCTGCTGGTAGGTATTACCGCCAACAACGTTTTCAATGGCATCCTTGATTATCTTACTGACATCATCCACAACAAACTGCTGCTCCTCAACAAGGTCTCCTTCAACGTTCGCCTTCTCCATGATAACTGCAATTAATCCCTATCAATAGGTGTTCGTGAATGATAAGCATGTTAATCACTTACATGTGTATTTTTTTATTCAATATATGGACTTAATTCGTTGATGAATCAATTTATTTCCACGAAACACAACTGACATGTGTCGCACTGTGGTTCGTGTGTGTTACTGGTGGCTTTTTAGTGTTTAACCTTGAAATTGCGTTTAAAATGCCCACAGAATTGGACACGAATACAAACAAACTGCAATTTATCACTGAACAAGCGTGAAACTATTCTATAGAATTATTGATTTGTTGAGCCTGACATAATGGTTGCATATTCCATTCATATATGCCATAAATGCAGACAAGATGCATGCAGTTATTTATGTAAAACTTTTATTGATAATAATACATTTATTTCATTGTTAATTGAACAATACTCTTTAAATCTTTCCTTAACAATTTCCCACTAGCCGTTTTTGGGATAGCATCAACAAACTTAACATAATGCAATCGTTTCGCTTTCGAAACCTGCTTCTCAATAAACGATAAAATATCCAGCTCACTAACATCAGAATTCGGCTGTTTCACTACAAACGCAACCGGAAGTTCGCCACAGCGTTCATCCGGCAGCCCAACAACAGCCGCATCACTAACAGAATGATGCGTCAATAACAACGCTTCTAATTCCGCCGGAGCAACTTGAAATCCCTTATACTTAATCAGTTCCTTTAAACGATCAACAACATAAAAGTAGCCATCTTTATCATAGTAAGCCATGTCACCAGTACGCAACCAGCCATCCTCAGTAAAAGTCTCTTTGGTAGCAGCTTCATTTTCAAAGTATTCTTTCATTACAACCGGTCCTTTCGCGCAGACCTCACCAATTTCATCCGCTGCCAAAGTTTTACCTGATTGTGGATCTCTAATCATTACCTGATGACCTGCAATTACTTTACCAGAAGACCCAGCGCGTGGTTCATCTTTTGAACCATAAGCTAAGACAGTTAAAGAAACTTCTGTTTGTCCATAGGCTTGTGTCACACGTTCAATATTCGGGAGACGTTCCTTAACAAGTTGTTCTAATTCAGAACTGAGTGGTGCTGCACCACAAATAAGTTCTTTTACTGAGGAAATATCATAGTCACTTACAGTGGGACTCTTTGCAAGGAGTACAACTAAAGGAGGAACTGTCATTAGATATTTTATCTTGTAGTCTTGTATCGATTGCAGGTATTCCTTCTCTGTAAATTTAGGCATATATCGTAGAGTCTGCCCTTTACGAATTAAACTTGACCCTATCATGAAACCCAAAGCATGATAAAATGGCACTACTATCACACTATCGTCAACATATGATAATGTCTGCCTTGGATCCCTAAAATGTTCAATTCTATAAAGAAAAATATCATTAAAAGCTTAAAAAACATACTCAGCTTGATTATGTCTGGCATTCAAGTTTTGATGAGTCAAAACAACACCTTTGGGTAATCCTGTGGTACCGGATGAAAACAAAATAAGTGCTGGATGTGTCGCTGTGTCATTTGATGGCATAGGTTGATAACTGTTATTGGAAACAGCAGTTATTTTATCTTCTAATTCCTCCATGATGATTACTTCTTTAAGGAAAGGCACATCGCCTTTCTTCTTGAGTTTTAAAAACTTATCACACACCGCCATTGAACAGAAGGCTATTTTCGGCTTGACTAGTTTCAACGTGTGCAGAATCTCTCCTTCCTCATAAGAGTGATTAATTGTGGCGGTGGTTACACCTTCATACAACGCGGATATCACTGGCGTGAAAAACTTCAGACTGTTTTCTGAACATACAGATATCACATCATTCTTTTTTAGTTTGGATTCACGCATCCATGAGCCCAGCTTAACTGTATCATCCAGCAGAGATTTAAAACTCACCGAATTCTTTGTTGTCACGTCTAACTACCAACAAACAAATTATAATAACTTACGCTAGATATTAAAGTGAATAATTGACTTACAATTGCCGGTGTTTTACTATCAGCGTACTTGTTTAAAGCTTCGTACATATTGTACCCGGCCGATTTGGTCGAAATTTTCCCCCATATTTCAGGTCCACGCACAATTGCATTAAAACACGTTGTTATCCTCATTCTTGTGGCTTAGCGGTTGTAATTTAAGTTAATTGTTGGCCCGGGACACCATTTATACACTCTAAACTGTTTACATGTTTATCATTCTCCTCCTTCCCGCAACGCCGGCCTTTGCTTTATAGATAACAAGGTCAATAACTCTCGTACACATATTTATCTTCGACATGTTATCGAAAATAAAAATGTGTCTACAACACGGATGTTTAAGTGTGTCGCATTTTAAATAGTTTTCGAAAATAGCAAATAATGATCGAATTATTGTAATTATCGCATCTTTATAAACAAAACAACGATGATTTCCTATCTAGTTTAAGAAACAAGATGAAACCGTATAGATTTCATTCAATTGTTGTCATTTTTCTGTTATTATCAGTATTAATATTAGCAGAAGAAGAAGAAAAAGATTTATTCATTGTTGAATCAATTAATACCGATGAAAATTCAACGCATATTGATGAAATCGATGTGCATTCGATTCAAATTTACGATCCCAAGTTTGATACGAAGATAATCAGCGGTTATGAAGCGAAACCGAATCAATTTCCGCATCAAGTCGCCATTTTTATTTTCGGATACAGTGGCCGTGTATTATTCTGCGGAGGATCTGTTATATCAACAGAATATGTCATCACAGCTGCGCATTGTATCTTTGAAAAACCCAAACGCATCTTGGTGATAATGGGCACTACAAGACTAATGAAATATAATAAAAATGAAGTTCGTCGTGATGTCCAGCGCTACATTATACATAAATGGTTTGATCGGTCATCTTTACGAAACGATATTTGTCTGCTACAGTTGAGAGGACCTATAAAATACACTAGTAAGTTAATTAATCAACATTTTCTAATAAAATATACGACTTTTAACCATCTACAGGGTCCATTTCACCAATTGCATTACCCAACATGGCCGACATCCACAAGAATTACCTTAATTCAATCGCCACGGTTTCCGGCTTCGGTAAAACCTCCGACGATGGCACAACCAGCAAACGTCTGATGTTTATTGAATTAAACATAATGGACAATCAGATGTGCAACGATTGGTTCGAAGATCGCGACGCAATCTACACCAACATTTGCACATCGGGTAGTAATGGCCGCGGCGCATGTCAGGGCGACTCCGGGGGACCATTAGTCATCGGGGACAAACTAGTACGTGCTGTTTAACTTAATAAAATCGATTTTTATTCGCTACAAGTTCGAATGCAAAGAAAAAAAGTTTGTAATGAGTTCGTTTTCAGATTGGCTTGGTCTCATATGGTGCACGTTATTGCTCATGGGGCTATCCCACTGTGTACACAAGGGTTCCCAGCTACATCAAATGGATCACCAGTTACACGAACATTCCGCTACACTAATGCATGCTGTGTGTGAGAATGTGTGTGTGCTTATAGAAACTCGTTATACTAGTTGTCTTTTTAGAATTATTCGTTAGATATGTTACAACCAAACCGCAACAACCCGAATTGTGTGCAACGGAAGTAGTAGAAGGTAATTTTCAAACGCTTTTAACTCCAATTCGTAAACTTCTAGTGCTAATTTTTTTGAATAAGGTGGACGGTTCTCCCGATAAAAGTCGCATGCAAAAATTTGTACTCTTTAAGGATTAAACTAGCAAGAGTGTTGCACACAATTGGTCATTCAACAAAACATTTGTTCCATGTTGGCTTCAAAACAACATAATTTACAGTTATTTACATGATTATCAAAGCGAAAATTTAAACATTCGGAAAGACCTAGATTAATTTGATTAAAATATATATATCGGAACAAAACGGTATAATAATATTTGTGTGGTCTTTCCATTGCGTTAAAAACTTAATATATCCCATTCGCGCACTTATGAAACACGCCCAAGGTATGTTATGTTGCAATTTATTATCACAGTTCACTATAATCGTTCGGAATATTGAAATCGTTGCAACTTCAACTGTTTGCCGACTTTGAAAGTCGCGCCTGCAGCGAATTGGTGTACAACCAGTTGTCATCTTCAAGACTTTTCTTAAACAACTGAAAGATGACAACCACTGTTGATTATATCCTACACATACAAACAAACATTGATTTATTACTTACATTAGTTTCCCATTCTTCATTGTTCGCCTTCCTGTCCTTTGCTTCGTTGCGTTGCTTCTGCTCCAGCTCAAATTTCGCCTGCGTTGCTCTATCAATATTGTTGTACTTTAAACCAGCGGTGACATCCTTCCATAACCGACGGGATTCGTTGTCGGTTTGTTGACTGATGGGCCGCACTTGTTTGCGAACTATTTCTAATTTGTGGACGTCGATAAATTCCTCGGGTTCCTATAATTAATGCTCTCCTTTAAGATTTACTTACCGCAGAGCGGAATTAACACTAACCTTGTCATTCCATTTGGCTTCCATCACACCATTCCATTCCCCGTTGATGGAAAGAAACGGTTTCTTATCATTCGGAGCAAAAACATCCGCGGTAATTTTGTGCTTCTTATTGCCATAAAACGGCTTCGTTAAGAATTCAATATTACTAGAATAGCCGGTTTTCGCGCAAGTAATCGTCACGGAACCACCCAACTCAATCCATGGCACTGTCAGAATAGACCTACCATAGCCATTCGGGAATGTAACAACGTACTGCTCGTCGTGGTCCAACACGTTCACAATACCACAGCCAATATTGTAGACGCATATCGACAAACCCAAAAACTTTGATTTCGTGTAGATGTACGCGTTGAATGTGATTCGTTTATTATAGTGTTCCGCATAAAATGCTGAAATTGGCGGATGATGGGACACTTGTTCAGCAACAAAAGTCAATTGATCCTCGGATGCCCACGGTACCGGCCCGTCATGCACCTTACGACAATTGGGATCTTTGTTTTGATAAACATCCCAGTGACACGTAAACGTCTCGCCCAGAATCGGATTGTACGGCTTTTTAGCCACACAACTCTTACGCCCTGCATGATACGAAGATAAATACCATCTTACCACCTGGACCATACGATCGCGCGGATCTTTTTGATCCGCAATACCAACGAAGATATCCGGATGCGCAAAATAATCCGCATACATTTCGAGCAGCGAGCGCCGCTCGAGAATGAAAGTCGGCAGGACGACCTTTGTGAGATCCATGCCGATCTTCACCTGACCGATCATATGCTTGATTACTGAACCTTGTTGATCCAATAGGACGTCAGTTTCGGTGTCATCTTCGTGCAGAGCTAAAATTAACATCTCGTTCTTGCTAAAAGGAAATCAAACAAATACAAAATACCAACCATCGTAATCAATATCGTCATCAGGAGTCGTTTGATGTGTCTGATTGTGTAAAGAGGCTTCTCCTGATGTTGTCGACTGCTTTCTATACACACTATTAGTCGTAGTCGATTGCTGTGGTTGTTCTTCGGCGTTGAATTGTCGCACCGTACTGAAAAAACCAATCAAACATTGATTTCACTACAAATTGCGTGAAAATAACTTACAAAAAACGAAAAAAATTAAATGGCATCAAGACGTAAATAAATCTACATTAAATATGACACTAGACTGCAATCAAACACAGCCTGTCATACTTACTCCCGGCTGTTACGTCTCTTCAGACTCAAGCGATGCTGTATTAGACGGAGCATTTTTTTTCTCTTATTAAAAACGGATGTTTACAAGACGCATAGTAAACAAGACACTATATTATACTACCATATATGGTATTGTCGCGGCACAGTTACTAGTATAAATTATTAATCGATGCGTAGGGCGATAATTTAGTTATTGTTTAGGTCAATTGGTTGGTTTTTTTTGGCGAAAGGCGTCGTCAAGACGATAGTGTTGTTGCTGTGACCGAGGCTCGCGTCGCACTCGGCGAAAAGCCGATAACCTGCGGGGTGCGTGACAAAACCGGGGAGCTGCACTGATCATGCGCGGAAGGTTGGCGAAATCGCAACACCTTTCACCCGCAACTACACGTAATTCACGCGATGGATATATGATTAATTAATAATAACCACAAAAAAAAACTTACGTAGGTGTAGCAGTCTGGCTGGAAAAGTCATTGGCGTCGAAAAAATCATCTTCACCTTCGGAACTTGAGTAGGACGTTTCAGGAACAGCGGTTGTTGTAGCAGCTTTTTAAAAAACACAAAAATAACATGAAATAAAGCTAAATTTATAGAAATAAATCAACTAACCGACTATAGCAGCATGCCGGCGTGCATTTTCGATGCATTCCGAAGCTATTTCCACCATTGGGACGATATTAGGTTGAGTAACAGCCGTCGTTGGTAAACCTATCAAAGAAAATCAAATAAAAATAAAATTTTACATCAAATGCCAATAAAACATTACCCGTATTCGTTGTAGTTGGTACTGGATAGATTCCGTTGATCGGATGGGCCGTGTTCTAAGCATAAACAAATACTCATCGTTAGTTTATCTTATCAATTGTAATTGATCTTTGTAATTGATCTGTGGACATATATGATCCAAAGAGTGTGAATCTTTACCTTTGCTATTTGTAGTAAGACTATGGAATGTTTAATATTATCCAACATCACATTTGCATGATCTAATATCACTTGACACTTCATTTTCTCATCCTCTTCCATGATAGTTTGTATTCTTTCCTCTAACAACTGTAAAATGATATAAATTAATATCTAACACATAAAAAACTGTGTTAATGTTACCTTAGTTTGATCAATCATCAATTGCAGATAGGCATCTGCTTCAGACACTTTGTTGTCAAAATCTTTGATGGTAACTGATGACCCAGCAGTTCCCCATCTCATCTGAAAGTAATTTTTATATTTAATATATATTCTGATGATATTTGAATGTAACTTACATTATTTGCATGTTTGTAGATAGTGTCTTCAAGTGCCTTTACCCACTGCTCTCTTTCAACAGCATTCTTTGCTTGAAAATGGAATGTCTTGTGATCCACTGTGATAGTGAATGTGCTGTCTTCATCATCAATGCCAATCACAGCGCCTTTTAACCGCACGCAACCCCTTCTCACCCCTCTGGTCATCTTTTCCTTTGACTACAAACAATTGATAAACAACTTTCAATTGTTTCAATAACATCTGCATACATGTGTGAGTTGATGTGTTGCAACATGTAAACTTATTCAACTACTCATCGCGTGCACAACAACAACGCATGTTGCATGTAATCCCAAACGTAATTAATGATTGTACTTTGCGTATCAAGTATTTGTAAACAAGTGGTGGCATAAAACGTCAGTGCTAGTGCAATGAAATGGCTTTTTTTTTGGGAGTGACGAGCGCCGATTGTTGAGTAGACAACTTACTGTGTAGTATGATAACAGGCCCGATGTGGCGTCCAGCACGAAGTATCGGTACTGCCATCCCTTCATAACATTCGTCCACTTGCTCAGCGAACCCTCCAGCACGGCCATGGTTCAAAATTAACTACGACTAACCTGAATTTTAATCCTAACATGTACGGGCACCTGACAGATGATGACCGCACAAGTGACTCGCCACCATCGCCATCTACTTCTGCGACAATCTCAATTTGTGCACATCAAAACTCACGTGTATATTTGGTTGCCTATTATAAATATCATTAATGAAACATTTAATCTTTTTTTGTAGAAAAATTCACATGATTGTGTTATATTCTATTTATACTGTACACAATTGTAGTAATTTGCACATTCACACAAATATTAGCACTGCTTCTTAACGCTTTGATCTTGAATAGTTAATTGTTGAAGATTTCTCCTCAACTGTAAAGCAAAATAAAAAAGCAATGACACAGATTCGTAAAAATGCATTAGAATTTATTCCTTGATATAAATTTAATCTAAACGTACGCCGTATTCTATTACACTTATTATATTACACTGTACACATTCATTTTTGCACGATTTATATATCTAAACTTATCGCTAACACGCTTCTAATTTAAACACACTTGAGGCAAGTTTAAAATCCACAAATTAACCCGGAAAATAAGAATAAAATGCACACAGACGATCATAAATTAAAACCCCAATGGAAACGAAACAAAACATTACTAAACACATTAAGAAGCGTGTGTTTACACAGCATATGTGTGGACTTTAAAGTTGCTTGATTGTTCAACGCGCCAAACTGTACATGTCCTCATCATCGTCACGCAATGAAAGATGAATAATAATAAAAAAAACCTATGAAATGAGTGTTGATTGTATGTGTATGCGATGGCGGTTACTCAGTCTTGTAACTGGGATTTCGAAATTCGTCGCTGGCGGCCGGCATCAGATCATCGCTGTCAATATCGACAAATTGTTCAAGTTGTTCGCTTCCTGCCGCCTCCAGATCGCCCTGCATTGGATCAATGATTGGTACCCGAGTCTCAAAGAGCTCCGAGGCCGCTGGCTGCAATTCAATATCGTCATCATTTGATGCTTGCAATTGTGCAAAATCTAAACCTTCTGGAGCTGGTACTTTAGTCTCCACCAAATTCGAAGCTGCAGGTGAAGAAACATCTTCCTTCTCTTCAGATGTATTAGATTCGGCTGCATCAACGAAAGCAGCAGACAATTCACCATCTAATTTACTCACACTCATCGTACCAACATCATACATGAATATCTCACGATTATTTGGTTCAGATCTACAAAGAAACAATGAAAATAATCAAAAATCACACAAAATGTGAACAACATACCCTGTTACTAATAAGATCACAGATTGTTTATCTGACGCAGCGTCCTTTTCATGCTCCAAGAACTTCTTGTAGTTTTCCTGTGATGGATCCTTAACTAACGTCTTCAAAGCCTCGTTTTTGATCAGCTGAATGTCATCTGCTAGGTTAGCAGCCGCTGCACGTACAACTCTCTGTTTATAGAAGTTGTAGTCGACTGGAGCTAACACAACAACACTGTTGATGTTTTTACCCTTCAATTCAGGCACATCCGGGATTGGAAACTTTGTCCCGCTGACTTTCAAAGGCAAATAACGATTGTACGATTGATCATTGAGTACTACCGGTTGAATTTGAGTCGCGCCTTCTTTCAGGTACGAATCCTGAACTTGTTGACCCTGTTCTGTTTCCGGATCATACCTTACCACCTTCATCTCCACTGGTGGGGTACGTATTTCATTCATTGTTGACGCCTGGGCAACAGGTTCCATTTCATCAACTTCTTCATTTGTTGGGTTTACTTTACACTTGATCCATCAGGACGTACAACAGTTGGTTTAGTTTCACTTGGTGATGCTAATTGTTGTGCACCACCTGCTCCATAGAAGTTAGCAAGTTGATCTGGTGGTAGGGCTGAGATTGGTATGTCCCCTACTTTATCATAATCCAAAACAGAGATCTGAGCGTTCTTCAAAATACCAGAAGACAACAACTGCTCACGGAGATCATCAGGGACTTCATCAGGCAGTTCAATGTTCAAATCTTTTAGGTTTAACGTTGTTGATTCAGGTTTAGGTGTTGTTGTTGTTGTTGTTGTTGTGGTGGTTTGAAGACGTGTTGTACTGCTTGGTTTAGGACTGGTTACGTATGAAGAAGGTGTTGTGGATTGCGTTGAAGGTCTGTAGTAGTTTTGATTGGGGTTGAAATCAAAGTTATGGTTGTCTACATTACGACTGCTTTGAACCTGTTGTTGGTTTTGATTGGATTGTTGTACAACTTGCTCATTTTGACTCTGATACTGTTGAATCTGGTTCTGGGCTTGGTGATTGAAGTTGTGATTGATTGGTTGTTGCACATGATTGTTTTGTGGTTGTGGGAAGTCCCTGAATTGTTGTTGGACTTGTGCGGAGAAGTTTTGGGGACTGAGGGTACCATCAGGTCCAGTTGCGTATTGAGAAGTGATGTGTTGCTCATATTTGGGTAACGCAGGAATCAATTCACCGCCTGGTGGAATAATATGTTTATGTTGATTTAACAAATTCTGTTGTTGTTGTATTTGCAATTGTTGCTGATGATGCTGTTGTTGTTGTTGTTGTTGTTGTTGTGGTGGTGATTGAGGTTGGAAGTTTTGGTTATTTGAAAACTGTTGATGGTTAAAGTTTTGGTTTTGGTTTTGATGTTGTTGATTTTGATGCTGAATCGGTTGTTTCTGTTGAAATTGTGGTGGGGATGAAAGAGTAGGTCTCGTCTGTTGTATAGTCTGATAATTCTGTGGGAACTGATGATTATTCCCTTGGAATGCTTGATTATCATTATTGTTATTATGATTAAACCGAGTAGGTTCAGCAAAATTCGTTTGGAAGCTATACGCATTGGTCCCCTGATGAAAAACTTGCTGAGCATGATGATTGGGTAACTGTTGACTCAACTGGAACGAATGTGGTGATGGTTGGCTGAATTTCGTCACCGGCCCGGGTCCATTTTGAAAACTAGGCTTGTGACTAAACACAACCGGATTCTGATGAGTCGGAGGTTGTTGCTGAATAGGGAAATGTGTCTGCCTTGGGAAATTAAACTGTTGTGGTCTTTCGAATTGATACGGCTTATTGATCACCTGCGGAGGTCCTTGTTTAATCTGTGAAAAATTAGGCCTTCCGGGCGGAAAACGATTTGGTACCGGACTATTAAACAGTTGCGAGTTGAGTGTCGGCGGAGGCGCGTTGAAGTTATTGTTGTTGTTAAACGCCGGCAGTGCTTGTTGCTGCTGTTGATGGAAATTATGCGGTCGCTGGTTGAAGTTAAACGGCCTGTAAGGCTGCGGCAGGCGTTGCTCAGGCTTGTACTCTTGAGTGAAAGTGGTAGTAGTGGGACCATTGTTGTTCGGAAAGCGGCGACCTTCCGGATGCGAGAGTGCCGGCTGCGGCGCGGACTCAACAATGTCGTCGTCATGCGAGTAGCTCTCCGCGTGCGGATTATGCGATTGTCCGCCAAAGGTTACATGAATACCGCTATCCGCATGAAAGGTCTCCGAGTCAGGTTTGATAATCGCGCGGATTGTAGTCGTCGCCACAGGTGGCGCATAAGTCGGCGCAGCGTACTCCTCATGATGCGGTTCTTCCTGTTGTTCTTCATCATGATCATCTTGAATGGGCGACAAGGCAGGAATAGGTTTATCATAAATAACACTATCTTTCCCGGTTCCATGAGGGTTCTTCTTGTATTTCACATAGAAAACTTGCACTTCTTCCTTTTTCTTCTTTTGTGGCAATGGTACAACATCCTGATACGGTGGCGCTGCTGTCGTGTTAGCCTCTTTAATAATAATCTCAATAATAGGCTCGGGTTCTTTAATATATACAGGGCGTTCGATGTATTGATGTCTAGGAGGACCATAGTAATGTTCACTCAAATGATTATTATCAGGAGTTTGATCATCTGGTTTATTTAAGTCGTTGTGAGGTTGTTGTAGAGTACTCAACGATGTGGGATCATATAGAGGATCACGCTGGGAATAATGTGTCAATGGTTCCATTTGTACGGCGTACGGAGGAAGCTGGGGCTTCTGTTTGCGATAGTAGGTGTACGGCCGCATCCCGGATGGGAAGAAGGCCGGATACATGCGTGGCCCGGTCGGAATGTTTGAGATGCGCCTTTCTAATCGCGGATCTCGCGGATACGTCTGGTGCGATATGTCCGCATAGCCGGAATTTCTCTTGTCCCTGTTGCCGGCGGCGTCGATCGCGTCATCTTTCTTTGTGGGACGCGTGCTATCCGCCGAGGCATACACCACGAGCGCCGCGAAGAAGATCTGAAAGGCGTGTGAAACTTATTAGTCAAATGGTCAAGCGTGTTAGAGGCGGAGACATCGATTGAGGGCACGAGCGTTAATAAAATTAAAGATGAGCTTCACATGATCGTTAATCGGTCGTTTGAGAATGTCTCGGATGAAATCGAAAGGGACGGCGTTTATTACACTCTCAAACATCTTAATATTTATTAAAAACATGCGAATACTTAAGTATAACCTACTTAAACAGTGTTTTACTTTCTTAACATATTTTTATTTGATTACTAGCTTTTATCCGCGAAAATCTAAAATCATGAAGTTGCTTCCGTACGCGTCTGTAGTCACAGAAGAAGTAACAATGAAGTAGAATGGCGGGAAGTTTAAAATGGCTGAAAGTATAGTCTATGGAAGTATAGTGTACAGTCTCCATAGTGTAGTCAATTGGATTTGATGTTGACGTAGCTGTCGGTAATACAGTGTGATAATACAGTGTGATGGTACTATAGTACTTAGGTTTGAGCTTCATTGCTGGAATGCTAGATGGCGTTAAAGTAGTCAAATAGCCAGATGCAGAGGTATTATTGGCTAAACAATTTCTTTATTTTATTTAAAAATAATTTTTTATTAAATAAAAAGTAGCCTATAACCATTCGGGGACCACTAAGAATATGTGTACAAATTTTCATGATGATTGGTTAAGTAGTTTTTGCGTGAAAGTGTAACAAACATCAGGACCTTCGCATTTATAATATTAGTAGGGATTTAATTAACAAATTGAAAATTTGTTTGTTTCTGTGAGTGTAAATTAGCATTTTGTGAGGAGTTTGGAGAAAAGTAAAATTTTCAACACTTTCATCAAGATAAAAACGTTAGATTCACATTAAAAGCACGTTTTCGGTCGCGTCACTTGTAAGATCGCGCGCACAATACAAATTTATGCCTTGCAAGCACTCGTAATGCAATAAAACAAACATGATAACAATAAATAATGAATGCGCGCACGCCGAATGAGTTTCACATTCTCAATGGAAAACATTTCCGTTTATTCATCAACAAACTCGTAACATTACGTTACACTGCACGTCAAAACATTTCAAGCAGTAAAACAATCATAATATTTATAATAAATTAAAATTTAGCAAGAAAAATAGGTAAATTTTTATGTATGCAACCCAAAAAACACTTTTTCTTAATTTCATCCGTAGAAATATAAATTATATAGTTAATTGCATTTGTAAATCTAGTATGATGTAATTTTGCCGATCAATTTACTAAATCTAGGTCAAAAACATTCACCGCGAAGATATGAACAATCAAATTTTAATTGATGCGACTTTATTAGTCAACAAACTCTCGCGGCTCTCAGGCGTTCATAAAATAAAAACGAAAAACACAAGTGAAAAAAGGAAGCACTGGGAATACACAAACAGCTTGATGAGAAAGTAAATGTAATGTGGCTTTGATTCAAATTGAGGAAGCACACGATGTAGGCGGTGCACTTTGTTGTGTGTTTCGCGATGATAAAATAATTCATGCAAAAGCATCTTGTAGATTATCATTAAAAAGCCTGTACAATCAGATTGATGAATTTTTGATGACGACTGCAAAAATTTTATTTCCTCAAAAATCTAAAAACTCAATTATTACTCAACAAATAATATTGATACACGTTGGAAATGAAAGTATAGTTTATAATATTAGGCAATCAATATTGCAGCATGTTGCAGATCATAACGTTTAAAGTGAATGTGATTCCATTGCACTGGAAGATTATGAAATTTAATTAACAATTATTTAATTTTTTAAGATGTTATAGAAAGTAACAATAACTTTTATGTGTGGAAAGGTTTTAAGTGTCTAACAAGTTGCAATTATGTAAATATGCAGAATGTAAATGAAACTTTGCGTTTTACGTTGAGTTAAAGTTCAAAAGTCAAGTGAAAATTGAAAAGATTTGATGCGAATTTAAACTAAAGCCGTACATTCCACGGTAATAACTGATTAATTTATAATTTCGTATCGAATGATTGGTTAATTAAACGAGTTGATATAAGATATTGCACGCGTTCAGCAATTTGGAAAGTCGATTTCACTTCGGCGCTTCTTCTCGCCGCTCATCTTCATTTATTACACTGGCTATACACCATGTGAATTCATCTTAAGTCAACTTAGCATTCAGGCAAAAGAGAAATGAAAAGTAACCAATGATTTTAAATTAAATCATTATATACTCTCTTTTAATACATAAAATAAAATCACCTCAATCAAATACTTACGATTGTTATTTTCATCTCGACGATATAAAAATCCAATTTTGTTGATATTCACTTGTTTTTAATTTAAAAAAAATAATTTTTTAAATGTTTAATGAGTTTTTTAACACTAGCGATTAAAAAAATAAAACACACATCCTCGTCGGGAGTCTTCCGCTCCGGCAACGAACAAAAGAAGATGACACACCGGCGCTGGTGATGATCGTGAAGAGTATGAAGAAGAGTCGCGCGCGCCGGACCGGTGAGACTTCTTCGCACACACACCGAAACCACGGAACGCTGCGACGGTGGCTGAGTGGAAGGTGGAAGGGTATTTGGACAAGTGTGGGATGAAAGGGGCTTGTAGAAAGTTGCCTCGCCGCTGGCTCACGGCGCGCGCAAGAATAATACATCATCTCGCACGGTGTGACGGAGGAGACGATCACAATGGTAACACACGACGGAGGCAACCTGTGACTTTGCTACCTATTTTTATATTTTTAATTTTCGGGCTTTTGAGCGGTTTTTTTGTGGTGGGCGATAAAATATTGCGTGTAAAACATTCAAAAATTGAGAAAAATTTTTTCATGTTTAAAAAGATCGATTTTTATAAAACTTATGAATTTTTTTGCTTTTTTTTACCAAGTTTTACATAACTGGGTAAAAAAACATTGCGTGCAAAACATTCGAAAGTATTTTTATCAATAAATAAGTGTAGTTAACCTAAAAATTAATTTTTTTATTAAAATTTCGGGCAACAAAATATTGCGTGTAAAACATTCAAAAATTGAGAAAATTTTTAAAATATTGTTATTTTTATGTTTAAAACATCGATATTTATAAAATTTGATTTTTTTTTGCTTTTTTACCAATTTACACTAAGTTTAACAGAAGTGGGAGAAAAAACATTGCGTGTATAACATCCAAAAGTAGTTTTATCAATAAATAAGTGTAGCTAACCTAAAAAATTATTTTTTTATTGAAATTTCGAGAATTGTTGCAGTTTATAGCATTTTTCAGCGGCGGGCGATAAAATATTGCGTGTAAAACATTCAAAAATTGAGAAAAATTTTAAAATATCGTTTTTTCATGTTTAAAACACGATTTTTATAAAATGAATGAATTTTTTGCTTTTTTACCAATTTACAACAAGTTTTACAAAAGTGGGCAATAAAACATTGCGTGTACAACATCCAAAAGTAGTTTTATCAATAAATAAGTGTAGCTAACCTAAAAAATTAATTTTTTATTGAAATTTCATGAATTTTTGCAGTTTATTGCATTTTTCAGCCGTGGGCGACGAAATATTGCGTGTAAAACATTCAAAAATACTTTTATCAATGAATAAACGTACTTAACCTAAAAAAACGAACGTTTTTACACACATTAACCACCTATGTTTATAATTACGGTCAATTTGCACTCGTAAATGATAATTACAGCTACCGGAATTGCAATTGCCATGTTCTACTACATCACAATTAGAATTTCTACGCATCGATGCATGAAAGTAAATGTCACATTCGTTTTCCACTAAGTGCTTTCAACTTCCATGTGCATGCCATGCACTTTGTCGATTTTATTCCACTCCTAATTTCATTACCGTGAATAAAACACAGTATTCCACCCGAGTGTAATCTACATAGTGAGATATTAACAAGAAGAAGTGATTTGTGCGTTGGTTGCGCAGACACGAGTGCAATTGTTGTACGGTGATTGTTGTTACATAAATATTATCATCAGGTGCGCGTCGTGTCATCCGCGCGCGCACGAACACACATAACAACGCATTGTTACTGTTACTGTTATTGTTGTAGATAATTGTTTTCTGCGTGTTGCGCGTTAATTTCCAACCAGCTCAATTTTACGCTCATTAATAACATGTGGATGGATTTTCGGCGGTTGGAACAAAACGGATTCTCACGATATTTCAAAATGTTGCAAAAATTGAAAGGAAATTTATGCAACACAACAATCACAATCACCATTCGATCCTAATTTAATAATATGTGCGTGGATTTTTTTGTTGGAGAATTTTATCGCCTAGACATGAAATTTTCTCTGCGATGGCAATAAATTGAGCGTTATGCAGAAAAAGGAATTTGGGTCAGTGGTTCGTGCAATTCTGTGGACGTATTTAGACTCGTTACACCAGTCAACTTTTTCCTGATATACACTCGCGGAATATTTAACCCCGTTTAAAAAATATCTTCGCAGGTCGGAACAATTACGTATAAATAGAAAAAAACATCAATATCTTCAAAATTTTCAATAATTTTTGGATTTTTTCGCGTTAAAACAAATTTTATACAACTGGTCGTAAAAACATTGCGTGCAAAACATTCAAAAGTACTTTTATCATTGAATTTACGCAGTTAACCTAAAAAATATTTTTCTTGTGTTTTTAATGATTTATAGCATTTTCAAGAGGTGGGCGACAAAATATTGAGTGCAAAACATTCAAAACATTTTCTCAATGAATAAAACCGAAAATAGCAAAATATTTATCAACAATTATGTAAAATAGTACTCAAAAATTTAAATATTTTTGGATTTTTTTCCGAATTACAACAAATTTTCTTCAAGTGGTCGAAAAAACATTGCGTGCAAAACATTCAAAAGTAGTTTTATCAATGAATGTACGCAGTTAACCTAAAAAACAATAATTTTTATTATTTTTCTTGTGTTTTTAATGATTTTCTAGAGGTGGGCGACAAAATATTGCGTGTAAAACATGCAAAACTCATTTTCTCAATGAATAAAAAAAAAATACCTGCAAAATATTTAACCCAGTTTAAAAAATATTTTCTCAGCTTTGAAATAATTACGTGATGCGTCCATCGAGCTAAAGCAAACAGAAAAAATGTCAACATCTCAAAATATTTGAATAATTTATGAAAGGACGATAACAAGCTGCAGTCAACTCTTGGTTTCTTTGTGCGTGTCCAACTCGTCTTCCGAGAGAAGACAGTGGGAAGTCGGGTAACATCTTACATCTTTAGTTAATTTCTATTCAAATTTATTAGAATAAACTACAATATTCCAGCTATATAAGTCGCTGCGTGTATGCATATTGAATTAAATAAGAAAGTTCCATTCGCTGCGGATCCGTCGATTATGTAAACATTTATCAATCAATTAATGTGCGTTGTTTTAGCAGATGGCTTTGTTATCTAACAAATTTCACGTTAAAATCACATTAAAACAAGTTAGAGTAGTGATGAATTGAGGTGCGGATATTTTTTTGATGCAACCCGTAATACTTCACAATTTTTGAGGTTAGTTACTGCTGTCATCGTAGTGTCAAACGACAATGAGATTCGTAATTGAAATTAAATGAAATCTAGGACATGCAATTGTTTATTATTATTATTATTATGATTGTCAATTTCAATTGTGATTTATGATTTGTGAGTTGAAGAATGGAAATCGATGAGTTTTTGGAGCGGCAATCAATTTTTGCATTTGAATAGTCGCAAATAATGTCACGTCAGTACTTTCTAATTAATTATTTAAGTTTATCGGCGTGCATAAGTTATTTTTACATTGTTGTTCATATTTATCTAATCCCACATTGAAAACACTGTTTTCTACACTGTAAAACAATGTAATTAATGTCAACACTGTTTTCCACACCTAAATGTGAAAAACATTCGATATCTTCGTAAACATAACCTCAAAATTGTTTTAATATAAAATTTACATAACCCCACATTTGAAAACTTTGTTTTCCACATTTTTTAGCATTTCTTAAGCAACATAACCTCAAAATCGTAAATAAATCAAAATTTTCAGTTTTCTTTGCATTTTAGCGATGTAATTTATTATTACATGCATAAACAGTAAAGAAACACTTTTATTCTTGTTAAATTAAGGAAGTAACAAGCACTACCTACATAAGATGAGTAATAAATCTCCAAAAAGTTATTAAACTCAATAAAACTTGACTCATAAAAAGTCCGCTTGCTTCATTAAGCGATTACAAAATAGTATAATACAAATTGTATAATGTTCATTCAATAAACCACTCAAAAATAAAATAATCCCAACCGTGATAATTTATAATTTCCTCGCAAATTGCCCAAGCACACACAAAATAAATTTCCGTTACAATTTTTTTCATTGTTATGCGTTATGTGTTATGATATAATACAATTTCCACTCGTTTAACATTACAATGTGTAACACGTCGTAGTGTAATGTTAGGCATATGATTATTGAACCAAATTTAACTACGGTTTCGGTGCGAGTTTTTACTTCTTTTTTTCTTTGGGTCTAGATGCGAACAAACTTGTTCTATTCCTCTATAAGCGCCTTCGACGCCGAACGTCCTAGACCTATATTCGTATTCCTAAGCAGATGGAATCTTCACTTTCTATCTCTGCGGTGTGCGCCATCGCGAGAAAAGTTTTATTTTCCAGTCATTCGATATTCCCACATTAAACTCATCGAATCATCATCGTGTTTGCTCAAATTACCGCCTAAATAACGTAAATATTGTAAGCGAAAGTCATGTTTAATGTTTAGCCTTGCTAAACTTGCGATATTGATTGTGCAATATATTGAAATGCACCGGATTCATTTCTATTTCTAACCTCAACTTTTTATGACATTCACTAAATAAATAAAAGTGTCCGGGTGTTTTAAAGTCTCGTTAAACTTTAACAACGTCGAATTGTTTTATAGAAAGGAAATTAATTGAAATTAAGCAATATATGTGAACGGTGTCATTTTAATTCTCCCGTAACCCTTGGAATCGTTAAAATGTCTTAACCACTTTGAAGAATTTTGAGAGTTTAAAACTTGGGGAACACCGACCGTGAAACGTAGCTAACATGAGTTATTTATTGTCGTAATAAACGCTTGCATGGGGTTACCCACCAAGGAGGAGGTAATGGCTGCCGCATAGTTTCATCTGATTCGGTTCGATTTTGTTCAAGCACGCGTACGCAATCGGAATGTGTACTATCTATGAATGTTTAATCGTCTAATGCATTCTTTATGACTAAATTGTCTTGCAGGGGTTTTAGTATTGAGCATTTTGTGATTAAAATTTTAAAACATGGATTGTACAACATATTGAACAATATTTTGAAGTTTTTTGATTTTGATGCATTTATCAATGTTTAAAATAAGTAAAAATCTATAAAAACTTAAAATTTTGATGCAAAATTATGTTTTATGCATAATTTGGATGAAAAATGTCGTAAAACGATTGCACAATATATTGTACAATATATTGTAAAATATTTGAAATTTTATGATTTGTTGCATTTATCAAAATCCATAAAAACATAAAATTTTGAGTATTTTTAATTAAAATTATGATTGCACAATATATTGTGCAATATATTGTAAAATATTTGAAATTTTATGATTTGTTGCATTTATCAACGTAAAAATAACAAAAACTCCATAAAAACATAATTTTTTATGTGTAATTATGTTTTACGCACAATTTTCAAGAAAAAACGTTGAAAAACGTGTTGAAACGTTAATTTAAATTTAATTATGAAAAAGAATTATATTATTATAGCATATCATCATTAACTCCGTGAGTGCATGTTCTTTATGACTAAATTGAGTGCGTGATTTGAAAGTGTTCAGTCCCAAACTGAAAGGTGTTGAAAAGTTTATTCAACTTAAGTACATCAAATACTAAGTACTCGACGATTACCTGGAAATAAAACAATTAAAATCTGTCAGATAAATAATGTGAGATTGTCTTCTTGGATTTACAATTTACAATTTACAATTCTTTTAATTTATGTGTAGTAGTATATTACCAGTGCGCCATGTGAAAGGTGTATGATGGGTTGCCTGATTATCGTGTTCAGTACATGTACCGTATCTCCAACATTGTCCTGTCACACAATCAACTATTATTACCATAAGATTTTGTTCGGTGGAATTAAAATTTATGAAATTCCACGCGTCGATATTTTACGAAACCGACGACGAAACGAAGCGATTTGTATGGAAAACGTTTTTTTGCGAGACGACCCGTCCTGCCGCTTAATGTCGTCGTGTTCGGTGAAAGTGAAGATGAGTATGGTCTTTTGGTGAACTGAGAGAAAGCAGGCGCGCAAGGCACACAATCGAAAACGCGCGGAATTTATTTACTCCTCGATTTAAAGAACTATTTATTTATTTATCATGATTATTACTATCGGTATCGACCATGCACGGCGTGTCAATTATCAAAGTGTTTAATTTGCACTCAACACAAGAAATAATCACAAAACGCACAGATTTCCAACCGAATTCGATTGAATTGTGAATAACTAGCACAAGAATTTAACAATAAATTTATTAGGTTAATGTATGCGTTCGTGGGCGTTAGACCCACAAAATTTATTGTAATTTTTGTCAGCGAATCAAAGCAAATCGAAAATGTGTGGTACTTTCACTTAAAATTTTAATATTTGATAACTTAGATAAAGAAATGTGTTAAAAGCATAACTCTCTCTATATTTTTTCATTTTACTTGAAAACCGGAACTGTATTCGCAATAACAAATAAATAATCAAACCCAACCCTAATAAATAGTATCTGCTTGTGTAATGAATGAGTAATCTGGAAATTTTCCGCGCTGTGGGTTTGTGTCGACACAATTTATTAGGTTTTACCAGACTATCCTAGGTTTGACATTTAAAAACATTAAAAATTTAATGCTCTGCAAACGTTTTGTTAGCGGATCGTGAAAACTATGTTAATGTCACTGTCACAACGCGCAAAGAAAGTGTTTGCTTCAATAGACTGGACTAATGATTGTTAAATCAGCTTGTGCACGAAGATTTTTCTTTTTAAAGTCGATTTTAATTGCTTGCATTAGGTTAAAACCAAAAGCAGAGTGAAATTGAAAGCTAATTGATTGTACAATTAAACTGCAATCAAAAATAATCATTATAAATATAAATAAATGATTGTACAATCATTTGACAAACAATTAAATTAATTTTGAGTGTTTTAAACCGATTTTAATTAAGTAAAGAATGCAAAAATTAAGTGTACAATCAAAATAATTATTATAAATATAATCAAATGATTGTACAATCATTTGACAAACAATTAAATTAATTTTAAATGTTTTAAAACGATTTTAACAAGCAATTTTCTTCTTAAGTAAGTAATAATTGCACAAAGTGATTGTACAATCAAATTAATCATCATAAATATAATCAAATGATTGTACAATCAAATGACAATCAAATAAATTAATTTTGAATGTTTTACAGCGATTTTAATAAGCAATTTATCTTTTTGATTAAGTAATAATTGCACAAATTTATTGTACAATCAAATTAATCATCATAAATATAAATAAATGATTGTACAATCATTTGACAAACAATTAAATTAATTTTGAGTGTTTTGAACCGATTTTAATTAAGTAAAGAATGCAAAAATTAATTGTACAATCAAAATAATTATTATAAATATAATCAAATGATTGTACAATCATTTGACTAACAATTAAATTAAGTTTAAAAGGTTATAACCATAAAAACCATATTTTACAACTATTTTCTTTAATAAATAAGCAATAATTGCACAAATTGATTGTACAATCAATAAAAACTCATTTATCCACTAAATACGTTGCAAAATAATTTTAAAATTGCAATACAAAGCACAATATTATGCGTATTGCACGAATGTATGATTGGTTGCATAAAAAATGAGGTTCTCTTTGAAATAAGTAATTGTAATTAGCAATAAGTATGAAGATATTCCACCAACATACGAAATGAGCATTTAATGAAGCGTTCTCTTGCTCCACACGCAAAACGAGAGCGCATAATAATTTTATTAATTGCGATGAGACAAATGCACACAAACAAATTACAAAATGAGCGTGTGATTTTTTTCCTGCTCCGCATTTAGCCGCAATCGATGTTTCGCATTACGCCAGACGGTGCGTGCCATCCGAATCGCAACTAGCATTTAGCTTGATTTAGTTGAAGCGCAACTGTGCACTTAACTCCAGTTACAAGAGACTCGCGGAATGAATGTACGAGTATTATACACGTGTGTGTGTGTGTGTGTGTGGCGTGCGTCGCCATCACCATCATCCTCTCGTTTCACTTTTATTACGATATTGCCGGCTGCTGGTTGCTTCAAAGTGGCACAATTGTGATTTTAGCTCACTACTCGTCTCGCTACTCCACTATCCACAATCCACTTGATTACGTGTCTTGTGGATTGCACCAGCAGGCGAATCAGTACTTTATTTACACTTATTTTATCTCTGGGAGGTAATTATAACATAAATTGCTTGATTTGATAGATGACAAGTTGATACTCGATTCGTAAAAGGATTAGCTGCGCTTAATTTCGCGTTGTCGTCAATCATTCCCTCAATCAGTTGCTAGCGTGTGTTTAGTGATGAAGAAATTATGTATTCCGAAATGCTACGATTACCAAATGATTGATATTTAAAGCAGAACAAGCAGTTGCTAAAGAGATGAACTAAAACCGCAATTGTCATAGTTAACCATTTTAATACTAACGAATCAAATTGGAAATTATTGCGCATATATTGTGCAAGCATTACTTAATTATTAGGAAAAAATCAGTAAATATGATTTTAAACACAAATAAACACAAAAACATTTAGAAATAATTTTTGATTGATGAATGATTGTACAATCACTCAATCATTACATACTTAATTTTATAAAATTAGTATTTAAAGATTATATAAACAAAATTTTAAGAAATATATTTTTTTGGATGATTGTCAATTGATTGTACAATCATTTGATACAAAACAACCAAAAATATAAGATATTTGATTGAAATTCCACCCATAATAAGAATATAATGAAAGGAAGTATGAATCTTGTAGGTAATTAACTATAATTTGGTTGTTATGTTGATTGTAATCAGTTCAAGTGAGAAAACTAATTACGATTAAAAATTTCGTGTTCGACAAGACGCTAAATAAACATTTTTCCTTTCCGAGATGTTATCAGTTTGATGACGAGTTAATTGAAAATTTGAAATTGAAATTGCTGCGCACGTAGGTATAGAATAATTACGTTTTAATTATAGCGCGTTTAACATGATGAAAAATGACGTGCGCACACGATATTGGATCGCATGTCAGTATGTTTTAATTAACTCGCATTGCGGGCGGCTGCGAGCGATGTCATTACATGCAACATGCGTCGAAATTATTGCGTTTGACGGATGGATGACGGATTAAGAGATTTCTTCGAAACAAAAACTCTATGACCACCCGAAACTTTGTTTCAAACAAGATTGATTACCGCCGAATGAGAATCGGAATTAAGTCCAAGTTCAAGGCTGGTTATTAAACATAATCAAAAGAATCAAGTGCGTTTTCATTTGATTATGGGATGTACAATATATTGTACAAGCAAATATTTTAGTTTTTAGTTTTTGTGGGTTGCGAATGTGTTACGAGCCGAAATTATATCATAGAACAGACAAGCGAGACAATATAGTCGGTGGCATCTTCGCAGCCATCGCAACACACGTGATTTAAGTGTTTGTTGAAACTTAATTAAACAGCAGGTCGGCAGCAACACAGGTGAGCGGTGCAAATTGGTGAAATTCTCCGCGTGGATTGTGAATAGTTTAAAACAAATAGATTTTACGGATAAATAGACAGTTTGTACGTAATTATGTGCCAAGTGCATAATTATACTTGCGTAATATTCTACAGTGCAAACATTTTAAAACCAGTACTATACATAACCTAATTTTGGGATTTTACGTGGATAGGCAACTGTTTAATCTTTGTAAACTGGTTATAAACTCAATTACTATTGTAAAAATGCCGGTAAATATTTCCTGAAGTCTAAATATGAATTCCGCGTCGCTCAGTTGTATTCACTTGTGTTTTGTTTAAATGATTTTGTTGTAACGTAACGTGCGCCCCAACAAATTAGCTGAAAAATCGTGCTTAAGTTATAGAAATTTGCATTGCAATTTGTGTGTATGTTGGGTTGCATAACCACAACAATATTTCAAATGTTACCATCAATGTCATGTCTTTAAAAAAATATTCTAGCTCATAATTGCTTGAAATGAAAATATTTTTCGTCGTTACCCAAAAGAAATTAATATAAACCAACTAATCCCTACTAATATTATAAATGCGAAAGTCCTGATGTTTGTTACACTTTCACGCAAAAACTACTTAACCGATCATCGTGAAAATTTGTACACATATTCTTAGTGGTCCCCGAATGGTTATAGGCTACTTTTTATTTAATAAAAAAAATTATTTTTTAAATAAAATAAAGAAATTGTTTAGCCAATAATACCTCTGCATCTGGCTATTTGACTACTTTAACGCCATCTAGCATTCCAGCAATGAAGCTCAAACCTAAGTACTATAGTACCATCACACTGTATTATCACACTGTATTACCGACAGCTACGTCAACATCAAATCCAATTGACTACACTATGGAGACTGTACACTATACTTCCATAGACTATACTTTCAGCCATTTTAAACTTCCCGCCATTCTACTTCATTGTTACTTCTTCTGTGACTACAGACGCGTACGGATGCAACTTCATTATTTTAGATATTCGCGAGCGAAGCCGCGGGTTAAAGCTAGTTTGCACATATTTCTTCGTTTTACTAAGTTTGTCGTTATAAAGAGACTACTTTTGTGTACCTGGCAGTACCATTTTTATATGTGTGTATCAAACACATGTTTAATCAATAAATTAATTGAATATCCGAGGCAACCTTATTATATTGTAGTAAAACTTCAGTTCACAACCGACAACTGTGACAATAATACCTTTATACTCCAATATTTTTCACTTTACTTTACATTTACCAAAATGTTTCAAGAAATAAAATCACCGAAAGGGATGAACACGCTAACAAAACCACCACCAAACATGATGGACATAGCAATGCCACATTTAAATAATAATTACGCCCATGTACGTATGTCTATTACCAAATTTTTCCTAACCTAAAATTCGAATATTTAGCATGCAAGAACACCGAATACAAATTATTCCGAAAGATGGATGCAATATCGTAAGCATGATGAGAACGCATATCGACTCGCAACCATAAAGTTCGCACAAGAATCTCAACATGCGAAATCATTTGCACAACATGAAGAATTCCTCGTGCGCCAACAATTGCGCGATCGTATTCAAACGAAACTCAAAGCGAAGATTCAAGGCTATCAAGACGCATTAGAGCAGCGTCGCGAAAGGTAAAAGATTAATCATTAGTTTAAATGAAAACAAAATCTAGATTACATTCGAATCGTATAGGTTACGAAACATAATGGCGGATGAAGAACAGACGTACGTCCGCGACACGATCGACAAAGCTCAACGCGTCGACGAGAGTAAATACGCTGACATGATGCAGCGTTCCGAAGCGTTGAAAGCAGCGAAGGAAGCCGAGCGACTCGAGATCGTCAAACAGAAACGCATCCAACAATACAGGTTAATTTACCAAACTCACCGGATTTAATTTGTTTAATGAAGTCAGTGTTCTTTTATTTTCGTATTGTTTAGTCAGCGATGCGTCGAATTGCGTCCGTTCCTTACACGTAAGTGGACTGAGGAGAGCAAACTTTGTCAACTGCAACAAATGCGCGAGAACGAAGCGCGTCGACAGTCCGAAACGGAAATCAACCGGATGTGGGATAATCTGTTGAAGAAACAAGACGAGGCGTTTGTAAGTTTGGTTAGAATTACGTATAATTTGAAATAATTATGAATTGTAACAAATTTCCAGATGGAAAGAGAAGTGCAGGAAGCTATCATCAAGTACAATCGTTGTAAGAAGGACATGGATATTTTAACGATGCAAATTCGTGCGAAGGTATACTTTCAAAAGTTTGCATAACGAATTATTTCGCGTATTGTCTGTGTGTGTTTATTTGTAGAAACACTGCAATGAAATGAACCGTGAACTGGAACGTGCCAATTTCGAAGAGGCGCAGAGGATGTTAGCCATACAAAATCAACAAGAACGAGATGGTAATCATTTTACGCATATAAACTATATTTTTGTTTATTTTAATATTTTTACTTCAATATTAGAGGTTATTTGAGTAAAATTTATAAAAACTTCGCCTAGTTCACACCAGAGGGCGCTAGTAATGTATTAACACGCGTGTTTTCATTGTAGAAATGCAGCGTAAAATAGATAAACGTATTCAGGCTGCAGAAGATCTCAAACGTCAAATAAATTTCCAAAAACAATTTATGGATCAACGTAAAAAAGAAGAAATTGCGCTGGATAATGCTTTCGCTAAACTATCACTGCTGGAGCTTCAGCGTGAGAAAGACAAGATTGTCGATAATAAAGGTCGCTTGCAGAAAGAAACAGAAGTCTATAAGCACCATCTTGAACATTTGCGTCAACAGCGTAAGCAAGAAGAAGACGAATTGAATCAACTCATCAACGAATTTCAACGCGCCGCGCAATCTAAACAAGACGAAACTATATGCAAATATAAACTGGGACGTAAGAAGTTAATCGAGGAGGTAATGCGTGAACGTGCGGAGCAAGTACGTGCAAATCGCCAGAAAGCCGAAAAGGAATTGGAATTTAAAAAGGTCGAGAATGAAATGATGAGAGACATCTTTGAAACTAATAAGAGGTTGCATGATGAAGCCGAAAAGATTCGACAGATGACTGTGAAGCAGTATAGGAATGACTTGAATCAACAGATTGAATATAATTATACGCTCAAGGTAAATAAATATTGTGTCAATAATGTTTGTGATTTAATTGATCATTTAATGATTTAGAAACGTGAAATGGAAGAAGCAGAGCGACGGCTTCAACAGGGACTTGAAGATGAAAGGAAACTGGAAGCTTTGGTGCAGGAATTAATTAAAGAAAATATTGCAACGCCGCTGGAGCATCCATTCCGTCAAGCTTTGACGGAATATGACTGCAAGTGTGATGATTCAGCTCAAAATAAAATTAAAACAAATAAAAGTAACTTTTGATATTAAAACTCATATACACTTTGTGAAATGATTGAATTTTGTGTGAAAATATAAATTTTTGATGGTTTTTGATCATTTACGGCTTAATAAAAATATTTTGAAAATTTAAATGTTATTAATCTTATAGAATAAGTTATTATCTACATTCTAAAGCAAAAATCAACTCTGTATCTTTTTTAGTTCCTGAGTTATCGCTAATTTTAGTTCATTTTACGCGAAAAATCAGTGCTGCACTCTTTTGGCAACTACGCAAAAACTACAAATTTCATAACCTCAAACTTAGCAAGTTTATTCTTCAATAAATTCCTATCCAATGATACTTTACTCAAACTTCTAACTTTTTAAATGACTGAGTTACAATGACCTAAATTATAGCAATAATTTATTCAGGAAGAAACTTCCTAGCTGATGATTAGGTGACTTAGAAAATACATAATACATGCAGAATGTTACTCAGTGACATTGAGAATACACCTCAATTAAAACTAAATAATTAATCTAAAGAATGACGGTAATACAATCGATATTCCCTTAATAATTACCTCGTAGTTAAATAATACTAATAATAAAAGATAATAATAATGTTTATCTAATTGATTGACAAATTATCAGCCATAGAATAACAAAAATCATTTTATCTAAACATCATCGCGTTTATATGAAGTTCCCAATCGATACAATACCGGTCAGAAGGTAATAAGTTGAATAATTGATTGCGAAGTTTTTTATTAAAGACCAACACGTCCCCGACACACGTATGCAAATACATATTTAGATATCTAGAATATTACCGATGTTAATGAAGCGCATGTGCTCTAGTACTATTGCCCTGGGAATTGGTTTTCTACGACCTAAGCTGCACGCTGACATTTAGTTTACTTCAGTCACCCCTAAGCACGCGATCACTAAAAATGAATCTAACCGACACGAAAATACTAGTAGCGGTATTATTCGGTCTCTCGAGAGTTCTCTTCGGTTTACTCCCAATAAAATTATGTCGGTTTCTTAAAATCCCCATCGGTGACGATGAGAAAAAGTCGCGCCAACAAAAACTCCACTGTTGCCTTGCTTTATTTCAAGCGTTCGGTGGCGGTGTGATTTTTGCAACGTGTTTTCTACATATGATGCCCGAAGTTTACGAATCTACAGTTGAATTGAAAAAGTATGGATACATTCAGACACATTATCCATTCTCGCAGTTAGTAGTATCAATTGGTTTCTTCCTCGTGTATTTCATCGAAGAAATCGCGCATTATTTCGTCTCGCAAGTAACCGACGAGGAGATATGTCACAGAAAAAACAAAAACAAACCGAGTGCAACCACGCAGAGCGCGTTTAAAATTACACAGGTTTCAGCGGCTTCGAATAAAGTAACGCCTGAAGTACTCGATTTGGATAAAGAAGAAGAGTGTCAAGATGAAGGTGTAGACTTACCGAGTCCAACTTCAAGCCCTGATAACACCGAACCAGATCCAGAGAGTCAGAATATCACCGACGAGAAACAAAACGAGACTGAAGAGCAGATGAAAGTCGACGAAATGGCAGACACAGAAGAAGTATCACAAGTTGCCGAGCTCGACAAGCTGATGAAAAGCAAAGCGTTGACGCACCAGCAAATCATTCGTGGAATTTTAATTGTTCTTGCATTATCCTTGCATGGATTTTTTGAAGGACTTGCAATTGGTCTGCAGTCATCTATTGGAAACATTTGGTACCTATTTATAGCCGTATCGATTCATTCAGCGACGATTCTCTTCGTGATCAGTCTCGAGTTGATTTTAGCGAATGCAAAACTGAAGATCATCGTCATACATGTATTGATTCTTCCATCGTGTGTCCTGTGGGTGTGTTGTTGGGTACCGCGGCGACCTTGGGTACGAATACCGAGAGTAAAGTGAAGACGGTTGCGGTGGTGATCCTTGAAGGGTTGTCGGCTGGTACGATAACCTATATTACGTTCTTCGAGGTGTTAAATCGCGAGAAAGCGCGAAGGGTTTATCGACTGCGAAGGGCCGCGTCGATTATTTTGGGCTTTTGCTTGATGGCATGTCTAGAATGCTTCGAAATGTATTATTAGACGTGATATAAATAGATACTAGTTGAAATGTGCAAATATTTTTATATTAACATAAAATGTAGGAAAAGTGATCGTATTTAATCAATAAATAATTATTCAAGGACTTTTCTTTGAGAAATTACTAAGAAAACCTCATTTATTTGATTGATTATTCAATTCTAAGAAATATAAATTCTTTTCCGTGCTTTTTTGCATTTTTTTGTTTTCTTTTCCCCTCGTCATCCATTTTATGCTGATCAGATAAAAATGGCAGCATAATTCACCTTTTGCGTTTTCGCAATTAACCTTGGCCTTCATACGCCTTCATACGACTTCAAATAAAGCACTAAATTGATTTCGGAACAAAATTGTTCGCTTGCGTGCATGGAAATTAACATTACGCGCCTTTCGCAATTACATAATTTGCCGCAACTTTACGATTGTTCGATCAACAGATGGAGCGCTGATAATGTTTCTCACCGTAACTGTCACTCAGTTGATTCTAAATTCACCACCGGAAAATCAATAGCGTGTTTTGTCAAACCGCTGTGATGGAAACCAACAAGCATCGAATGGTTTTGTTGAAGGCGAGTTGATTTCTAAGAATTTTCACACAAAAAAATTTACAATAAATAATTTTAGTTGATTGTTATCCTCATCGCAAGCGACACGACGCTGGGACGCTCGTTAACAAGACGCAGCTTTGCAGATCCTTCAGTAAAAGGATATCTTACTGAAGTAAGTAAATAAATACAATAAATTTTATTGAAAACAATTAAATATTTAACTTTTAGAGGACTTGCTGGTGGAATGAAGTGTGCAAGGAGGAATTCCAGAGTTTGTTTCGTTGTAAATGTCCGGCATGGTCATTTTGCCGTGCGCCAGGACGATATTACAACGCATTCTGTTCCATGACAGCGACCGGTTACATTTGGACACAGCCAGGACTACAAGAGGCTACTGCCACTTAAATTTAGCGTGTTTTGCGATAGAAACAAATTTATTTACGTGAATTTGACTGCCAGTCAATTTTAACCATGTTAATTATTAGAACCAAGCAAAGAAAACATGTTTATTGATAAACGTTATGAGGTTGTTCTTATTATATGCATTAAATTCAATCAATTCTTGTGATATTAGTTAAAACATGTATTATAAAATAATTATAAGAATATAGGCGTTTATTTGGTTACAAACACGTTTATTCATGTTTGTTTTGTTGTTTATAAACCACAGATTTATCTTTTGGGTGTAGAGATTGTTTTTATCAGTGTTTATTCGCACGAGTAAAGATAATAATGAATTTTATGCTGTACGGTACATGCAGCGCCCTCTGTCGGTGTAATAATGAACTGGAAAGTGCGCACTTTTGAATTTTTTTAATTTTTGTTTATTTAACGCGAATATTTATGTATTTAGAGCAAGAAACTTTATTTTTATTAGTTTTTATTATTAATAAACTAATATTTTAGTTAAAATGAGTAGTAAATATTAAATTTTCTTTTAAAAACAATTTTTTTTATAAATTTTGCGTTTTGTGTAAAACAAACTTCATTATTATTCATAACTTACAACAAACATTACTATTCCATTATTATGATGCATACAAATGTCGAAAGCGAGTAAAACTGAAAGTAATCTCATCTTCTCATTACCCGTGTGGTAATTTAAAGTAAACGTACAGCGCAATATGTAAAACGAAACATGAACCTTCACAAAAGTTTAATTTGGTGTTGAAAGCGACGCATTTTAAATGTCAACTGTTACTTTTTAGTGTATTTAATAAATTAATTCGACCGAAACCCACATTCTTTGTTTTTATGCGCATAATTCAACTAATTCGACATTTAGCGAATAGAAAACAATGGATACAATAGCCTCCGTGTTGTTTAGCGAACTAACAATGTGCATGCAACAGTAGTCAAGCCAGAAACGCAGAATGCTGAAGAGCGGCGAGCAGTTGAACACAGTTGAACAGTTGAACTCGTTCCGTTGACTCCGGCGAGTGCTCTCATGCTCTGCTTGCAGGTATCAGTGCATGGCCTTCGTAAAAACCATCCGCGCGCACACAAATATTACCGGTGTGTGAATGGTGTGAATCACGCCATCATATTAATATTAATCCATCGTAGTCAAACAGATTAAAAGTATTCGCACGTCGCGCGCGTCGTGCATGCGCGCTGTGTTATCACACGCTCGCGACTCACCAACGAAGCTCGCGTTTATCGATTAGAAACACAGTACCAACAACAGAACGATGGCGACGTCCTGTTTGGCAGGATTCGCGCTCGTGTTGGCACTCAGCGCGAATTTATCAGCCGCGTTTCCGCAGGACTACGCCGGACAAGAACTTCTTGATGAAGTGCGCCAGTTGTTATCACTAGCATCCACCAATGTGCAGGTAAATCACACCACACAGCTCGCTATTAATGTAACTGTAGAGTAATTCATGTCTTGAACATCTTGAACGGAATTTAAAGAAAAAGAGATAAATGTAAGATGTTACTATATGCAACCAAATATACATCTGCAGCAGGTACATGGACATGGAAATGGGGACCAATCGGATGTGGATGAAAGCAGCACCGATGATGATCATGATATCAAACCAGACAGGCCACGGGTAGTGAAGAACTGGCCACTCACACCGTTGAAAATCGGGCAGGTATCCGGAGTGTCGGTTAATTCTGATCTACAGCCTGTTATTTTCCATCGGGGTGACCACGTATGGAACGAATAGTAGGTGCCATTTTAATTTTAGTTTAGTTTAGTGACGTAGGTGAACATAATATACACAATAACATATTGTTATCGATTAATTTTAACATATTCATGCAAATATCGAATACCGACTGAGCTAGCCGGGCTGATATTTACCTAAATAATATTTCTGAATCTATTTTCAGTTCCTTCAATGAATCTCATCATTATTTGCAAGGCAGCAAAGGTCCCATTAAAGAACCGACTGTTTTGACACTAGACCCCAAAGACGGGAAGGTCCTGGGTCAATGGGGTGCGAATTTATTTTATATGCCTCATGGGCTCACCCTCGACCGCCATGATAATCTATGGTTGACAGATGTTGCTCTACATCAAGTTTTCAAAGTAATTTACTTTAAAATTCATTTTTTTCAATTTTTTAATTTTTGGATGAATTTTAGTTCAGACCTGGTGAATTGCAACCAAGTTTAACCTTCGGGGAAGCCTTCCAACCGGGTTCCAGCCAGCGCCATCTATGTAAACCTACTTCCGTTGCTGTTGCCAACACTGGAGAGATTTTCATCGCTGATGGTTATTGCAATAACAGAATATTGAAGTATAACGCAGCTGGTGGTCTTCTAAGGGTCATCCCCAATCCACCAGAGTTTTTATCTCTGCAAGTACCGCATGCGTTGGCGTTGATTGAGTCTATGGATAGGTTATGTGTCGCTGACAGGGAGAATATGCGTGTGACTTGTCCCAGGGCCGGATTATACAGTGTGCAAGGTAAACGTGAGCCGGCCCTGACCATCCAACAGCCTGATATGGGTAGAGTGTTCGGTGTTGCTGCAAGAGGTAAATTATTAGTTCTAAACTTCTCCGTCAGATGTCGATGTAAGTTGGTTGTGTTTATTTAATTCTTAGGCAACTTGGTATATGCTGTGAATGGTCCCACGTCGCCATTGTTACCGGTACAAGGCTTCACAATCGATCCGCAAACTGAATCCGTGGTTGACCACTGGGCACCTGAAGAGGTATTATGATAATTTATGCGGTAGCATGTGAAAACTCACGTGTTTTCTGTTTTGTTTTGTTTTATTATTAGGGCTTTGGTAATCCGCACGCGTTGGCCATTTGCCCGAACAATTCAGCGATGTATGTGGTGGAGATTGGACCGAATCGCGTGTGGAAGTTTGATCTGGTTCGACCCACGAATTAGGAACTCGTTTCAACGTAGATATCACAACGGGAAGAAAGGAAAAAGGAACTGGAAACATATAGTGGTTATATTGTGTATGATTTCAGAATAAACTATAAAATAAAAGATAGCAACCAATATTTGTATCATAGTTATTATATACATTAATGTACTTGGTGTGTAAATTAATTATATAAACATATATGAGCACAAAGGTGGTGGTTGTGTAGGAGTTAAACGATAATAATAAAAATAATCTATTCTTTCGTCAAATGTCGGCCATTAGGGTTATTTTTTTGTTAGTGAATAACTATGTTGTGGAAAATCGTAGAAATTTGATCAAAGTATCATTTTAAGCAGAATTTAAAGAAGATTTTTGTGATTTATGCGAAAAACTTGGGTGTTTTACCATTATTTGGTAATTTAAGAAAAAGTGGGACCGTTTTTGAAATTTTAAGGTTATTTCTTTGAAGTGGAATAACTCAGTTGTTAAAAGTCGTAGAAATTTGATCAAAGTATCATTTTAAGCAGAATTTAAATTAGATTTTAATGTATTAAGCAGAAAACTGGGTGTTTTACGATTTTTGGTAATTTAAGAAAAAGTGGGGACCGTTTTTGAAAATTTGAGGTTATTTCTTTGCAGTGGAATAACTCGGTCGTTAAGAATCGTAGAAATTTGATCAAAGTATCATTTTACGCAGAATTTAAAGAAGATTTTTATTTGTTCAGCGAAGAACTTGGGTATTTTATGATTTTTTGGTAATTTAAGAAAAGTGAGGACCGTTTTTGAAAAAAATAATTTGAGGTATAACTCAGTTGTTAAAAGTCGTAGAAATTTGATCAAAGTATCATTTTAAGCAGAATTTAAATTAGATTCTAATGTATTAAGCAGAATACTGGGTGTTTCACGGTTTTTTGTTAATACAAGAAAAAGTGGGGACCATTGTTGAAAATTTAAAGTTATTTCTTTGTGGTGGAATAACTCAGTTGTTAAAAGTCGTAGAAATTTGATCAAAGTATCATTTTAAGCAGAATTTAAATTAGATTCTAATGTATTAAGCAGAATACTGGGTGTTTCACGGTTTTTTGTTAATACAAGAAAAAGTGGGGACCATTGTTGAAAATTTAAAGTTATTTCTTTGTGGTGGAATAACTCAGTTGTTAAAAGTCGTAGAAATTTGATCAAAGTAAAATTTTACGCAGAATTTAAAGAAGATTTTAAATTGTTATGCAAAATACTTGAAAATCTTACTGTTTTCTGTTAATTTACAAAAAATAAGGACCATTTATATAAAATTGCAACTATTATAGTTTCTAAACATAGAATTTACCAAAACCCAACTTACAAACCCATAAAAACAGATAATTTATCGGTAATTTCAAAAAACACGCAAAAAATACCTCCGCAGACAATCTAATAATTTCTTCATCACAAGAAAACAAATTACGTGTCATCATCGACGGCCACAATGGTAAAAGTAACCAGGAGAGCGGGCGCACATCGCAATCATCGCATCTTCGCTTTTTTCCTTTCCTCGTGCGGTCACGCTCGGGACCTTTTGGTCAGACTGTACCGTGGTAACCGTGGTAACATCGCCACGTACTTACATTTCCTTTCTTCGCGTAAGCACTCTATCTGCGCGCGCGAGCGGCGGACGCGAACATTAGTATGCACATCGAGGCAGAAGACGAAGAAGAGGCACGAGCAGCGAATGCTGCGAAAGGGTTCTTGGCGCGCTCGCGGCTTGCACACAATATATTCTCAAAGTAGTAGGATAAAAAATTGAAACACCTCACGTCTCGCTATAAACACGGGCACTTATGGCCCGAGATAATGTCTTATTTATAAGCTGGTGAGCGTGCACGTTGTTGGAAATAAACAACGTCAACTTTACAACATGCATACTGTTGTACTTGCGAACCAACAGAGTTGCACTTATATTTTACCAACTGCCCGCCACGGAATAATATCTTAATATGTTTTTTACACATTGAAAAAATAAAAGACAGGTGTAGAGTGGACATAAATTTACAGCGAATTTGAAAATCACATGTTGCAGTGGTGTTTTTTCTTTGAAAAAGTTTCATCATGTGTTCGCCAGCCCTGGAAAGCTTCGGGTTTTTTGTTTTTTGTTTTTGTGTGTGTTGAGATGTGCCGTGGCGGCTTCGAATGCATTCGTAAAGCGTCTCTTGTAGCTGAGGCCTTTATTTTACAGCTGCGCGACGCCGAGAGGAACGAACTGAAACTGACGCGTTGAAAACGCGTCTACTTGCAACGCCTCGATTCGGGTCCATTTATCGCTGATGATTTATTTCTAGTCGTCACGTGCATACCAATTTTCATTTTAATACGTATGTGAAACAATTCTCGGAGCACAAATGTGGCGGGATCATAAAATTTCATACAAAAACATAGGTTTTATACGTTTTTTGAGGTAAAAAACACATTTTTGGATGTATGTTCCCGAATAAAACCAAAATGGCCGAACTGATTTCAATGAAATTTTCAGAGATGTTATAGAAGGTGTTGTTACATCAAAGAACAAAAAATTATTAAAATATTGTGATTTTACGAGGATTGGCAACTGTTTAATCTTTGTAAGCTGGTTAAAAACTCAATTACTCTTGTAAAAATGCCGGTAAATATTTCCTGAAGTCTAAATATGAATTCTGCGTCGCTCAGTTGTATTCACTTGTGTTTTGTTTAAATGATTTTGTTGTAACGTAACGTGCACCCCAACAAATTAGCTGAAAAATCGTGCTTAAGTTATAGAAATTTGCATTGCAATTTGTGTGTATGTTGGGTTGCATAACCACAACAATATTTCAAATGTTACCATCGATGTCATGTCTTTAAAAAATATTCTAGCTCATAATTCGCTTGAAATGTAAATATTTTCGTCGTTATACGGAGTTTTTCGCTAAAAAGAAGCTAAAATAATGATTTCCACACCTATTATTATTATCCACTTACAATCCACACAAATATCTGTTATTGTTTGACTGCACTCGACATTCCTGTGCTTTAAAAATAATGATCAGTTGGTTGGCCTTGACGTTGACCGCGGCGTAATAATTTGTTGCGCTGTAATGGTGTGGAGATAAATCCAGAAACATCTTTATCCCGTCGTCATCCTCATCATCTATCGCCCGGCTCCGGCTCCGGCTTCGCTTGAAATTAAGTTGTTAAAGGCGGGCACCGCTGCGCGCTCGTCCGGCTGGCGCTCGTTATTCGCCATCTTTCTCCGCACCCAGCCATTCTCTTCGTTCTGTTCTTCAACAGTCGCACTCCGACTCCGACTCCGAGTCGGACGATAATGAGTATGTGTGCTCGAAAAGTAAAACTACCGTGTGTTGCTGTTTCAACGTCTCAGCGTCTCTCCGCTGATGGGAAAACAACTTAGATCTCTCAATCAGCATGGCTGATCTAAATAGCGTCCATTTATGCAACCAAACAAACAAATGCTCACGCCGTTAGTTAGTTACCGTGCAAATCGTTGAATTGTTGATTTTATATGCTTGATATCATGATTTAAGACTTTCACACATCGATTGGTTATGGCAAAATATAACGAGCGACTTACAGTGTTGTCTTTAACAAAAAAATTAAAAATTTTATCAAATTCTAACCTCAAATGTATAAAATTAAACATTTTTTACCATAAAAATTAAATTTTTTACTTAAAAACTCATAAAAACACAAAAACAAAGCAAAAAATAAATTTTAAAAGGTTTTTCAACGTTTCAAGTCCGATTCTGTTAACAATGTGCGCAGCGAACATGAAAGCACTCTTTGTTTACACTCACGGAACTCTCGGTAGGCAAGTGGTAAGATTATAACAAGCAAACAGAATCTAATAATCCAACAAACGCTCGTCAGGCCTAGTGTACCAATCACAAACAACAAACAACAAACAAACACCGTGCGCAGCAAGCTCACGAAGATTAGTTATGCAAATATTTGCGTTCCGAGCTTTCGAGCTTGCTTTTTTTCACATCGTTAAAGACACATTTCCTTCAGCAAACATCGCCACGCCGAGGTAAAAGTAAAAATTTTTCCTCTCTGGTTATTTATTGAGAGGCATTTTGACTTGACCCGCACAGATAGTGGTCTTCGATAGGCACGGCAGCTTCGGTTAACTTATTGGCCCATAAACCGCTGACAGATACATCTCTATTCTATTTACAGCCAAACTTGTTTTCGTCGACACCTTATTAACCAATCGAACAGCTCCGAGAACTGCTGGCCCTTTGAATTTTAATTTTAACGATGCGGGATATAAAATTATAAATTCTACGAAAAGATCTCGTTCGACGAATACAGAATCAATTATTTCTTGTTTGCGTAGGTGTAGATTAAATTTTAGCGATGAAATTTATTATTTTTAAGCTGAATAAACGCTGTCAGCGCGTTGAAGATATGAAATAGTAACACATTGTTCGTCTGAGCGTATAATGTGAAATGTTCCGGGCGATAATTGTCAGGTTTTGTGAGGAATTATTCCTACGACGCATTGAAAGCGGCTTTTTCTGGAATTCTATCGCCTACGAGTCGCACAAAAGAAGCTTCTAATGATAAATGTCGACACCTAGCCAGAGACTATGGTCGGCTACATGTTAAAGAAGAATAACAGCTCGGACAATAAAATACAACACGTGAATACGTTTTTTTCTTTGATTGTCATGGTATAATCGCTGTCGATTTGCACAAATGTATGTAATACTTGGAAAAATACAAAAACATAACCTAAACTTAGTATAACCTCATAGGTAGGCAACCCATCTTGCTTTATATTAAACTAGCTTTAACCCGCGGCTTCGCTCGCGAATATCTAAAATAATGAAGTTGCTTCCGTACGCGTCTGTAGTCACAGAAGAAGTAACAATGAAGTAGAATGGCGGGAAGTTTAAAATGGCTGAAAGTATAGTCTATGGAAGTATAGTGTACAGTCTGCATAGTGTAGTCAATTGGATTTGATGTTGACGTAGCTGTCGGTAATACAGTGTGATAATACAGTGTGATGGTACTATAGTACTTAGGTTTGAGCTTCATTGCTGGAATGCTAGATGGCGTTAAAGTAGTCAAATAGCCAGATGCAGAGGTATTATTGGCTAAACAATTTCTTTATTTTATTTAAAAATAATTTTTTTAATTAAATAAAAAGTAGCCTATAACCATTCGGGGACCACTAAGAATATGTGTACAAATTTTCATGATGATTGGTTAAGTAGTTTTTGCGTTAAAGTGTAACAAACATCAGGACTTTCGCATTTATAATATTAGTAGAGATACGTGATTTTTTAAAAGTTTTTTTTAGTTTTTATTTAATTGTAGTTGAGTATAACTGAAGGTTCAATACGCCATCACGACCTTGAGTATTCTAGTCATTGTCAGCTTTGTCTGGTACTGCCATTGTGGGATTTTTACATTTCATTTTATTTAATTGTCAATAGTTGGGTACCAGCATCACAAGCACGTCTTTTGTTGCTTCTCAGGGCATTATTCGCTCCGGAAACCCTTACTTACTGAATAACATCTCAACTTTCACGTTTTCTAAGGGCTGAAAACCGTAAAAAAAGCGCAGATGCAGAATTTTCGATTTTTTCTTTTCACATGTTTCTAAACGTCCATATTATATAATTGATCATTGTGAAGAACTTCTCCATCATCTTCAGTTTTAATTGTGTGCGCTGGAGCCGTCGGGGCGCGGGCACGAGTTAAGATATAACCGAACTGTCTTGGCAGGTGCGGAACGAGTTACAAATGCTTTCCGGAGATTATAACTCAACTAGATATTTATCGGCCGAGGCTCGTAAGACTGGTTGGTCGGTCTCTGCTGAGATGGTAGGAGCTTCTCTCGCCGCCGTCGCCGCCGCGTGCAAAAATCATTGCTCGATGTGGCATAACCAGTCTTCAAAGCGCTCGCGCATTTTTCCTGCATAATAATCCGATAAAATGCAATTTATGCAGATGCACGCCGGATTTGAGCCGCAACTTGTTATATTTAATTTATCGCAAATTAGTTGTCATTTATTTCGTGAATATTTCATGCGCGATTAATTTCCACAAGGATTTCATCGAATTCCAGGACGGAATTTGTGTTAATTCCAGTGTTAGTCTTTTATTATTAACCAGAAAACTTCAACACACACGTGATTATCCTCTGACAAGTTAATTATCCGTAAAATGACGAAATATGTACAATTTGATAGGTTTATATTAATTTTTTCGGTGTAACGACGAAAAATATTTTCATTTCAAGCAATTATGAGCTAGAATATTTTTTTAAAGACATGACATCGATGGTAACATTTGAAATATTGTTGTAATTATGCAACCCAACATACACACAAATTGCAATGCAAATTTCTATAACTTAAGCACGATTTTTCAGCTAATTTGTTGGGGTGCACGTTACGTTACAACAAAATCATTTAAACAAAACACAAGTGAATACAACTGAGCGACGCAGAATTCATATTTAGACTTCAAAAAATATTTACTGGCATTTTTACAAGAGTAATTGAGTTTATAACCTGCTTACAAATGATTAAACAGTTGTCAATCCTTGTAAAATCACAATATTTTTATAATTTTTTGTTCTTTGATGTAACAACACCTTTCTATATCATCTCTGAAAATTTTATTGAAATCAGTTCGGCCATTTTGGTTTTATTCGGGAACATACATCCAAAAATGTGTTTTTTACCTCAAAAAACGAATAAAACCTATGTTTTTGTAAGAAATTTTATGATCCCGCTACATTTTACAAGAGTAATTGACTTAATAACCAACTTACAAATGATTAAACAGTTGCCTATCCACGTAAAACCCCAAAATTTGGTTATGTTTTTATTCCCCACGTCGTTATAAAGACGCAGAGCAAAAGTAATGCTCTCCTTTGAGAATTTTATGCTCTTTACGCATGCTTGGCTTCATTTAGTTACATTGCATATTTGAGATTTATCAGTTCACATCACTTGTTGTCTAGCGGCGGTGCGGACGCAAAAGCTCTCTGTGCTCTTCTGCGCAGCGTTAATGCTCCCCGGCCGGGCGGATTTAACGTAATCACCGTTGGATTCATCATTTAATAACTATATTAAGCCGGCGGCGGCCTCTTTGATCTTCGGCGGCGCTGATGCAATCGTCAATTTTCGACCGGCCGACCGCGCCAGGCACGCCGCTGTGTAATTTACGTCATGCTACGTCGCAGAGCAGCCTGTATAACATTTAAATGTGCGCGTACAGGTAAAGGTAGAGAGCTGAAATTCTACATCGACTTGCGATGAAACTTTTACTACCTCTTCGACGGCTATAAATTTATTATATATTGTAAATTTATTTTCTGACGCGCAGCGGACCAGCAAAAACTTCCAATACCGATATTGTAAAATTTTTCCTCACGCAAAATTAGAGTAGAAAACAGAAGTCAAAATAAATTAGTAATTTGATACTTTTCGTCGCCACCTCGCCTCAAGGTCCTCACCAGGCGCAAAAATAAAAGCTCTCCAAACCATATGTCGCACGTTCTCGCCGATTTTTACCAACTGTATCTAATCTCGCGCGCAACGCTGAAACTGCAGATGCTTTAATGACTCAATTAAGGGCTAAAATCCGGATGAAAAGAAACCCAACCTGTTTGCAATGAGATTTAAAATTCCAGCGCGCAAAGGATGTTATAAACTATAAATAAAAATATAAATATAAATAGAAAAACAGCAAACGCGCTTTGGAGAGACGAAAGAAGCACACATCGTAAAGATAGTCGGGTCGCATGATTGAACAAAGATAGTTTCACTGATGTATAGTTGGGATGAAGAAGGATACGAGACACAAGAGGATAAACTAGAGAAACTTTAATGGTTGAAATGGAAGTGTGGTGGTCGCGTCTCCGTTGGACTTGTACCACCAGCGGGGCGCCCTTCTCGCTCGTCAGGCTGTCAGCCTCTTTCCAACACAACTTAATCTCGACGACCCGACTTCCACCGCGCGCGGCTTCATTGCGACGCCGTACGTTGCTCAGACAGGCGCGCACATATCGTTTAAGTTTGCTTCGGGTTTCTGGTTAGTAGACTATTCACGCTCAGTGGAGGCGCGTCGCGAGCACAAGCGCAAGGATTATACACACAAACAGTGATCATAACAAACAAAACAATTCAGTGAATTTAATTCAAATGTGAACAATTCTAAGTTTTCTTTTGGGAAATGTGAGTGAGAGTTTTGGAAAGTGTAAACGCCACACACCGTTCAGCGGTAAGTCTATTTTTATAAATTTTTAAATTTAGAAACTTGACTTAAGTAGTGTTTGAGCTTGACTTTGACTACCTGCAACAAAAATTTGACAAAACTGATAATTTGCAGGTATGTTTTGGATCATAATGTCCGTGGTGGCATTGGTAGTGGATGCCGCAGTTGGTTTAGAGGCACGTGCGCAGGTGCCGTGCGAAGAAGCGCGTTTGAAATGCGCGTACCGCGAAGGTTGCGGAATGGCCCTACAGAATTACATGGTTGGATGTTCCGCGGTCCTCCAGGGACCCACACAACATTGCCCACAAATATGTCTACACTCCCTCATAGCCCTTACATCCACAGAAGAAGGACGTGACTTAATGAACGTAAGTAAACTTAAAAACAAAAAAATCAAATTTTCATTCAAAAAATTTCAGTGTCAATGCAATGATGAATTCTGCGAGGAACAAAAAAGTCGTGTGGAGATCTGCCGCCCTTCTGTAACCCACGCTAATCGTAATGGTAGTGTGGTGTCCTGCACAGCTGCCCAATGGATCTGCGCAGCTGACACACTTTGCTCCACCGCCTTGGAGTACTACCATCGCAACTGCAAGTCAATGTTCAATGGTAAAAAGTGCACACATCGATGCCAGAACTCCATCAATATCCTCCGAAGACAGGAAAAAGCAGCGAAATTAAAAACCTGCAAGTGTAGTGGTCATGAAGACTATGACTGCCCTGTTATCCAAGCAAACATGGCGCGATTGTGTTTCCACAAGAAGGTGGCCCAGGTCGACGTAACCGTTGGTAATACCGAAACAAACGTCATCCAGCATCAGCTCGAGATAGAACCGCCAACAACCGGTGGTGGTAGTGGTGGTTATTGTGACTTAAGTCATGTGCATCATATGCTGGTGGGTTTAATCTGTGTCGCTATTCTTCACCGGCGGGTTACGTGACGAACTGGGCACACAGACTTCCTCCAACTACCTCCTACCTTCAACAATTCTACATCTAAATATCATGTACATAGACAAGACAAACTCTAACCAAAGAAATGCTTGCCCACCAGATTCTAGCAGGATATTGTATTATAGCGTTCTTAATTTATTTCCGGACACAATTTATTCACACATATACACACAGACCGCGCGACAAGAGACTGATGATTACAATTCGCCAACACTCGCACTAATTATTTATGCCTAGCTGATAGTAGATTTATTTACATTTGTAAATTTAGTCGCTAATATGTTTTATGTATATAAGTACTTGTTATTTTGAACAGAAATTTTATACGATTGGTGAATGTGCGTTATTATTGTTGTCCTGTCAGCTGAGCGCGAAGAAAACGGCCTTGATGGAGGCGTACGCGCGGCGGTCAAAAAGAATGTTACAATAAAGTTTTGTTGTGTTGCGCGCGAGGAGGAGAAGAGGGCTCCAGAGGTCTGCACGCGCGCGCACGGTGGTCCGAGGCCAATTAAGGCACACCGGTGTGCGCCATGAGCCATGGAGGTATATGAATACGTCCGTTTTCCGCCGCTCTCTTCGCCGGCGACCGGGGACCTTAATCAATGTCTTCAAACGCCCGGCGAATCTTGCGCAAGTAATAATAGCGCCATTTGAGATACAAATTCAAAAACAGATTTCGAAAGTGGAGCATGTTACCGTTACCGGCGCGAGTCGTGGGTGAAAGTGCGCTGCGTGTGCGCAAATGAAGCAATTAGTTAGCATGTGATAAGCGTGCGCGTTGGTCATTTTTTTTTCTTACTCTCTGTGGCAAAGTCAGAGAGTAAGCCCTGCGCGCGCGCGCAGTAGGAGTATATCCCGCGTCGCGGGAGGGAAAGAGGCACGAGGAGGACGGGTCCCGCGCCACACACGACGGCGGCCACACCGTGGACCACCCAGCGCGGCCCCCGAGGCATTAGGGGGGCGCTCTCGTAACAGTCGTACGGAATCGTAATACTACCGACTCGCCAGCCAACACACCAACATTCACAAACACAACCAAAGCTCTTTTACTATGCGGATGCAAGAGGCTGAGATGTGAGATGCACAAGGCTGATCTCCGGCCGAGTGACGCTCTGAATCATTCTTTCGCTATGCGCCGCGTCCAACGTGTACTTTTAGTCAACTCGACGGAATTGCGCTTTTCTATAAGTGAGAAAATAAAAGTTACGGCCGAGTTCATTGTCGTCTCTTCGAGAGAGCTGGAGAGCAGATGGTTTTTAATGCAGCTATAAATAATGGCGTCCCGCGAAGATATTTCATGATTAACATATCAATATAACTATCAACTTTGTATCCTGCGAGTCTAGTCGCTACAAAATTACCATATCATTCACGGATTTAATTGAGTAATCAAGTTTACAAATTTTTTCTCCAAATTTTTGTTTGTTTGACTTTTAAAATGAAGTTTAGTCACGTGCGCACGTGTCAATTGTTAAAATACGGAAGTAACCTCAAAATAAACACTAGGAAACCTAAAAGGTTATGTTTCATGCACGGCCATCTTGTTTTTCGATAGAAAACACTTATTATTCGTCTATAAACTTCATGATTCATTAATATTAAGCGGTTTCCTATCAACTTTGTATGCCTCGCGTCTAGTCACTACAAAATTACCATATCATTCACGGATTTAATTGAGTAATCAAGTTTACAAATTTTTTTTATCCAAATTTTGTTTGTTTGACTTTTATAATGAATTTTAGTCACGTGCGCACGTGTCAATTGTTAAAATACGGAAGTAACCTCAAAATAAACACTAGGAAACCTAAAAGGTTATGTTTCACGCACGGCCATCTTGTTTTTCGATAGAAAACACTTATTATTCGTCTATAAACTTCATGATTCATTAATATTAAACGGTTTCCTGTATTTTCATCGCGTGCTTAATCACCGATCAGTTTTCCATGCATTCATAATGAATATGCGGCACGACGTTCACGCTGAGTACACACGGAAGTAGAAACCAGTGTAATTGTCACGTATTGCATCTTAATAATGATAATATCGGTAATTCGCCAGTAACGACTCTCGAAATATGTTTTTGTCTTGTTTGAGTTGTTAAAATGTTAAAAATGTGTCAGATGTGTGACAATTAACAAGCAAACATGAAATTTTAACTCGTTACGGTGTTTATTCATCATTTAGATGCTCACAGCAGAGAATAAACATTGAAAATTAGGTTGCATACATAGTTGTGAGTGTATATAACCTAATTGATGCAAAAAGTTGATGAAAATGCTGATTTAAAGGCTTAAATGTTAAAAATCGTTCAAAAAGTTCATGAATTCGATGTAGAAATTGATTTCATAGGAAATTTGTAAATATTTATCATTTACACGCTCACAGAGATGAAAAAGCATTGGAAATTAGGTTGCATACATAGTTCACAGTGTATATAACCTCACCAATTCAAAAAATCAAACAAAATGGCTGATTTACAAGCTTAAATGTCAAAAATCTTAGTAAAATCCGTGAATTTAGTCTTTTAATAGGAAATTAGTGATTATTCATTAATTACATGGCCACTGCAATAAATAAACATTGTAAATTAGGTTGCATACATACTCCTGAGTGTATATAACATAACCAATTCAAAAAATCAAACAAAATAGCTGAATTACAGGTTTAAATGTCAAAAATATTAGTAAAATCCGTGAATTTATTTTTTTACTAGAAAATTAGGGATTATTCATTAATTACATGGCCACTGCAATAAGTAAACATTGTAAATTAGGTTGCATACATACTCCTGAGTGTGTATAACCTCACCAATGCAAAAATCAAACAAAATGGCGGATTTATAGCCCTAAATGTCAGAAATTGTAATAAACTCGGTGATTTTATTCCGTTTCCTGTTTCTACTTGAATATAAATATAGTATTACCTTATCCAAATACAGATCACATCTAGGAATTCATTTCATAGGAAAGTTGCGTGCTATAACTAACCAGAATGCCTTTTATGTATTTCACGTATATTTACCCACACCGTGGGTGAAGATTAAGCACTGAATCGATATGCACACACTACACTCGCGTGCTTATTATTCGATTGTGGCGCTCGAGTCACCCGACGCGCATTTTAAACAAAATTTATGTGCTCACACAAGAATATATATTTATATACGATCCATATATTTATTAAACAAAGTGGCATTATAGAAACGTGCACGCACAATCGAAATGTTCCATGCCATTTGAATTTAATTCTATTCGGGCATTGTTCCTCGTTCTTTTCAAAGTGTTGAAACATGAGCCAAAGAAAAGACGCGATCAGCAAATAGCTATTATTTTATGAAAGGTGCAATCATTTTGTCGTTAGGTTTTAAAATGTTAAAATCACGCTGCGCTTCGGGAAAAAATAAACAAAACAAGCAACAAGCTAATCCAATTCTAATTACACGCACAGATGCCAATGGCGTCGTTATGTTTTATTTATTCGAACGCGATACTAATCAGTGTCGGGTTCAAGAAGGTGTGCGCGCTGCATATGAGATGAAGACATCATTGAGACAGGTGGTTCCTCCGCGGGCGATACAGGTATGTATGAGAGAACGACCGCAGCTAACGCCGCGCGTGTACCAACTTCTTTAACAAGAAAAGAACACATCCCGAACGCCATTCCAATATATACAGCATGTGTATAACATACAAAACAAACCAAAATGGTTGACAAGTGTATGTTTGGTTGCCTACACCGATGATGCTTAAAATTTATCTGCACTCAACAAGCAATTAATTTTACGACATTTTAATTACCGAATATAATTACATGCTGGTATCATTAACTTAACGACTTTGTATGCAAATAAATTACTTAATTAATTATAATCGAATGTTTTGTAGAAAAAAGTTTATTTGCATAGAATAACTAAACTCGTGTCACAGTTTGCATGTTTATGCATGAGTCTAATTTAAAACGCCATCAAGCGGACAACTACCTTGATGTTGTTGACACCACTGCGGCTGAATGGCGTCGGATTTAATATTCAATCGCACCAGCCGCTCGCGATGAATCTCCATGCGTTCTTCGGCGTCTTTCCATGTGGATTCTGGTTCGGACCAGAGACGCTCAGCCATGGCGGCCGCACGTGGCCACAAACGACTATCGATGACAGTATCATCAGCCTGTTCAGTCCAGAGCGTTGCCTCGGCTCCCATCATCAAATTCTTGTATTTATTACCTGCAATCTTCGCCGGACTGTTCTCATAAACCTTCTGCCAACCTATATATGGTGAACACCAATTGTTACCATCTGTTACCCAACCAGCGAACCCACAATCAAAGTAAAGCGCATCGTAGTTACTCAAAATGGTCCGGTAACCATTCTTCAACAACTCCTTGATCTGGGGATCGTTACCCAAGGTCCAGATTTGAATAATGTAAGTGTCATTCTTTAAATATTTGGTTAGGTAGTCTTTTGAGGTTAGTTTACTTGTCCACATGATAATCGGGAGTTTATGCCCTCGTTGTTTTGTGAAACGATCAAGGGCTTGGGATTGGAAGTGGTCCCATAACTTCATAAACCCTGGATCATCAATGGTCATGTTCCTTTCGGTCATCCAGGAGACAATATTGTCCTCGGACTTCCAGCAGTTTTCATTAACTTCATCCCCACCCATGTGGAAGACTGTAGGATCAAATTGTTCAACCATATCTTTGTAGATTTTCTCCAAAGCGTCATAGACTCCTGGTTTAGTAGGATCCAGTTGTCCACAAGGTGGTTCCACACAATAACTCTGCCAGGGTTTCTTGTTGAAGCAAGCTAGGAGTCCTGTATCCTGCCATCCTTCCCCAACATGAGCAGGGGCATCAAATTCGGGAAGAATCATCACCCCACGTTCTTTACCAAATTCTATAATCTCAGCGACATCTTCAGGTGTGTAAATTTTTTCTCTAGAGTAAGCTCCCAGCTTGGATAACTGAGGCATTGATTTGGATACGTATGGAAAACTATGACTATCAGTGATGTGCCAATGGAATACATTCAATTTGGAGGCGGCCATTCCTTCGATAGTCTGTTTAATCACATCAGTAGAAACATAATTCCGGGAGGTGTCTAGGAGGATACCACGATGTGGGTAAATAGGAGCGTCTTCAATGTAGACATCATCAGGCATCTGGAGTTCATCACGCAGATCATCGTAGAATATCAGCTGATTGAGTGTTTCCATTGCATGGCGTCCTCCGAATAAATTTCGGGATTTTATCTGAGCGTTTATACGACCATCGGAGGTTTGGGTGACGTTTAAACTATAACTTTCGTCTTGGTTGTAGAGGAATTTCACACTGGACGAGTCTTCGATTTCTAGCATTACAATAAGACTACGTCCGCCGGCTTTGAGAGTACTTTTCTTGGGTTTTAAGAGTTCGATGTTGTGTTTGAAGCGTTTCGCAGCGCCGTTGATTATGCTTCTTATGGGGCTGTCGCCTTTGTGTGTCAACACATCGATGCTATTGTAATTCACCTGCAGTAACGAGCGTTTTACTTCGACGCGTCCGGTTGGCTTGGGCCAGAGGGACGCGTATTTTGAGCAGAAGATACGGCATGCGCCGAGGGACACGGCATTGTCGCGGTTGTCTTCGGTGAGACGCACTTTCTGACAGTAGCCTTTTATGCATTCGTAGGCCCATTCAGAATCATTACATCTAGGTAAAAATAAAATTTTTTCAAAACGTTTTTCTTTGATTATAATAAAAGTATTAAATTTTTCTGAATTTTTCTTTTTGCATTTTATAGTTCATGTTATTATGAGCAATTCTATACAAAATTTACGTTTTTATCTTTTATAGTTCAAGAGATATAACGATTTTTACAATTTATTTTTATGCAGAGTTTAATCGGTATTAAATTTACTTTCTAAAGACACTTTGCGCCATCTGGTGAGAATTAAACCAACTAAGTTATAAAACTATAGTCAATATTTGATTTCACAGTAATCCCTGAATAAATAACACGTTATTGATTCAATCGCGTGTAGTTCTATTGATCCACAAAAAAACCTCACACTTTACTACACTACAAGTAACGTAACTAAACAAAAAACAAATATTTATTACCTGACAGTTGACAAACAAACGCCGGCGATGATAACACCGAGCGCAATCCTCGTAATCATTTTGAATTCGCTGCGTGACGATTTGAATCACTACAAAACAAAACAAACAGTAAATTTAGCAGTGACCTTGCATTGTACTAGTATGAGAGTGACACTTATGCAACTTGTTATTAATCATACGCAAATCTAATGTACAGCTACTGCGCGAATTGCGTTAATGGTAATGATAATGAATAATAAGCCGCACTTTTACTACTTACCGGCAACGGCTGAGCTGTGCGCACTTGCGCAGTTAACGAACGATTGTCGTGTCAGCGAGTCGCTTGGAATAGTGAAAGTGTAAAACTGATGGCGTGCCGGCAGCCGGCAGCTCGTGGCGTGTGTCTTGCGTAGAAATTAAAGCAGCAAACTAAATAAAAGCGTTAACCGCCGCGACGGAATCCCGAGTAAAACAAATCTGCATTTTATACATTAATATACAATCCCCACTCTCCTCGCGATCGGATATCACGAATAAAAACAAGAAAGACGTTTTGGTTTTTATCTTCAGCTGGTTTCATAAATTTTATTTTATTTCTTTGATTATTAAGTCCAGCGGTGACTTAAAATTTAATTTTTTGTGTTTTTAGACCAAAATATTAAAGATTTAAGTTTTTTGCCTTCCTGTGCCTTTAAAAGAATCAATTTGACTTTAAATTAGCTCATTAACCACCGAAATTTATTATATTTTTGCCCAAAACTGTAAAAATGTAAAAAATTTAACGGAACCGCAACGATTTATACTCAATAAATGTTTGTTTGTAATACATTAAGATTAAAAACAGGTTCTTATCATAATTACGCTGTTTGTCTGTGTGTTAACGACGACAACTATCCTGATTCAAATAGCACCATTGCGGTACCAAAGTATCTGCATGAATACCCAATTTGAGCATGCGCTGACGATGCGAATCTAATCGGTATTCCGCCGCAGCCCAGCTGCTCGTGGGTTCGGCCCATACGCGTTCCGCCAACGCAGCCGTCCGCGGCCATATTCTATTCTCAACAGATGGATCATCAGACGTTTCCGTCCATAGCGCAGCTTCTGCACCTAATATCAACTGAGGCTTATTTAATTCCGCGCCGAATGCGGCTATGATTTCAGCCGGGCTTGTTTCGTAGATTTTCTTCCATGTGGTGTATGGGGCACACCAGTTGTACCCATCTGCAACCCAACTATGAAGCCCACAATCCAAATATAAAGAATCGTAATAAGAAAAAATCATTTTGTAATCTTTACTGAGAAGATTCGCGATGGTTTCGTCTGTACCGTTGGTCCAAACATGGATTATGTATTTATCAGGGGGTACCATGTGTAAATTTTCTAAATCTGTTAGTTTACTGGTCCATAAAATAGCTGGGATTGTTTCTGGGAGGTTTTCCATAAAAATTTCATAGGTTTTATTGTGGTAATAGTTCCAAAGTTGAAGGTACCCTGAATCTAACACTGTGGAGAGGTTATGTGATGACATCCATGTTGTAATGGATGATTCCGATCGCCAACAGTTGAAATTGACTTCATCTCCACCAAAGTGAAAAGCAATCGGGTCGAAAACATCAATAAAATCCTTGTATAACACTAAAAAATCAATTTTTTTCAATTGGTACCCTCTTAAACACTTAAAAAAACTTACAACTTAATGTTGTATACAACTCATCTTTCGTAGGATCAAACTGCCCACACGGTGGTTCCTTACAATACCAATCCCATGGTTGTTTATTGAAACACACCACTAATCCACTATCCTGCCATCCTTCACCAACATGAGCTGGTCCATCAAATTCCGGTATCACCCGCACACCTCTAACCAATCCCCAATTTATAACACCCTGTATATCTTCCACAGAATACACTTGTTTATCTGAATAAGCTCCTAGGTCACTCAGAGAAGGTAAAGATTTCGACACGAATGGAAAACTAGATGAATCCGTGATATGCCAATGTAAAGTGTTCAATTTATTGACAGCCATACCTTCAATAACGCTCTTAATCTTCGCCACAGAGACATAATTATGTCCTGTGTCCAACATTAGACCACGATATGAATACACTGGTTTATCTTCGATAATAACTTGTTTGGGTACCACATACACCTGATCACTTTCATGGTACACCAATAACTGTGATAATGTTTCCAGAGCGTGTCTTGCACCGAAAATATTCACAGATTTAATTGTAATTTCAACACAATTGTTATTATTTGGTATTATATGCAAAGAATAACTTTCATCAGTGTCAAAATACAATTTTGACGATTCTAAGTCTGATATATTAAAGTGTATTCTGGTTTTATCAGGTAATTGAGCTGTGTTCTTATTGTGGTCGTTATAAATTGAGGTTATGGTGAAAAATCTATCAACTATTGCTTTTAATTGAACAGAATGAGTTCCGGAACCTGTGTAGCCATCTTCCAAGTCAATTGGGACAAATTCCCGTATGATTTCGAATCTTTTGGTAGGCATAGGCCATATTCTCGAGTAGGTACCACATGTCAACTCACATAATGCTGGAGATATCAGTTTCTCATTTGCTGGTAACCTGGTTTTGATACATTTACCGTTCTCACAGGTCCATGTCCATGGAGAACTAAAATATTTCCATTATAACCTTTAAATTGGTTGGACAATGACTTACCTTTGAACTAATGTGAAAATTGTCAGTAAAATTATTACAGGTGTCATCATTTTCACTGATTATGGCAATTAAAAAACAATCATGTGATTTTTTTTGATGTGTGTTATCAATAACCATGCTCACACTTCACTATCTCAATGATAAATGACAACTGTGTGTAACTGAGAGTGAAATTGTTGACCTTCGTGATAAATTACCTCCATTGTGATATTATTACACTTTTGATTATGTCTTTATTAAACATGCAACATATTTTTACACTTAACAAGTATTTAAGTACAACTATCCTGATTGGCACTACACCATTCCGGGACTAAAGTGTCTGCTTGAATACCCAACTTAACCATTCTTTCCCGGTGTGAATTTAACCTATATTCTGCACTAGCAGAGTCTGTAATGGGTTCCGCCCATACACGTTCTGCTAATGCAGCTGTCCGCGGCCATATCCTGTTTTCCGCCGATGCATCATCAACTGTTTCAGTCCATAAAGCAGCTATTGATCCCATAATCAAATGTGTTTTGTCTCTGCCCACGTGGAAACTTTGTGCGATCATCGCGGGACTGTTTTCGTAAACAAGCTGCCATGTTTTGTATGGGGAACACCAATTGTTACCACTGGAACCTGTCCATTTGTGAAAGCCACAGTCTAAATATAATGCATCATAGTTGGAGATAATTATTTTGTAATCATTCAGAAGGAGATTTGCGATTGTTGAATCTTTTTTGTCTGTCCACACGTGGATAATGTATTTATCATTTGGTAGGTTATGTAAGTGTTGTTTATCTGTGAGTGTACTAGTCCACATTATAGCTGGTAATTGTCTGGCAGCTTCCTGCATTAGATTATTATAGGTTTTGTTTTGGAACATGCTCCATAACTCAACATAACCTGAATCCCAAAACGTAGAAAGTCCATTTTGTTTCATCCAATTCTTGATTGATTCTTCAGAACGCCAGCAGTTGAATTCTACTTCATCACCACCAAAGTGGAAAGCAACAGGGTTGAATGCCGCGAGTAAATCTCTATACAATACTGTAATTTACATTAAAATATTTTAGGTTAGAAAATTTTGGGACCAAAAATTTGGTTACCTTTCAAAGTAGAATATAATTCTTCTTTCGTTGGATCAAATTGCCCACATGGTGGTTCCTTACAATAGGAACCCCATGGTTGTTTATCAAAACACACCACTAATCCACTATCCTGCCATCCTTCACCAACATGAGCTGGAGCATCAAATTCCGGGATTATTCTTACACCTCTTACCAAAGCAAATTGTACCAAATCTTGGATATCTTCATGGGTGTAAACTTTCCGAGGAGAATATGCTCCTAACCCAGACAATTCCGGAAGTGACACGGATACAAACGGGAAACTTTGAGAATCGGTAATATGCCAATGTAAAGTGTTCAATTTATTAACAGCCATTCCTTCGAGAGTCTTCTTGATTGTATCTATAGAAAGATAATTTCTAGATGTATCAATCATCAGTCCACGAATTGGATACTTGGGACCATCCGAAATGATTACTTTTGTTGGTGCCACTAAAGTGTCACTTACAGAATCGTGAACAATCAATTGACTAAGTGTCTCCAAAGCATTTCTAGCTCCAAAAATTGTTGGAGAATAAATATTTATTGCAGGAATATCATTTATCATCTCAATATTAAGTGTATAGCTTTCATCCACTTCAAAATCAAGTAGAGCGGTGTCAAAATCATTGATAATAAAATGTATCTTTGTTTTGGTGGTATTTTTGTGCAATTCTGAAGTTTTGGGAGAAGATGTGTACTTATCAAGGACATTCATGAATCTATCAAACATTTTCATCAAAAGATCATTCTGAGTCTTTGATTTTGCGTTGACAGTGTACGAAGGGTCGAGGGAAATGGCCGTCAGCTGTTGCTGCATTTCAAAATGGCCGTTTGGCATCGGCCACACTCTTGAATATTCAAAACACGATAACTCACACACTTCAAGGCTAACGGCATAATCGCCAGGTTGCAATCGTTCTTTAACACATTTGTTATCACTACAGGTCCATGTCCAGTAATCCGCACTACGAATAATTAATGTAATAATTGTTTAAACACATTTCTAATAACTTACCATAAACCTAGAGGAATTAAACTCGCTAGGATGGTTATGATTAACATTTTGACAGTGTTATCACAAACACGTTCAGATTGTAACTAACGAAACGTGGTTTTTGTTTAAACTTGGAATATTGATGAAAAATAGCTTGTTGAACAATCACTTGTCACTTGCGGTGTGATAATCGACCACTTTTCGATATATTATGTTGGGTTGAGTAATGTTCAATTGTTTTTATCACAAAAACAAAGTTTTTCAGATAAAAATATACAAAATATGGTCATTTTGAATCAAAAAAATTTTAATTTAAATTTAACATAGTGTCTTATAAGGCCAGTCATCTTCGGTGTTGATGTAGTAAATTCCAGTTGCATTTAAATCCAAGTTATCGCCGTAAACAATCAAATTTTTACAGTTTTCGGGATTATTGCTTGCTTTATAAGCGCGATTGTCAATTGTCAAGCGATATAGAATGATTGCGAACGCATGACTGCACGTATCTGCAATAAAATCATGTAATTATTAAATTATTTACTTTCTCTGGTGAAAATTTCACTTACTAACTAAACTAGGACTGATTAAATCAAACGCAGTGGATTCTCCGCAAAATCTTTGCGTTTCACCACCATTCACATAGAAATCTACACTGCCGACATTTTGATTTGATCCCCAAAAGATACTATTTGTATGTGTTACATCAACAACATCAGCATCACTTCGCCGTAAAGAAAGGACGTTTTGAACACCGAAATAACTCTCAAATAACGCTCCAGCCGCTTCTAAACCTGTAATTCTACCTATGGCGGCGTTTTCCGGATGGTGTTCTTGCACATAACATCCTGCATAACCAGCAATATGTGCACCTAATGTCACAGCAACAATATGAACTGTTTTTACATCTATTTCAAGTGTATCATGCAGTAACATTATCATCTCGCCGACTTTGTTACCAACTCTTGATATTCCATTGAACACCACATCAATATAACTATTTTGCGCTGTGTTACTCCAATCTACAAATATTACATTGCGATCGTTTAGGTCCCGGTAAGCTGTGGTGATGTTTAATAAATAAATGTCGATGCTAACGCTTGTGTGCCATCCATGAATGAGGAAAACAGTGGGAAGACTACGATTGAGGTTATGCAATGTGTTGGGTGTAATGTCCATGCGATTTGTTTGTGAGAATTGGATAAAAATAACCGGTTCTGAGTGATCACGATCATCCTGAGCATCTGAAACAATTATAAGTTGTTTATCAGTGGTTTATCTTTAATAAAAACAAAGTACTTGATGTTATAATGTCGTTAAAAGTTATTAAAACAAGTAAACAAGTGGATATTGTATACATTTTTATAAAATAAAATAAAAATTCATTTTCTTTTTATATTTTAATGCAGTAATGATGACCTACTATTTTATTTATCGAAATATTTTAATATTGTTGTAGATAATGTGAAAAACCTGATTCGTGCACTCAAGGCAAACATCTCGAATGTATTATGTTGAACTGCAAAACGGATAAAATCATCGAAGCGTGTTAAACTCACAATCATTCACAATGATGAAGCATTTAAATTTCAATTATAACCCGGTTATAATTGGTTTCAATCTGAGCGACATTCCAGTTGAAACTCGCCGTAAATTATAAATTACGCCTATGTTTTGAATTATTTAACATATTGATTTGTATGGATAATCATTCTCAGTGCGCAGGAAATATATTCCAGTTGCATTTCCATTGAAGAGGTCACCGTAAACAACTAGATTCTCACACGTGTCGGGACTTGATGATGCTTTATAATCACTGTTACCAATTGATACTCGAAAGATAATAGAAGCAAATACATGACTGCAGAGATCTAAAACAAAATAATTAATATTATCTGCTTTTTTTGGAGTTTTTAATCATACTTAGAATAATCCCACCAAGAGGATTCATCGTAGCTTCATCACAAGCTGTCTGTGATAATCCGCCATTGATATAAAAGTCAACCGAGCCAATATTATCAGTGGTACCCAAGAATTCCCCATCTGTATGTGAAATGTCCACGATATCAGCATCAGTAGCCCTCAAGGCGTTTGGATTTTCAAATATCCCGAATACCCTGCCTAATAATGGTCCCGCTGGGTCCAATCCAGCTATTCTATGAAGCGTGGAGTTTGTACGTTGTTTTATGTACCGTCCCGCAAACCCTGCGATATCAGCACCCAAAGATTCGCCAAAAACTTCAACTTGTTTCAGATTTACACCGTGTGATAGCAATAAAAGTATTTTGTCACCAAGGGCCGTACCAATCTGAGATATACCACCGTAAACTAATATAGGATAGTTGATTGCAAAAAGATACCCTGTCCAATCAACACAAATTGAATTATAACCAACATCTCTGTAGGCTGATGTTATATTTGTGATGTAGTTGTCCGTGGCCATACTGGATAAGAATCCGTGAACAACAAAGACTGTTTTGACTGTAGGGTCAATATATTGAAGAGTTTCCGGGGAAAGGTCGTAGAATTGTTTGTCCTTTGCATAAATAACAAATTTGACGTTTTCTGTAGTTGTTGGAGGCATTTGTGCATCTAAAACAGTGAAAAATTGATTAATATTAATAAAATTGATTGTTTTAGGTGTTTTTTTTACTTGTAACACAAATCCCAGCAATAAAAACAATAAAATATAGCATTTTAAGTGTAAATAATGCAAAAATGAACATTATATCTCTTATACCTTGGGTATTTATTCATTTATTTCCGAATAAGATAAGTTTAATGATAAATTTATGAAAAAAATGGTAAAATAACCTTCAGTTAACAATACCACACTAAATCCTTTGTTCCACATGAATAAATTTAGTATATAAGGTCATAAAATGCAATTATCAACTATATTTTAATATTTTTCTAAAGTTATGTTGAAATTATTGTTGATATTTGCAATTTCTGATGTTGTATGCTCTCAAACAACATCAATTGACAATATACAATACATAGTCTACTCTAAAGACAACAATTATGATTTAACACCTGAAACGGTCCAATATATCAACCCCAGTTTACCAACGGTGTTTGTAGTTCATGGATTCCTCTCCGGTGTCGCCATTGACAACTACATCACGAATATCACAGCAGCATATCGTGATATTGGCTATAATTCAATATTTGTCGACTGGACTGGTTATGAATCAGCACTCAATTATCTTCTATTGATCTACAGAGGTATTTCTGACATTGGTACAGCTCTGGGTGAAAAAATACTGCTTTTGCAATCGCATGGTGTTGATCTTAAACAATTGGAAATTGTCGGTGCTTCTTTCGGTGCACATATAGCTGGATTTGCTGGAAGATATGTTAAACAACAAAAGAATGAAACTATACATAGAATAGCAGGACTTGATCCAACTGGGATATTGTTAGGGAAGATTTATGGTATTTTTGATAATCCAAACGTATTGAGAGCTAGTGATGCTGATATCGTGGATGTTACACACACAAACGCGCAGACTTTAGGTGTAAATTATAATATTGGAAGTATAGATGTTTATGTCAATGGAGGACAGTCACAGATGCTTTGTAATGACGCCCAGGAAGTAATGGGACCTTTGGGTGGTGCCATTATTAGTAAGTTGATTAATTTCTTCAAAATATTTGTAATATTTGTGTTGTTTTGTTGTAGATTCTTGTAGTCATTTGTTTGCTGCTATTCTTTATCGACAAACAATCGGGAATAGCAATTATAAAGCATCATCCACTCCAGATACTTGTGAAAATCTGATTGTTTACGGAGATGAGTTCAATGGTAACGCCACAGGAGTTTATTACCTAAGAACAGAGAATGTATATCCTTACAAGTCAATTTGTTGAATGAAAATGTGCAAATTTTGTGGAAAATTCATCAAAAACTGGTTTTTGCCACTTGTTTACCGTATAAATGACCTATTTTAACCTGTTTTTTACTTATAAAGTACCACAATTTCATTTGTACTCAACAAACCAACAAAATGTCTACAAAAACACTAATTTTCCTTGCAATTATATACATTTCGCCCGGTTTAAGCCAAATATGGCCGTCTGGTCAATCAGAAGAAGAAATGGACATACATTTTTTACTCCTCTTGCAAAATAAAACCCTGGACCTCACCAATCGGACCTACAATCAAGTCGATCCAAGACGACAAACAGTTGTACTCATCTACGGATGGCTCACAAGCTTCACCACAGATCAGTACGTAATTAACGTAGCGCGTAAATACCAAGCTGAGAATCAGTATAATGTCATCTACATTGACTGGAGCACACAGTCTTATTACAATTATGTCCGCGAGGTGTTTTCCACCGTGATGCAAATCGGTACAAAGGTGGGAGAGATGATTATGATGTTAATAGACCGCGGTTTGAGCGTGAAGAAGATTCATTTAATTGGCTTTTCACTCGGTGCGCATGTTTGTGGATTTGCAAGCAGATATATACGTGAACATCATCCACAAAACCAAACAGTGCGTCGTATTACTGGTTTGGATCCAGCTGGACCTTTGTTTGGTAATTTCTTCGGATGGTTTTCGAATCCATATAGTCTTAACGCGAAAGATGCTGATATAGTAGATGTAACGCATACAGACGGAGTTTTTCGGCCTCCCGGATAAAATCGGAACAGTTGATTTCTATCTTAACGGTGGAAGTTTACAGATTTCCTGTGGGCAGATTACTCCTAATGATTGGACAACAATTTTTACAGTTAGTAAGTATAAAAATTCTAAAATTTCAACCATATTTTATGATTACTTCAATTTTCAGACGGTTGTAGTCATGTTTTCTCCGTACTCTTCTATATGTTCACGGTGAACAACGTAAAATACCGCGCTAGCAGTGACCCGACGCAATGTAAAGACGTAATTGTCTACGGAGATAAATTCGCTGGTAAAGCCACGGGAGTTTATTACCTTCAAGCAAATCCTATACCACCCTACCGAACACAATGTTAAGAGAGAGTGTCTAGAATATATGAATGACTAAATTATGTTTTTATTGTATGTTGTATGCATTGTATGTACACTCTGAAATAAGTGTCCCAAAAGTAAAACGAGGTGAGATATTACTGATCAGCGTAATGCATACGACGATCACATCGTTAACTCCATGATCGCGTTCACTATGTCGTTCTCGTTATTCTTGAGCGCCTTCACCGCCTTGGAGCGGCTGACGTTCGCCTGCGTCATTACCAGCTCCACGTCCTTTTCTTCCACTCCCGTGTCGTCGACGTCTTCATCCTCAGACTCTTCGGCGATCGGCGCGACGGAAGTAGTGGCGGTGCCAGCGGCGCCATCGCCGGCCGGGTTCACCTCCTTGAACTTCTCGGCGGCGGCGACTTGCGCCTGCTGCGATAAGTCTTCGATCTTGGCCTCTCCGAATACGATGTATGTGTCGCTCACCGGGTTCTTGTACACGTCCGGTTTGTTGATGACGAACAAGATGTTCTTGGATTTGCGGATTGCTACGCGGTTTACTCCTTGTACCTTAAGAGATTATTTTATGTCAGTACCTAAATATATAATGCGAAACTTGAAATAATTATTAAATAATAGTCAGACTGCCAAGAGATAAGTATCATCAACGATGTACAGCGTAAAATAGCGAAACAATAACTCTTATCATCATGTGAAAGATATAATGGTGGATTTTTGTTTTTGTGGAAGTCTTACTTGTTTAAGTCCCAATTTAGACATGATTTTTCTTGCTTTCTTCTCCCCACGAGATTGCTTAGCTTTCGAGACTGAATCCATCGGCAATCCAGCGGCGGCTGCACCTGGGAATGCGCCGCCAGCAGCCGCCGCCGCGGTGGGATCTTCCAACTCTGGAATTTCATCATCTGTATCACTATCAGTGGATGATTCCTCTGTTTGTTGTTCAGGTTTTTTCGCCTCCGCCGCCGGCTTTTTGTCAACTGCAGTTTGTTCTGGCATGGTGATGTGTATTTCTATAATCAACAAATATAAACAATTAAAAATACCTCATATTCAACGCATGTTTAATCAAAAATTGACTTTAATTAATCAGACTGCCAAGAGAAAGTGTTTCATCACTTAAAATTCAGTTAAAATGCGAAACTATACTCTTATCATCATACAAACAATAATAAATAAATGCAGCGTTAACAGAATTGTTATCTGAAGATAATTCAGGCCACAAACTATAAATACATACACTCGCTGTCTCGGAAATGCACGCATGCAGGCAATGTTTGCTATAAATGGCCGAATCATCTTACAAACCAACTAAGATTCCGGTGCCGAATATTACTTATAATAAATAAAAATGTTGATAAATATCAACGGCGACGAAACGTACGGATCGTGCACTGTTTAATTCTAGTTTAGTTTCAGTGAATTAAGTTAAGATTGAAGAGAATATTTGTGATTTTTACCTGCTATGTTTCCTTAAATAGCAAAAAGAGGCAAACAACTCGAAAAGAGAGGTTAGCGAGAAGTGTGTTCAATTGGACACTGCTTTATCGATGCACATGGCTTAGTTCCTTAAACTGCCACTACACATCTTAAAAAATATTTTAAATCGTAGTTTCTAAGAATAATCACTTAACAATCTTCAACTCTTCTTACAACAATAAAATATGTTTTGCACAATGATGCAATGCATAAATTACTTAATAAATAAGGAAATATTTTAAAGCAGAACTTTTAAAATATCTGTAGGAAGTTAGGCAGCACACAACACATTAGTAACATTTGTCAACCAATACCCCTGTCATCGCTCAACACGTATACAACGTTTCTGTTTCGTGTTAAATTCTGTTTTTATTAAACAATAAAAATGGAAGGATACTTATTGGTAAGTGAAAATGAATTATTTCGTATTCTCCATTTAAATTATATCATTCAGGAGCCCACATTATACACCATCAAAGGAATTGCCATCTTGGACAATGATGGCAACAGAATTCTTGCAAAATATTACGACAAGAACGTATTCCCGACGTCTAAGGAACAAAAAGCATTCGAAAAGAACCTTTTCAACAAAACACATCGAGCCAATGCCGAGATTATAATGCTGGATGGACTCACATGCATCTACAAAAGCAATGTAGACTTATTCTTCTATGTCATGGGCAGTTCGCAAGAAAATGAGGTAATTTCCTATTTGTTTTATCATAAAAACAATTTAATTGCATAAATATTACGTTCCAGTTAATTCTAATGAGCGTCCTCAACTGTCTCTACGATTCCGTGAGCCAAATCCTGCGAAAAAACGTCGAAAAGCGCGCGGTGCTTGAATCACTGGACATTGTAATGCTGGCAATGGACGAAATCTGCGACGGCGGCATCATAATCGACGCTGATTCCAGTTCGGTGGTGTCACGCGTCGCCCTACGCTCCGATGACATTCCACTGGGTGAACAGACAGTCGCACAGGTAACGAACGCCATTCACTCGATGTTTTGGTGAGGTGGTTTTATTTGTTTCGGTTTTTATTTGGTCTCACACGCACATGGCATACAAGTATGCGCCATTTTGGTTTTGGTGTTTGATTGATTGTTGCTTCAGCAAGATCACTTCTGTTACGATTTATTATGCCACTAAAACTTGATCAACTTTGCAGGTACTACAAAGTGCCAAAGAGCAGTTAAAATGGTCCTTGCTAAAGTAAATAACTGTAAATATCTATTAATAATAATAATAATAATCATAATAAAAACAGATTTCTATTGATTGACTGATGATTGTCAAGCATACTGTAAGTTAAAAACGCATTTATTATTATGAATAATTTACGCTTGAGATTTGTATAAATATTTTTTCTTTCATACATCTTAATAAACAATCATTTTAACGCAAAACAAATCAACTCTAAACGCTAGTAGAGCGCGATATTTTTGACTGCGATGTCAATCAACATTTCGTGCACAGAATCGAAGATGTGTTGGATGTTTTGCGTGTTTGTGGCGATTGTGAAATGAATATGAGCGGTCCTTTTCTTGTTGCCACATTTGACTATCGTCTGAAATGATTAACATCGAGTATTTTTCCAGGAAATACGCCAATTACTCTCCGGCGTCGTGTACTGAGTTACTTACATCAACTTCCTCCTTAATGAACGCCTTTGTGTTTGTGAATTCGTCGTCGGACGGTTTCTTAAACTGTTTATACCTAGCGAAATAAGTGCCTATCGATATTCCGCGTTGAATTTTCTTCTGCAAGATGTCCTCCTTGTTAAGAAACACAATCGCTGTATGTGGGTTTAGATACCTGTGTACAACAGTCAATAGTTTACTGTTTGTGATAAGTTTAGTATAGAAATTTTACCTGGAATTAAACATGTTACCGAACGTTGTTAGCGCTTCTTCCAGGCGATTTGTCGATTCATCCTCGCGTAGTACTTGATCAAAATCACTTACCGAAATTACGAATAAGAGGGTTTTTATTCCTTCGAAAAGCTAAAGAAGTTATTGTTTAGAGTAAGCGTCGATTCATCACAAAAATAATTCCAGTATCTACATAACCTTAGGAAAATATTGAGAATTCAATTAATGCTTAACTGGTTGCCTAAATTCGCGTAATGGCCGACTATTCATTAAAATTACATCCACAAATATATTGGAAGCAAAAATATTCGAGAATAAACTTAAACTTTTTATAGTTATATAGAAACTTGAATTCTTTTTGCGTCGCAACAACGTATTTGAATTAATTAGTTTTAAATTTTTGATTTAATCAATTAGTTTGATTTATTACCGATATCCATTTCCGGCGCTGTCCGCGCTGACCACCTACATCATGCATCACGAAACTAACCATGTGGCCGCCATGCTTGATTTTGAATTCAATCGTCTGCACCGCTGTAGTTTTCACGCGACAATAGAGGATGTCTTGTGTGTCCGGAACATAATCAGCCCGTCTAATCACATCTAACCGCTTCATAAACTCTTCTGTGCTATCAAGTAAGTGGAATTCATTCGCACGTTTGTACATTTCTTGTATATCAACGTCACGCCATAAAAACGCAACATTATCATAGTATTCCTGCGTATACACTGGTAACGGATCAGCACCTAGCCTTAAAATGTACTCCACTGCTTTTTTTGTTTCCTCGTTGTGCACAACAATAGCCGGTCGTACTTTTTTCAAATTAGAGACGATCTTGTAGATTGAATCGTGGATATTGTTTCGTATATCCACAGATTTGCTTTGTTTCTCTCTAAATATAAGGTTGTAAGGTTAGTCACGTGACATACAAAATGGCTGCGTTGTATTTTGTTTAAACTTACTCTGTGGTGTATTCATTGATGTAAATAAGATGCATCTGTTTAAGAATTGTCGTCTTCCCCGACTCGCCCGTCCCAAGCAGCAATATTGAATGTTTTTCACTCAGTCTTTTCTCATCTAGTTTGATTTCGTGGTCGATTTCTTGTGATCGTTGCTCCGCTGGTGTTTTTCTTCGCTTGAACATTTTCGAGCAGTTGTGATCATGTTTAATTTGTGAATTGGCTTTGCGCTTTTCATTACATAATCTTATCGTATTTCTAATAATCTAAACTTGGAGGTATTTGAAAATTTTATTGATTATCGCAGATTACTCGACATGCACACACGCGCGGTGTGCGATTGATTAATACCATGTCGCTTTGATTGTTTAATATTATCACACATCTTGTTTACAAGCCAATTGATAACGTACAATAAAAAACATTATTAAATTAATTCACGCGAATCCGAGGCGCATGAATTTCCGCATTGTTGCTGGACCACCCCAATATCCACGCAGCATTAACCAGTACACAGTCGGCATTATATCCCTCTTCATGATGTACATACTGCGCAATTCTCTTGCTTGATTGAATGGAAATGTCTCCATTGGAGTTAGGTTATAATCAAATTCAGCTAGGATACATTTATCGTAGCCGGTTACAAGCGGACATGATGCATAACCATTATAGATGGCTTCTGGTTTATTTCCGGACATCACCGCTGTCATATTGGCTGCAATAACTGTTGATTGTGAAGCTGTGAATAAATTTTACATTAAGTTGTATTTTCATGGCGGTTTAACCTCATTTGACTAACCAACAGCCGCACAAGTTTTCGAATTTGGTGAGCTTGCACAATCACCGATGGCGAAAACATTGTCGAATTTAGTGCTTTGCATGGTGTCTTTATTAACATCCACGAAGCCAGCGTCATTGACCAATTCACGGCACTTTCTTAAGTCATTCGGGGTGCACATTGGTGGTGTCACATTCAACATTTCGTACTAAAACATCTTTTGGGTAGAAATTGATTCAATGAATTGTGAGGTGATAAATATTTACATTGACAGCGTGTGTTTCACCGGGTTTTTCCAGATTCTCGAAAGTCGCAACATTTTTCCCTGGCTCGATTGATACGAGATTTGTGCGAAGGTTGACGTCGATGTCGCGGCCTTCCACGACCTTCCACAGGGCATCCGCGTACTTTTTCACGCCGAAGATGACTGGTAACGAGGTGTTGTAGATTACTCTCGCATTGTTTCGTTTGTTATTCTGTACAAACACATTAAAAATGGGTTAATAATCATATGGATGACTTAGGAACGACTGAGTGCGGGGTGCAGTGGACGATGCACTTTTAAAATTGCTTCTGACCAGCAAACGTAGTGAGGGTAGCCGCGTAGAGGTGATTTAATGCACCGTACGAGGGTAGCGGTAAAAGTGACTCCCATTCAGGGTACCGTACAAGGGCCAGCGGTAGAAGTGACTCTAATTCAAGGCACCGTACGAGGCTAGTGGTAGAAGTGACTTTTAATCGAGGTACCGTACTAGTGTAGCGGTAAAAGTGACTCGTATTCAGGGTACCGTACGCAAAAAGTGGCGAGGGAAGTTGCGTGAGCAATTCTCGCCCCTAATGACTACGTACTCGCACCTGAGTACCTGCCTACCTTCCCCCTCCACTTTTTGCTGGTCAGCAGCCGCAGTTCTCTAGCTTCCTCTTCTCATCTTTGCCTAGTGGTACTTCTAAGTAGCACTTTTAAATATTTACCTTCCTAAAGAAAGCATCAGCAATATAAGCTGCTTTCTGTGGCGCCCCAGGACATTTTAACGGGGTATTCGGCAATGTAAATATAGCATTGCCTTTCTTAAATCTTTTAAGACTCTCAAAAGTCTTCTCAACATAAAGCTCTGAATAATTACTGCAGACACCACTATCCTTTTGTTTCAACGCATCAAGAAGGCCAGGAATCTAATAAATATCAAAGCAAACAGTAGAAATCAATAAATAAACAAATCAATAGGTAATAAATACCTTATCATAATTCAATTGAAGTCCGGTCGCTATAAGCATAAAATCGTACTTGATCGTATGACCACACCCTGTAGAAACGCAGTTCTCTTTCGGGGAAAACTCTCGCACAGCATCCTGTACCCATGTGACATTTTTGGGTAACACCTGACCCATGGGTTTACGTGCATCCGAAATAGTTTTCGTACCGCCACCAATCAAAGTAAACAATGGTTGATAATAATTGTATTCGGCCGGTTCCACGACGATAATTTCATGTTTCTTGAAGTTGTTGGCTAATTTTGCTGCAACTGTACAACCACCAGCTCCTCCACCAACTATTAGTAGTTTACAACTAGAACAAATATTAATTTAGTGCATTAAATATTAATATTTATTAAAAAAAAAAGTAGCAATACCTGTGAGTATCGTGTAGTTTGCTTGTTTTTGAAAAATATCGCTTGGAATTAACGCTGATTAACCTTGACATAGACATTGCTACGAATAAATAGTTAATAAGTCTTAAAAATACTGTGTTGTGAAGTTAAGCCACTGTAGTTGTGATTGACCGACCAGCTGATGTCGCACGAATGTGGATTGAATCACACTCTAGCTGCAACCTTGATAAAATCACATCGTGAAGTTAAATTCTCACAACTCTCTCCAACCGCGTAGATATTTTCAAGTAGCGAAGTTAAATTTACGATTAGTCACTTTCTTGATTTAGTTTTACATAAATATTGACGATATGATTGATAGAATAAATAATTATGCAACCATTCACACATATATTTCTTTAGAGATGATGTAAAATAGTAAAGTCAATAAAATATGCTTTGATTATGCATATTGGTTGTGTGTGACGTGCCAAGTCGCATTTTGAAGCTTCGGATCACTCAAAAACCATCCATATTCCATCGATGCGCATCCTGGATATTTATACATATCAGCCGGCCCTAAAAATAATTACATAAGCATAAATTTATTAATAATCATTGGATGTGTTCACCAAAAGGTTTAAAATTTGCTTTTTTGCGCATTTTAATCAATCTGGCATAGGATTTATAAGCATTTCCATCGGCTTGACCTAAATACACGTCCAATTCAGCGATGTAGGTAGCAAAAGGTTTAGTTTTATCACCTTAAACATAAAATTTCGTAAAAAATCAACCAGAATAAAATATAAATAAAAAAATCACTTGATTCGTAGACTTTGACCAAGTCTTTTGGTTTTCTAGGTTCCAGATAATCAGTCTTCATCATATCTTTGATGGGATCTTGTACACCATATCTAGTTGCACCAAACCACTCCATTTTTATACAAAAATATTTGTATGATATGTGTATAAATGACAGTTATGCATATTTAAATTTCCCCTACGCGCCTGCCATGATCATTTTGAGTTTACAACTTGTTTTTATTTATTTACTCATCTAGCTTATTATAAAAATGTCTACATTATCATCCACAAATTATTTAAGAACATTTCCCACAAATAAACATGGGAATAAACAATAATATATACAATTTGTTTAAGTTTCTCACATGCAATCAAGCAATCATCAAATACTTAATTTCCTCGTCCCATTGTGCGAGCTTGTAAATAAATAAAGTTATATTTAAAATATGTGCGATAATTAATTAATCGTTCACAATGTTGTTAACCTACCTAAACAGTAGAAAATCACGTATACCACTTAATTTAATAGTAAGAATCGCCAAATAATAGAAGAAAGCTTAGGTGTAGGATAAAAACTAATTGTAATCGGTTTCGAAGCGGTCGTCATGTTCCCAGCCCTTCTTCGGTTTACGTCCTTCCATTGACGAAGCATCTTTATGATTTCGCCAATTGGATGTGCCGGTTGTATCTTGATTTGGATTACGATTTGAGTTGCTGCGTGCGCCCGAACCGAGAATCGGTCTGCCGCCACCAGAGTTTAACTTGGGGCGGTATTTCATCGGTGGTGGTTGGCTCTTGTTGCCGTTCCACATCATGTCGTTATTCTCGACTGCATTCGGCGATTTGTTGTTGGAAACTTGTAGTTTGGAGATATTTGTGTCGATTTCCAGCACGTTTACGTCACTGCTGTACTCGTTCAGTTTGTTGTTCACGGATGAGATTGTGCATTCCACTGTCAAGGGTTTCTGGCACAAAAATTATTGTTCTATTAGAATTTAAACGAAAATAATTAAAATAAACAAAACTTTTGGGGAAGAAATGAGGATAATACGAACCTTAAAACTGAATAGATCTTTATTACCCAACTTCATCTGATAGAAGTTTAATAAATCGGTGGAGAGTACTCGAAACTCGTTGTTGGTTAAATCCACAGCGAAAAGCAGCCACAGTTTGGAGCTTTCTGATAATGCACTTGAGTTGGATGCGAGAATTGTTCGTAGTTTAATGGCGAGGTCTTTTAGATCAATAGAATCTTCCACAAATTTGGGACCACATGAGTATAACTTAAGGAGAATTCAATTTGTTTAGTTTTTATGTTTAATTTACTAATTTTATTTGTGTTATACCTGTGTTGTGAACAATTCAACATCTTCCTGCACTTCAGAGTCGAGCAACATTTGAAGGCAATGCAATATGGCAGGCACTAGCATCTTGTAGTTTCTCTCAACTGTTGCCATGGTAGCTTTCTCATAGAAACCTGTGATGATTCTAACTGCATTCCTAAAGTTGTGTGGATTTGTTGAGTGCATCATTGAAGCATCTACAAATAATATATTTAAAATATATTTCTAGTCTAGGCAATTAGTTTACTTACTATTGTAACTTTCTTGTAGTATGCTGAGAAATTTAATCCGTATCTTGAGATCAGCAATCACCAATTCACGAAATGTGACTAGTGACACATAAGTAACAAACTTGTTGGTGAAGTTAGAGTCTTGTAATGCTTTATTGTAAACATATTCAATGGCATTTCTATAAAAAATCAGAATTAATATCACCAAACAAATGAAATTATTGCCAGCACTTACTCTGCATCAGTACTACTCTTGCAAACATCTCCAAACACTTCTTTAACATAACGAAACTTCTGATTGAGCAGAATCCCATCGTCATTGTCGTTGAAGTGCGTGATTGCATGCACGATCTTCTCATATTGCGCGTTGATCACGAAGCCTTGGGCGATTTGGGCACTTGGGGCGTTATAGTTCACAGGTGTGCTTATTTGTTGGGGGTGCGTTTGGTCGCCGGGACGCACATCGTAGTTCGCCGACTTTTCGATATTCAACCAGCCGCGACCACGGCCTGTTCCGCTCATTTTCACGCCGACAACTCGCTTTTCCAGCTAAGGCTATCTGCAGGAGCGACAATCGTATTTCGATAATTGCAAATACTTGATTTGTGAGTGCGCAATGACTAGTACACTAGCTCACATGCTGGTGTTGTTTGATTGACCTCCTGCATAACTTGCATTTCGTATGCTAACTATGCTAACATGCTAAATGCTAAACTACCCGCAAGTACGCGGACAAAACTAAATATGGCGGCGGAAGGATTTTGAAAGTTTGTTAGTTTCGGGCTACACAACCAGGGGGCGCCACGCATTCTATAAATATTAAATTATTTATAAAATTATTTTTATATCAATATTAAACATAAATTTAAATTAAAAATTAAACGATACTGTAAATTAAATTAATTTTGTTCCAATAAATATATCTTTTATTAATTTGTTTATTAATTTAGAAATAAAGTTATATTTCAGAGTAGGCAGCGCCATCTATGGAGGTTTTTAATCAGATGGTGCTGGCAGGGGTGTCAGTAGCAGGTTGAGGTATCGATACATTTGAGATTTACGAGGTCGTGGAATGGCCACGCTCGCCACTCGCGCAATTTCTGTTTATCCATCATCAGCGGCGATTTCAATTTCAACTAAAAAGCACACCACGGATAAACAAGCGAAGATGCCAGTGCATGCGTGGACGGCGCACCGATTAAAGTAGCGTTCGCCGTCGTTGTTCGCGTTCAGTCGTCGGCGTCTTTCGAATGCGCGGTGGACTGGCGCCCATCTGGACATCGCTGGACTTCACGCGTAATTGGATAGTCATCGCCTTTTTTTTAAATAGAAGATAATTATTTATACACCCGTCGACGTCCCGACTGCAATAATAAGGTAAGCTAGACACATCATTCAGTGCGCGCGGTCATCGCCGTGTTGTTTTTATTGCCTTTTTTGGTTAGAAATCGTGGCGCGGGGTCATAAACAATCTTCCAGTGGAAATTTATTAATTATATAATCTGCACTGGCTGTTGATATGGATTCTATCAACAACGCGCATAGTTTTGAATATATTTTTGTCATAAATGCAGAGTTATAGCCGAGTGACCCAAAAATTTCCAAAAATACACCGCAACTTTGTTACACACAGAGCCAGCGCACAGTCAGCAAGTTCCAGAAGGATAAATATTCCCGAAATTTTCGCTTCGGTGGTCATTTATTTTTATTCTTGTTGACTTTTTTCTTCCCACACTTTGGCACGCACTTGTTCTTATCCGCGCTGCGATAAAAAACGGCGCGCATCTGGTTTGGCGGTTGTTCTTATCTTCTTGGTGGAACACTTTTCGTGTTTGTCTGCTTGCTGGCTTTCTCTTTTCGTTGCAATCCACGATTTTTACTTTAGTTGTGGTATTGTGTAACACTGGAATATTGAATATTAATGTAACTTAATCGATTTTCAATTCGTCAACAACATATTAATTAGTTTTTTTGTTACTTCATTTAAGATTAGCTGCTATTAATCATTCTAATATCACGTGCTGCGTGTGCGAGTGAATTTTTAACATTCTGGTAGAGAAATTCAATGACATCGAGTTATAAATGATGAAATTTTGTTGTTTTTCGCTTGTTTTGTTTGCTTGAAATTGTAATTTGGAATTATCTACTCTTGACTGAAATGGTGTTTTTGATAGCATGTAATTTACAGTCTGTATTAAAACAACAAATACTTACATAGAGACACAAAAACATGTTGCTTTTTGTTGCGACACGGCAATAACAATTTGTATCAGTTCATTTACAGCATGGAAATATTGAAATTCATATCAATTTAGTTGTTTAACCTAGACATACTCTATGTTTACTTAATTATATGCGTCAGACGATCTACAAGGTACTAAATGTTACCTAATAATAATGCCATCAATCCGATTCAGAATGCGGCGAGCATCGTGATATAGTTTCTAAACACGTATTAGTGAATACATAATCTAACATAACATAACGTCTGACTTTGAATGCATTATGCATGATAATGCCGCGCGTTTTATGGCCAAATCTGCATTAATTACGCGCAGACAACACACACCCATGCATTCAATATCGTTGTGGGCTTGTTAATGAAAATATTTAAGTGGCACTCACAGATTTAGAGTGATATGTTAATATTTATTCGGTTTTCTTTGTGAATTTCAATGTTTTATTGTGTTTTTTTTAACGAAAAACTTTGTATAACGGCGAAATGTGTACAATTTGCTTGGTTTATATTAATTTCCTCTGTGTAACGACGAAAAATATTTTCATTTCCAGCAATTATGAGCTAGAATATTTTTTTAAAGACATGACATTGATGGTAACATTTGAAATATAGTTGTGATTATGATCCCAACATCCCTACAAATTGCTATGTAAATTTCTATAACTTAATCACGATTTTTCAGTTAATTTGTTGGGGTGCACGTTATGTTACAACAAAATCATTTAAACAAAACACAAGTGAATACAACTGAGCGACGCGGAATTCATATTTAGGCTTCAGGAAATATTTACCGGCATTTTTACTAGAGTAATTGAGTTTACAACCAGTTTACAAAAGATTAGACAGGTGCCAATCCGCGTAAAATCCCAATATTTACTTTTTTGTTCTTCAATGAAATGTTACCTTATTAAAACCGTGATATCTTTATTTTGTTTTCTTTGTTAATTTCAATATTTCGCTGTATTTGTTAAGCAAATATGTGTAATTATCAAAGAATAACAATGATTCCATGTGGGATGCACATTGCACACGTGCAAGTTCCATTTTAGTGAAAAAAAAATTTAAAATCATTTATCGCGGCTGCACACGGCTGCATTCGACGCATTTAAATAAAAACGATTAGCAATAAATCGCAATCACATAATATCGAACAGCGATTCGATCAACATTGAACATCGAATTGTGTTGCAACGGCGATTGCGACAGCGCGCTTCTTTTTTACCCAATAAGTAGACTTCCACTTGACTTACGCGTCAGTCGGAAAGAAGGATTTTCATAGTCACATAGTCGCACTCACGGGCAACCTACCTACACGTTTCCATCATGAACTTGGTAAGCTACATTCAATTAATTACATGTATCAATGGTGCCGTGCGAATTCAAGGTTCTTGTGCGTGCGTTTATATATAGCGCGTATATATTTATGTGCGTATTTATAGCGCCGAATCGATTTTATTGTCGTTAGGATCCGGTGGAAATGTATTTCCTGAATCATTTTGTTAGGCACACTATCTGTTCGAATATTATTTAAATTTACTTATTAATTTAAAGTCACTTGTAATATCAATTGTATTTGCGTAAAACCCACGTAAACGCGATAAAATTTTTATCTCCGTTTTGGTTTTTGGTAATTGGAGTTGAACGACATTAAAACACCAAGATTAAAAAACAATTAAATCGTCTCGATTTAATTTTCAATCTATGAAAGTGTGTAAGTTTGTATTTTGACAAGTGTTCACGTTTCTAGCAAAAATACAATCGACTCTTTGAAATTCTGGTAGGTTGCACGCGTTATCGATTTAAATAAAAGCCGTAAAAGAAAGTTTATTAATACGGTGCACCGAAGCGTGCGCCAGACACCGCTCGACACGATATGATGGTTATATAATTGAAAACTTTTTGATTTCGTTTTGCAGTTAACAATGGCGAAGACACTCGTCTCGGTGTGCATCTTCTGCTTCCTCTGCGCAACACATTCGCCGTGCGCATCGCACGCGGTTGCCACCGATGGAGCTACGCCAGTTTATGACAATCGGATACCATTCAAAGAAGCGAAGGCGCTCGCCGAAGCCTCACACAAGAACAACACGAATCACACCAGTGACGAGCCGACGATTACACAACTCTTTCGATTGTATGGCGACGGGGAGAATATCAGCGTCGAGGGTTTTCAGCGCATCATTCAGCGGCTGGATCTTACCAAAGAACTGACGCATAAAATCGACGAGTATAAACATTCACATAAACATGAACATGAACATAATCATAATGATGGTGTCGCCTCTGTAAGTGTGTGGTATTATTGGGAATTTGTATCATTTTTAAGTGAATTTTAATGGTTTTAGTGTAAAAGTCGTCATGAGCTATACGATAACGTGAAGCATGCGTTATCGCTGAATAGTAATAATGACAGCAATGTTTTTATGGAGTCTTGTGATGCGTTGTTATCCGCAGCCATGATTGGTAGGTGTACGCTGACTGATGAAGATGCGGATTCCAACGAAATGAGGTCTTTCGATGGTTATGCGTGGATGTATTCATTACTAGCGATTATTATCATAAGTGCGTGTGGTATTTTTGGCCTGCTGGTGATACCAGTGATGCAGAAACGTTTCTATCAGCCATTGCTGCAGTTTCTTGTTGCGTTGGCTGTAGGGACACTTGCCGGTGATGCACTTTTGCATCTGCTCCCGCATGCGATGATGTCCAGTGATCATCATGCAGGTGGTGAGGAACATCATCATCAGCATGATGAAAATATGTGGAAGGGTGTGGTCGCCATGTTGGGATTAATACTCTTCTTTTTTGTCGAACGGTTGATTATGCTCGTCGCCAAATGGCGGAAGCGTAAGCAACAGCTAGAAAAAGTAAGTCTGACATTTATAACGCCATTTTTTTCTGTTGTTAAGTTGAATGAAACCATTGCAATCGATTGCATTATATGTTATGCATCCGGTTATGATGTTTTTATTGTGCTGAATGACATTGAATGTCTACAACGTGTGCAAACATTCTTTTCTCTTGCAGCAACCCACAAGACTGAAGGTTATCAAACCAGAAACGAGCACGCAGTTGACGAACGCCACGGATAAGCAATGCATACACAAGTACAGCTCGTTCCCGTATTGCTACGATGAAATTCGTAAAATTGACGATTCGGCGAATGTTAAGCATCCGCTGCGTTTGGACGATATTTCCAGCTTCGCCGAGACTGACTTTGAGCGTAATCAGAATCATACTGAGTGTCCGGATGAGGCTAGTAAAGCGAATTGTACCGAGGTGAATAAGATGCTGCCGCTGGAGCATAAAGCGGAGAGTAAAGACGATACAGACAGTGTGGAATATACTGTTATTCTGCGTGAACATGAGAGTCGCCATCATGGGCATTCGCATACGCACGGACACGTGCATGCACCACCAAAGAGTATGAGTTCCGTGGCGTGGATGGTCATCATGGGCGACGGATTGCATAACTTCACCGATGGAATGGCGATTGGCGCTGCGTTTGCAAGCAGTACAGCCGGTGGATTCTCGACGGCTGTTGCTGTGTTCTGTCATGAACTTCCGCACGAATTGGGCGATTTCGCTATGTTGCTCAAGGCGGGCATGTCGATGAAGCAGGCACTCTACTATAATCTACTCTCGAGTGTCCTGTGTCTGTTTGGGAGTATCTTTGGCCTCTGGTTGGGTAATACCGAAACGGCGAGCTCGTGGATCTTCGCAGCGGCGGCCGGCATGTTTCTCTACATCGCCCTGGTGGACATGATTCCGGAGTTGAGCTCCGGACACGAGGACGAGGGTAATTTCGTGCAGTGCGGGCTGCATCTGCTCGGTCTGCTGTTGGGCTTTGGTATAATGGCATTGATTGCCATGTATGAGCACGACCTGAAAAGTATTTTTCACGAGACTTAAGCCGACTTATTTTTTTACGACTTATTTTAGTTACGGTTTTCTCTTTTTTGCTTCGTTTTTCGCTAGCGTAAGTTTGTTTTCTTTTTCAAACTCCAAGGATTTTCATGCGAGTGTATTATATAGGTATACTAATGGCGTGCCAAACATGTCTAAAAACTAACTAATGAACAGTGTAAATTAGCTTTTAAGATGCGATTCACACTCTGGACTCTTCTTGATTGTACACATTCTCATGTTATGCACGATTTTGCAGTGAGGAGATAGACGCAGACGCAGGACGGAATTGAATGAATGCAAACGCGAATCACTCAAACTAGTTGATACAAATATCGATATGTGATCATTGACGGCTATTGTCTTATCATGTGTAATTTTGATAAATTTACATTAGATTCACACTTAATGCGCACCAACAGATTCATCTGTATCATGTATCATGTATCATTATCAAGTTGCATTGGTATATCCGCTGCGTGGCTGCGATTGTTTTCGGAACAATATTCGTTTGCGCTTCAATACTTAGTACGGTTTTAAACGCAGGCGCAGAGATCACGAACTTGTCGAGTATTATATTTTTATATGCGTGATATTTGTACTAGAATAAGGTTTTTTGTTAGTGGAAAACGAGGAACGCAGCTAATAGAATTTTTTTTCATTTTTACTTTACGAAAACACAAACATATCAACAATATTTGTTGAATATTAGTTAGTTATCCCAATTGATTAAGGTCAAGTGCTGTTAATTGCTTGTTTAACTTCGTCCATTGTAGTCTCAACGTCAACATCTTCGTTGGATGATTCGTCCATGGCTTCGTCTTTCATTTCGGGCGCTGAATCAGTGGCGAGTGCGTCTTCATCAGCACTAAGCGATTCATCTTTTGTGTCTGTTTCGTCATCTATCGAGTCGTTTTGATGGAGAAATTCTGTTTTTACGTATTTATTGTCTAAGATTTCCTCCATGTCAGATTCTGATTCTTTCTAAAATAATTATTTTGTATTAGATAATTAATTTAAAATAGTTTATAGTATTTATTTACTCTTAGCTGTGAGTAGACGCGTTTCGGCGGGATTTCTCTATGTAGTGTGCAGGATTGATTCTCGAAGATTGATTCTACAGCTGCGGTGCATACTACTTCGCCGCCCTTTTTACCACAGGCTCTGAATAATACTTGATTAGGATCCTGTAGAACAAAATAGTTTTTATTTTGATATTTTAAGTAAATTAAGTGTAAATTACCTTGAGTATATGTTTTCTGCAATGTTTTGCAACAGGTAAAGCCCTCTCGGTGCATTTAATGCCGCCTTCTGAAAATGTACACCTGCAGGAATGACTTGTTGGCTTGTACACAAGCCCTTCGGTGATTTTCATGCGCATTTCGATTAATCGCTTGCGTAAAATCGCGTCAACTCCGTGTTTTCTATGGTATTGATTGTAAGCTTTTAGTTTTTTAAACATTGCCATGTCTTTGGGTCTTTCTAGAGCTTGACTTCTCATGCTACAACAAGTCTCCTTCTCTTTTTTGATTGCATGCAGGTAATGCCTGCGTTTTTCTTTCAGTAGATGGCACAAATGGCTGTATTGATTCACGTATAACGAATGTAAGCGTATGAGTTTATCTTTGGCGACTTGGGTGACTTCTTCAGCAGATAATACATTAGCATGTCTGGAAAAGCATTTACATTAACAAAATTTCATGATTATATAGGAGAACTTACTTTAAAAAGTCTTCATTGTCTGAATCTATGCTTTCATCTTCAGAACTGTCTGCATGAGCATCCAGCCAAACATTAGACAAAGTTGTGGCTTCAATATCACTCTCAGAATCACTGCATAAGTCTAGTACATCACTGCAAGAAGCAATCACACTTGAGGCATCAATATCAACTAAAATGTAAACAAAAAATTAGTTAAAAATCAATTTTCTTGAAGTAGTTTATTACCAAGTGGATCCAATGCCTTTGTAACTTTTGCATCTGCAAAATCAGGAGATGATTTACCATCATCACTGTTCCTATAGGTACTTGATGTAACCAAATTCTGATTTGGTGCCTTTGGTTTCATCACATAATGAGACAGTGAAGATAATATTGATTCAGCATTTTTAGGTGGTTGCATTCGAGTCCCCTGTTTAGCCTTGAAAAGATGTGCTTTAAGTGCATGTTCATTGCAGAAAGATCCTTCTTTTTTGCTTGATTTATATGCTGGATGATGACAGTGTTTGCCCCCATTGTACATGTATGAACATTGTCTGTATGGAGCAGTTTTATCTGATAGAATGTGTTGCTGGCAATAGTTGTAATTCTTCATGGCTGTTTGTGAACATTTGTATGGTTCGTAGGCGCATTGTTTCTTGCTCATTAATTCCGCAGCAATTTGTAATTTGAGTTGCGCGTTTAGTTTCGCTGCCTGCATTTTCACCAATAAAGCGGCGCACTACCTGAAACTACCTGAAATCAAACACTGGACTTGTTTTAGTTTGGGCAGTTGCTGCTAGTTGAGCTAGTGGCACACACTACACAATGTTTTACCAACGTAAATTTAGGTACTTCTTAAACTTCCGGTTTATTGTTAATTTTGACGTGGAAACAATCAAACCACACGCGTTTTATGTACATTTAGTTGAAATGGTTTAAATTTTACACGAAAATTAATATTTTTGCTTTTAAATGCATAATATACAATAAATAAAAATATGCGTCTCTTTAAAATATGCGCAGCCAACATGACGCAACACTAGGATTTTGCGCTATAATTTGCTATATAATGGAGAATGATTTACTTCAGCAGTTATTTTATCTCAATTAACAGTTTATTAATTCATATTTATTTATTTTCTGTATAAGTTTTGTTAGAAATTGTACAATTTTCTAATTTTACACAAGGTTTACTTGTAAAAGATAGCAGCGCCCCCTACAATGCAATGTTTCGGTAACTTTGGGTTGATTGTTGGCAACAGTGGCTGGACTCTGCCATTGACGTAACGGAACGACCGCATGAGTCAGTGCTAGTGACTCTTGTGCCAATAATTTTAATAATAACAACAAAAACAGCAGTATTATTAGCGCGCAATCGATTCAATAAATCAAAGACGCTTTTCCGCGTGTACTGTGCGTGTTGTGTTGCGCGCTTGGGACTTAACAGTATGCGCAACGCTGTGTTGTTTACCGTGGTTGGTCGGCCATCAAACAGTGAATAACATCAATTTCCACGACTTTTCTGTATGTATGTTAATTAATGCTAGTAAACTACCTCAAAACCAAGCAAACGAGACCACCAGTCACACATTGGAGCGGCGCACATTGAATTAACTCTTTACCTGTGTGTTCTGTGCATCACGATTTCTGCTGCGTACGAAAGTGACTCGCGAAAAGCCCGTGCGTGACGCAAGCCTCGTCGCACCAAACGAGGATTTCGTGGACGCGCGAGACTCAAGCCATCGGACGCGCGCGTGTGTGCGCTCGCATGCTTATGATTTCTTCGTTTGTGAAATTGCCACAACTTGCACATTATTAAATGCGTCGGAGCAATAATTGGTGTGCGTTACGTAGCGACATCTACATAGTGCTCCCTGCTGGTCGTGTCGTGACGCACGTAAATGGCTTCTGACGAAAAATGGTACTTTACCAAAGAGCAACTGGAGAACACACCGTCGAGGCAGTTCGGAATCGATGCGCTGAAAGAACTCACATATCGCCAGCAGGCTGCTTACTTCATACAGGATATGGGCCAGAGGCTAAGAGTGTATCCTTTATTTATTCATACATTATCTGTGGGTTAACATCTTAACCTGTTTTTCTCCGTTTCTTCACTTTCAGTTGTATTTTGTTGCGAATTGTTGCTATTTGTTGCTAGGAGTCCGTCGTATCTGTGTCCTCACTCGCGAGCGCAGAGATTTACGTTTGATTTTCGTGTGTTTGATTCAACGCCGTTCACGTTTACTTTTTTAGGTTATGTGTGTGATACTTTTTGTTTCTACCTACTTGCTGATCAAATGATTATTGTAAACAGAATTCAAATAGATTAAACAAAAATCATGAAACAAAAGAAAAGCTAGTTTGAAATCTCTCCCAACACACTAAGTATTCACTTTTATCGCGTTGTTGATTTCTATTATCTCGTTTATTTATCGCGCTCGTGTTTCGCATCTCTGTTATCAACCGAATTGTTTTCCTTAATGCAATTTACAGTACACAATTATGTATAAACACTGCTAGCGTTTATATGCATAGATTCTATGTGTTCCATTCGTTTACGCATTTCCCGTGGTATTCAATTGCCGCCGCTGCGTTGTTTCTTGCCGCCAAGGTCGAGGAACAACCAAGGAAGTTGGAGCACGTTATTAGGGTACACAATATTTGCAAGAATCCACGCGATGTTTCCTTTGGCGTCAATACAGAGAGGTACGCTGTGAAATATCTCTTTTAACGCGCTCTTATTCTGTGCGTTTGTGACATTTTTAGGTACCAGCAGCAGTCACAGGATCTGGTCTTCAACGAGAATGTCCTGCTGCAGACGCTGGGCTTCGACGTGGCCATCGACCATCCACACGCGCACGTCGTGCGGTGTTGTCACCTAGTCCGCGCCAGCAAAGACCTGGCGCAAACTTCCTACTTTATGGCAAGCACTAGGTGGGTGTATATTTGGAAAGCCATGTTTGACTGAATGATTCAATGAGTGAGTCAATTTTAGCTTGCATCTCACTACCATGTGCCTGCAATACAAGCCGACGGTGGTCGCGTGCTTCTGCATCCACTTGGCGTGCAAATGGTCCAACTGGGAGATACCGTTATCGAACGAGCGGCGGGAATGGTTTTCCTATGTGGACACGTCGGTGACGGCCGAATTGCTCGCCCAGCTTACCGATGACTTCCTGTCGATATTCAGCCGGTGTCCGTCGCGCGTGAAAGAGAAGATTATGGCGTATAGCGACGGCCCGAATATAAATCGCAATTTGAGTCATTCTTCGTCATCTGTAAGTTTGTTTTGCATCAATTGTTGTGCGTTTTATAATGTATTTTATTTAGGAATCGGAGGCGCGTAAAGCGCCACTTACGGAATCGAAAGATTCGCATAATCGAGCTCATCATCATGAGAAATCAGGTATTTTTTGTGGATTTTATTATGTGAAAGTGTATAATATTTACGGTTTATGACAGGCGAAGATCACAAACATCGACAACGTCCACTGGACTCAGCCAGCAGTAGTTCTTCTGGTCTTGCGTCGGCCAGTAGTAGTAGTAGCTCCAGTCAACAACAGCAAAGAGAACGAGAGTACAGAGAGAAAAAGGAACGCGAGCGACAAGCGCATCAGAAGTTACAGCAGCAGCAGCAACAACACTCGTCGTCTGGTAGTAAGTTACCGGCTGGTCCACACGGCCATCACCGGCCGCCGGGCGATTCAAAATTAAAATCGCATACGCGACCGAATCCGCTGCCGCCGGGCCGTCCGGAGCATCGTGAAGTGCCGCGCGATTCCGACGCGCAAGTGCGCGCCGATAAAGAACTCATAGACAAGCGTTATCTCAGTAAACCTAATAGTGATACAAACAATGCGACGAACGTTGGTCACGCGGAACATTACAGTGGTGAAAAACGTGGTGTCGACACTTCCAGATCGCGCGCCCCCGCGGACGCGAAACTGATGGCCTACAAACACGACTCGCGTCGGCCGCACGACGCCAGCGGCGCGAAGACGGAGCTGGACGCACGTAAACACTCGTCGCAGAGCTGGTTCGACAGTTATAACAAAAATAGCATGCACCCGAAGCAGCAGCCAATAAATAATAGTACCTCGCAGATGAAAGTCAAGTCGCCTTTTGCTCCAGAGAATAATGCACAAAAATCCGTCCCAAAAAGCAGTAGTAGCATCAAGAGCGAGCCGCACAACGGCAGCAACACAAGTAGTAGTAATAGCAACGGCACGTATGGCTTCGACCAGCTGGACCAGCAGATCAAGCAAGAACCCAAGGAGTTGCCGGTGAAAAAGCCGAGCATGTTCTCGCCGGAGAAAACACCGCCGCGCAAGATGAACATCTCGATTAAAATGCCGCCTTATGATAGCAGCCAGCATGCAAATCAACACATTCCATCGAAAAAGCCATCATCTAATCACGGTTACGACGCCTCGCGTCCGATCAAGAAGGATCAATCCGAAGGGTTTGAGAACCTGTTTCGTGATGCGGGTTTGCACACACTTAGCGCGATGATGACTGCGGGTATACCTGAACTGGATGATTACGGAACTACGGGTCCCATGTCGAATTCTGGGCCGATACAATTCGGGAATATGATGCAGACTGTTCCCCAGCAGCAGGCGCCTCCACCAAAAGTGTCCCAACCATCGTTTATACCAAAAGACACAAAAGATTCAATCGAGACTCAGTCGGCATACAGTTATTCTTCAAGTGCATCGCTTTCGACTTCTTCTTTGCTTAGCAGTACCTCGCAGCCGATTGTGAACGGCATCGAAACAAATCCTACGTTAATTAGCAATTTATTGAAAGAAGCGCCACCTGTGCTTAAACTGCCGACGATTTCCGGCACGGTGCAAGAGGAACCACCAACGAATGATGAAAGTAAAGACAAGGAGCACGGGCATAAAGATAAAAAGAAGAAAAATAAAGAGAAACACAAGCATAAGGATAAAGAAAAGAGTCGCGAGGAGAAGGAGAAGAAGCGAAAGCATAAAGACAAAGATAAAGAGAAGCACAAGTCGAAGAATCGTGATAAAGATAAGCCGCACGGATCAGATGAACCTATAAAGATCACCATTTCTAAGGATAAGATCCAGCATCCACCCGAAGTGGCACCCACACCCAGCGTTGGTCTGAAGATCAAGATCCCCAAGGATAAAATCAAGACGGAGATCATTGAGCCGCTGCCACCGCCGCAGTCGACGCCAGCGATCAAGATCAAGATCTCGAAGGAAGTGATCAACATTGGCGCGGCGCCCGACAGCGGCGGCAAGAAGCGCGAGCGCGACAAGAACAGCTCGCCGGGCGAGTCGCCGCACAAGATGTCCAAGTACAGTCGGCATCATGGCGGAAGCATGGAGAAGCAAAACGGGCGCAGCTCATTTGGCAAGGTAAGCACCACTCCCGGCAATTTCGGCCATAGTGTTGTCGCGCGCACGCCTTTCAAAACGGGCACTAGCAAGTTTCCCACTCCCAACGCGTTCGCGAACAACCGCCAACCCCCACCCCCCGCGTATCCACCGCAGGCGGCGAATTTTGTCTATAACTATCCGCCGCCGCCGATGCACATGGCGCCGCCGATGATGGCCAACATGTACCATCCGATGTTTGCACCCGGTAGCTATCCGATGTATCCGATGCATGGCATGTTTCCGCCGCCGATGGTTGCCACGCCGCCGTTGCCGGCGGACGATGCGCCGCTGGCGCCGCCACCGCCGCCACCCGAATGATCCTCGGCATGCCATAATCTGTAGTCAATTTGTAATATTTAGTTTTTAAGCGCAGGAGAGAATTTCAGTGCGCGTTTTTTAATCGCGTGGAACGCATTTACCAAAATGATTAATGATTAATGTTGTTTTGATTTTGTTTGTTTGCAATTTTATAAAGAAGATCTGAATGTGTCGATAATTTTCATGCTAGGAGATACGATTAGGGATAGATTACGAAGACTTTTAATTTAACGCAGCAAATTTATCAATACTTGTACATACGAATGAATAATTTTAGTTCGGATATCGCTAATGAAATGCTCAAGAAGTAGACTTTTAGTTCGTGTACTTATATAAAAACAGGGTTTAAAACAAAAGAAGAGAGAACGTTACATCTAGATACGTAGTTAAATTAATCTATTTATTTGGACTTTTTCTTTGTTACTTTATAAAAAAATCAACAACACTCTTTCTCTAACTACAGTAAACCTGAAATTGTTATAAGCGTACATATTTATTACTGCTATATACTTATAGGCCTCTCCATAACTCTATGATTTAGATTCGTTTTTTTTTTTTTATTTTGATCATTTTAAACATTGATATATATTTTATACATGTTTAGTTTGTAAAATATAGTGTTTTGTTGCTAGAAGTATATGTAGCAATTCTTTATTAATGTTGTTATTGATAAATTATTAATTAATTCTACCTCTGCACATGGCGTATGAACAATTAATTGAATTATATATTTATATATTGTGATTTGTTGACTGGAAGTCGATGCTTTCATTATTTTTTGTGTATAAATTGTGTTCAATCATTCGATGAAAACATGTTGTGGTGGGGAAACTGTGCCAAGCTGTGTTAATATTTTGTTATATTATTGCATGTATTGCATAGAATCATAGATAGTCCTTGTTGAAATTCTGTAATCACTGATGTTTTGTAGTTGTAGTGTTCAACACTCTCCTCCACTTTTTAGTCTAGTTGAAAACACTTAGATTTTTAAATCTTTTTGTGTAGTTGATTTCTTTGAATGTCTCTCGCAAGCAAAACACAAATTGAATCATCCTTGTGTCCTTGATTTGTTTCCGTAGCTGAAATTCACTTCAATTGACGTTGACTGATGGCGATCTGAAACGTAAGCAAAAATCAAATGTTTCTCTTTTAATATTGTTTTGAGCTAATAACAAAAATGTCAACCGAAATTTTAATTTTTTGCCTGGATTATTTGATTTGATGTTTTGTTGCAACACCAACACACTCACACTCATTTTGTTTGTTTGTTTGTTAAGTTAAACACACACACACACACACACACACATTGTTGTTGATGATTACACGGTGTTTGGTGGTTTTTCAGGTGAGCGAGGACGAGGCGATGACAATGCATAGCAATAGATACTCAGATACTCCTATAAAATACGCCAACAAAGGAACGTCGGGCACGTAAACTGTTGGCGGCACGGACGAGTTGCAAAAAAGTGTAATCGATTTGAGGGCCCGCCGCGTGCTGTGCACAACCCACCCACAACAACCCCTCAAATACACACGATATCGAGACCCGTTTTCGTTTCTTTGAAATTTGAAAAATTCTGTCTGCCTGCGCGCACTCGTGCAACATTTGATGTTTTCTTTCTTTGATTATGTAACTGTGTTTAGTTAGGCCATAGTGCGCTGATTATGTTAAGCGCCGCGCGCGTATCAGCACGATGTTTGTATATTAATCAATCCGTAAGTGATTGCAGAGAGAGCGTAAACGAAAACCTACTACTAATAAACAAAACAAAAAAAAAAAAACTAAATGAAAAGCCGAAAAAAAATGTTGCAATATTAGAATAATTGGTTGTCAACACACGTTTTGGGTCTTTGCGTATGTATTATTTTTATACTTGTTAAATTTATTGAAGCATGTGAAGATGGAGAAATGAAAACTACACAAAACACACAAATCTAGGATAAGTACGCCTACGAAATTACTACTACTACTAGAATTGCGTACCTAAGACGTATTGATTGTTATAGTTGTTGATTAACCGTCATCTGGCTTTGGAATTTTTGTGCAACCGACTGAAATCTGATACATATTAGATACACAAGGAATTTATGGAATTTATTTTACTTAACTAAAGATTTAATATGATGAAAAACACAATGATAACAAAGAGAAATTTGAAGAGTTTCCACTGCGCGTCGCTCTTAGTAGTTGAGATTTGTAAATATGTTCATAAACTATTAAGGATTATTTATTAATTAAATAAACAAGAAGAAGAAGAAGAAAAAACAAACACTATATAAACGTAATATCGGCTAAGAGTTATAATACCATCATATATAACATATTTTTGTGATTATCCATTAAATACTAATTACTAACCGATGCGAAAATACTAAAAAAAAGTGCATAACAAATATTATTGTAGATAGGTAGATGATAGATATGAAATTTTGTATTCAAATCTATATATACGTACATATGTAAGCTGTGTATGTATGTATGTATATATATTTCATGAACACATCTTAATTTTATTTAATTATTTGCGTTATGTGTTACAGCTTACGAAAGAATAATTTATTTTTTACTGTAAACCAACTAATGTAATCTTATCGGAGAAGCACGAGTGACTACACGCACACAAACACAAAACACTTACCATAAATTAATTCTAACAAAGAAAAAACAAGTTGCAAGTTGCGCTGTACACAAAGGGTATACCAAGAATGTATAAATAAATATGTTCTGTTAAGATTTTAAACGATTTTAAGTTAGCATCAACTGTTCAAAAATATGTTTTCAATGCAGTTGACACACTGAAACAAGTGTAGCCGAATTTCAAATGAAACACCGATTCAAGCAAAGTACTTTTGCGAAACGATTATAGTTTGTAAGTAAATTTCATTGTAAATAACTATTGTGTAATTCTCAGGTTTGTTAGAATGCTGGATTTTGTTTAATTATCAAACACATTGCCGGACACATTGCAGGATGACGATGCATTTTGAGTTCGGAGTTTTTTCTATGTAATATACGATTTATTATGTTCATATTGATAACGAAATTCTTTGCAATTCAATATATCAATTAAAATCAACGAATGTTTTGTGTTAGTAGATTGGTCCATCCTCCAGAGCGTCATCTTCGTCCTCATAGGCTTCGCCGTTATCGAAATAGTTGTTGGCATAGTCTGTGCCATCATCCATTTCTTCATCTTCTTCATCTTCATCAAGCACCATTTCATTTTCGTCTTCCTCGTCAGCCACTTCCTGTTTGACTGTTGTGTTTAATGGAGTGGTTTTCTCGAGATGCTCCAGTTTATCTAATCTATCAACAATATCTGTTTCGGTTTTGATATTTGTGGATGCTGGAGGTACTGGTTTTTTAAACTTTTTAGCAATCATTTTCGGCCGGAGTTCGGATGGAAACATGGCCCAATCAAATGAGTTTTTTCCCACTGGCTGGGAAAGCATCTTGTTGATGGGCTCCATTCCTGCTTGCACTTCTTGAGAATCATCTTTTACTGCTAGTTTGATGTGTGCTGGAGATGATTGAATGTGGTCAACAAAATCTTGTTTCAACATGAGTAAGTATTTGGTTTCTATTGTTATCTGTAAAGGTTTTCAAATTAGAATTCATTTGTTGTTTGAGATTTATTATGAATTTACATTTAAACCAATTGGTTTATGATCCAAGACTGGAAACAAAGGTGGAGGTTGAGTGACGGGTCCTGGTAAGACTTCATTGTTTCCTACTCCCAATGAACTTAGTTGTTCTCTGCTGAAGGATTTGTTCGTGCCACGTCCGCGACCGCCACCACGGCCTCCACGACTCATTGTGTTATTTCAGTCTTTTTTTCTGATGTTTTTGATTTTACTTCTTCCGATTGTGCTTGGAAGTCATCCAAATCATAAATTACTTTGATGATTAAGGAGCAACTAGGGCAGGTGGCTACTTCTTCTCCGGATAATAATTCCTCCTATAGTTGCAATAAAATAAAATTAAGTTTTAAGTTGTAAACTATTAAATTACGTTGTAATTTCTACAATTACCTTGGTGATTTGAAATCTATCTCCGCAAGGACAAGGATAGTAATAGATCTCTTCCTCTTCGTCGTATTCGAAGTCTTCAATCTCAATTTCGTCATGAAATACGGTCATTACTGATAAGAAAATATTTCATCTGAAATGTTTAAAATACATCGCACGTTTTCTACAATACTTGTGCAGGTTATGCTTGTTCTTATTTATAAGGATTTGTAATATGTAGTCTACGATATATAAACTCTAGTGACATCTGGGAGGAGGTTTCGAAAACTATTGTGAGGCTTTCTAGGTACCTTGGTACCCCACCTCTATATATTCGAAATTGTTTATTATCTAATTGTTTATTTTTATAAGCGGTGAATCTCAGCCGGCCCCATAAATCACGCGAGAAGTGCTTAAAAGCCGCCCCCAAAAGTCGGCAAGTTTAGTCATTTTCGTAAATTTACAGTGGAAATTGCGCATTATTTCGAAACCGTTTGCGCTATTTTAATTCCGCACTGGAATTCGACCGGTTTGTTCTTATCTCTGATTGTCAGGTGATGCGCGTACAATAGTAGTGTATAGTTTTGTACTATATACGCGATCGTGTGATGGCGTTGCGTGTATCGTTTGCTCACGCTGCAGGAATAAAAATTAGTTTCACCGAATCCGACGGATGATTCGCACGCGGTCGTCGCGATTCTTCTTTCTTAGGATTTAATTCGGTAACGCGTATTTCTTTCGGTGTTCTTAGTGATTATTTTTGTTTATTGTGTCTCGCTAATGATTTATCGCTTATAAGATGTACGCGAAATGCAAATATTGTGTATTTGTTTGTGAGCGGGGTGCCGACGGATGCCGTTTACAATGGAAGTTTTACAATACTAACCAGTAAGTAAATTAAATAATATTCTCAACCGCATTGATTGATTCTATTTCGGCCATTTTTTTTTCTTTATTATCATATTTTCGTAGTGTTTTATAAATTGTTATATCCATAAATGTGCTTAAAATTGCATGGCATGTGTTGTCACTTTAAGCGAAGCGATTGAATTCTTATTTCATATCTTTTGACTAAACTCAAAAAAATCGAAAAACTTTTTTGGACCCAAAGAATAGAATTTTTTAATTTTTATCTGATCGAGAATTTTTCAATCTTTCATATTCTTCAATCTGTTGGTGTCTATCGCTTTTAGTTTAAAAGGTATGCACTATTCAAATTTATTGACTTAAATATGTCAAGAACGTTGATTATTCTTTGTTTATTTAATTATTTTGCAATTAATTGCAATTGTATAGTTGAGTCTCATTCGATATACCGCAGCAGGGTGGCGGTGAAAATGACTTCCATTCAGGGCACCGTACGAGGGCAGCGGTAGAAGTGACTCGTATTTAGGGCACCAAATGAGGATGATTTTTTTCATTACTTAGATTTTCAATTTAACTAACTTATTTTATAGAGAATTGTCGGTAGATTAAGACTCTGCGATTCGTTCCTTTCAATCTTTAATCCGTCTTGTTCTATTGAATTAAATATCGTTAAGATAATTTGTGTAAAATCGGACAATTTTTCAGTATAAGAAATCTGAATTACATAATTCGGGTTTTAAATATTTATTAATTTTTTAATCCAAATTCCGGGACTAATATTTGCATTATTTATAAATGCCCTACCATTAACAAAAATTGTAAAATAGACATGTATTGTTTATTTATATAGCTATCAGCAAGCGCGAGCATTCGACACGAGAATTGTGTTTGTTTTGAACACAACTTTCTCTTTCTTATCGCATTCGCTGCGAGAATGCAACGCATGAGATCCCCTCACGCTGCATGTTCGCGCATCTTAGTTTAGTTTTGATCGCAGGTAACGTGCCAAAGCGATTCGCTCACAAGGTCGCGTGCCATCGCCGCACTGGATTTTCGCCTCTATTGCTTTCTTATCATAAACTGACGCGTCGTTGCTTGCACAGTTTGCAGCCAGTTTCGTGCCGATATCTGGTTGATCCAATATTTTACGCGACTCGTATTGCTTGTCCGGACATCTACTTTCCAAATTTGCATTATATTCGATCATCAATCGACTATAGTAATGTTATTTACTGTTTGCGCGTTTATTGTCCATACATGCCGGTTAAGTGTATCGCCCCCATGATGATTTGATATTCATCATTAGGATGGCCCATCGAGCTGGTGTAAGTAACTTTTAAACAAACAGCACAGATTGTTTGTTTTTCTCCGCTGTGTGATTATAATATTACCAAATTGTATTAAATGTTTTTGTTATAACATATGTTTTCTTTGATTATTTACAGTATTTGTCGTGCGTTGGAGTCAATGAGTTCTGCATTGGTAAGTTTATAAATCAATTATATTTTTCACTAATTCCTGCCTCTTCCATTAGTCTGTATTTACGTTGTTTTGATTTATCTCGTTCCACCGCGTGTTGCAAATGCATAAGATAGTCGCGTACCCGGCTGATACATTTAAAAATTAACTGTTTAGTAGTTTTTCCTTCGCTTACACAAGCACAAGAGTTGTACTCGAAGATGTAATTCAGCGGAATTCCGCCCTAACCATCCCTATCTCATTTTTCTCTCGACTTTTTAAATTCTAATTATTTCGGATTAAAGATTCTAAATCTTTGAAATATTTTCTATAAGATAAGGTATTCAAATTGGGAAAATAAGAGAGGTCGAGAATAATTCATAAATAAAAATTTGCTAAGAACAATTCTTGTTTCATATCACTGAGAGGTTTTTCATTTTCATTTTTAAGAGAATTTTAAAAATTTGTTTGTTTTTATTTATAATTCCTAGATGGGACTAGCATCAACTAAAAATTGCTTATTTATCAATGTTTGTGTACAAACAACATTTTTGTGTCGCGTTATTATTTTTAATTTTTACCTGATAGAGAATTTTCCAATCTTTCATATACTTTGATCCGTTGGTTGCTTGCAATTTTAGTTTAAAAGAGGACACGCATTCAAGGCACCGTACAAGGGCAGCGGTAGAAGTGACTCGTGTTCAGGGCACCGTACGAGGGTAGCGGTAGAAGTGATCATATTTAGGTACTCATATTCCCAATCCAATTTTCCAATCTTTCATAATCAGCAATTCGTTGGTTGCTATCTCTTTTAGTTTAAGAGATATTATTTATCGAAAATTGTCGATTAAAATTATCATGCACACCACCTTGGTATTTTTTTAAGAATTAAAATTTCATCTCTCAGATTTCCGTTTTAACTTAAATCTGATAGAGATTAGTCCGTAGATTAAGACTCTGCGATCAGATCCTATTTATCTCTTTTAGTTTACGAGATATTCGTGATTGAAGAAAATGGTTTTTCGCAAAATTTGCAAAATGTCACTTTTAGCACTTTTATAATTATGTTATATTTTTTTTATCTGATTGAAAGAATTTTCCAATCTTTCATAATCAATAATTTTCATAATCAACAATTCGTTGGTAGCTATCTCTTTTAGTTTAAGAGATATGAATTTTTGAAAATCGTCGAAAAAAAGTATCAAGCACCCCCCCTTGGCAATTTTTTTCTTAAGATTGAAAATTTCATCTCTCAGATTTCCCTTTTAACTATTCTATCTGATAGAGATAGGTCCGTAGATCAAGACGCTGCGATCAGAACTTAATTATCTCTTTTAGTTCACGAGATATTCGCGATTGAATAAAATGTGCAAAAATTGCAAAATGTCACTTTTTAGCACTTTTAGTCGCGTTTTTCGACCTTTTACTGTAGGAAATATAATTATTGTATATTTTTATCTGATTGAGAATTTTCCAATCTTTCATAATCAACAATTCGTTGGTAGCTATCTCTTTTAGTTTAAGAGATATGAATTTTTGAAAATCGTCGAAAAAAAGTATCAAGCACCCCCCCTTGGCAATTTTTTTCTTAAGATTGAAAATTTCATCTCTCAGATTTCCCTTTTAACTATTCTATCTGATAGAGATAGGTCCGTAGATCAAGACGCTGCGATCAGAACTTAATTATCTCTTTTAGTTCACGAGATATTCGCGATTGAATAAAATGTGCAAAAATTGCAAAATGTCACTTTTTAGCACTTTTAGTCGCGTTTTTCGACCTTTTACTGTAGGAAATATAATTATTGTATATTTTTATCTGATTGAGAATTTTCCAATCTTTCATAATCAACAATTCGTTGGTAGCTATCTCTTTTAGTTTAAGAGATATGAATTTTTGAAAATCGTCGAAAAAAAGTATTAAGCACATTTTATCATCTCAGATTTCCCTTTTAACTATCCTATCTGATAGAGAATAGTCCTGGGATTAAGACGCTGCGATCAGATCTTAATTATCTCTTTTAGTTTAGGAGATATTCGCGATTGAATAAAATTGTAGTTTTTTTTGTTATCACACGCGAACGCGGTGTCACAATATATTCGAAATTATGCGGAATTTAATTCTTTATTTCCTGAATCGAAATTTATTGCTAGAAAATTCCGTAGCGCGAGTTATGATGATAGTTGTGTGTTTACGCATATACGCTTTAGTACTCGTTGCGCTAGGAATTGTAGTTTTTTTTTATTATGACACTCGTACGCGGTCTTAAACTAAGGTGGGAATAATTTTCCCAGATGCGGAATTTAATTTTTTATTTCCCTGTATTGAAGTTTATTGCTAGAAAATTCCGTAACGCGAGTTATAATGATAGTTGTGTCTATACGCATATACGCAATAGTACTCGTTGCGCTAAGAATTGTAGTTGTTTTAGTATAACACGCAAACACGGTGTCACAATAGGTTCGGAATAATTTTCCCAGATGCAGAATTTCATTCTGTATCTCCCTTTATTGAATTTTATTGCGAGAAAATTTCATAACGCGAGTTATATTGAAAGTTGTGTGTGTGCGCTGTAGTGCTCGTTGTAGTACACGCTTATCGGGGTTTGTGTATAAACAAGTTTTTATATCGCTATAACCGTGCGAAATGCTGCCTCTCACGTTACGAACGTTGCACCGCTTCAGTCTGTTTTTACCTGCACGCGGTTTGGGATCATTATTTCATTCATTCAGATAACATTACATTTTATTTATTATAAGTCAGCATTAATTACGGCACCGAATAACAACAGACGTGTAGAGTGTTTTGCTAAGGTTGATTTACGCGTAAAATGATTATAAAACTCGTGTTTACAAGTGCGTGTCGGCTATTGGATTATTTCGTTGCTGAGCATTGGAATTAGAAATATGTATCCTATTCGTAGTTTTAAGTAAGTGTAATTAACGGCTGTCCTTAGCAGGATATTCCGGGAAATTTGTGTGTTAAAATAGTACATGTTCATTATCCGACAAAATGAATTTAAATAAGTGTTCATCATAGTGCGAGTTCTCACACACGTGTTTTTTTGTTTCAGTCCTCTCTTTGATTTCCTGATGCACTGGTAAGTTTGTAAACGTTATTATATCATAATTACATATTTATTTTAAATCGCATGTAACGTGAGTACCGTAATGAAACAAAATTGATGCGTGCCGTCGGATGCGACTTCGATCTACCCGTAGAGTATGGTCGTGTCAATCATCGGTTTAATAACGTGAATTTTTCCTTGCTTGCATTTTCTTTTTATTTCATAAATCTGCAGGCTCTTTAACGTATTTTCGTAGTTTGGCAATTAATTATTGAGAGTAAGATATATGTAAAAGACGATTTAAATTTCCTTTCGCGTGTGTGCTTTAGTTGCCGTCGGCGGACACATTTTGCCTTGCTTATGGCGTATCTGGAGAATCCATCGCAAAGAAAATTTCTAGCTCTTTATAAATGTAATTGTATTTTTGTTGTTTCACCCTCTCTAATCGTGAATCTAATTCCATGCATGGAAAATTTTGAATTTTTTTATTAAATGTAGCAATTTTCTTCTTGAATCACCCTATGTATTAATTTTCCTTGCTCTCTAATGTAAAACTGACTAAATTTATTGGTTCCGGGTTTTCTATTTAAACTTTGTATTTTATTTTTAAATGTAGGAATTTCCTATTTGTAACACCCTGTATGTTTGTTTTTCTTGATTTCCTATTATAAGTTTTCTAAATTTGTTATTCCCGAGTGTTTTCTTCTTTGAACTATTGATTTTCTTTTTGTAACACCCTGTATATATGTTTTCTTTTTGTGTCCGTGAAAATTTTGCTTTAACTGTCGTCTTTAGTATTTTCCCATTTGCACTTTAAATTTTCTTTCTGGAACACCTTGTATATTAGTTTCCCTGATCGTCGAGTGAAAACGAGCGGCGTTTGTAGTGTCCAGAGTTTTTTGTTTGCACTTAAAATTTTCTTTTTGTAACACCCTGTATATTTATTTTAATTTTCAATAACATAGAAAATGAACTATTTGCTAATTTCATTATTCCGGTAGAACTGTACGAACTTCGAACTACGAAGTGCTACTTGCTTATATGTGCGCGGCGTAGCAGGTCGTGTTTCAATATGGCGACATGTATTCTGCTGAATTGCAAAGTCTAAACTTGTATTCTATTGTTAATAAAGAAATAGTAAGATATATTGACTTCTTTGATTTGTGTGTTCGCCTTCTATCATTTCAGGAACAGGTCTCTAAGAGAGTTCCCTCTCTCAGGGGATGATCCCCTCTATAAAAATTGTTAAGGTAACCTGTATGATTTGTGTACTCCTTCTTTCATTTCAGCAACAGGCGACTTAAAACTTAGAAATATTTTTATAAGTTCTTAAAAGGATGTCCTTATAAGGAGTTCTCCCACTCGGGGGATGATCCCCCACCATAAAAATTGTTGATATGCCTGATAATTTCGGGGATGAAGCGCAGAGACATCGTAGCTGTAGGATGGGCCGGGAGCAATGGATGGACTGAAGCAGTGGGCGATCGACCAGAGCGCCGGAGGCGCTCTGGGAGATCGACCTGTGACTGTCTTATAACGACACGTGCCAAAAAATTTTAAAATCTGATCCTCCTCCCCTGCTCTCTTTCTTCTATCTCCTCCTCTTCTCTACTCTACTCTCTGTTCTCTTCCTTCTATCTTCTCTTATTCTTTACTACTCCTACTTCCATTTCTCTGTTCTCGTTTCTCCACTTACTACTTTCTTACTTCTCTTATTGCCTTCGCTTGTATTTCAATTTCTCTTATATTTCGTTGCGATTCATATATGCAACCCAAATTACACCTGATATTTTTATATTTGAGAAAAATGCCTTCTATACCTGAGATTCGATCCGTGTCTACTAGCATGCCAGCAGGTGCACGTCTCCACTCGACCACCGAGTGTTTTTATCATTAGTATTTGATTCTTCTATTTATGTTTCTATTTTATTCAACTTTTTAAAAACAATAACACAAGCCTTAGCTATGTTGTATACGTTTCACGCGCACAAGATTCATACGCAGTATGATTTAAGATTCTTATCCTGAAAACGATAAAAAGGATATTACAAAGAAATATGAATGTGATTGAAATTTTAAATAATGTTTTATTAATTATATTTAACAATACATTGATTCTTTTAAATAAAGAATTATCGACGACTATCAAATCCCGTAGCAGTAAAGACTTGCCTTAAAATACGCGCATCGCGCCTGCGGCGCTCCAAACGTTCGACGTCAAGACCGACACGCCAAAACCCGAACGGAAAATCGCGAGAATTTCACAAGTTCCGGCTTATAAAATGCAAATTTATTAGACGATTATGAGTCGAAATTATTACATATTTCACTTTTTTTTCTATATTTTACAAACAAGGATTTACAAATGAATTACCTTCAAATAAATGTTAATCCGCACGTTCGGGACATCTCTTTAGCACTCAGATGAAACACACTTAAATAACAATACGCGATTACATGCTGAACTGAATAACTATTGTTAAACATGGCGACCGATAAGCACAAACAGAACGAGAGTCAGTCAACCGCATCACGCGCATAGGCTAAGTATACTAAAGTAAAGTAGAGACGAGGTGCGAATCAGGCAGCGTTGGTGCGCGCAAAACATGCCCGCTGCACACTATAAAAAGTTGTTTTACAACACTGATAAGCACATAGTGCCAGGCACAATAACAATTCTTTAATGTTGAAAGATGAAATGTACTGTAAATAATGTTTTAAAACATTTACATAGAAAAGAATGTACGCTTTAAGATGAATAAATTAGTTTATAGTATTTTTATTCGGAAAAATACGAAAAATAGGTATATTTATCATTTATGCATATGTACACACCTACACGCAGTTACAAAAGTCATCCAGGTTCGGTCTCCGTCGACTCCTCGATGAATAACCAAATTCACCACCCTCAGCATTTAAGTATTCATAGTATACATGTTCATTTTCACATAATCATACCGTCATAAAAATACAGACGCTAACAATCGACCTGTGTTGAGAAAACATTTCAAAAAATTTCCAAAATATCTCATCAATTCTCAACCGTTATTACCTGTGACAATTTTCAATATGTACATCGATATAAAATATTCATTTTCACCGGCTGATATATGATGTAAACTCTACGAAATGAATAAACATTTCAGTGAGCAATACACATCTTCGAAGCATTCTTACATTTTTAAATCCGTAGGTTATTTGATATCTAAATACGCCGTTTTGGTCGACAAGTATCATTAAATTAAATAATTCTTAATCAAAGTATATAAAAATATAGTTAATAGTGTATAGTCAATTAAATAAATTATTTACATAATCAAATATTAATTTAATATTAATAGTCGAAGGATGATCGTCGCGGCGCGCACCCCTCTTCGCTTTGTTCACAGTTGACAATTATTCATCTATGCATTTTGATGCATACATGCAAATTGCACATCGTTTCGAGTTCGCACGTTAAATTAAAAGAATGTTTCGCGTTAAATAATATCGAATAAATAATGCTCAGAAGCGTACAGCTGGATGTATCATCTGCATTATTGTGAGCGTGAATCTTAATATTTATGCTCGCAATATATAAAAATACCACGCCATCAGAGAAACGAGCCGTGCGTTACAATTTTCAGCATATGTACAAAAATATATTACTATAAAATACAAATATAATTTCTTCATTTTGTTTTTAGTTTAGCGCGCTGGAATTTATTGTTCGATTTGATACTTTGATACTTTTGTTTCGATTCTGGAAGGCACAAGCGACTTTCAGCCAGCATGTTTAGACAGGTTCAATGGCATATCTGAAACAAAATAATTCAACAAATTGAGAAACAAAAAAGAAATCAAATATTAAGATTTTACGCAAAAATAATCATTTATTAACACGTTAAAAACTCAATTACTCTGGTAAAATTGCCAGTAAATAAGTCCTGAAGTCTAAATATGAATTAAATATGAAAATCAACCAAGTGGTACAAATATCGCCGTTAATTTAAGTAACATTAAAGAGAGACTAAAATATATTGATTTTATTTGCGTGCATGACCCTAATTTACGCTCAAATCTTTCCTCGGGAAGTTCCAACTGCGTTAACAAGTCAAAGTAAATGAGCGTGAAGACGGAAAGACGAAGAACTTTATTAGAATCATGCGTGGCCACATAAACCGCGTCGTTTCCTCAATTAACAACGACGCGGCGCGTGCCACACTCACACAGGAAATAAACGATAGTTACATACCTGCGATATTATCATCCTGTGTGCGATTGTCGCGAGGTGGCTCGGCGGCCCACGAGCACGACGGTGCTTCGGGACGCACTGGGGGTGGTAGCAGGCATGCTGGCGGCGCTGCCGTCAGCCCAGGAAACCCTCGCGCGAACGCATGGAAATAGTGCGGCGGCATCGTATACGGATGGATGAAGGGCGGCATAAACGACGGCGGCGTCGCGTACGGTAAGCACAGTCTCTTATCAACGTGCTAAAAATGAAAAGAAACAAACAAAATTCACATTAAAAGTTGCATCAAGTTGTGTGCTCGAGTGTGAAACGTATCCTCCGTTTCCGGTTAAGCCATACGCACATGGAACACACATGAAAATCTTGATGTAGACATAAACTCGACTTCCGGTTATTAGAAGCCGTTCGTTGGAGAAGAAAATAAAAAAAAATACGGAGGAATCTAAAGAATCAAAGCTAAAAGAAAACGAGAAACAATGGCAGTAATGGCACGTAGAAAGCCAGCACGAGCCGGAGCGCGCGCGCGGAGTGCCATAATTACACGGTCAGCAAAGCAGAAATTCTTTTCATCCGCAGTGCGCGGCTCGTGCGCGTACGTACGCTCGCACATTGTTGTGTTATGGTCTAATAATTAATGTTGCGCGCACGAAACGAACGGCACGTTCCAACAATAGGAACGGCGGAACGCGCGCGCCGCGAGTCGCGTCATTACGTCATTTCGACACACACCTGAGGATTCGTTCGTCCGCTTGAACTCTAAACACACTTCAGTTGAGATACAACGCTTAAGAAGCGAAATTCAATTTTCAATTTCGTACACCGATTTATTTTTTGGATGAAAAATGATAAATTTTTAGTATTTACTTACAGATAATTCAATGGAACGCAGACGATCGACACTCTCGGCGTACCAGCGATCCTCGGGCATCGGCGTCGAGTACGGATGGCCGGCGGCGGCGGCACCCGGCGAGTAATGACTAGGCGAGTTCGCCGGCGATCGCCTGATGCTCTTGTCCTCCGCCAGCAGGGAGGTAATACTGTAGCTGCTGTTGCGCGTCTGCGTCTGCCTGGACGGCGTCGACGCCGGCGGCGGGTGTGGATCACTGCCCACGTGATCAACAATCCCAGTCGTGGATGCCACCCCATTGGTGCGCACCGGACTACCCACCGCCTTACTAGCAGCGGCGGTTTTTCCTCGACTGCGCTTTAAACACGAGTCATCCACGTGCGTCTTTGCATCCTTATCCATTTCCCGCAGGAAACGTTTTCGTGGCGAGACGACTGTCTCCCTCGCCGGAGATCCAGCTGGAACCTTTTCCGCTAAAGCTTGGATGATGGTCTGCAGTCGTTTTTCTTTCTTTTTTGACGTGGATGGCTTCGGAGAGGTATTTGATGGGGATGTGGGTGTTGGTGATGATGTCGTCGCAAGTGGCAGGCCGCGAACATGCTTGATAAACTCTTCGGCAGTGGAATCGTAGGGTTTGCGGGTTTTTCGTGATTTCTGCAGGGATTTTCGAAGTTTTCTGCTAGCTAAGTAGTAGAACGTGAGCTGCTTCGAGAGGTTTTTACGCGGACTGGTTTGCTTCCACGAGTGGTCGCGTTGCCACGGAGATGATTGGATGGAACTGTTATCGTCTGAAACTATAGACGAAAAAAACACACAAACAAATAATAAATTTTATTTGTAAATTGTTGTTTTGCTCACCGCTAAGTGATGTACTGCTCTCCTGTCGGTACGTGGGCGTCGAAGAAGCAGTACCCTGCGGCGGCCAGAAGGTCTTCCTCGGTACAGACACCCAGGAGACTCGTTCACCCTCTCGCGATCGTTCCAACTCCAAAATAAACTTTCCATCTACCGAAGAAAATAAAATTAATTTAAAAACCAGATGGATCGCGATGGCCGCACGCGCGTGTTCGATAGACACCTGAAATTTAGCACTTGTCTCCTCTCGTATGGTAATGACGCACGTTAGCGCGTTGCGGCGGAATGTTAATTACCTTTAAAGAACTTGAGTCGTCCGCCGTGCGCGTACGCGCTCCGAGGGGGTTCCTCCCGGTCGCCGCGCTCGCAGTCACCATTCCCATTCGGCACGTCCTTCTTGGGGTTCTCCTCGTCCTTTTGCATTCTGGCACATTTTGTTAACGTCGCGTGCGCGCCGTTAGCGGTCGCATAGATCATAGTCCCAGGGCGGCGAACAGCCCCTCGCGATGACTATAACGGCATCCAGATGCGCGCATATCGTCGGCGGCACCGTCTCGCACGCTCGTCGTGCCACTAAACTCTTCGCCGCGATATGCAGACGATGCTCCTCCGGCGCGGGCAGTCGCGGCACTCACACACGCGCCCGGCGCTGTCTGCTGCTCCTCGCTGCTGCTCCTCGCTGCTGCTGTCTCGGCGCGACCCACGCCCGTCGCACGCACTCGCCGCTCACAGCCACGCACCGCGTATTTCCTCCATGCCCGCTCGCGTTCGCGCTCCGCCAGCCGCCCGTATTCGATAGCAACGCACGCAAATCGCGGTCGGCGCGCACAGACGGACGGTGAGATTTTTTGATGATGTAGACACCTAGGCTCACACGACGACGCGAAAACGCACGTTGCCAAAACGCAGCCCAGTTCGAAAATCATAACATTCCCCACACGCACTCACACTCCATCATTCTTCGATTTTCATTAACCTTCACACCCTTGTTGGTCTACTGAGTTGACTTCATGCGATAATAAACAATACGCACTCGTCAAAATCAACAAGTTCGCGGAATAAACAAAATATGCTGGTTACCAGAGCAACGCCGCTTTTCAACTGTCAACAACCCACGGATTTAGAGAAGGGGGAACACCATTGGGCATGCTCACATCCCACCATGTTTCAGTAGCCGGCGCTGTTATCGCACATTACGACCAATCAACGACGCGAAACATTCGCCGTGTGCTTTCGTTTTGCGGCCATTTCTGATCAATGTCAAGCAGGAAAACAAGCCAAACGCACGTTGATTGATTAATTCTAACATAAAGTCATCTTAAACACATCTAATTATTAATTATCCTTAAATATTGCATAGAATTTGCAATAAAAAAACAAGTTTCTACGAAGGGTATACAAAAGTGCGTTAAAATGGGTGAAAAAAGCGGCGCGGCAAGCGCATTCGAAGATCTTTCGAACGTGGAGTTCGAAACCAGCGAAGATGTGGAAGTCTGCGACAAATTCAAAAACATGAACCTCCGCGAGGAGTTGATGCGTGGCATCTTTGCTTACGGTAAGTCCGAATCACCATATCGCATCTTTAACGTTTTGAGGTCATAACCTAAATTTTTCTAGGTTTCGAACGTCCCTCGGCGATCCAGCAGCGTGCCATCCGGCCCATCATCAAAGGCCGCGATGTCATCGCCCAGGCTCAATCCGGTACCGGCAAAACCGCAACATTCTCAATCTCAATTCTACAATCCGTAGATTTAACAATGCGCGAAACACAAGTTCTCTGCCTGTCACCCACCAGAGAACTGGCGGTACAGATCCAAAAAGTAATCCTCGCCCTTGGGGATTTCATGAATGTCCAATGTCACGCCTGCATCGGTGGCACAAACCTTGGCGAAGATATTCGCAAACTTGACTATGGCCAACACGTCGTCAGCGGTACACCCGGCAGAGTCTACGACATGATCCGACGACGCGCGTTGCGAACACGTTCCGTAAAGATGCTAGTCCTCGATGAAGCCGACGAGATGCTGAACAAAGGCTTCAAGGAGCAGATTTACGACGTGTATCGTTTCCTTCCACCAGCGACACAAGTTGTCCTCATCTCCGCTACATTACCGCACGAAATCTTGGAAATCACGTCGAAATTCATGACGGATCCAATCCGCATCCTCGTAAAACGTGATGAACTTACCCTGGAAGGTATTAAACAATTCTTCGTCGCGGTGGAGCGAGAAGAGTGGAAATTCGACACTCTGTGCGATTTATACGATACCTTAACCATCACACAAGCTGTGATCTTCTGTAATACCAAGAGGAAGGTGGACTGGTTGACGGAGAAGATGCGCGAAGCGAACTTTACAGTCAGTTCAATGCACGGTGACATGCCGCAGAAAGAGCGCGATGTCATCATGAAAGAATTCCGTTCTGGTCAAAGCCGAGTTCTGATCACCACTGATGTCTGGGCGCGTGGTATTGACGTGCAGCAAGTGAGTCTGGTCATCAACTACGACCTGCCCAACAATCGTGAGCTGTACATTCATCGCATTGGTAGATCCGGTCGGTTTGGCCGCAAGGGTGTCGCGATTAACTTCGTCAAATCGGACGATATCAGGATTCTACGCGATATTGAACAATATTACTCGACGCAGATTGACGAGATGCCAATGAACGTCGCCGACCTGATTTAAATTAATATGACGCAGCGTAATGTTAAGTGTAATTAATATTTTCTTAAGAGTGAACATCTTTTTTTAACCTTCCTCAATTTATAAAATTATTTTATGATGATGCGAGAAATGAACTTAGAATTAATTTTTACCTTAAAATTTAAACTCCTTGTATTTCTTCGTTTGCTTCGTGTCGGCATTCTGCTGCCGCTTACGTTTGCTCTTCTGTTTAGCAACGTGCTCTGCCAGCATGTCGCTGAGATCTTCCTTCTGCAGCTGTGATTGATTCTCTCTGATCTGCTGCTCGTACCGCACCGCCATAGCATCGCTATCCATGTCCAACTCGGAAGGATCCAGCGCAAGTTCGACTGTGCCTTCTCTTTCCGGCGCAGCGGCAGCGCCACCTCTTCGGGCTGAGATGACTGCTGGGGGCGGAGCTCCGACTCCTGTCATGTCATAAACATGGCTGCTTGCCATCATGGATCCACCAATACGATCGTTCCTCTTCTCAGGCAACACATGATACAGCACTGGTGTTTCAGTGCCTTCCATTTCAGCTTCAATCTTTTTCTTCCGTAACTCGATTGTTTCGGGTGTTTCCATGCCAGCTGGGATCGATGTAAGTCCACTGGGTGTTACCATTCCCTCAGCAGGTGTAACCAAACCGCTTTCATCCGCTTCTTTTTCTTCATCCTCTTGTTCCTCTTCCTCTTCGCTTTCTTCCTCAGACTCGGATTCGAGTTCACCCCAGAGTGTGCGTTCGACTGCGACGTCGTCGCCCAAATCGTCGAGGTTGAGTATAATCGTACCGAAAACGTCACCGTACAACGGTTTGCCGTTTTCATCCACGGGTGGTTTACCCCAGCCGCCGGCATGGTAACCGAACGAACAACCTTCGGGGATAGGCGCATTAAGACCGGGGATTTTCAGGTTAGGATAACTAGGAGGCGGGCCATAACGTTGCATGGCAATCAGCCATGGGGGTGGGACTTTCGATGCGCTAGGACCAACGGGCATACCAAGCGCAGTACGCAATTCTTCTGATAAATCACCAGGTTTCTTTTCTTTCAGGCGCGTTTCGAATTCTTTACCTTCGTAGTACAAATCGCCGTGGATCGTCATTTTTGGTTTCGTCTGCCATCTAAACATAGAATTAAAATTTAATATTAAAAACTTAAAATATTTATAACTTTTAAAATTTTACTTACTTGAAGAAAGCATCGTGTAATTTTTGATAATCGATATCAATTTTACCCATTTTAGGACGTGCACGTTCACGCATCTTCGCTTTCAACGTCTTACTCTCATCCTTATCCTGCAGCGACGCCCGCATTTCCATAATACCAGTCCGTTTAATAAAATCAGGCAGATTGAAAGGTGGTTTTTCAATACCACGCTTACCTTGTAGATACTTCCTCTTGAAACACCAATGTCTCGGTACCTGCACAGTATTTCGATGTGCTTTCAACTGAACCAATAATTTAGGATCACGTGCAGTGACATCGTGCATCTCGACGACATCAGGACGATTGACTAGTTGCTTAAGTTCGGCGACGCTTAACCGCGTCAGTTTCTTCAGCTTACGCTTGGAGAGTTTAGATTTATCATCGTTTTTCTTGTCTGGATCATCATCAGGTTCGTCTTGGAACTGATCGCCCATGATTGGAACTGGCATTTTCGTGGATAACGCTGTGGGAATTGCTAACATCGGAGGAGGAATATCGTTTTTACGATCGGCGATCTTGAACGCTTCGAAAATGTGGAAAAACTGGCGATATTGAGGTGCTAATTCGTGTAGACCAAGTGATTCTTGAATATATCTATGAAATAAATTAAATTTAATAAAAATATTTATTAATTAATATGATTATTATAAACTTACTCAACTTCGACGTCTGTTTCACCAGTTTCTTTCTTATTCTCGTCTTTTTCCTTGTCATCTTTTTCTTTGTTAGTTTCATCTTCGTTTTCTTTATCAGTGTCCTTTTCCTGTTGCTCTTTATTTTGTGAGTTTTGTTTTTTCTTGTTCTTCTTTCTGTTCTTTTTCTTTTGGTTCTTGGTCAGTTTTCCGTCGCGGTCCTTTTTGGGCTCTTTTTCTGCTTCTTTCTGTACAATCACACCTTGTTCCTGAATAGTATTTTCTTCGTCATCTTCTTCTTCAGGTTCTAATGGTGCACTTTCTTGTGATTGTGAATTGGAGTCCTCAACCTGCACACTTTGTTGAAACTCATTGTACTCATCTTCTTCTCTTTGATCTTTGAATGCCAGCAGTTGCTCAAGCACTGGTGGAATCTCAACTTCTTGGTTAGAATCCATTGTGTTTTCACTAGATTGCATTGAGTTGGAGTTTTCCATGTAGTCTGCTTCCTCTGGCGTGACAGATTGCTGCATTGAATCTAAGAAATACAAATATTAAGTTAATTAATAATTATTATTTAAGTATGGTTTTTATAGTTTGATTTTACCTTGTGACTCTTCCATTTGTTGCATTTCATTCATATCTTGCATCTGTTCCATTTCGTCTGCTTGCTGTTCTTCTTGTTCTTCCTCTACCTCATACAATTCCTGCATTTGCTCTTGTGCTTCATGCATTGCTTGCATAGCTATTAAATTTTGCTCATTCTGTGAAAAATATTAATATAACGCTGAAAAATTAGCCGGAAATAGCACAAAGTAGTTTGGTTTGTCTATGCGGCTTAATTTTAAGTTGAAAATCAAAACTAATTCAATAGTTTTTATATCAAACAGGTGCAAATCAACAAATAACAAGAAAGTAACCTCTAAATCGGTAAATTAGAGATGTGATAAACTTACATCATTTTCTTCCTCCATTTGTAACCAAATCACTTAATACGGACTTAGTGTCCGTATTAATATACAAATAATAAATTAGTTATAGTAATTGATTAAATTTCAATTGATCACAATCACAATTCGTGTCTCTTGCGTTACTAGTTCGAGGTTATCAAGCTTTATATGTGTGGCAGTGCTACCAACCTGTCAAGCAAAAATAAGTAACTAACCATTAAATAACTAAGTGCGAGACAGGCCCGTTCTAAGATTGAAAACGAATAACTAAACTATTATAAACAAATTTAACTGTAATTTAACTAATAGTCACGAGTATAAGCGTTGATAATTCAAGGCTGATTTAAAATTTTGAATTATGGGTTCATAATTGTTAATTTTGCAATGTTTTTGATATTTCGTATTCAAATAACTCGAGTACTAAAGGTACGGTGCACCGCATGAGAGTCACTTTTACCGCTACCCTCGTACAGTACCCTAAATGGGGGTCACTTCTACCGCTGCCCTTGTACGGTGCTCTGAACACGAGTCACTTTTACCGCTACCCTCGCATAGTACCCTAAATGGGGGTCACTTCTACCGCTTCCCTTGTACGGTGCTCTGAACACGAGTCACTTCTACCGCTACCCTCGTACGGTGCCCTGAATGGGAGTCACTTCTACCGCAGCCCTTGTACGGTTTATGCATAGATTTGTGCGAATATTTATGAATTAATTATTTAGTCTATTTTGTTTTGTTGACGCTCCATAAAACCATAAAATATAAAAAACTGTACTTTGTACATAACAATAAAAATTACGAATTACACCACAATTAAAATAGTTGCCTGTGTGCGCGAATATCTGACTGATGCATTCGCCGCCGCAAATCCCATTGTAAAGCAAATCATGCCCATTACTTATAATTTCTTTCTAAATCACATAGCAAACAACACAACCCGAATAGATCATACCTAAAAACAAATAGAGTTTGACTTAAACTTGACTTAATCAGTAAGAGTAGCGCGTTTTGTGTGAAGACAAGGATTAATAAAGTTGAAACCAATTGCAAAACAGCTCAAAACCATCCCTAACGTCTCGAGCTGTATCTGCGCATGACAAGGTTCGCCACAAATGGCCACAGCACGATAAACGTCAACAATTTAAAAGAGATACCAAACGGCCATTTTGTTCTTCGCATCATAGCCCGACTACCACCGCTACTCGATGACCGATTGTGCTTCTCAACAGCGGCGACCTTTTCCGTGAGACGATCAATGTCCATTTTAATACTGGACACTGCATTGGCGATTTCTTGCGAGATATCCACACTCAATGTACGTGAACGCGGGCGGGATTTGTGGCCAATGTAACCGTTCGTCATATCGGGTGGAATGCCATTAGGAATGTGCTTTCGTGGTTCAATTGTCTAAAAAACCACAACAACCATCAAATTAAACACAAAAAACATTAATCAAACAACTCACGTCTATCGTATCGACATACTCCGCATCACTATGATCACTCTCTTCATTATCGACCGCTCTGGACGGTGAATGTGAAGTTGAACCGCTACTCGTGCTCAGGCTGGAGATCAATCTGTTTGGAGACGCTTCACGTGACGCCAATGGCGAATTCGGTTGCGAGCGCACCCTCTCGATGACATCGCCAATCACCAATTGAAGATCTTCTAGTTTTAAATTGTCGAGTTCACTCGAGGGTGCATCGAGGAAACTCGCCACTTTGTCGGAATAACTCATCGTTTCAACAATACTAAAAAAAAAAAACGAATTAAATTAATGACAGTTAATGTCATGTTTCGGTCTGATCAAATTTAAAGAATGCAGCAACTTACGTGTGAAGTTCATCAACATATTTCGCCATAGCTGCTTGTTTACTCATATCACCGAGTTTCTTCCACGCGTCGTACTTTGCGCGTCCGACAATGTCCCAGAACGCTGGTCTTGAACCCGAAACGGGTCCTTGGGTCGCCTGCTTGAAGTAGGCATAAAAACGCAGCATAAGATCATGACTGGGTTGATAGGATCCTGTAAAATATTAGTTTTTTAGTTATGATGACTTGCAAATATGCAAAAATTACTATTCTATTGTCTTAATGCTTAAAATATTGTCTTAATGCTTAAAATATTGTTTATTTCATTGTTTATCGTCCCGTTTAGTTATATTTAGTTATCAGCTACTTCATAAATCATAATTAAGCAACCCGTAGAAATAAAATGTAACGGTGAGCATTGTTTCACAAAATAAATTACGTTTCGAGGTAAAACCGCGTTTTACGGGACAAAGTCAAAGTTGTAATTATCTCGACGGAGATTATTATTACATTTCAGTTTTTGCTCAATCTACTATACGTAATTGCTTAATATTGCAAATTAACTTCGATTTATCAGTGACGCGACAAATTACCATCGTGACCACGACGACGACGACCTAAAATCGTTTAATTCCAACCGGTTGCGCCATTATGCAATGCAAAACAAGGAAAAACACAAAAGAAAACGCAAAGAATAAACGTAAGCTGCGTTTACAGCACGCAATCATATTGATCAATTAATTGATTGCTGGTAACTTGTATACTTTTGTAATTATCGTCGTAAAAATGACAGAAATGCTTGTTTTGTGTGTGAATGATGATGATTTGCAGTTTGCATATAATCTTGGAGTGTTGTTGTTGACCTTAGCGCTAACAAAAAGTTCAAACAGTAATTTGCTGTTTGCTTGATTCGATATTCCGATCGTCGTTTGTTTGGTGATAATTCGTGTTGAGCTACGATGTTTTACTTGTGTAGCAACATTGCGTGACTTATTTTTAGAAGTAAACGCGCTTCGGCTTCTCCTCTAGGGAGCGAAGTAAAAGTAAAAAAGTGAAAATTACCAGTGTACACTCACGAAATTAATTTTTTAGAGTGGCAGGTTTTAAAACATACCATTTTTTGGCAAACTCCGTATCACATTAACAGCGGCGTGAAACTTCTCTTCGGTCGTCATCTTCCTGCTTCCTTTCTATTTTATTACTTCACTGAAAATCTGAACTTCCGTGTTTTTACGCGATGTTAGCTGGGAGTATACTTGTGCACTTCGGACATTTCCAAACGCAATCCGACGGATTCGACGGCGAGCGAAGGTTGAGCGCGCTAGGCGAACGTAATCAAACGAATGGAAACAGGAAAAAATTAAAAACAAGACGACGCGACGTTCGCGCACTCACTGTCACACTCCCATTTGCGTTCATTTGTTGTGCTCGCCTTCGCCCCGTTCGGAAATCGCCAGGAAGCGCTGCGCAGTGCCGATAGTTGCCAATGCCAGCCCGCGCAATGTCAACCGGGTCGACGCATGTCAAATATCAAATATACAAATCATATATATTACACCGATTCGTGAGAGTTGTTTAAACTAATTTTGTTGTTTTATAACGATTCTCCGCTTATTTAACAACTAGATTTCATATTAATGCTTAACTTTCATCTAATTTTAATTGTTAATCTTTCTTTTGCGTTTAAATTTAAGTTTTATTCTATTTGTACAGTTTTGGTGCATGATCCATGTAATATATATCTAGCAATGAAGAAGCACTTTTGTCGTTTAAAATTTGTCATTGTTTAAATGCTGCTTTTCGCCTAATAAATCTAAAATTTGTTTATTTTTTAAAGTGTTAATTATACTCTTAAAATCGTCTGCGTCTAACAAATAACTTAAATAAGTCACATTCTGCCCCAGAGCGTTATTCAACCAGTACGTTTGTTACATTCACAACTAATTGCGCATCGCGCCTCCTGACACAATAAACGAATATCGTTTCTGACTAAAAAAGAACAAAACATTTCCATCCCGACATTCTGCGCTCTGTCGCGTCGTCTAATTACAACGAGTCTAACAAGTTTTATTACAAGTCTTATTGGCATGACTCTCGCCAAGTCGTATAGTTAACGAATAGCATTTTATTATGGTGGTACGTGGATAGCAAGTTATTTCAATCTATCTACGCCGAGAGAATTCGTTAATTCTACGCCGCCCCGCGCGCCATCTACTTCAGGTCAATGTTTGGCGGTTTATCCGCCATGATCGCCTTGATGTCATCGGCGTCGAGCGTTTCATACTTCATCAGCGCCTCGGCCAGAGCCTTATGTTCCTTTGCATGCATCTTCAGGATCTGCTTCGCCCTTTCATAGCTATCGGACATAATTTTTTTGATTTCCGAATCAATCTAAACAAATAAACACTTTTAGTCATACTAAATCAGAAAAATATAAAATGTCTCACCATTTCGTTGGTAGATGGCCCTAGCATATCCCCACTGAAAGGTTTACTTCCTTCAGCGACAGTTCTAAGTCCCACTCGTTCCGACATGCCCCAATCTTTGACCATATGAGTAGCAATAGACGTGGCTTGTTTAAGATCCGAACTAGCGCCTGATGTGATCTTATCCGGGCCGAATACCAGCTCCTCAGCGGCACGTCCGCCCATCATCGTATCCATCATAGCAAGCAGTTGACTCTTAGTGACATGATACCTCTCTTTTTCAGGGATATACGCTGTGTGACCCAAACTGGGCCCGCGGGGGATTATTGTCACCTTATGCAGCGGATGGCTGTCTTTAGTGTAAAAGGCAACAATGGCATGGCCGCCCTCATGGTACGCTGTAATCATATTCGCTTCCTCATCAGGTATCCGCGATTTTCGCTCCGGACCCATGAGGACTTTATCACGAGCCGATTCTAAATATTTCATTGAGACCGAGTTGCAACCATCGATAGCAGCCCTGTATTTAATACCAAAATTAAAGAAAAAATAAAACATACAAGTTATAATTGTTAAACTGGTTGCCTACCTAAGTGCGGCTTGGTTAACCATGCTTTCCAAGTCCGCGCCAGTGAATCCCGTCGTTCCACGGGCCAATAACTCCACGTCAATTTCCTTCGCCATGATTTTGCCCAAATACAAACCTAGAATTTCTTTACGTCCAGTGTAATCAGGTGTAGGAACATTTACCTACAACATACAAACGAAAAAACATTAAACCAATTTAAACCAATTTACCAAATACAACAAAACAAACTTTTTTCTATTTTTTTCTAATTTAATGGAGCAGAATTCTTTGTGATAAAATTCATATAATCATTAGCATCGATACTGCCGATTGCATACAACCCCCCAACATGATTCATCAAATCCACGAGGAAATTCACAAAAAACTGCTTGTACGGATCAATACTCCCCGGTTGATCATCACACATAAAAGTCAACGGTATTTCATTCCAGTACAACTCCCCAGACTTGCACAGCGTCGTAAAAATATTGAAATAATCCGCGAGTACTTTAAACAACAGCGCTCGTTCGCAAGTGAATCCCATTCGCAGGAATCCAATCGGAATCAAATTGGTCCCTAGGCGCGTTTTCAACGCATGCAAGTGCAAACGAAACGTATGCTGTGGCACATCAGTGTCATACCCCATGAAACCTTTGAGTTGTTCATCAACAAACTTCGCTATGATAGATATCCTGTTGTAGAGACTCAAATAAGGTTCACAGTGTTTAAAAATCTTCTCCAGGGCAATGAAATAATCATACAAGTATGGATCTTCTGATAAATATCCATAATTAATCTCTGGAAGAACACCAATATGTTCCTCTGAAATCTTTTCAGCAAGTTCTACTTCTTTTATGATTGAAGTAGTTGGTTGTACTTTATTTTGACTACTAGAAGCCATTTCATCATCATCTATCTCATGAATAACATTCAAAGCAGAAAATTTTGTATCTTCAGTTGATTTTACAGCACTTTTCAAAGTCCTAGATGATTTCTTTTGTGAATCTGCAGTTGACAAGGACTTACCACTTGTTAATATAGATTTCTTTTCAGAAACAGTCACAGAAGCTTTTGAAGCATCAGATATTGTTTTAGTTTCGACTCCTCCATAAGATATCCTCTTAGAAACATTTAATTTACTATTCAATGCACTATTAAGCAGTGGTTTTGATTCTTTTCCAATCGAAACATCCGTCAATGATGAATTTTTCCTTCGTTGTGTGTAACTATAATCCACAACGTAAATCGTCACCATTGTAGACATCCTCAACAATTGCAACTCTTCTAGTAAAGGAAACGGAACATCATATGTTGAACAACCCTGCCACTTACCACTGATCAAATAAAAGTTTTCTGTAATGGCGTCTGTCACCTCTAATTTCCCATAGGTATAAAATTTCAGCGGTAAAAACAACGATGTCAATGTTTTCGTTAACACCGTAGCGCAGTAATGCTCACCTCCTAGATCATTCAACACCGGCATCAATCCAGCTGTCAAGAATAAATACGCAATCTTCTTATACAATATAAGATTCTTAATAAAGATCAACGTGGACTTCACAAGTTCTTGATTCTTTGACATGCGCAGTGTCTCAATCAAATCTTTATGCACATCCTGTTCGATAAACCACTGCCGGACATTTCTATCAATAATTTGATCGTTTAGGATATTAATCACAAGAATCGCAGCTTCATCTCCTTTAGTTTTATAAATACCCAGCAATTTTATAAAATTATCCATAGAAATATAATCTTCTTTATATGTTGGGTGTTTCATGTAGAAGGAAACAATATCCATGATAAGAGGAAATATTTCATTGGTTTCAGAATCTTCACCGAAAGAATAAAATATCTCCATTATGGCAGACATGCCAGCATTTGGGGGTTCAACGAATAAATCCGCAAAGTCCGGCGAACGTTTCAGATAACAATGAGTCACATAAACAGCTGAGGACTTCATATTATCATCACGGAGTAATTTAATCAAGGTTGGGATAAAATTTTCATCGTGCGTGATCAAATTAACACCGTACAGGTGATTTGAAAGTTCTAATAGGATAGTACACAACTCTTTTTGTACTTCTGCATTAGTAGTCTTTGAAAACATAGATAAAATTGCATTCTCAAATCCGTAATCGTGTAAAGTCTGTCTGTAACTAGCAATTGGATATTTAACGAATAATTTTAATAACTGAGTGTATCTAAGTTCAAATTCTTGTGTATAATTTAAACTATATGATAATAGTTGTGGAAATTCTTTTTCATTCACAAAACTTAAACATACCTGTTCTCCATTGAGTAAAAAGCTCAAAAAGTAAAAAATATCAAACCGAAAGTCCAAATATTCATCATTAAGTAATAATGTAACCAAAGTCTGTTGCACCTGCGCATTTAGACACTTTTCAGTGAAAGATTCCTCACCAAACGCGCATAATTTCGTAAATAATTGAAACGTTTGCTTCCGGATGTCATCGCCACCTTCCGACATGAAACACACCAATGAATGTGGATTAAACTGCGGTAAACTGCACATATCTTTAAGTTGTTCTTGTTTTGTAATGACATCTTCGAATAATTTAAGTGCGCACAGCATAATTTCAAAATTCTCAATTTCTGTGTTATTTATGAAGTGAAGAAGACGTTTGATAAGTTCTGTATCATAAACGTAGTCGGTAATCTCTGGAAATTTACTTAACAAATCCCCCAAGCAGTTTAAACCGTATAAAATCACAGTTTCATTATCATTATTGATGAAAACATTCGAAATCTTCGAAAAAACAGGCCTCGCTTCATCCAATAAGATAAATTCAGTTTTCAGCGTGGACAAACCCATATGTATCAAGTGTAACACCGCTTCATAGTGTATTTCTTGATTAGTAATCAATATAAAGTCCAATTGTTGAAATAATCCCGAAGTCATGAAAGTTTCGAGTAGATTCACATCCGTTGAGCAGTAATCGCGTGCAGTACTAAGTGCTTGACTCGCCACATTCTGATCATGACTCGAAATCAAATGTATCACCGTAAGCACGTCGTCTGTGTGGATATCCACTCCGAAAGATTTTGGTTGCGTAAGAGTCGATGGCGATTTTTTGCTTGTTTTCGGCGTACCTTTCTTCTCTTTCTTCTTGGGCGCCATTTTGTTTTTGTATACACGGGGGTTGAATGATAAAAGAGTGAGTCGTGACGTGTGTCTTTTTGAGATGTTTTAAATCGACTGCTTTGCGTCAGATGCGCGAAAATAAATAAAATGTCATAGCTTACCTCGACGTCAAAGCGGCCGGGTCGCAGTAAGGCTTGATCGAGATCGTCGCGTCGATTAGTCGCGCCGAGAACAATCACGCCTTCGTTTTGATGGAAGCCGTCCATTTCACTAAGCAACTGATTGATGGTCTGGTTCGCGTAGGGGTGCAGCACGCTGTTGGTGCGCTTCGCTCCAACGGAGTCAATTTCATCGATGAATATCACGCATGGCGCACGTTCTTTTGCTGCTTCTACATTAAAACATTAAAATTTAACCTTAAATCTACTAAAAAAATATAATATTACTTACTGAATAAATCTCTGACTCTCCTTGCGCCTTGCCCAACTAAAACTTCATCGAATTCAGGCCCTGCGGCGTGAAAAAATGGCACACCAGCTTCCCCAGCGACTGCACGCGCTAATAAAGTCTTTCCTGTTCCTGGTGGTCCTACCAAAAGCACACCTTTAGGTAATTTCCCTCCTAGAGTGGAAAACTTCTCCGGATTCTTCAGAAACTCAACGACGTCTTTCAACTCTTGTTTAGCTTCATCAGCGCCCTTGACATCGTCGAAGGTCACATGAATATCTTCCGGATCAACTTCCACTTGATTCCCCAATTGTATTCTGAAATACGACCTTGTAGATTTTCAGAAATTCGATGTTTGTACTGAAGTCAATCAAGAATCTTACCTAAAAACCGATCCGCTTGTGCTAGCAATTAAACTAACAACAATCGCCAGGAAAATCGCAACTGTCAGGACTTGCTGGACGACTTTAAAGTACTTCGCCATTTTACTGGTCTTCGCTGTTGGATTATTCCCTAGAATATACCCCTCAGCGAACGCAATTTTGATCCGCTGTCGTTCTGAATCCGTGATGCTTGGATCATCCAGCTTGAGCAACTTATTCAGCTTTTCTTGATTCGCAGTTCCATCTGATGCTGTCTTACCGTCGACTTCTGGCACACCAATGCCCATCATGTGCTTGATTCGTGACACGAGCGTCGGATTGCGATTCATCTCCGCGCGCACGCTTCGGTCTGTCTTGAATCCGCGTACTTGTAGGTCAAACGTGAAGCGATTGTGCTGAATTAGGTTTTCAGTCATGTTGTGCACAAAGCTTTGTGGGACTTTCAGATCTCTATTGAGCACCAGCATTGGTATTGCCTTGCTTTGTAATTCATGTGAAAAGCTGTTCTTGTTTTCACTGAAGCTATGGCCTGAGACATATGAGATGTTGAGTTTGCCTAGGATGTGATTATGGTCGATGAATGCTTTTGTGTTGAGATGTCGGAAGAAGGAGAAGTCACAGTTCTTGACTGCCTCCAGGAAGCTGTCCATGCAGAGAAAGTGCGTATCGGGCTGTTTGCCTTTCTTTGCGAGGAAGGCATTCTGACGCGGGGTGATCTTCGCCGAGACTTGTGATAACGTGATGAGCGCCTGTAATCACGTATAATTTTTGATTATCAAAACGTGATTTGCGTTTTTTCTTGTGTGTGGTTTATGGGCTTACCTGATTCTGATTTTGTAGTGAAAACATCCTGGCTTACATGTATGGCGGCGACGGCGCGGGCGATGAGATGATTTTGGCGAAAACAACTCGCTTCAATTTTGCAACCACGAATGACGAAACGCTTCTAACCTTTCTGACAACAAAACTAAAAATCGAACGCAAAACGGATGTCTGTCAGCGCCGGCCGCAGCGGAGAGAATGATGCGAGAGCGGCGTGACGGCGAGAAAGATGAAGATCACGCGTTGATATCTGATTGTCGACGGGAATATTTGTGATAATGCGATAATATGAATCGATGAAGGGCGAATGTTGTAATTTCCATCGGTTTCTCAGATGTTCTACAACTTTAACCTCAGTGACAATAAAGTTGCCTACATTAACGCTCAAAACTATATGTCCAATAGGTTTGTTTGAAATTGTTTGATAAATCGATAAAATAAAGCTAATATTTTAAAATTCTCGCATAAAACACTAGAAAATTAATTTTCTTTGTAAAACTAACTTACAGTGACATCAAAATTCTAGTATTGCATGAAAAATACAAGAAAATTTGGGTTGTGCATATAAAATTGCCTACTTTACAACTAAAACTTTCGCAACCGAATAATGTATTACAATTTTTTTCTAAATAAACAAGAACGATAAACTTTGATCTTTAAAGGCAGCCAATTCATTAAAAACACAAAATTAGTCACTCATTCATTGTAAAGCATTCAAAATGGCAGCTCTAATAAAGATTTCTGGCGCGATTTTCTGTGTTGTTCTCTTATTTTCATCTATAAACGTAACATAACTCTTCTTAAATCAAAAACAACTATATTTTACTAAAATATTATTTATTTTGTAGTCAAAACCACTGACAAAGAAAGAACGTGAAGAAATTGGCAACCAATGTGTGAAAGAAACCGGCGTCGACCGCGCCATCATCGCAAATGTCGTCAAAACTCAACAAACGGTCGACAACGAACAATATCTAGATTATTTGGTCTGCAGCTATAAACTACAAGGCTTCCTGGACAAAAATGGACCGGTTATTTTACACGATAATATCGTAACATTCCTCTCAGATTTCTACACAATGGATGAGCTTACATTCGTCATGAAAGAGTGCAAAGAGGTGAAAAACACCGACGTAAGACAATTAGTAGGCAATACTCTTGAATGTTTATTGCGAAAACTTAAAGAAGTCGATGTGATGCGAACGACGGCAAAGAATCAAGGAAAAGATTAACTACGCAGTAAATTATTTCACTTTCAACGATTATGTATAATTAGTAATAAAAAAACCTTGAACTTGTGACCGCATTCTATTCTGATTTAATTTTTGCTGTCTGGAAAATAATAGTTTCACAGATACACTTATCAAATGCATTAAAACCCGCATGTAATTAATATACACGCCACTTTTTGCAATCCGCGTTGTTGAGTAATCCCCGGAAATTCCCAACAAAGTAAAAAAAGAATAAATCCCGAGTGAAACCGACCGCTTCCGATTTACAAAGCTGATCACCGCTTGACCGCAAAAAATGCTCTGCTGTTCAAACAGTCCATCAAAAGCAGTGCAACAAGTTGTATTCAAAATGTTGACAAAACACACGCTCTATTTCGCTGCAATTCTCATCGCTTCTCTTCTGTTTTCATCAATAACAGCAAAGTCATTATCAATAGAAGACCGTAGAAAAATCGCTGTCCACTGTGCGAAGACAGTCGGAATCGATCGTAAACTCGTCGGGGAAATAATCGACGCACAGGCAATCCCAAGACGAGGTAAATACGGCGATTATTTAGCGTGCACATACAGCATGCAGGGTTTCATCGACCCTGCAAAATCCGTACTTGTTCCTGAAAAAATCATCGCATTCCTCGCGGATTACTTCAGCAGCAACGAAGTGGCATTCATAATGGAAGGCTGCAAGAACGTCAAAAACAGCGTCCCGAGGGAACTGGTACTGGACGCGCTCGATTGCTACACGCAACAGTTCGAGATCACTCGTGCGATGAGCAGCGCGTATGGAAACGATATTTACACAAACGATAGCAATCCACTTAAGCAATGAATTGCTATTAATACGTTTGACCTTTCGCATATATTATATTATTGTTTAAGTTAATTTCGTATGCACTGCGCATAAGCAATACGCAAGAGAAGCCATGTTTGTTGCGCATGCGCACATTCAAACGCGCATTATTCATGTAACATTTTATTAGAAAAATATAAATGACAACTGAGAACTAACTTACTCCGACTTGTTAACACTTAAATCATTAAATAAGATCAAATTCAATATCAATTGATATTGTCGTTAGTAAAAATAATACAAAATATTTAGTACTCACTTGTTTGTGCGCTTTGGTTACGAAAACGTTCGATGTTTTGCTTGTGTTCCGGCGTAATCACGTGGCCACGTAAGCCAACCAGTGTCACAATATCAACTTGACAAAATTTGCAGTAGACAAAATCCGGCATATCTTTATACCTAAAATATACATTAATTATTTTGCTATAAATAAACTACATGTATTTTTACCTTCGTGTGTACGAAGAGAGCTCATCAATGTGTTGCTGTGTCATGACATTCCTATCGTTCTTGTCAATCAACTCAACTGCATCATGCAGCGGCCAAATATCCCACGACTTGCGATATCCGGCATCCGGTGCGATTTTAATGCCGTTAAACTCGTTCTTCGTCCAGCTCTCCGCATATTTCACGAATTCACGCTCTTTGCTCTCGCGTGTCTTCATCAACAACTGCATTAGACGATCTTTTAGTTGCCTATGATGTTGATGCGGTTCGAAATTCTTCTTTGTCATAGCACTTTGCATGGTGTCAATCAGGCGATTCATAATGAATCGTATTTCGTTAATCTACAACGTATTTATGTAAATTTTGTTAAATTAAAACGTAATTTGACATAATATACCATAACAAGATCTTCGTCAGTAAATTCCACATCAAAAACCACATTTAAATCGTGTTCTGGGTACACAGGTTTATTTCTTTCATTGACTCCAAGTCCGCACAGGACCGACGCATAGGAAGTGCCGTAATAAGATGCTTTTATTACAACTTTCGGCGCGAAAATCAACGGAATAATCGCTGGTAATCCGCGAATATTCGTCATCATTGTAGTGAGACGCAAACTTAGCGTTTCACTACGTTGACTCTTTGAAATATTCGTAGCGACTAACAATCTTCAAATACAAACAAAAATTTGTGTGTAATTTAACACTGTAACACCCTGTATATAATAATATCTTACCTTTCATGTGGGTCCTGTGGTGCGTGATCTAACAGCACGCCATTAATCGAATTACCATCGATTCGCACATCGCCTTTCGTGATATTCATCGAATACACTTTCATCTCCAATGGAGAGAAGGGTCCTCTCAGCTCAACGGTATTCCAGCAGCTCTTTGCAGCTGGCGCTGGCACATGAACCGCAGCAGAGACTGGTAACGCGCTCATCAAAGAGCATTCATCGTCGACGTTTAAATCACTCAAATTTTTGCGGATGTTTTCACGTAGTTCGTGATTTTCCCGCGAGAGGAACGGTTCCTCATATTTCTCGCCATATTCGAGCTCAATCAACATTTGATTGATGGTTTTTGGCTCGCTAGGAGAGAATACTTCCATCGAGACAATGTCTTTCACAGCGGAATAAACAATAGCTCGTAGATCGACGTCTGTTGTTTGAGAACGAAAGAAAGAATTGGCTTTGTCAGACCAAGTGCCATATCGGTTGAAAGTCACGACAGGTTGCACACCGCACAGAACGCATTCCATCGCTTGTGGTGCGAGGGTTTTAGCAGGACCTTCAGGGAGGTGGAATAGTTCGTTGGGGGCAATACGCTCCGTGTTGCCATAATCAACAAACATAATCTAAAGTTTTACAAATCAACACCAACTCATGCTAATAATTCTGTACTTACATTAATCCTGGTTTCGTTTGTTGCAAACGGAATTATATTCAACACGCTACAGCGATAAAACAAGCCATCGTACTTTGCCGCATATAAACCACCTACTTCAATGAGATCTTTATCTACCAAATCCAACGGTTCGATATTTAAACACTGGAGAATCATGTCTAAATTGTCCTGGCAGGTTTGATTCGATGATTGGGCATAGAAATGGCCAGCATCAATGCACTAGCAATAAATAACAATAAAAAACACCATTTTGAAGGCGGGAAAATTTTGCTTACATGTGTTACGCGAATAACAATCTTCTTCTTGGTTAATCCTGGCACCACGCGACTTTCCTGCTTTTTCACTGGTTGTTCTATTAAATTCAGACAACCATTCGTATTTGTTGCGAGATTTAGTTTGATAGCCAAGTCCCATGCATCTTTCGACCTAGTTTACATAAAATTTCAGAAAAATTAATATCATAGCTATAATTTAAACACATTTACTTACTGCATAATCGGAAAAGAAGTATTAAACCTCAATTGCCGCATCCTAACGGCTTTATAAACATCCATATGGATTTTCCCCGGCACCATAGCAACAATTCTCCGTCCGTCAACATTCATCGACGCCGGTTTACGTTTATCTTTGAACGTAACAAACACTTTGCTACAAAACCAAACAATTAAAGCATAAAAAGCACAAATTTAGACTTCGGTTACCTTCTCTGGTCAAAATAAACATCAACATCGTCAGAAATAGGTTTCATGATGTCTTTAATGCGCTGTTCATAAAGTGGTCCAGGTTGATTGAGCGCCATGTTGGTAAAATACACAGTTGAGTTCCGATCCAAGCTATGAATTGTTTTGCACACTTCTTTCTCATCTACCTGCCCAGCATCACAAGATCGCGAGAAATAGTTGGGATAAAACGCACCGGCGATGATTGTTTTCATCAGGAGAACTTTTTCCGAGTCTTTAATCACGATATGTTGTGGACCGATAGGTGGGCGTATATTCATGCTTTCCAGACGGGCTTTGAGCTCTTTTACTAACTCTTCCCAATCTCTCATTGAGCGATATGATAAGTAATTTAACGCGCACCATTTTTTCTCATCCTGGATGTTTCTTAATGAACCATTTGCTTTGTTATTTTGATAAGTCTACAAAATAAAAATTCTTTGCTTTGTTTGGTAACAAAAATACAAATTCCTTACCTGATATAATTTAAGATACGCAATTAAATCACTACAGGAAGCATCAGCCCAGAGTAATTTATTAACATAAGCACTGAGACGATCTTTAAATGGCGTCGCGAAAATATTCGGAAGTGAACAACCAGCCGCCATGATTATACTTTCCTCCAAACAACTGAACATGTACCCCAAGCAAATCAATTTTGATAGTTTTACATCCAGTGGGAGACTCCACATCAGCGTGCCGAGCATTGTAATATCCCCATCGGTTTCAACGACCGTCCCACGACAAGTGGGTAACAATGCGCCTGCCTCCTTTAGGTTTTTAATCGTTGCAACAATATTACTCAAATCTGGCGGATCTAACGCCAGAGCAAGAATAGACTGCGGTAATTCATCAATTTCCAGCTTTTTGCTGAACAGGACCACGCGTTCGAGTGGCGCGCGGAGCATTTCAGGCGGAATGTCAGCAGACATCATGTTTTCATAGAAATCGCGAGTTACCAGACGATAGACACGACCGGAACACACACGACCAACACGACCAGCACGCTGGATACAGTTGGTTTTACTCGCCCAGCTTAATTGTAGCGTGTGGTATTGCGTCATTGTATGAACAACCAGCGTTTTTGTCATGCAGAAATCAATTACTACATATAGATTTAAAATATTAATAAAATGGCGCCACAAGAGTGAAATGTTGACTTACCATAGACAATATCAGGCACGGTAATCGAACTCTCTGCAATATTGGTCGAGAGAATGATTTTGCGCACTCCAGGTCCCGGTTTGGCGAAAACACGTCTTTGTTCATGTCCAGGAATTGAGGAATGCAATGGCACTATCATAAAATTAGCCTTGCCATTCGAACTAATTAAAAAAACATTATATCATCCATTTTTAATAAAATTTTATTCATAACCTTACCTTTCAGCCATTAGTAGATTATAGGCAACTTCAATTTCATGTATACCAGGCAAAAAGACCAATACATGCCCTATAGTATCCTCATCAGTATCAACATGCTTCAATGCAAGCACAAGTTGCACAAAAACATGAAAAATATTCGCAGGGATGCTCACTTCGGAAAAATCATAATCCTGTTCAATCTATACCAAATAAAACATTAAAACTAAATAAATATTAATAGTTCAATAGTACTTACGTCACCCAAATAGGTCAACTCCTCAATGTAATGAATACTTTTATCAAACATCATTGGTTTGTTGACGTCGATGCTCGGAGCTGGAATGTCAATACCCGCGGTAACATTTTTGAAATAATTGGCGAATTTCTCAGTGTCAAATGTTGCAGACATAAGAATAATCTACAATATCACACAATTAATAGCAATAAATAAAGATAAAGTAAAAATAACTTACTTTAACATTCAATGAATTTGTATTCAGAAACCGACGGAGGATGATAAGCAAAAAATCCATCTCCTGGGTGCGTTCGTGCACTTCATCGATGATTATATGCGTGAACTCGTTCAAATCTTTGCGCAAGATGATTTTCTGTAGGAGAACACCAGCGGTCATGTAAGTTAGGATCGTGTCCGGGCCTGTTTGACGATCCAGACCAACCTAGTAATAATTATTTGTGTTTGAATGGATCATTTATATACTTTTAACTTTTAATTTACCTGGTAACCAATAATGGTACCCATTTCCCATCCGCGGTCTTCGCTCACATGTTTCGCAACACTAATCGCCGCTAGTTTGCGCGGCTGTGTCACCACAATGTTGCAATATTCCTGGCGCTCTCTGTACTCGTCCAGGATAAATTGAGGTACTTGGGTTGTTTTGCCACAACCGGTGGCACCGTGTATAATTACCACGTTGGTAACTTGCAACATACGTAAAATCTAAACCACACATTTTAAAATCATAATAATTTATGTAGAAATATATAATTATGGGTAATATTTACTTCAAGTCTTTTTGAATCAATTGGTAATGGAGGCCTTGTAGGTGCAATGAAGACATAATCTTTGTAGATTCTATTTGAAGTCTCCACTCTTGAATCAGAATCGAGGTTTGCGTCTCCGTATTGTGGTAAATCAGTTATGCCACTTACCATTGACATAGGACAAATCTATTTCATAGAGGAATAATTATTTTATAGATAAAACACATAATAAAGAAATAATAATTAATTTAGGAGCGCGTTTCAAAGTAACCAGTAATTTTTCGTCTCATGTGTTTAATCTTTTGTAAATTGGTTATAAACACAATTACTTTAGTAAAAATGCCGGTAAATATTTCCTGAAGTCTAAATATGAATTCCGCGTCGCTCAGTTGTATTCACTTGTGTTTTGTTTAAATAATTTTGTAGTAACGTAACGTGCACCCCAACAAATTAGCTGAAAATCGGGCTTAAGTTAAAGAAATTTGCATTGCAATTTGTAGGAATGTTGGGATCATAATTACAACAATATTTCAAATGTTACCATCAATGTCATGTCTTTAAAGCATATTCTAGCTCATAATTGCTAGAAATTAAAATATTTTTCCTCATTACACAGAGAAAATTAATATAAGCCAACCAAGTTATTCAAATTTCGATGAAATACAGTTTTTCGTAATTCGTAATTTCAAGAGAAGTTAAAAAAGAAATGATTTCTGCGTGTCACTTTGAAACCCGCTCTTAATCCGTCAATTTATCTGTTACCTTAGGTTGAGTATACATTGCATCTTCATATTTAGCAAACTCAGCAAACTGATATTCTTTGCAATAAGATGTTCCCATGGGCGCAACTTCATCATCATCTAAGGCGTCATTATCAACTGATGGTTGCATGCGGCCATTGCATGTGCCCGAGGGCAATAGCTGCACTTTCATGTTGCCAAGCGATTCAATAAATTGTAAATACGAATCCATGATGCTTCAATAACAGTCAAACATGCATGTCACTTTGAAAGAGACTAAATAAAATGCTGCTAATTACCTGTGCACTTGTTGTCATCTGAACTACGAGTTGGTCGAATTAATAAAAGAACTAAACAAAGATCTTACTGCTTTCGAAAATTTTGAAGAACAAGTTGGTTCTGCACAGCACAGGAGAAACTCAACGCACACTCAGCGAATATTCTTAAATGTTTAGTGAGGTTACAGTCATATTGCAGTCGGCTTCAACGGCATGTGTTTCTGCGCAACAAGTATTATGTGTATAATAAGTTGCATACGTTATATTTCATAAAACATTTTTAATTTAAAATTAACTAAAACCTTAAAAATTAACGCAAAATATTAACACAAATAAACAAATATTATTATAATACAAATAATAATATATATTTATGTGTTTTAAAATAAATAAAGCCATTAATTTATAAATTTGTCAATTTTCATTCGCATATTAATAAATCGCAAAATCATTGCGAAATGGCGGCATGGCGACATAATAAATATAAATGATATTCGCGGACTGGTAAACAGCTGATGGGTAGCGACGCCTAGCCGCCGACGCAGACAGAGAGCCGGCGTCTCGACGCCGCCAGCAGGGCCGAGCCCCGATCAGTGCGATGTTTATTCGCGCGTCGACTGCGCGCCCGTTCGCAACGCTTTTCCGAGAGGCGAGATGCGCGAATAACGCGAAAATTCCGCCGCGAGTGGCAAACAAACCCGAACCAAATAGCAACTGAATATTTAACGCAAGTTCAACAACCATTCAATTGTATACAAAGTGTTACTTCCTCACAAAAAGTGCAAAATACAAAAAATCACAAAACGTAAGCAAAAAATTAAAATTTAAGGCTTTAAATATTAAAATATTGAAACATTTTTTTTTATATATATGTACAATTAAATTATCTATTTATTAAAGTTTAAAATGAGAAAATATTCAAAATGGTTTAAAAGTTATTCAGGTTTAAAGTTGAAAAAATAATAATTTCTGATAAAAAATGTAAAATTATGATGTTTGAACGTGTAAAAATGAATTTTTTCAGTTAATTAAGTTGCGCACATGTACATTAGTGCATGTAAAGTATTTGCAACGCATATTAAGCTTGTGATGATTGCTTCATCGACTCTCGCCAGGATGAAAGCACGCACAGCGAGTGCTCGCGCAAATAAAGGAAAAAATTGCGCGCTCGCCACTTGCCAGCAAATAGTTTTATTTTATTTTAAGCACCGGACGCCGCCGCCGCCGCCAGGCACGAGCTCGCACAATCGTGCCATTCACCGTTTCGGTTTCGCCGCGCGCGCGAATTCTATAATTGCGAATTAAAACCAAAAAAACATCGAAAAAGTGCCGGAAAAAAAACAACGCTCAGCAATGTGTGCGGTAATAAAAAATTCCCGATTTAATTCCGATTCGATCACGTTTTGCGTCGTGGATGAAAGTTAATATTTAAAAGGGACTTGTGGCTGGTGAAAACCGATGTTGCCTGGCGAGAGTCAAGTACATCTCGCGTGTGTATATAAATAATTCGCAGGCGAATTATATTGCGGCTGTGCGAAAAGCTGCGCCCACCTAGAACGGTGAGCACACTGTGAATGCTAAATGCTAAATCTGAATTCAAACTCGAGGAGACGCACAACTTTTAAGAACACGCCGAATTCGTAAACTGCGAAACAAACGCAATGCGGTGTGGAAATAGGCAATATAACTGTGGACGTAAAAAGGAAATTAACTGTTATACCACAAAACAAAACAAACCTCCAAATCGCTTTTACTTCAATGTATGCAACCTAAACAACTTAATACACGTGCTATTTCTTTTATAACCTCATTTTTGACATTTAATACTTAAGAATTAGAAATTATTGCGTTAAAGATTTAAAATTTAAGTTTAAATATTTTAATTTGATGCCTGGAAAGCTTTAAAGAGTAATATTTTCGCATTGCGCTATGCGAATTGTTTAAATTGCCTGAATAAACCACAAAACAAACGTCAAAATTGCTTTTACCGCAATATAGGCAACCAAAACAACATAATACACGAATTATTCTTCCTATAGGTTAATTTTTGACATTTAAAACCTAAAATTTTAAAAATTTGACATTAAATATTACAGATTTAGCTTTCAACATTTTGATTTGATGCCTGCAAGCGTTCAAGTGCGCTATTTCCGCATTGCGCTATGCGAATTGTTTGAAATGCCTGAATAAACCACACTTGAAACGCGTGCAATGCTAAAATAACCGAAATTGTTTGCGTTTGCACTGCAGCAAAGCGGAACTAATCCATTAATTCGTGATTTAAAATGGCCGCCCACATGATGAAGTGAAATCAATCAGACGATTGCAGAATTTTTGCCGCACTTGGTGCGCCGCGCGCGCCGTTCCGTTGTTATTTTAAGCTTTATTTTCAGTTTCATTGCCGCTCGCATCCCAGCTGCATGTTTGACTAATGTAGAACAGAACTATGCGCGGAATGTAAACTGTTAAACCTACGATTTCGCAAGAAAAACACACGGATTTCTAAAGTTTGCGCTCATATAAAGCGCATCAGCATGTGCGTGAGGCAAAAATGTTGGCGAAGGTTGCGTGCGTTGCGTGTGCGCCGTTTGAAGGAAGCGCCCGAAAGCATTCGGGAAAATGGGTCAAGATTTTTGGTCAAGTGCATGCGTGCGATCGTGGGTTTTAAAGGTCTTCGCACCAAATTCGCCCGAATAACATTGGGAATGCCGCGGAAAATTACACATTCGTCAAATACACAATGCGGAGATATTTATATAGGTTTCGGGTGAGGGAATTGTTCAATTGTTAATTTGGTTGCCTATTATTTCAATAGCTATGATCTATATAATAGGAATTGTAAAATACCGGTATTTTTCAAGAAATAGATAAGTTAGCTTATTAATTGAATACATAATTAATTTTAAAAATACCGGTATACCGAAATACCGGTATTGAAACCAAAATTCAAATTCCTAGTACCCGTATATCACTTCCTAATAATAACAAGAGAATTTGCAAGGTGTGTTGCATACTCTCCATTCTCTAACGTTTCAATGGCCACCACAATACCACACCACACTGCTAATAAAGCACATGACAAGGAAGGAAGCCTTTGATGCTTGTAATTCGTGTCGAGTACATTTGGTGGTTGGTTACATGATGTCTGGAGTTGACAAGATGATACATAACATAATGACATGTCACAGCGAGATGATACTCGTATATCACAATATTCTATCATCCGTATATCCAATCTCCAATATATCAAGATAATTCGCATGAAACAATTTGTCATAACCTCAAATTTCAACTATATCTATTTAAATATATTTATTTTTATATTTTTATATTTTTTGTCCTTGTTTTTGTTTACTATTTTGTTTTTAATACCCTAATTAAAGCAGAAAGTAAAAACAGGTCGTCTGAAAACGCGCGCTAATTAAAAACCGGGAACATCTCGAGTATTCCATCGAAGGTATACAACTGCGACAGCGAAATGCGAAGCGGGAAATGAGGAAAACCGAAATAACGAACATGAAAAGTTTGGAACACTTAAATCTGATAACAGATCACATTTCGCAGACGCACGCGAATGCAACCAGATGCACCAACTGCTCAAAGTGCCAAGTTTCGCATTAGTCATTAGTTTCCCTTCTTCTTGTCGCGGCAATCTCGCTATTTTGTTCACTTGCACACAAATAAATTATCAAATAGCTGGAAAGTTATAATGACATTCTGGATATATTTAAATATTTTCACGCTAAAGTTTGTGGATGTGAAAGTTTACTACTTAGCTACATTCGGAAATGTGCATCGGTGAAAATAATTTGAAAAACTAAAACTGCAAAATATAAAAAGTAAAAAAGTGGATGCACATATCCAGGAAAGAGTTTTTAAGTTCCGGAAAATGTTATAAGTCATGTGTCAGTACTGAAAGTTTTAGATTAGTTACGAGTAGAAAGCTCCTAGAATTAGTGTGGGGCCAAAACAATATCAAAATTATTTTTTAAAACTTTTATGAGTATAAAATTTAAGTTATTATAACTTTCCATTTGAGATAATAAGAACTAAAATTGTGAAATACCGGTATTAATACCGGTTTACCGATATTTTTATTTCAAAAATACCGGTATTAAACTCAAAATAATTCATATCTCCAGATCGCACACATCTTCAAAGAAAAAAAATATAAAATAAATCTCCGGTTGAAAAATTGCTATCATCCTAGTCAAACATATTTAACCTCTTCAAACACTTCATAAAAGTGAAATATGTATGTACATAATTTGTTATATTATAACATGTATTTTACTACCATTTCTACAGTATTTCTAGTTTTCTGTGTGTAGTCTAGAGAGTTAAGTTGCACGAAAGCGGAAGACGAGAACACGAGAACATCGTCAAAATAATTATCCGCCATTCGCCAGAATCCACCAATTTACCACGTTTACAACTCGTTACGACCTGTTCCCGAACAAGAACAAGAACATTCGCACTTACATTACACTTTTATTATTATTTACCACTCGTGAGATAAGCGGATTACGAAAAAACTAAGATTACAACCAGAAAACACAAAAATAAACATAAAAATTATTCAATAATAACACATCAAAAATAATTTAGAATTTATAAATAATATAAGTTTAGTTTAGTTTTATATCATTTTCATGATTATTTTCCACTAAATTCAAATTTTAATTTAGTAATATTCCATTATTATTTTAAAAGCAAATATAATCGTTTTATGAACGTCATAATATTTTTTCGATGCAGACGTGTAACATTTCCAACGCATGTAGCGAAAATAAAACATATGTAAAAATAAAAATGAACAAAACAGCATAAAATTGCTCGTAAAACAATATTCGACGTTATTCACCGCCGCCAATGAAATTTCATGAAATTTGCGTATTTGTTTGCACGTTTTATTTTGCGTATTTCCAAACACAACACTTGACATTTGCATGCAAAACCAAGCACCTCCCAAAACTGATAATTCCTAGACACACACGCGTTCATAATTCAACCGGTGAAATCCTTCTAAAACGTGCAAAACGCACAAAAACGATGAAATCCTATAGAATAGGATAAAATCGGATGAGTAAAAAGCTAGATTTATGCGCTGTTAGAGTGTATATTTTACAAGCGCCTAGACACGCCTGTAAAAGAAGCACGCAAAAGGATAGAGAGAAAGGACCTCTCGCAACAATACGTGCCTTGCACAAAAAACACAATAACGGTTTGGCGCCACAGGACGTGGACTGGACGTCGTATCGTCCGTTAACCTTTCGTCCTTTACCTAACTGGATTCAACAAAAAATAAATCACATCGCGCCAAACACGTGCAACAAAAAATAATTACACGTATGCAACACAAATTACACTACACGTAAAATACAAAAACGGATAATATTTTAAGATTACATCACGCAGCAAAAGATAACGCTTTATAAAGTTTAAAAATTTAAAGAAAACTGGCGTATATCACGCAGTCATAAATTTTATCAGTGTTATATCATGATATCTTAGAAAAGGGATCTTGAGTGAGGTTAGGTTATGTGTTAACCTAACAAAATTCTAGTTTCGCCCTGCGGATTTATTTTGAATCGATCACGCTTGTTATTGCAACTTGATTGCGTGTTCCTCGTTCCGAGCAGAAAAGCACCGAATTGAAGGACTCAACAAGCGTGGCACAACCACGTCGCCCGCACCCAACTCGACGTTAACAAGGATTTGAGACTGCAATAATGCTCGAATCGAGTGGAGAAATTTCATTCGCAACTGAGAGGGTTACAGCTTGTCGGTCGAGCTTTAACATGCCAAACCATTTAATCTGCGAGTCGTGCAGTCATTGCCAACGGGTGTGAAACACCGGTATTAATATCGGTATATGAAAAGAATACCGATATTTTTGAAATAATAATTTTTGAGTTTTGATTGTTGAAATTTTGATAAAACATATAATTAATTTTTTAAATACCGGTATTACCGGTATACCGGTTTTTATGTGCAGGAACCGGTATTTTTCAATAAAAAGATGAGTAAATTTACTAAGTGAATAAATAATTTTTAAAATAAATACCAGTACTGTTGTTCAGATACCGGTTTTCCTAAAAAAAATACCGGTTAACCGAAATACCGGTACTTTTTCTTTTTAAATAGTTGTATAATTTCAACAGCAATTTTCCTGTTAGAATTTTTCTACCTTTATTTAAATTTAAATTTAAATCTACTGTAGAACTTGTAAAATCAAAATAACAAATCAGGGATCACAACAAAATGCAATGAAGTGTGTTTGTACTGTGTGCGCAAGGATATTCCCGGCACGTGCGTGAGTGAACAGCGTCGACAAGAAGACGAATGAGTGGATAGACGAATAGACGCGAAATAGACTCGGCCGGCGCTCAACTACTCACGATGGATAACAAACAGATATGTTGAGTTTGACTGTTGAGGTCGCGCGAGAAACTCACTCGAGGGTTTATTTATAGCTAAGCATCTAGCAGACATAAGAAGATTGCGCACTTTATAAAGGGCAGGCACGTAAATAAATAAATACATATTGACGACCTATTTTCGGTCCAGAAATCTCAAAATTCAAATAAACATGAATAAATTAAATTGCAGAAATTATTTACATCAATATAGCATTAAACAAAAGTCGTGTTTTTCAATTTTTGTAAGTTTTAAATAAAATTCGGGTTGAATAATCAATTATTTTCTGATTTTATTGAATAAATCAATGATTATATGCTTAAAAATTTATTTTTTCAAAGTTTTTCGAAGATTTTCTATTAATGTTATAAAAAATACCCACAAAACTAAATAAATAAATATTACCGACCTATTTTCGATCAAAAAACTCTAAAAATCGCAAAATTCCAAAGAAACCCAAATAAATTAAATTACAAACTCTATTTACTTCAATAAATCGCGAAACAAAAACTCATATTTCTCCAATTCTCCTATTTTTCTATGAAAAATACATAAATCAATTAGGAAATTCGCACGAGTAATTGTTGTAAATCATGTATGTTCTAATTTTATCCCGAAACTTGAATCTCTATGCGCCATTCACCCGGACGCACTCAAATGATATAAAGATTGAAACACATAAATATTTATGGTGCAACTTTTTGGAAGCGCGTTTCGCGCGGACGTACGTGGCGAAAGGAAAACATGATATCAATCACCATTCACAAAGCTTCGTATATTTTCATTCAAACCGTCTGTCTAACAGCATTACACGCACTTTTTCCAAATGCTTTCCGTTTCCGTTTTTTCCCGTTTATATTACACTCGGGTTTATTTATTCACAGTTTGCACGTGTGAACGTTTGCGCGGACTAAATGTTAATATGTGAAAGAAACAGCCAGGGAAATAATTTCAGCATGGTAGAAGTAATAATTGAATTTAAAAATGTATGAAAATGAATAAAATATAATTTTTGGAAGAAATTTGCGATTAATATCAATAAAGAATTAGTTAATAAACAAAGGAAAATTATTACTAGAAAATTATAGTAAACTAGCTTTAACCCGTGGCTTCGCTCGCGAATATCTAAAATCATGAAGTAGCTTCCGTACGCGTTTGTAGTCACAGAAGAAGTAACAATGTAGTAGAATGGCGGGAAGTTTAAAATGGCTGAAAGTATAGTCTATGGAAGTATAGTGTACAGTCTCCATAGTGTAGTCAATTGGATTTGATGTTGACGAAGCTGTCGGTAATACAGTGTGATAATACAGTGTGATGGTACTATAGTACTTAGGTTTGAGCTTCATTGCTGGAATGCTAGATGGCGTTAAAGTAGTCAAATAGCCAGATGCAGAGGTATTATTGGCTAAACAATTTCTTTATTTTATTTAAAAAATAATTTTTTTTATTAAATAAAAAGTAGCCTATAACCATTCGGGGACCACTAAGAATATGTGTACAAATTTTCATGATGATCGGTTAGGTAGTTTTTGCGTGAAAGTGTAACAAACATCAGGACTTTCGCATTTATAATATTAGTAGGGATATACTGAAAAGAATATATATAAAATATAGAAAGAAACATTTTCACGTAAGATTTTGCGAATATTTTATGAATAAATTTAAAATTTAAAGAAAAAATGCAGAAATTGTTGAAATAATTTTTGATTTATTCTAATAAAATAGAAAATATTTTTTTATCAGTTGAAAACGTAAACTTAATCAAAATCTTTAATTTCCTTTAAAATTGTTTGAAAATCTCCGAAAATCTTTGAAAAATATATTTTTTAAATGGCTTTTTATTTAATTTACTCTTTAAAATAAAAAAATAATCATTTTTATTTGTTGAGTTGTGTATATCAGTAGGTTTGAGCAAACAGTGAAGGAGCAATAGGTATAGTACTATAGTACTATAGTACTGTAGAACTGTAGACTACCCTCATAGCAAACTAATGGAATCTCAAAATAAACTCATTTTTCAAGCAAAAAATAAATAATAACTTAATAAAGTTAATTCAATATCATTATATTTTTTTTATAAAGTTAAAATAACCATAAAAATTTCAATTTTTTCTAATTTTTTTTTAAATTTCATAAAATTTTACACGTTAAATCTATTTTTAAAAAAACTAAAACTCGAAAGATATAATTTAAAGTTATCTATACCTCTCCCAAAACTTTATGTTTCCACAAAAATTGCAAACACAATAAATTACAAGCATACTCCTATGACAACAGTGCACATTGGCCTTGTAATCGTGCGAAAACAAACCCCCTATTGAGAGTTTTGCACTCGGATGAGCAAAACGCGCGACACTTTTGGACACGCTCCAGAAATCACGATCATAACAATTCGCAATATTGCGTATATCTATATAGTTATAGATTCTGGCACTTGCTCCAGGGTGTCTCGAGTGTATCTGACATGTGTATCTCCGCTGAAAGGACGCAACCGCCCGACAAATTTGTTCCTTTCGCGTTTGGCACAAGTATTGCTAATGCTGTCAACAAGCACCCTCAAAACCGTAAAATTTAGGCCATTTTCATATTTATACCACCAGCAACCTTCGAATGATAGAGACACGCAATTTTTATATCATTATTAGGAGTATTAGGAGGGTGAAAATTGTGTGAAAAGTAGAAAGCGTTCACCTGTTGCTGGGGCGTAAACGAGCGACACGAGATGACTGTAACAATACCTCGGTGGCGACACAAACTCATAAAACGCGTTGCCTAGGGGCTCGATATTCGAAGCTCATCACAAGGCAAATAATAAAAATTGATAATAATACAAAATAAATAATTCAATTACAATGTAGTCTTAATTTATCGAAAAAATGAGTAAAACAACCAAATTTGTATAATTTTCTCTGTGTAACGTCGAAAAATACTTTAATTTTTATCAATTACGATCTAGAATTTTTTTTAAAAAACATGTCATCGTAAAATACCAAAATTTAGTTATTTTTCGTCCCCAGATGCAATTTGACACGATTTGTAAGCATAACTTGATTAATAATTAATTTCCCGCAAATCATAAAACAAGATGGCGCCTGATTGTCTTAATTTAATAAAGCGAAATGCAATTGTTGTGTTGTTATGTTCACCGGAGGACACGCTGTAGCATGCACTCGGTGATCATAATTACGCGCGACGTTTGGTGGCGGTTCGGGCGAATCCAATTAGCGCGTGCGTTAATGAATATGCGAGCACATAATGTACACAATGCCAACTCAACCAAACACCCACACACACATTCGCAATGTTTATTCGGGTGTAATCAAGCGTGTAATATAATGTCGGTGATTATTGACTGATGAAAACTGTCAAAAACAAACCTCCAACTTATTTTTTTTGTTTTTGTTTTAATTCTAATAAGTTATGTTTGAAATGTGTTTCAGAAGCTTTAACATCGTAGTGTGGTGAAATGGTGTGAGGCGAGTGGACCGTGGTGAATTATGAGCGCGGCGGAGAGCAAGCACGGAAAGAGCGCGACGAGCGCGAGCGGGGGCGGCGGGTCGCGCAAGAAACCCAGGTCGAGGTCGACGCCGCGCCATGGCGACGCCGACAAGAAGCCGCGCAAGAAGCGCAACCTCAGCGCGACGGCGAGCAACTCCTTCGTCAGCATACCCAACACCATTAAGCTGTCGATGCTCAACAGCGGGCTGCTATCCGCAAGTAAGTTTTCCTGCGACGCAGGAACTTTTGTTTGAGTTTTCACGCCGTGGTATATGGACATAACCCTCAAATATCAACACAACTCTAAGCTAACTTCAAAGTTTATAATAATTTTTCGATTAAGAGTGATTTCAGAGTGACACCAGCAAAAATCCCTACTAATATTATAAATGCGAAAGTCCTGATGTTTGTTACACTTTCACGCAAAAACTACTTAACCGATCATTATGAAAATTTGTACACATATTCTTAGTGGTCCCCGAATGGTTATAGGCTACTTTTTATTTAATAAAAAAATTATTTTTTAAATAAAATAAAGAAATTGTTTAGCCAATAATACCTCTGCATCTGGCTATTTGACTACTTTAACGCCATCTAGCATTCCAGCAATGAAGCTCAAACCTAAGTACTATAGTACCATCACACTGTATTATCACACTGTATTACCGACAGCTACGTCAACATCAAATCCAATTGACTACACTATGGAGACTGTACACTATACTTCCATAGACTATACTTTCAGCCATTTTAAACTTCCCGCCATTCTACTTCATTGTTACTTCTTCTGTGACTACAGACGCTTACGGAAGCAACTTCATTATTTTAGATATTCGCGAGCGAAGCCGCGGGTTAAAAAGCTAGTTATAAATAAATTACAGGATAGACTCGTTTTAAAGTTAAGAATTCTTGAAAAAGTCACAAAAATTTACTTTTTTGCATATATAAACAAAAAATGATTGCCAATAGTAATAAAATCGCTTTTTATCCACTTAGAATCTCTTCCAATCCGCATTTTGTTTTATTTCCATCGCTGCGGGGTTGAAAATCATTTCCGATCGGATCCGCCACAGATATAAACATACGAACATATAGTATATATCTACGAGTAATGATACGAGACGTAATGGATGATAGATGCTGAAATAAATTTAACGAAGCTGCTGCTGATGAAGGAGAGCTTCAATTTGCAGTTGCGTAACGAGCACCGCACGACGCCGGCGTTTGATGATGACAAATTCGTCGCGCGGCGTGGGGTTAACTCAGCTTGCAATGTTTGAGGAATGCGAACTACCCGGAATTCGCTCAGATTTGCAAACTGATTATCCTGGCAACCGCGCGAAAAGCGGCTCGGGACAAAAAGTGACTTGGAAATTTTCGAAACGCGTCGAGATCATTATTCAAATTTTGAATTTTCACCGCTTGTGATGATTCAGCATTCAGCAGCGTATTGAGCGTATGAATATTATGCACTGCTTGCAGTATTATTTAATTATTACCATGCATGATATATTCAATTCAAAGTTTCACATAATAAATTTCATATTCAGCATATCAGCATAATATTATATATTCATTGATGAAATAAAATATTATAAAATATTTAACCATCGCGTAAAAATGCAAAATAAACCAATTTTCAGTTATATTCCGCCAATTTCACAAAATTTGCATTCGTTTATTATTCATTCTGTCTCTGTCTATCAATGGGACAATAAAAAGCGTCATTGCGATGCACTCTCAACGATGAAAATATTCGCGCAGAGTTTTATTGGGAATTCAATTTGCGATCGCGATTTTTACGTTTTTTCAAATTGGGGGAGCGTGAAGCAATCAGCTTGATTGGCAGCCAGTATTTATCATCATATTACCAACTGGAATTTAACAATTTGCGTAATTTGCTCAAATGTATTGCCAATAACGTTTAATTTTGAATAAATACAAACGAAAACGTTTAAGAATACAAATTGACATTTTATTGATTCAATTTTTCATTTTTCCATTTCACAAACAAGATGTTTATTTAACATCTCCTAGATTCATTGAAATGTATAATATTTTCCTTCTTCTATTTTACATTATTTGCAATTCATCTTCGAATGTAACTTGAGAAATACAACAATATACGTAAGTTTATTCCGGATCGAAACGGAACGTATTATATTCCGAAGCTCAAGACCTTTAGCATATCAAACGTTATGAAAATCTAGGACTACGACTAGCTCAAGGTAAAATAGAATTTTTATACGATTGCTTCAAGAAATCGTCGTGGAGAAATAAAACTAACATTTTTATTATGCGAAATGTATTGGGAATCGTGTCAATGAATTTCTGCATTTGCCATCAACACAATGCGAATGCAAATGAAAGACGAATTCAAAGTGGAAGTTGAATGGAATATAAAATAGTGGAATAAAATTCGAAACACGAAAACAAAGAAATTCAAAGCGCCAACCGGAAGACGACGGGATAAAAACTACGCGCGGATGATTGTACAAAGAGAATATTCACTTTCAAAGTACTTTTCTATACATCCCAAAAGACAATTCTATACTAAATTAAAATTACATTAAAATTACGCTACTTTTAGCATAGAATTTCTTTGCAGTTGTTAAAAATACCAATTTTTCACCGTTTTCGTGTTGATATGGTGTAAAATAATTAGAAATGCATGAAAAGTAAACCATGTAGTAGGAAACAAAAGATTCTCCAACATAAAAGTGCACTCGAAGCGAGCCCTGCGGTTACACAGGTTGGCAATTTTCGTCCCGTGTTCGCGATTCTCGCAATTTCTACAATTTTCGCATTTGCACGAAAGCGGCTTCCACGTTCTGGGAAATCGCGCAAACCACTTGCCACTTTTCATCTAAATGCAAGTAATATTTTATAGAAAACATAAGTACCCGCACTTCAGTCTACTACACGAGCTACTACCCCAAAGGCATACATCCTTAGGGAGATGAGGAACATTCCAAACAAAGAATGTCCACTCAAATATAATTTCAGCTTTATATTTATATTTTATACTAGCTTTAACCCGCGGCTTCGCTCGCGAATATCTAAAATAATGAAGTTGCATCCGTACGCGTCTGTAGTCACAGAAGAAGTAACAATGAAGTAGAATGGCGGGAAGTTTAAAATGGCTGAAAGTATAGTCTATGGAAGTATAGTGAACAGTCTCCATAGTGTAGTCAATTGGATTTGATGTTGACGTAGCTGTCGGTAATACAGTGTGATAATACAGTGTGATGGTACTATAGTACTTAGGTTTGAGCTTCATTGCTGGAATGCTAGATGGCGTTAAAGTAATCAAATAGCCAGATGCAGAGGTATTATTGTCTAAACAATTTCTTTATTTTATTTAAAAAATAATTATTTTTATTAAATAAAAAGTAGCCTATAACCATTCGGGGACCACTAAGAATATGTGTACAAATTTTCATGATGATCTGTTAAGTAGTTTTTGCGTGAAAGCATGATAAACATCAGGACTTTCGTATTTATAATATTAGTAGAGATATTATTAATGTTTCTAATGATAAAATGCAAAGTGCATTAACTGACAGTTGGTTAGGATAGGTCCAAAGTGTAAACCAGACAAAGGAAAATCAGGGATGAGTGAGCAGTTCACGAGAATCTAGGATGTAATGTAGACAAAGAGGAAATTGGAGAGAGGAGTACATTGCAAAAGCATTCGCGAGGTTTAAATAGGGCATAGGGAGAGACAAGGGAAGGAAATTTCATCAGACACGCTTGATGTACTCTTTGGTCTTTAGTCTTTGGTGTTTAGTATGCATAAATAGTTGTAGGTAAAATTAACTAAATTATTTTAGTTTGATAAATTTTGAAGGTGGAATGAAGACATTATATCATTAGCATTGTTAGCATTGAGAGTCTTGTGTATTCTTGGCGTCGGAGCGTCGAGACGCCGGATTGTAGGTCGCGCCGCGACGCCACGGCGCCGCCATCGCCACCTTGGCACCTTTAACAGCTGCACGATGCGCAATAATCACACAAATGTCCGAGTGCATTCTTCACGCAACAACAATTCCATAAAATTTTATTTCGCGAGATAATTGGATAAAGTTTAAAGTACAAAACTTTAAATGCAACATTGTAGTATACTAGCAATAATAATAATTATTATTAATGTTACCATCGATGTCATGTCTTTAAAAAAATATTCTAATTCATAATTTCTAGAAATGAAAATATTTTTCATCGTTACAAAGAGGAAATTAATATAAACCAACCAAAACAAAAATATTTTCATTAAATTTGCCTATAGTTCGATTTTAATTATAGTTTTTGTTTTATTTTCGTCTTCTATTTATGTTGCATATAAAAACAAGCAACCAATTAGTGCGTTAAACTTAATTTTCATCACAAGCCTATTGTTGCACATCCGCTGTATTCATTTCAAAACCCAGAATAAAACACAATGCAAATTATACAAAACATTTATGACGATGGAATTTTCCGCGGGCAATTCCATCACTGCCATCTTATCTCTATGAGAATGGATTCTATAAATAACAAAATGTTATTTTTGTTTTTATTTCCCTTTTTGTTTGGCGGCTAGTTTGAGTCTCATGTGTCACAGGCGAGCGCAGAATGCTTCCGATGACAAATATTGATGGATAGCTGAGTGGCACCTCCACCAAAACCTCTCCCATCAAAAACCTATTACTCGACACAAAGACACGTCGCATTCACGGCCTCCACAAAGTTTAAAACGCGTAAAAAACACGCTAATGTTACAAAATCCAATTTTTTCCACATAAAAACACAAAAAATTAAATTTTTCTTAAAATAAAACTGTTGCAACACCCTGTATAATGTGTAACATCTACTTATTCAAGATTTAATGTATAAGTGTATCCTTTTAAGCACAAAAATGAAAACACTGTACACGCAAAAAGCTTGACAAAAAAACGAAGCGCTGAAAGTCACTCTAGAAAGAAAGCCCACGCTTTATTCTCGCAAACTGTTTCTAGCCGGGCGAAGATGAAAGATGAAAGACGAATTAAAGCAAGAAACTTTCGGCCGCGACCCTCGTCTGTACCACGCCGTCATAAAAGTCGATGTATCGATCGAACGCGCTTTTAGACGAGCATTTAAGTGCGGATTCCTCTACCAGCGCGACGCGAACAATATAAGGATGACATTTGCTTCCAGTAATAGTGGTAGTGGTGGAACGGGAAGTGAAGTTGGGAAAGGCGGATAATGCTAACGGCTAATAAGACCATCGGCGGGATTAATCTCCGGAAAATGGAAATTATAAAGTTATAAAGTTAAATTTTTTGTGACTATAATAATTTTTTCTGTTTTTTCACGGTTTTGAGGCACGAAAATGTGACATTTTCATCAAACCGTGGCTAAAGTATTTTAGTCACCGCCAAAACCGTGGCTAAAGTATTTTAGTCACGGGTTTGAGTTAAAATGCTGTTTAGCGTACTTAATACTTAATATTCCAATTTATTTTTTCAGAAAATGGTTCCAGTCTGGATACAATTTGCCAGAAACCAATCGAGCTGAAAAACTATGTGAAGTTCTGTGAGCAACGGCGCAAGTTCCCCGTTTTATACAAACTAGAATTTCAAGTAAGTTGCATAAATATCCAACGCATTAAAAATTAATTTATTAATTACTCTAGCTTGTGAATTATGAATTTATATTCAATGTGTAACTTTGTAATTGTTAATGCAATTTGCGTGAGAGTCGACGTAAAAGTTAAAGCAAAGTGTGCATGCGGCAAGCGGCAGTTCGTTAATTTTTAATTTCATTAGTTAACAAGCTCATTACGCTAATACGCACTAATGTGACATGCAAACGCTACGCAATTTAATTTCAAACTATATCAAAAATTTATGATAACTTTTGTTGAGTAAATTTTTTTTATCGCATCTCATAGATTCATTGCAATTGTATAAATTTCTTCTACTTCCATTTTACATTATTTGCAATTCATCTTCGAATGTTACTTGAGAAATACAACAATATACGTAAGTTTATTCCGAATCGAAACGGAACGTATTATATTCCGAAGCTCAAGACCTTTAGCATATCAAACGTTATGAAAATCTAGGACTACGACTAGCTCAAGGTAAAATAGAATTTTTATAAGATTGCTTCAAGAAATCGCCGTGGAGAAATAAAACTAACATTTTTATTATGCGAAATGTATTGGGAATCGTGTCAATGCATTTCTGCATTTGCCATCAACACAATGCGAATGCAAATGAAAGACGAATTCAAAGTGGATGTTGAATGGAATATAAAATAGTGGAATAAAATTCGAAACACGAAAACAAAGAAATTCAAAGCGCCAACCGGAAGACGACGGGATAAAAACTACGCGCGGATGATTGTACAAAGAGAATATTCACTTTCAAAGTACTTTTCTATACATCCCAAAAGACAATACTACAGTAAATTAAAATTACATTAAAATTACTCTACTTTTGGCATAAAATTCCTCTACAATTGTTAAAAATACCTAATATTCACTATTTTAATATTGATATCGTGGAAAAAACTTTGAAAAACATAAAAAGTAAATCATCTAGCAAGAAACAAAAGATCAAAAGATTAAATTTCGTTGTTATATTGAAGAATAACCAATAATTAAGATTTCACTAACAAATTTTACAATTCCCACTCTCCTAATCCTTATTCTAAGAAAATACGCGTATAAAAAACCTCGTAATCTAACATCCTGTTAAAGTTACGTAAAATGGGTCGCGATATTAAATCATGACGCAACGCAATAAAGTAATAAAAGCTCACGTTGTGCCTTACTCCGCGTCTTACGTTTTACGCTCCGTCCGATCCGTCCGAGCGTCCATCCAGGAATCCAGGCGGATGCAGTAGATATCCTGTTTACGTCTTCGCTTGTTTACGCTCAATATTACAAAGAAATCAATATCACACATACCCACATCCACCGTTTGCTTACTGCGTATATAATATGATTAAATTTACATTCGCTAAACATTGTTTAATTTTCATTACCGACGACATTAAAGCCGCCAGTCGCGTAATTACTCGAGGGAGATTCATAACACCAACTCCCGGTGGATGCACAGAGAGAAGAGATCCATTACCATTACTTCACATATTAAAAAACTTTCATCTCCGTCGACTGATGAAACCATTTTATAAGTTGGGTTAGGTTAGGTTTTGTAATGCGTTGCGTTTACATGTTTATCATCTTGTTAAGTCGTTGATGCAATTCGCTTCCCGGATTTCCTTCCGTTTTCCACCTCCCTGTTCGTCCTGGTGGCCAGGTAGAACGCACCGCGGGAGGCATCAGGATATTACGCCGCTTTCATCTTGATAATTCCGTTGAATTTCATTACGACATTAAGGCGATGATAATTTAATCGCTTTCGCTGCCGCCAAGGCTATACATAACCTCAATTTTCACATCGCAAAATTGTGTTAGTACCAGGAATATGAATTAATTTTAATTCTAAAAAATACCGGTATTTTGGTTTATCGGTTTTTTAAATGAAAATACCGGTTTTTATAAAAACAATTAATCAGATATCAGAAATTAATTATTTAACTATTTCAAGATTAAAAAATATAAATACCGGTATACCGTTATAAATACCGGTATTTCCCACCCGATTAAACCTTTTTTCTTTCATTTTGTGAAATTTAAATGGCAAACGAATAAAGATGTGACTACGATCGACCCGAATCTCAACTTTCCCCTGGGCGGAATCACTATGAAGTGATTTAATGACGAGTTGGCAATTTAATGAATCGCTTAACTTCGTCCTTCGCCAATTCTCAACTGAACGATTCCATCTTTTTTCTCTTATCCTTTATCTCTATATTTACACGGTTTTCATTCGATTCGCAGATCGCTGTCAAAGTCGAGCAGCACTCTTGTCGGCACGGCACCAAGAAAACCAATTTGGAAAAGAACCAAAATCAGAAATGCATTCCATGTAAGTGTTACCACCCACACACATCACTAAGAATCATAACCTTAATTTTATTTTATTTTATGAAATTTCAGACGACTACAATCGAGTAGTGTTGGAAACAATCGCCGGCGAGCACGATTCCGACTACGTCAACGCCTCATACGTCGACGTAAATATTGTTTCCTTGATTTTAACCAATTTTCTCCTATCGGGCGGATTTTGTGTGTTTTATTGACTTTGCGCCGTTCTATTGACACAGTCATTTGTTTCCAGCTGGTTTATTTCATTATTTTCACACCTCAAAAAATTTCCATCAATGTAAAAGCTTATTATTTCATTTTCTAACATAACCAAATTTTTGTGCTTTTTTTCTTGCAGAGTTTATTGAAACCCAACGCATATATTGTCACACAAGGACCCACGGAGGAAACAGTCGCGGAATTCTGGCGAATGGTCTGGCAGGAACGCGCCAGTTGTATTGTAATGCTAACCAAGACATTTGACTTCATAAAAGTCATGTGCGTACAATATTGGCCCGCAAATATGGAACTAGAAGAAACTCATGGTGGTATCACCATTAATGTCGTCCAGGAAGAAGAATTGGCTAATTTTCACATTCGCACGTTTAGACTTTACAAAAAGGACATAAACGATGTAAGACTTTAGTATATTAAGTATCAAGTGCGATAAGTGGCACTTTAACCACGTTTAGAGAATTTATAAAGTACTTTAGTCACGGCCTTAGTCGTCCACGATTAAATTGACACTTTTTGTGTCTTGAAACCTTGTAAAAAATGACAATGTAAAATAGAAAATTTCAATCTCGTAGAAATTTTTATTCGCCCCGGGCGACAGAAAATGCAAAACAGTTTCCACTGCAGCTGCAATTGTTTTATTATTATTTTCTTCAACTCGCGGAATGTAATCCACTGGAAATTGTTTTCCAAGCGCCACATTTTCCCGAGTTTAGTTTTCTATTTTTTACATTTTTTGTTTCTGAATTCTTTATTCTCTCATTTGTTGGTCGTAGGCGGTACTCGAGGAACGCCACATCTTACAGTTCCACTTCACCGAATGGCACAGCCACTCCTGTCCGTTCGCCAACGCCCTGCTGGAGTTCCGGCGGCGGGTGCGCGCCGTCGTCGGCCGCCGCATCAAGAGTAACGCCATGGGACCAATGGTTGTACATTGCAAGTGAGTAATCGATTCCCATTTTATTTCTGTTTTAATCTCGCGAGAGTTGTTATCAAATGCATTTAATTATCTCTAAAAAGTGATGGCGGAGGTCGTTCGGGAGTATATCTAGCAGTCGATGCGAATTTGGAACTGAGTGAAGAAGAAGACACGTTTGATGTGTTTGGTTATTTGAAAAAACTACGACAAGCACGGCGCGGACTCGTAGAAGACGTGGTATGATATATAATAAAACATAACATAACCTCAATTATTAACTATTATTAATATTATTATGTGATTGATTCTTTTATATAGGAACAATATAAATTTATTTATGATACTTTGGAAGAATACATCACTTGTGGTAATTCTTGGTTTCCTGTCAATGAGTTATCGCAGCGTCTCAAACAAAAGTCACTTAAACACGCCGTGTCGAAAATCAACGAGTACCAAAGGGAGTATATGCTCATTTGTAAGCAAACACCGCGGTTTACTATCGGGGACTGCGCGGGTGGGCATCGTGGTGACAACAGGAAGAAAAATCGCGATGTGCTCGTCGTGCCACGTGAGTAAACAATTAACAAACAAATCATTCGAATATAAAGTATAGCCTTCTTATAACTGAGTGTTGTATAATGTTATTGCAAGGGTTTCATGAATTTTTAATCCGTTCCTGTCTATCTCTTTTAGTTTACGAAATATTTAGTTTTTGAGTCTTTTACCTCACGAAATTAATTTATTTTTAATTTTTACTTAAAAGAGAATTTTCCAATCTTTTATATTATACTATGAAAGTATATATGAGGCTAGCGGTAAAAGTGACTCGCATTCAGGGCACCGTACGAACGCAGCGGTAGAAGTGACTCTTGTTCAGGGTACCGTACCGTGGATGAATATAGCTGACCCCCTCATTTCCCAACTTTTTCGTGTAAATTATTTTTTCATCTCTTTGATTTGTAGGTAATTTAAATAGCTTATCTTATAGAGAATTGTCCGTAGATTAAGAATTTTCAATCCGTTCCTCTCTATCTCATCTACTTTACGAGATATCCGCTATCAAAATACCGATGAAAATATCCCAACGACGCTATACTATATTTACATAATCATGTACAAATTGCTTTCTGTGTGCTCATCAAGATGGCCTACAAGGGCCGGGTACTAATTCTGTTTTGTCAACAGCGGACAATTTCCGACCGTACTTGACTTCTTTCCAGGGCAACAATTACACCGATTACATTAATGCCGTGTTTGTCGACGTAAGTGATGCGTATTTTTAGCCAAGCACATATTTTTAGATTATGCTCTGTTTGCGTACCCTAGAAATACTCTATTTTGTTTTGTTTTGTATTGCGTTTCAAGGGTTACACAAAACCACGAGAATACATCGTCACTGAATGGCCACTCAAACCCACTTGCGGCGAGTTCTGGTCCTTGGTCTACGATTACGAATGCTCGGCAGTGGTAATTCTATGTGTACCACCAGCAAATTCGGTAATTAAGTATATTAAGTATCTAGTGCGCTAAACGGCACTTTAACCACTACTTTAGTCTTGAAACCGTCGAAAGAGAAAAAAATTTAAAAAATTTAAATTTCTGTGAATTTGCAGCAATCTTTCCCATCCTTTTGGCCCGAAGGCAAAGTCCGCAAGGAAAAATACGGCCCTGTGTTTACCATCGACCATATTTCACACAACCACTATACAAACATCAAGACATGGGTGTTTCGCATCAATAAAAAAATCGTCTCGCTGACTGAATTAATGGCTGGCGTTAAAGCCCCACCGCGAACAGTCCAACTCTTTCAGTTGATGTGTTGGCCCATGGGGCACAAAGTACCCACTTCGACTAACTCATTGGTTGAGTTGATGAATATGGTCGAAAGATGGCGGCAACGCTCTGATTATGGACCAGTATGCGTTGTTTCACCGTAAGTTATTATAAAAACATTAATTCATAATTAATTAATTCATTTTTTGTTATTTAGTGATGGTAGAAGTCGATGTGGTATTTATTGCGCTGCAAACGCGTGTATTGAGCAAGTAATCCAACATGGCGAAGTGGATATCTTTCAAGCCGTGCGTACAGTGCGTCGTCATCGACCTCAACTCATTGAAAACATAGTAAGTAACTCGCGCATGCGCAAATAATAAAATTTTAATTTTTGTTTATTTTTAGACCGAATATAAATATTGCTACGATCTGGTCCTCCACTACGTCCTCCATTACTTGAACAAAGATTTGAAGGAGAAGGAAGACAAGCGAAATCAGCACCAACTAGGCACCTAAACAAAATGTCTGACATTTACACGATTTGGTCCAATCTACGTGCCACACATATATACAAAGAATACGATTTTAAACATGCTACAAGCTGGGTACAATTTCCGTGCCGTGGAAATTTATATATTTGTCTATTTTATTATCTATTGAACGCAACGCATTCGTCGCATTGATATAGTGATAATAATTTGTTAGCACGTCATGCACTTTATATATTCATACTCACAGGGTACATAACCTAACATAACCTAAACCAGTGTAGGTTGCCTAGTGCCAAAAATATGTAACGATTACCAAAAAAGAAAAATCGCTCATCTTTGAATCTTGTACTCTTTGTAAACATTTTGAAGCGCCACACTTAAGCGAAAACAATGACAATTCAAGGTTAAGAACTGGTCGAGTGATGCGTGCATTGTTTATGCACGAAATTTAAGATTTAAGTGCCTCCATCCGCAACGATTACAAACAATTGATATTAAGAGATAGGTAGTGTAAATGCACTTACGGGTGTAGATGATTATTGTTAGACGGGATGATGAATTTTCACATCACACAACAAACGAACTACGAGTTGAACTGCAAACTGTAACCGTTGACAACTTGTGCACATTTACTATGTGCATGCGCATTGTAAACCTAAATGTATGCAACCAAACATACAGCAAAACAGTTATTTGAATGACAAGTGAAAATTCACATCACAATTTATAGTCTTATTTATTACTTCAGAGATTATTTATTACTGTTAATCTTAAATTCAATTCCATTATTGAATATATAGATACCTTTAATAAGAGATATTAAAAGAATATATTAAAAATAGGCAAATTTTATCGGATCGTTTAAAAATGAAACTTATTGTAAATATACTCACATGAAATTTTCATTTAAATTTCTTTCTATTACTGTATAATGTATACGGGATAAATAAATGACAGTAAATCATCGTGTGTTATCGTTCTAGCCTGCAGAAAAACGCGTGCTTTGACTCAAATGAATCATTTCGTAGATATTTCTCATAGAAATTCAACTCGACATGTTCCACTTTGAAGCCAAACTTCTGATAGAGAAACAAACCGGGATTGTTGATGGCAACGTGCAGCGTTATGTCTTTTCCCATACTTGTCTGTCAAAACATAAAAACATTAAATTTAAACACAAAAATAAAAATAAATTACCTGAATCAAATGATAGATCATAAACTTCCCAACGCCGATATTTCGCCATCCAGGTCGTACAAAAATAAACGAAATATAATTCTCATGCACTTTTACATCCGGAACAATGAATGCAAAGCCAACTATTAACTTTTTATATAAAACTACACAAGAAAAGTCCGGATATTGCAGGCATTCAGTCACTGCAACAATCACAACACATATTTAACCTCAAATAACCTAAACATCATGTTTTTGTATACATACAGTCAATACCAGGCCAGAAAAACTGATTGCACAAGCTATTGATGGCTGGAATGTGCGATGGTTGAACGTAGACGTAGTCAATCGATGACCGACTCGGTAAAACATAATTTTTTACACTTTTCATTCGCTTTTAATTGTATTTGCGCCATGATTTTCAACCAATGCGGTGTTTTTTTCACGTCTCGATGAATATAAGGTTTCAAATAAAGATTTGAATACGGTGATAAAATGGGTTCCTCTCTTAAACCACCAAGTAACTTAGTTTTTAAATTTAAGCGTTTTAGCATGAATAAATTGTTTAATGATGTGTTATAGTGACACATTGGGTCTAATAATTTAATCGCAGGTTCCATTTTAATCGGTAATATACTTTCTTTGCTATCCGTTGATTCCTGACTGCTTGACGTCGCAGTTTCATCAAATGATTGAGTTAATGAATGATTTAATTTTTGTTTCTTCTTTACTGGGCCGTGAGTGTCTAAATCTGACACTGATATCGAATCAAATGTTGGTAAAAGTGCGCGTTTTTGTTTATTATTTGTTTTATTAGGATTTAAATTAGTTTGATTGTCATTTATTGGAGTTATCGTTGAATTAGAGATTTCGTCGATTGTTTGGCTGTCTTCTGTTTTTACGTGCTCTAATGGTGGTAAACTAATGGTCATAATAGTAAATTCATTCGAAATGTTGCTTTTCTTGATAATATCAGCGAGTAAAACCGTATCTGACTCGTAAATATTTTGTGATTTTAATGACAATTTTAAGCTAGCTAATTCATTGGAGAGTTTTACTTGCACATGTGGTGTTAGTTTGGGATATGTGAGAGTCCACCATCCCTGCTCGGTAAATGTGCGGCATCTTGTGAAAAACGTCGAGCTGTTTACAGATAACAAACCGGAGATTGTTCCCATCCAGTTTCTTTTCTGTTTACTGAAATATTATGCATTTTGGAGGAAATTTCAATAAATTATGATAAATATGTGGATATTTTGCTTACCATGACTTGTCAAATAATACATTCCAGTTTTTATCTATAAATGTTGCAACGTGCATCCTCCAGTGGTAGAAACCTTTTCTTGAAAGTGGTTTATTGTGAACATTTAAATGATAAAATGTTAAAACCAAGATGTGAAACCTAAAATTATATAAAATTAGACTTAGAATTATGCGTTTTGCGTCTATAATTACTAATAAATTATAACTTTAATGTGTTTATTAGCTTACCATTTTGTGTTTTCACGTGAAAAACATTCTGTATCTGTATCACTGCATTCCAAGCAAGTGAAAGTGAAGAAAACATCACCCGCAAACGCACCCGGAGTGGAACCGCGTTTTAAACATGATAAATGCACGTATTTCTCGCATGATTCGCATTGTAGTCCTTCGTTGTGTAAATCTTCTAGTAGATTATTGCAATATTTACAAGAATCAGTCATTGTTTATGTTATTAATTGTTGTTTTCCATGCGTATTTTGCAATTTTATGGTTATAACTACTCAAACAACATCTGATTTGAAAAGAATCATGTTGGTTTGGGAAATTGCCGCAGAGGGCAGCACAATGCAGGGGTCCATTTTTAAAATCAAACTTTTCAGTAAAACATTAATAAAAAATCAGCAATAGATATATAAAACTAATAAATAATAAAGTACTAACTATTGTAAAATATATAAATTATTATAATATTCAATATTAATTACACAATTTAATGCTTTTAATATATTAATTTGGCAACGTTGGTTCTCGCATGTGTTCACACTTGTCAAGTTTCTGAAACAACTTGTCAAACAACCGGCGCTTACGTGTTTCCCTATAACTCCCAAATTTTCTAATCTAAACAAAAAATCGAATCAAAATGAAAAGCCTTTCGGAAGTAATCAGTAAATTCTACACGGACTACACGAAGAAAACGCCAAAGAAACTAAAACTCATCGATGCGTACTTGTTTTACATTCTGCTCACAGGGATTGTACAGTTTATGTACTGCTTGCTTGTGGGCACATTTCCCCTTCAACTCTTTCCTCAGTGGTTTCATTTCCACAGTGAGCTGTTTTGTTCTAGCAGGTAAATAATATAAATTATACACTTACAAAGATGTTATATATCTAATACAATATGTTTATTTGTTTTAGTATGTTTGAGACTTCAAGTAAATCCTGAAAATAAGAACCAGTTTTATGGTATTAGTCCAGAGAGGGGTTTTGCGGACTTTATGTTTGCTCATGTTATTCTGCATCTAGTAGTTATGAATTTTATTGGATAAAAAGTAACATATTGTAATCATCTTTTCTAATATAATAAATTGAACAATTTTATTGATAGAAATTTGTTGTTTTACTCCTAATGATGTAGATTTCTAGTTTTTGTGGTGTTGTCATGACTACAGCAAATAAATCAATGAATTTTTAATGCAAAATGCTGTATTATGTTCTTTTCAGTAGTTTAAACAATAGTTTTAAACTGTTTTCTTTCAAAGACAGAAAAACATCAATATATTGAGTAATTCACCTAGTAAACAACTTTTACATCCTAAATTTCCTGGAATTTCTAGTTTTTATGACGTTGTCATGACTACAATAAACAAATAAGCAAAATTTACATCAAAATGTTGTATTATCTTCTTCTAGATAGTTTAAACATTAGTTTAGAAGTGTTTTCTTTCAATAAAAACATCAAACACCAAAATATTGATCAATTCACAATGTAAACAACTTTTGTCTCCTAAATTTTCCGTCTCTGCATTGCGCAAGTTTTATTACTTTTAATACACCGAATAAAATGAAATTGTACCCGAATAACGGGTTCATTTCTTATCGTTGATGATTACCCCCGCTAAAAATATAATTATTCATATTAGTCACGTTCTCTGACAACCTCTCAGCCGAACAAAACGTAACAACAGATGACACACTTCGTTTGTGTGCCGCAGTCTCTCACAAACAGCCGCTACTACCGGCGTAGTACAGCTGCAACATGCCACCAACAAAAGAAACCATCACTGGAGTGCCGAAATTCGGCCTCAAACTGAAACTAAATCATGTTTATCCTGAGAAATGGTCGCAGAATCGCATCCCACCGCTGCATCAACTATATCAAATTATTACCCTCATAATTAGGTAGTAAAACAACACTTTAAGCACTAATTACAATATAATTTATGTGATTTTTTGTAGATATGTGTTTTATCACTTTAAATGTTGGTGGGAAGGTCGGCGCGCAATCATGGACTACATAAATGTGCAAAATGCCAAACAAATTTATGGTATGCAATAAAAATAAACAAATAAAGCAGATATCCAAGTAAATATTTAATTATTCAGGTGTACCAATGGGTGGAATTGGTTGTGGATCAATCGGAAGAGGATACAAAGGTGAATTCTGTAGATATCAGCTGAGACCAGGCCTGTATGATTATGGAACACTAGATGCCAATCAATTCATTGTCACTATCAAAGATAAGCATCAAACAATATTCCAAAGTTTACTATCCACTTACAAGTATGCTACAATGATTAATTTTTATCTCTTACATAATTTATAACAATATAATCAATTGTAGAAGGCAATCGAAGTGTGTAAGCAGCTGGAAGTCATTGATAACTGACTCAAAATGTAATTACACTGGTTTATACCCAAGAGGATGGACTGAGTATGATCTGTCAGAGTATGGAATTAAATTGACTTGTCGACAAGTCAGTCCTGTGATTCCTAACAATTATAAGGATTCATCTATGCCATGCGCTGTGTTTATCTGGAATGTTGAGAATGTTTCCACACAGGAATTGAATGTTACTATTTCGTTCACGTTTCAGAATGGTATTGGTGTGTCAAAAGTTGACTCAAAATGTAAGTTTTTAACGTTATGTGGTTTAAGGTTATATAATTGAGGTTATTTTCTTTGACAGCTACCTGTAGTTCTAAACCATTTACTTATCAAAACTCTGAGGGTGTTATTTTGTACCATACAATTGATAAAACGCCATCTTCTTATTCCCTTGCTGTCAAAACAAACCCGGATGTTTCCGTGTCAAAATGTTTGAATTTTGATCCAAAATCCGATGGTAAAACACTATGGGATCAACTGAATGACAATGGAAAGTTTGATAAAACAACCGAAAAAATCTGATAATCATTTTGGTGAATTGGGAGTAGCCATAGCTGCGCAGTGTACCGTACCACCGAAAAGTAATAAGGAGATTGAATATGTGTTAGTTTGGGATATCCCAGTTGTTACATTTTTCTACAAAAAGAAAAAGTACACAAAGTACTACACGAAGTTTTTCGGCATGGACGCTGCACTTAAAATGGTGGATTACGCTTTGATGAATTACGCCACCTGGGAGGAGGAAATTTACAAATGGCAGGAACCTGTTCTAAGTGATAATAAATTACCAGCGTGGTACAAAAGCGCGTTGTTTAATGAAACTTATTTTGTATCGGATGGCGGATCTATGTGGTTTGTGCTTGATGAAGACGAAGCTAAAAAGTTACCACCGAATGATCCAAGGTAACCTATAAAATTATAAGGTTATGTTTCAAAGGTTAAATATGTTTTTAATTCATAGGAAAGAATTTGGTCGCTTTGGTTACCTAGAAGGACACGAATATCGCATGGTGAATACATACGACGTGCACTTTTACGCTTCGTATGCGTTGGCGTTAAATTGGCCCAAGATACAAGCGTTGATTCAATACGACTTTAAAGACGCCATTTTTGTTGAGGAGAAGCAACTCGTCAAAGAACTCTTCACGGGGCATTACATTGAACGCAAAGTGATTAATTCTGTTCCTCACGATTTGGGTGATCCTGGCGAGGAACCATATGAATTAATCAACGCATATCCAATTCATGATGTGAGCCAATGGCGTGACTTGAACACGAAATTCGTTCTTCAAGTATTTCGCGACTTTTCTCTTAACCAAGATTTAGATAAAAAGCAATATTTAGAAGATATGTACGAAGCTCTCACGAAAGTAATGAAAAAATCAGAGGCATTTGATACGGATAATGATGGATTGATTGAAAATTCAGGAATTCCTGATCAGACTTTTGATACTTGGGTAATGAGAGGACCAAGGTGCGTATATGCATACAAAGTTGCCTATATTGATATTAATAAGGAGTAATTTAATTCCAGTGCCTATTGTGGTGGTTTATGGCTGGCAGCACTCCATGCAATGACGATAATCTGTGATTTCTTAGACAAACAAGAAGATAAAGCTCATTACGCCGAAATTCTAAACAGAGGAATTCGATCTTTCGATAGAAAGTTGTGGAACGGCAAGTGTTACAACTTTGATACACACATCCGCCGCGAGGGGGACATTTACATGGCGGACCAGCTTTGCGGCCACTGGTACCTAAAATCATCCGGGTGTAATTATGAAGTGTTTCCCGAGGACAAAGTCAAGAGTTCTCTGCGTACAGTGTTCGAAAATAACGTAATGAAGTTCCAAGATGGTACAATGGGTGCAGTTAATGGTTTCACAGCTTCTGGTTCAAAAGATGTGATTACTCTACAGAGTGAAGAGGTGTGGATTGGTGTAACTTATGCATTAGCAGCGACAATGTTACAAGAGGTAGCCATTTTGAATATTAACTTTATGAACAAAAGTTTATTACTTTTTTAAACAGGGATTGGAAGAAGAAGCATGGCAAACTGCAGGAGGGCTGTATAAAACAATGTCGCAGCGTTTAGGGTTAAGTTACGAGACACCGGAAGCTTTGTATGAGAAACATTACTACAGGTCAATCGGTTACATGCGTCCATTGAGTATTTGGAGTATGCAACGCGCGCTTCAGGTACATGAACAATCTAAACAAGGCAATAAGTAATTCCGGCCATTTTGAGTTGTTTGGTTGCATAACCAAACTAAATTAAAGTTAATTCTAGTACGTACTAAGCAATAATGATAAATCACGGGTGATTTTTTACACTTTTACACGTATCTTAATTAATCACATGAAATATAGTTAGTTTAAAATAGAAATAACTTTATTTCAACCTAAATTCGTTTGTAGATATTGTATATATAATGATGGCACGTTTTCCAACTGTGGAGTATTCATCTTGCTATAATTTATGTACTGTCTACTCAAACTAAGTAATTTAGGCACTGTAGCATTCTTCAGATTAATCTCCAAGTCATCATAATTAGCCACTTGGATGGTTTCTTTACATCCTTTACTTACATGAGCAATTAATCCACTTGTAATGGCCTTCACTATCTTATTCATCTCATAAAGAAAGTTTGTTGAACTCAGAGGAGCCTACAATGCATAATTCCCACAAATTATTTCATTTTAAGTAAAAATATCTTGCAACTTACATTTTGTGTGGATAAATTTGGAGGAGGGCTTTTTCTCAAACAAACAATCATTAATAGCCTCAAAATCTAACTGTGCATCATCTGGAACAATAAATAATGGTGCATCCCATCTGTTTTTACCATCAGGTTCCTCATATCTCATCAGTAAACCATCAAAAGTGTCCTTGGAATACTTTTCTGTTTCATTCCTGGTAGAATTTAATTGTGAGGCAACATCTTGATTAATAATTGTGTACAATGTGCATTGTGTGCTGTGGTTTGCTTTAGTTATGCAGTAGAGTTCATATCTGTAGCCTTTTATGTAGTTTGATCCATCATAGATGACTAGATTCCTAGGTGATATTAACCTGGTTACATGGGATTTAAGAATGTCTCTGACTTGTTTTTCTTTTCTAGAATCTAATAATACACTAAATTAATGAAGAAAATAGTTTAATAATTGTTTGTGTTATACACACCACTATAATATGTGTTTAAATCAAAACCAGCCTTTGTTATTTCATCTGTTTCATTGACAATGTGTACTTCTTTGCCTTTTTCTTCGAAATAACTCTTTAATTCACTTGCACGTTTTGATTTATAACTACAGGGGTAACCAGTGATCACAATTAAAGGCATTTTTAGTTAAACATTAAGCAGAATCACGATAAAACTTGATATTTTGGGTAAAATGTGAGAATAGTATGAGGTTATGTGTTCAATTAGTTGTGTGGGCAACAGATAAAATCTTTTGGGAGAGGGAAAAGCAGTTTGAAAGTGTTTTGTAGCTAACAGAGATGAACTGTGAACATCCCCACAGATATAAAGCAAATTCAATGGCAGAGGAACCTAGAAAACAGCTAAACCTGAGGTCTACCTGCAATAAGCGGTGGGGGAAGCAAACCAAAGAAGTCAGGTAAAAGGCTACCCTCGTACGGTGCTCTGAATACGAGTCACTTCTACCGCTAGCCTCATACGGCGCCCTAAATGGGGGTCACTTCTACCGCTACCCTCGTACGGTGCCCTGAATCGAGTCACTTCTACCGCTACCCTCATACGGCGCCCTAAATGGAAGTCGCTTCTACCGCTAGCTTCGTACGGTGCCCTGAATATGAGTCACTTCTACCGCTAGCCTCGTACGGTACCCTGAATCGAGTCACTTGTACCGCTAGTCTCGTAAGATGCCCTGAATCGATTCATTTCTACCGCTACCCTCGTACGGTGCATTAAATCATAGAAACGCCTACCCCCACCAATTTTTGCTGATCAAACGCAAATATAAAAGACGAGCACGTAGTGCGCACCGTACTCAGTCATCCCTGACTCTTCCCTCGAGTCTGATTTGGTAAAAAACATAAATTATACTTAAAATATAATTTATTCATCGTTCGCATCCATGATTTCCGTACTCTGTGAGATAAATTAAAACAAACTGCAGCAGTATAGCATAAGTATGGTAAATTGTTCCTTTGGAAGTACAAAACAATCCTCTCATCCAAAAAAATCATTGTCACTTGATCTACACCATCAAAATTAACTATTTACAAGTAATATTGTGAATAGAAGCAAAAGCGCACGCGTTACTAACTAGAATTAGATACATAATAATGAATTAAACCAGTTTCAGATGTATCGGATCTCCAAATGCAAATGAATTCCATTTAAACACAATTTCTTTCCTAATCCATGTCGTTTTAATTTCGTTATCTCGTAATTGATCTTAAATTTACGGTAGCACTGGAGCGGGAGCAGTGTACCTTATCAAGTGAAAAGAGAGCCACCATGATAACACCGGCTGCGCGCCAGCAACAAACAACAAAAAGTACAATCTCCGCTTGTTTCCATACCCGCTGTCCGTCTCACCGTAATAACTCGTCTGGTGCGTCGTCACCGGCAACACCTGACTGCGTAACACGCGCATAAGATAAAACGCAAGCGCCAAACTGCAATAACCCAGCGTGGCATAATACGCCGCCGTTCCTCCAACAATACTCATCAAAGTACTGACGATTATCCCAACAAATTTATACCCGCTGTATGCTAATAAATCCAGTGTGCGCAGGCTTGTTTGAATGTTACCGATGTACAACGTGCAGGAGTAAACCGCCAGCTCAAGCAGGCACCATGCGAGCGCAGACGAACTCTGGATGCCGAACTGTTCCGGACTGAAGCGATTCTGCATGCCGAGCACCAATCCAGCGACGACTACATACGTCACGTACGCCATTGTTGGAATATACAAATCAGGCGCGTTGATTTCGTAACGCGGCTGCACAGGAGTATCTTGTTCGAATTTAATGGACCAATCGCTGTGTGTGAACGGGAAGAAGAGTAAACCTAGTTTTGTAAGCGCGTATTTTGTATCCACGGCGAAATAGTACTGCAGACGGGAGATTGGCACGTATTTTTCCATTTCTTTCTTCATCATCGTCGCACCGGTAGACGCCATCTTGAAAAATTCAAAAACATGTCATTTTCATGTGATTTTTTAATGAAATTTGGGTAAATATTCTGGTTTTACCTGTTGTGTATATTGCATAGCCATATTTTGTACAATTGGCTGCTGAAAGATTGCATTTGGATTCATGAAAGCATTCGGATCATAATTTCCAGGAGGAATTTGCTGACCAGGCATTGGCTGTTGATTTGCTTGATTTGGTTGATTATAACTTCCCTGATTCATGTAATCTAGAAGAAATACAATAATTTTAAATTTGAATGAAATGACAATGACATTTAGATAATTTTCTACCTGGTTGAGGTGGTTGTGAAAATGTAGGCTGTGGTTGATCCAAACCAGCACCATTTGGGAAAGGATAAGCTGGTGCTTGATTGTACCCCATAGCATTGACATCGCTAACCCTTTTTACTTTACGACCAAAGGCTAAACGTAGAAATTATTTACACATAAGCTTATGATTTATGATTGTATTTGAAGGTTAAGTGCTTAGAAAATAGATTCTTACGTGGCCGAGCGCCGCCAGTTCCCATGTTCGCGTTAATGTTCATCTTTGTAATTAGATTTCGTTCAACAGGCGCAAACTGGTCGCAAGAATATCAGCATTAGTTCGCTTTTTTTCATCGACACGTCACTGAGAGTATCTAGGCATATTTATTTCGGCATTCAACGAATACGGCACCGAGTGAAGGGATTGCGCATGACGAGAAGTGCATACTTGGTTGCCTAACATCACCGCAACAAAGTAGAACAAAACGGAAACTAAACATTCCGCAAAAAATATAAATAAATGACAAGTTGTTTACATTTTTTCTAGCAAGTGATGCGAATATCACATATGTAGAATTCTGATGATTCATACAATTGCACTTTAAGGTATAAAATAATCATTATTGTGCAAGTATGCGTCATGTTATTGTTTTAAATTTGAATGAATGCGTAATTTGCGTATGAATGACCGCATTCGCTCGTGTGGCATCCGGACGCGCCGGAAACGCATGCCTACCGCAACCGGAAAACGCGCGGCAGCCTCCGACGACAGCCGACGTCGTCCCGAGGCGCATCCGCTTTCCGCTGTCATTCGTCATTCTGGCCCGTCGCCAGTCAAGTGCAGTCGACGATTCCGAGTAAACGCCAAACAATAAAGCGCATCTCTGATAACTGGAGATTAGGTACCTGCACGTCGTGCGCGTCGTGTGCGTGATGTGACCGGCTCGCCGTGTACCTAGAGTGGTGCAATACGAGCGCGCGCCGCCGCGCCGATTAGTCATGTAGTTGGTGGTGCCGCGACTGTCCGGACTGCAAGCAGAAGCAGCAGCAGCAAGCCGACGCCGACGTTGGGCAATCGCGCGTACGCCGCGCATGAATCATAACAAAGACGCACACGCCCGGCGATGAGCGACAAGATGCGGCACGGGCAAGCCGGAGCGGCTGCCTCCTTCGCCGCCAAGCCGGTGCCGATGAAGCTCTTTGCCACCTGGGAAGTCGACCGGACTCCATCTGATTGCATACCAAGGTAAAAAAACATATATTTCACACAAACATAACCTGTTTTCGCCAATAATGCAGAATAATCTAAATAAAAAAAAAAATATTTTTCTATAGATTGTGTTCGTTAACGCTGACAAGACTCGTAGTATTACGCCCGCTGGGTAACGACCTAGCGTCCATCTCCATTGCGGTGAAGATGCAATCCAGCAAACGCACGCTGCGTTCCAATGAATTACTATTACCTGCAAATGGTTTGCTTGACACTTCTCTGGAGCTCACCTTCAGCCTGCAGTATCCACATTTTCTCAAGCGTGATGGCAACCGTCTGCATGTGTTACTGCAGCGTCGTCGGCGTTATAAAAACCGCACGATTCTGGGTTTTAAAACACTCGCTGAGGGCGTTATTCGCATGGATCAAGTTCTCCAGCGTCAAATGGATCTGGAACTCGAACTCATCGCGGAAAACAGTAGCAAGGATAAAGGCACTGGTCCGCTGGCGAAGATTATCGTCCTGGGTGTGAGTTCAACACCCGTCGACGGTGATCACAAGCCCGATCGTGAGCGAGAGTGTAGTGAAGATGACGATGAGTATACATCCGGCGATGAGGAGCCTGGTGATCTCAGCGATTCGGAGCCCATTCGGACCAAGCTGCCGCATCCGAGGCACAACTTCAAGCAGCGCTTCGTCTCGCTGTTGAAGCGATTCAAGGTCGCTGAAGGCCCAGAGGGTGTGCGTGGGTCTTCACTTGCGAATACCACGGATATTCAAGCGTTGTTTCAGGTAAAAAAATATTGGAAATCTTTCTAGGCTAGAATATAGGTTAGAAAATTGACAGGTGAGATAATTTGAGGTTACAATAAGGAGATTTTTGATGTTGTTTGTTGATTTTTACTTGTTTTATTCGAAACAAAGTCTTTTTAGGTTAGAATAATTTGACAGTTAGAGAATTTAAGGTTAGGTTAGAAAACAAGTGAAGATTTTATTGTTATTAGTTTGATTCGAGTCTAAAACAAACTAGTCGGTTAGTTATTTATTTTTAGAATTAACCAATATTGTCCTGTGATTGTTAGTGTTGCTGACGTTGTCGGAGGTGCTTAAAATATCGCGCACCCAGCGAGAAGGGAGATAACTGTGGTGTGGATTTATTTTTGTGCTCCTGGCATTTCTTCAAGGTTTAATCATGTCGCACGACACTTGCGCGCAAATGATAGTTGAATACTGGATGTTATAAAAGTATAACATATGAAAATAAAAAGACACGAAGCTGCTGTGTTCATATTATTAAATTGCGGCGAACGAGAGAAGCAAGAAAAAATAAAATAATGCGGTGCTACACCTCGGTATGCACGCCCATATAAATAGTGAAAATTGTTTTAATAATTAATTTCGAATGTGACGCCTGGGATGGTGTTGTTTGGCGCGGCGCGTCGCTGAATTTAATTTATTTAGCGCCGGTCTACGTGCGTCGCATACGTGAAAATGTAGATTACGTGCGGAAAACTGCGTCGCCGATTTATTTCTATGAATATGCGTTTGTTGTTTTGCCAAATAATACGCTAAACGCAAACAAAACATAATCTTGACGTTCAGCTGTTGCGAATGAGAGTTGTTTGTGTTAGGTTTGTGTAAGGTTATGTGGCTTACAAGTGAGGTTAAGTTACTAAACATGCTCAAAGTGTCGTAAAATCGTTAATTTTAGTTGTTTTTGAAATAAGTTCTAGTTCAACATGTCGATAAACACAGGTTAAATTTAGTCCACTTTACAAAAACACAAAATTTCTCATTTTGTTGTAAATTTATCATGTTTTTTGTTTAGGAATTGGAATCGCTCAGTTGTGATGATGATTCCGCCGGTGAGCCTGACACTGTGTCGATTTCCAGCACTCCGAAACCGAGTTTACGCCCGTTCTTCAGCAGTAGTCGCAGTTTGTTGGATACAACCGTGCAGACAGATGTCGCTGCTGACGATCGCAACTGTTCCGGAAGTGATGGTAACGCAGACTTTGCCGGTACAGATTACGAAGCGCAGTCGGATCCGCAAACTGGTTCACCACCCAGAGAGAAACACGTCGGAAGGTTGAAGAGCGACGCCGCTGAGCCGGAGGAGAAGAAGACAAAACTCTTCCGCACGTCGGTATCGACTGGCAAAAAGAAACACTCGCTTAGTATTGGTACCGACACTCCCAGCGTCACGGCCACTACCCCGGAGACGATAATCGTACGTGAAAAACGCGCAATTATTTTGACATGCAGCCAAATGGTTTATTTTTGTTTTTGTATGTTTTACAGGCTAGAAAATCGTTTCTTGAAACGGTAACGCGTGTACTGCCTCTGGACGACACCACGCTGCCGGATCACATTGTATTGGCGTCGGGACCGGAGCAAATGGTGGCAGCGCTCTTACCGCGATTGCAGTTTCAACGCGTGTTAAATCCGCATTCGGCTCCGGAGGTTCGTGCAGTGTTGACGACGCTGTTTGCTAAAATACACAAGTATTGCAACAGTTATGCCAAACCTGGCACGCCAATTAAACTGGTGCTGATTGGTGGAGATGCGCTCGTGGGTTGGACACTACGGCCGTATGTTGAGTTAATGTCGAACAAAACGCCTGATTGGAGTGGACATATTCGGATATATATTGCTCCTTTAGGTAAAACTTATACTTTTTTCACGGCCGTGACTAAAGTTCTTTATCTCGACTCTAAACGTTGTTAAAGTTCCACTTAGCACACTTGATACTTAATATACTATCATTAAATTGTTTTGTTTAATAGGTCAACCATCTTTGGTTGCTAGACAGTTGGCATCACTGGACGCTGGCTATTCTTCACTCTTCCCTCCTGATTCCGACGCGAATAAGGATGAATTAGCAACGCGTGTTTTACGTTATGTTAATGGCGGCGGGCCTGCTACTCAGCTACCATTGGCTGAGGCTATGCTTACGTTTCAAGACGATTCAAGCCAGCTTTTTATCCCGTTTGTCAGCGAAGTACGCGTTGGGCCTTCAGACACCGCACATTCACTCTCGGTTGACTTGGATGATTTGCTGTGTTCAAGTCCGCCGGCTCCGCCTCCACTCACGCCTCCTTCATCACCAAATGTACAGGTTTGCTTCTATTTTTAGATTTTGTTTCACATTTCTTCTGTGGATAATTGTTAAAAATATTTGTTTTTGTATTTTAGGTTCGTGAAACTCCTTGGGAACCATTAGAGTTGCAGTTGGATTATTGGCAGCTTCCAGGTGCTAAATCAGGAGAAAAGGGTGAGAAAGATAAAGGCACAAAACCGGATGGTAAAACGTCAATGCGTGGATTACTACGTGGTTTACAAGCATCACCAGGGTTAACGCTAGCTATTCATATGGCCAGCAAAGAAAAGAAGCAAAAAATCATGCGCCTTGGCAAAAAGAAGGACAAGGACAATACTGAGCCGCGCTCGCACACTGTCGACTCCATTGCGCGCTTTGTTTGCTCCGCCAAAGGCTCAAACTCATCACCAATGCGAAGTAAGCAAGCAATAAAACAACAAAACCTTGATTAAATCACACTCACCATTTTATTGTTTAGTAATCATCGATGGATCAGAATGGACGGGCGTGAAGTTCTTCCAATTGAGCAACACGTGGCAGACGCACGTCAAGCATCTGCCCGTGGCGTTGGTAGGCGTTCCGCTCGCCAGCACCGACCCCTGAACGCCTAGGTCGGCCATTTTCCACGACATTCCATGCTGCGAGCCGAGGCGATGCTATTTCTAATCGAATATCACGCGGTCTTCTTCTTTATCTAGTCAGGACAATATGCGACGCGAGACGCTTTGAATATTTGTTGGTTAGGCATCAGAAATCAAAAGAAAACTGTATGTGTGCGTGTGAGGTTAGGACGGTTTAGGTTAGGACGTAAATGTTGCACCCGTACTCTTATTCCATGTGATATATATAGTCCGCTTGCTTTGATCGGTGGAGCGCCAATATGAAATAAGACTGACCCCACAAAGAAACAAACAAAAACAAAACAAAAGTAACGTCAACTTCATCACGGGGCCGTTTTTAACGCTACAGTAACATAACCTAACTTAGACGAACTTACCGATAGAGATTATATAACAATATGTATCATCGTATATTTATCATATCATCAACTACTGGTCATCATGTTTCATCATTATCGCGATGTGATTTTATCAACTGTATTATGCACTCACTGTGTTTGATGTATTCTTGAATCTCGCGACTTTTTTTATTTCGACTACTGAATGCGTAGCAGTGTGCAGCACTCATTCCTATTGATTATATTATTGTATTGTGTAAATTTATTCGGTTTAAACAAAAGACGTATGCAATAATTGTTATGAGATTCGATTTGGTTAGGAAAAAATAATCAAAAAAATTGGCATAGCGAGGGCTGAATCAAATGATTAGTTTAGCTATACTTGTATTTATTTTTGTAAAGTGTATATTATGAATCGTTTGACGCTTCAAGCTTGAGAGTAAGCTTTAAACTAAACTTTTGCTATAGGAAAATCAGTCGCATTGATATTTTTTTGTGGTAGTTGTTTAAAAACTTGGAAATTTTCATCGGCGACTACAGTATTACGAGATTAATTTATGTTCAGTGAATGAAAATGTAATGAATGTAACACAAATAGGACAATACCTTAGATTTACGCGTATAATATTTGCCATACGAAGCATATGTTAAATGTTCAAATTAAATATTAACTCTCCTGCAGATAACGGCAACCAAACAATGGAATTGTACAAAATGTTCCTTTGAAATTTCACTTACTTGATATCTATATCTCTGAGCGTCAACACAACCAGCAGCCATATGTAAAACAAAACAATTTGAAGCTCAACACACATAATCCTAACATTTAAGTATGTAATCAATTCAATCAACGACGTTTTGCATCCAACCGAGTAACAATTAGAGAGAATTGCTCATCTAGCGTGTAACAAAACTAGCGTAGCACTTGGTAGCTGATAATTTTATACACATGTATCGAAAAAAAACACGTCTGTTTGCGTCTGTAGGAGCTGAAATCTAAAACGAATTCATATCATAATCACTCGTTTCTCTCAATACTAAGTAATCAATTAGAAATTTAAATTAAATTATGAATGGATCTCATAATTTCATGATTATCTCTTAAGTTTTTCAAGTTCCTGTAGATTGTAATTAGATTGATGCTTGTGTTATTATTATGAAAATGCTTATTGCGCACACTCACACGAGATTCAATTCGCTACGGACGACGCTGCAACCAACAAGACTAATAACATTACTGAATGTAATTAACAATGAGAACATTGAGCTTTTAATAACTCTATTTAACTTGTAAAATGTATAACACATGTTAAGCTGTAAGTGTGTATCGTGTAACGGGCAGAAAACCAACCAAAGATGGTCAAAACAAACAATTAGATAAGTGGGACGCAAAAATTTTGAATGTTATTACCAGGTTTTTGCGAGATATCAAAATTTTCAACCGATTGGAATGTTGCAATATACTAGAAATTTTATTCATCAATAATTATAGACTTATTAAACTTTATATATGCAATATGCGTAGATTGGATATTATTGTGAGCAGACAAACGATGAACAACTACTTCATATACAATTATATTATACAAGAGTAATATTAGAATTGTTTACATATACATATATATATATATATATTATATATTATGATGAGAAATGTATATTATTATTAATGCGAAGAGTATGATTTCAAATCGACGATGAATGAAAAATAAATGTTTTGCTTTGTATACAAACGATGTAAGTATTACGTGGCTTCTCATTGATTTGGTTGGAAATTTGAATGAACTACATGCTCATAACTTTAATTTGAATGGCAAATACTGATTCGTAGGTGATAATGAAATAGTCCTTAACACGCGACCACGACAAATGCACCTACTAAATATGTTACGATCTAATTTTCAGCGACAATGCAAATTCGCACGTCCGTTTTGTATCTTTAGAGTTGAAAAATTAATAACGGAAACTTCCTTATACATAAATATTTAGATACACATCGGTAGTTTACCACGCTTCGAGTGTTATAACACTTTGTAAATATTTTGGGTTTTAAACGCAATTATTATGTCTATACGATTTGAAAACGGAAATTTATGTTGTGCAATTTTGAATCATCAAGAGTACACATGGATAATTTGATTATCTGAGCGTCTAGAAGGTTTTTTAAAGTTTTATTCTGCAAAATATTGAATTTATTGAGTTTATGAAGGAAAATTTATACTTTTCGCCTTTGCGGTTTTAAGTTGATATAAAACTATAAATAACTTATTCATAATATTATGTTTTGAGTGAATAATGATGATCGTGGTTTGTTTATACGGGTACTACTGATTTTACGTTGATGTATTTATTCAATACGTGTGAATTGAAAACGCTGACAAAGGAAATATTGGCGCTTGTGATTAATGATACACACCGTGCCGTTTATTAACTTGTTTATTAACTCGGGTGACAGATTTAAGCAGGAGGTGTATAAACAGATCTAAAACGCATATAAACCGATGAAGATCCACTCAAAATCATTCAATTTGAGAATATCTCAGTGTAAAGACTTGAAAAGTACAAAAATAATCAAAATGTCGCAATATCAGAAGGTACTATTGATTATTTTTCATAATTTTTAAATATTAATCTAAATTTTTGTGTTTTAGGTGTTTTTTGTGTTTGTTATTGTGGTTTACCTCATCGCCGCGTGTTATGCTCTTCCAATTGATAATTCTTCATCATCTGAAGAAACAGTAACGCCAAATGATGATGATGATAATATTTCAACTACTATTGCTTCTCCAGTTAGTAAACTTGAGTTTTTAAAATCCATTGTGAAGAAAAGTGCTGAGGAAATAAGGGATGTTTTGGATGAAACGGAAAAGTTGAGGATTTCTAGAGATACTGCTAGGGAGTCGGAGAGTGCCAAAGTTCAACACAGAAGGAACTATCAGTCATTGTATCCGAAGTATTATGAGGAGGCTGAGTGGCCAGCTTTAATATAAAACGAGGTATGAGTCATTATTCGTATATTATAATATTTATTTGATTACTAAATGATTTTGTTATTTGCTTCAAAGCTTAGATAGATAAATGTGTAATTCCAATGGAATAAGTGCTTGTAAAATAATATCATTTAATATATTATAATAGTTTTCTAGATAATGCAATTTTTGATATAGTTTAAAAGAGGTTGTAATTAATTAATAAAAATTTGGCGGAGGCGCTAATTTTGAATTTAATTTTGGCTGAAAAACAGGGTCTAACTTTGTTTTTAAATTATTTTCTGTCAAAAGACAGGGTCGAAAATATTTTATCAAGTGATTTTCTTTGATAATCAGCAATAAAAAGATTTCTAAATGTTTTTAATAATTGAATTAATTACTAAAATTTTGGTGGAGGTGCCTGTTATTTTAATTAATGTCAAATTTTACCTCACATATGAATCTGAAAGTAGTTTTTCTTTAACTCTAATAGTTTGCAAGATAAGAGCAAAAAACATGATTATTCATTTTCTCCATCGTTTCTAAAACAAAAAATAAAAATCACTTAAACTTTTTATTACGGAATATTGTAGATAACGCAATGTTGAATCATTTATCTCTGTACTATTTTATTATCAAATTAATTATTTAAGTAGTAATCGTCATATAAAATCAGATTTTGTATAAAAATAAAAATAAAATAAAATATAAATATAAATTATAACTTTAAACATAATAAATACACATAAACACAATTTTAACAAAATAATTACCACAAATCTTTAAGATTGAACCAAAGTAGGCCGAAACTTTCGTTTAATCGGTTTCCTACCAGCAGAATTCGCTGAATTTTGATTTAAATTTGAATTTTGATTCTGATTTGAATTATCTTGTCTCTTGATAAGTCTGTTAAAACTTTGTGGTGGGCCATTAAACTGTGAATACTGTTTACCAATATTATACGCTCTATAATAATCTCCTTTGTTTCTATAATAATTACTCAATGTCTGCGGCTTGCCATACAAACCAAACTGATTACTCTGATATTGACTAATAGGAGGGCCTCCATTCCATTTACGACCACTGAAATAAATTTGTTGGGATGGTTGCGCTTGTTGATATCTCGGATAACTTGAATAACCATTAGGATATACTTGTGGTTGCCTAACTTGGCGGACATTTTGATTGTACGGAATGAATTTTCTTTTATTTTGTTGATTCTGTTGAAGTTTTGCGAGTTGTTCAAGCTGTTGGAGTGATTGTTGAGTTTGACGACGTTTGCGATCGTGTGGTTCATGCTCCTGGGCGCGGTTACGCAGAAAATACTTTGACATTACGCCGAACATCGGGTTGTGCGAATGCAAGATGGCGTTATAACGATGGCGAAAACTCGCGTCCGTAGGTGCTTGGTCTTTTAGATGATGATGATGGTAATAGTGATGATGTTCTTCATCAATTCTTGCTTCAGTAAATGTTATCAAGTTTATTCCGATGTTGAGAAGCAACAAAAATGCAAACACGTGAAAATATTGCATCTAAACAAAGATTAATTGTGTTTATTTGTATTTTTATAATTATTTAAATTTACCTTATGTTATATTTTGAGTATTAATTATCCTTTGTAACTTTTTGATTGAAAATGCCCTTTAAACAACGTTTTTAAGTGTTTTTGTTGATGGTTTGCGTGCAATAGTGAGTCCCGTTTCACTCAAACTTGATTTATATAGCAGACACATTGCTTTGTGCACCGATTTCAATTTGTTTAGTGAAACGGTAATTATCGCTCTAGCGCACAGCGCGCTTCTTCAATTTGTTCGCCAGTTTAGTCGCTTATTAAGCGCATTTAAATAAAAAAGTATCTTAACGCGTCTGCGCTCGAGTTTACATAGAAAGAGTCGATAATTACTTGCTAGCCGTATACAAGCAGTTCGACGAACACGCGCAATTAGTAGACGTGTTAATTTCCATCATCAACAATGCTTGCGTTTTTGCGATTCCTACGGTTTACATTTGATATTTTCAATGCCAGGAAATTTCTTATTCATATTCATCAGGGGTGCGTGCTTACTGCGAATTTTTCAATTGTTTGCTTGGCTTTTGTTCATCAACATGCCAATTCTAGAAACTAGATAAAATTATATTGTTTAGAGTTATAATTAGAATTTATTAATAAAGAAAAGTAAATAATTAACAGTAAAATTAACAAAAATATATAATTAGTTGATGTAGAAATACAATTAACAGATATTTTTTAAAAACAAACCAAACCACATTTAAAATAAATATAATTCACTAGTATATAATATAATTATTGTATTTAATAACAAAATTCAGCATTATCTACTTTAATTTTCAATTTATTTAATAAAATTACAAATTTAAGTTACAATAAAATTGAATTGACACTGTTTAAGATAGGCAACCAAATAAACTCTATTAAGGTTACATTTATCTTATAACCGCAAGTCGTACATGTAATACTCAAAATGATAACACATTTCAAATAGAAAACACCGCAAACATCGCATGACAAGCAGCATTTACACGAGGTAATTAATACGAATCAATAAAACAATAACTCTTTATTAAATATCTCTCTATTGTAGCATTTACAAGTGAAATTAAAAGAGGTCAACATATTGTTTTCACTCAAGTGAAATTTCTTATCTAAAAACCACAAACAAACAGAAGTACAATGTTACCCACAAAGAAACTACTGCCTTCAATAAATCTGCTGCTAAATCAAGCTAGACATGCATCAACCAAGCCCAAAACAGGTATTATAATGCTCAATATGGGTGGGCCTCAGAAAGTTGATCAAGTCCATGACTACCTGCTTAGAATCATGACAGACAGAGATATGATACAGTTCCCTATGATGCAGGACCACTTGGGTCCATGGATTGCAAAGCGTCGCACGCCGGAAGTAATGAAAAAATACGAGGAAATCGGCGGTGGATCACCGATTTACAAATGGACACAAACCCAAGGGGAACTTTTGTGCAAACAACTGGATGCACAATGCCCAGAATCAGCACCACACAAGCACTACGTCGGTTTTCGTTACGTAGAACCCTTCACAGAGGATGCCATGCAGGAGATGGAGCGTGATGGAGTCAAACGCGCTGTTATATTCTCGCAATATCCGCAATTTAGCTGCGCGACAAGCGGATCCAGCTTCAACGCCATTTATAAATTCTACAAGAAGCGTGACTTGCCTAAAGACTTAAAACTTAGCGTGATTGATCGTTGGGCGACGCATCCACTGCTGGTAAAAACATTTGCGGATTTAATTAGGAAAGAACTCGACAAACTTCCTGCAGATTTGAAGCAGGACGCTATTATTTTATTCTCCGCGCATTCGTTGCCTTTGAAAGCTGTAAATCGCGGTGATTCGTACCCTTCTGAAGTAGGCGCGACTGTAAATCTAGTTATGCATGAATTGGGTTATTGTAATCCGTATCAGTTGGTCTGGCAATCAAAGGTTGGGCCATTACCATGGCTAGGACCATTTACTGATGATGCTATCAAAGGATATGTGAAGCAAGGAAAGAAAACGTTCCTTTTGGTGCCAATTGCGTTTGTAAATGAACATATTGAGACGTTGCATGAAATGGACATTGAGTATTGTAAGGAATTGGGTGAGGAATTAGGCGTGAAGGATATTTACAGAGTACCGGCACCGAATGATCATCCGTTGTTTATTGATGCGCTGACTGATTTGGTTAAACAACACTTGACGAGCGGTGTTGGCGTTGGGAACAAGTTTTTGAACCGTTGTCCGCATTGTGTGAACGCGAATTGTTTAGCGAGCAAGAAATGGTATTCGGAGGTTTGTTTAAATTCGATCAAAGCGATTTAGGTGTAAATTATGAGGAAGAATATTTTTAATGTGGTGGTTATTGGAATTTGTTACATTTTGGTATATAATTGGCTGTAAACACAAAAGAAATTAATATTTTAATTTGATTCTTTCTTTGGGGTTTAATTATTTAAATCTTTAACCAACCTACAAAGTATTTCTAAAATTAGATGTGTACTTTTTGAGAAATCTTTAGTGAAAGTTAAAACTTTCTTTCATTTATATTTACTCCTCAAGTTAGGCAACCAAGTATACACCAATGAAAGAAAACACAAGAATTAGTTGTTTTTATCACTTTAATAGTGGTTTTATGACGGTATTGAAACCACAAAAGTGAAATAATAAATAACTTTACATATATTTCACTAGACACTGCATGTTTTCAATGTTATGTGCTCATTTTACAAATTAAACAAGTTTTTCTCACAAAGAAAACCTGATTAGGCACCTCCACTGTTGATGGCTTCAATTTCTTTCTCATCAATGGGTCTCCTTCTGTATCTTTGTGGCAGTTGGAAATCATAAATCACTTCACCACTTCCAGCCTGACCCTTGCCTGAGCTTGCTGAATGTGAGGCAGCTGCAGAAGTCTTATCCCTGCCTGGTCCATAACGAAATTTGATCATGGGATAACGCGCCTTTGCTGTTAACGCAATCGATCGTAGCTGCTGGCCGGAGAACATTTTTCCAATTTGTGTAATATAGGTTACTAAAACAAGAGTAAGTTACATAAAACTTGTTGTGATTTAAGGTGTTACCTTCTTAGCATTGATTTTTAATATTTTATAGTGTGATAGGCATAATTATTATGTAATGCAACGTACCGAATAATGTTTCGTTAAAACAATAACTCCAGAGCTGCCGCACTGATCACACAGGCCTAGTAGACGGCGTTTTGTGATTATAATCTGGATGGGATTGATTTTCAGCTGTATTTTTAGCTTACTTTATACGTATACTTGGTTGCCTAACGCACATAGCAAATTTCATTTACAATCATTTATTTATTCACAGTCTTATTGAATTTTTTGCACTTTTCATAAATCATATAATTATTATCAATATAAATACAATGTACTCCTGTGTTTACTTGTAATATCTACAGCCATCAATAGTTTTGACTCGCATCCGGCAATTCAAAATAAAACAATCACATAGCACGAATAAAACTTAAAATAATAATAATATCAACTGGTTATTTCATAGGCCAGGAATTAATTGCGTTGACGGTTGAAGTTTCGCCGGTTGTTTCTGAACAGCGGACGGAATACAATTGTATTTGCCGCTGTGTCCATGACTTCGTCGCCATTTTGCGCAGCGGCTCTGCGCACTCTTGTTTCCTCCGCCACTTCATCAACTGTGGCTTCCTCTTGCGTTTCTTCACTTGAAGCATCCTTATCAGTGTTGATTTCGTGTTCTTTTACACTTGGGAATATATCATCGTCCTTTTTTTCGTTGTTTTCGTAGTAAGCAGCGTATTGACTCTCTGCAATCTCTAGATCACTATCAGCGGACCTCACTCTTCTAATCGGATGTTTTCTGAACAACGGCTTGAAAACAATGTTATTCTCAGCAGTTTGCATATCGTCAGCCGCGGCACGTCTCGAGCGTCTTAAGTTTTGTAAATTTTGATTTCTACGGAACAAGGGACGGAAAACCAGTCCATTTTCCGCGGTTTGCATATCGTCCATGTTGGATTTAGCTTCTCGCAGGACGCGCCTATTGGGCCTCTTGCGGAAGAGAGGCTTAAAGACAACGTTATTCTCGGCGGTGTTAAGATCGTAGTTATTCGCCGAGCGAACGGGACGATCAAGGCGACGGTGTTTCGTGTAGGAATCTTCCACTGGGATGGTTTCGAGTGATTTAATATCATCTTCAACGGGATTGTGAATAGACCGGGTGATGCGTTCATTGTTCGGGAGCATTTGATCCAATTGACGAGTTATTCCAGCGTTGATCGTGTTACCGAACGTCATCAACAGGAGAAGAATCGGGAGGATTGCAATGTGAGCCTGAACAAATTATTATTCAATTATTCTTTTGGTCTTAAAATTTGAATTTTCACTTACCATTTCTCGGAATGTTAGATTTTTCTTTCGTAACTTGTTTAAAAGTATTTTGGAAAGGTGTTTAGAGTGGTTTTTGAAGTTGTTGTCGCTTCTGAAGTGTTTTCAATCGATAGCTGGTTGGATTATGTGACTGAAAAGTTTGTCCACTGCTTTTATACTGCTGAAGGTACGCTAATTAAAAGCGGCCACTAATTGCCCATTGACGCTCGCAAAAGTTGCTAATTTTCTAGAACAAAGCGCGCGTAATCGGTGCTATTTGCTTACAAATCCATTGCGAAAAAATCAGACTCATTCTCGAACTAGAAAGAATCAAAATCAGTTAAAAATCATGATTTCAAGAACATTTTTATTTCTCAAGTCATCAAATATGCGATTATTTTATTTTATTCTAGCGCATGCGTCGTGCAAGTAATTGATTTGTCTTATACTTAACCTAACCTTTTTAACATAACCAAAAATAAAGGAAATTTCAATAAAATTTAGGTTTTTATTATCAACTTTGATTAAAAAATGAATTAAAAACTTATGTAACTCCTGTAAGTCGTAATTATTATGCTAATATTTGTGATAATCATAATTAATGAACATAACAAGGCTAATTAGAGCGTATGCGTTCTTGATGTGAGGTTATACTTCTAGCTCCACGTGGAATAAAATTGAATCATATTGGAAAACTTCCTTGAGCGCGTTGAGCATTGAGTCAGACCTATTTGCATTCGTAGGTTTTTGATGGTGTTTTCAGGCGTAAGGTGTAAAGCAAGTTGTAAACACACAAAATGCGCTTCAAAATCGTGTCACACGTGACAAAATTAATAAGCATTCTAAATGCTAAATCAATATTTTGATGCACCTTATCACAACACGGTGAATTTTTATTTAAAATGTAACTTTTCATGCATAAAAACATATGATTCAACTGTTTATAGATTGTATATTTTATTATTATGATGTCTGGCGGTCATTTCCGCATAGATTATATAAAATAGGAAGTGTTAAACGATTGAGAATTGAATTTCATTGTCAATTTTCTTATTTTTGTAACAGTTTCAAGAAAAATCGATGTTTTTCTCACTGTTTCATGGCTTGAGATGATGTCTAGAACAAAATCTAAACTAATTGATGGTAATTTAAGAAACAAATAAACCATGAGTAAGTCACGTATTTTCTGCAGGCGGTATTGTGATAAACGATGTTTGACGCAAAACAACGGATGAACTTTCGGAATTCTCAAAAATATTTACTACAAAGTTGACATATAACTTCCATTGTATGCAACCAAATATACACAATTTGTATATTTATGTTATGCCAAATATTCACTCTCAAAAATGTGATGCCAGAGGAAACTTTATGCGCTTTACAGAAATAATTAGCGAGCGACCGGAAAAAAGTGTGAACTTGTGCACAAAGCAATCCACAAGCCTATAAATGTAACACGCAGCTCACGATCCACTGATTAAATAATCATCTCGCATCACTGATACACAACTTTACATTACGCAACAAAAAAACTAAATAAAAATGTCTATTATTGTATTTAATCAAGAAAAGTTTACAATAATCTTAATCTGTGTGATATTATCAGTGTGTTTATCACGTGCAATACCAATTAAACCTGTTTCTGAAGAAATAAATGAAGAAAATCAAAACGATGAGAATTCAACGGAAATCAACATAACCACAAATGAGGGCACCTTGGATAACACATATGTCGTCCCCGAATTGATATCTTTTGATGATTCTGAATATTCTGATGAAAATCATCCACAAGTGTTCCGCCGTGAATATTTACTACCAGATGGAGAGCTGATTATTCAAAGGATATTTTTTCCGCAAGCACGGAATCACATGCACAAAATCCCACATGATTTTGAAAGAGGGAAGGTGAATTGATTTCAAGGCGACGTCGAGATGTTGAAATGTTGGATGATTTGGACACAGCTGAAGATATTCCGTTCATGCCTTTGTTTCACTACAGAATGCGACAGAGGAAACGAGCGGAATTAGCAGCAAGAGTTGAATGATTTTAAAAGTTTAATTTAGTTATTTATTATGAAAATTATACAAATATAATAATTAATTCCAATCGAGACATTTTAAAGATGATTTTTTAAATTTTAACCCCAGCGGTGGCCGCCTCCCCATCCACCTCCCCAACCTCTTCGATATCCTCCATAATATCCGCCATAATTGCCCCAACCACCTCCGTAGTATCTCCCACCCCATCCACCGCCCCATCCACGACGATGACCACCATATCCAGTATATCCCCATCCGCCATAGCGAGGTCTGTAATATCCGCCGCCATAACCGCCATAACCTCCATAACCTCCCCAAATTGTATTGGCGGTTTCTAAGTCAGTTTCGGAGTCAGCAACGGATTCGCTTAAGTCATCACTTTCTACAGTTGATTGAGAAAGTGAAGATGCTTTAGATTCTTCACTAACACCGGGAAAAGCTGTGGTTATTCCAAAAAGAAATAACACACAGAGAATAATCTAAAAATAAAACATTTTTATGATATAGGCAACCAAATTTACAATTAAACAAAAATTACTCACTGTTATTTTCATTTTAAGTGTTTCTTGTCTCTTTTACTTTGATATAAGTTTATTAAATGCTTAGATCGTTCGATATGGATGCGTGGCGAGTTACTGTTTGGACATCGTCGTCAAAGGTGCGCTTTTATACTAGTTGCTGGACGTCTCACCGCGCATCACATATGTACCTGCTTAAAGACGTTGTAGTTGTTGTGATGTTGATTCATTCACATGAACAACCACATTATGAGATGTTGAAAGATTGTAAAATTATGGATTAACATGTATGTGACTCGGAAATTCCTGATTCACGTCTGCAGACATGCAAGGCTGATGACCGACGATATGACGGTCAAGGTTCCCAACAAAACTATAGCAATAATATGTAACCGTGTAATAATATCAAAAATAACTGTTGTTTTGATGCCGATTGTTTTATTGACGGTAATTGAAGCAAATTAACCCAAATATTATTTTTCAATTTAAGTTTAACAGTTAATTCAAGATGGCGTTTTGTTTTTGGTTGTTTTAGGGGAAATCCAGTGTTTTTCTTGAGGTAATTTGAAGTGACTTGTTTATTATGTGTTGGTTTTTGTGAAGTACACATCAAGTGATTAGCATTTATTAAAATATTTAGTAAATATGCGGTTAAACACGTGATTTGAATATAAAAGAAAGAGTTTGATGTGTTCTAGTTAATTTAGGCAACCAAATATACACATTAAAGAAAGGTATCTATTAAATCTATTAAATTTGATTTTTTATTTAACAAATTTATGTTTAGAAACATTTTTAATGCTTAAAATAACTTGTAGGTCAGATCATCATGTTAATTGTATTGTAAACAAACTCTAGACATTGATTTTACGGGGATTTTACTGCCACAGAACATGAATTGCATGTTTATTTAGAATCTATGAATGCAAATATTCAACTGATTAAATATAAACAATTATTCATGATATAAATTGGAGATTTGTAATTAAATTTTCTTTAGTATTAATTTTTATCATGAAATACTATATTCTTAGTGTGATTTAAACAAAAATTGAAATTTATATTAAATATGATGATTTAGGAAGCAATATTTTATTACCATTTGCTGTTTTTATTGTTGCTGTGTATTCAATGTAATTTAATTTGCATCAAAGTGCTTTCTGCAATTTATATCGCAATTTATTCCTGCATTTAATCGTAAATGTTAAATATCATTTAATTCTCTAATTTGCCTTCAAGGTAAAGTAAAGTAATTGTAATACGAAGTCAATTTGAAGAGATTACATTTGATTGCGTTTTTACTTGTAAATATCAAGCGTATTATCTACCTAATAAAATTTTAATCGATTAAACTTGACATTCATTTCACATGTTTGCGAGCCTACTTTTACTGGTGCTTTGGTATGTTTGAGGAACTTACTAACGAAAGTAATTTCAGTTAAAGTGTTAGATGCATTCTAAGGCCGATGAACTTCCCAAACTTCTCGACATTGGCAATCAACACAAGCATATTGTGCAATCAACTTACACTTACCCAGCAAGTTCATTTGGAACGGCTACATTCTTGTCAAAAAAATGTTAAACTTATGGTTTTGTTTGAAATTTAAATTTAAATAAAATTTACATCTACTGATTTTATTTATAATTTATTAATGAGTTAGAGAATTTGATGTTGATTTGGAATCTTTTCGAAATAATCGGAATTAAAAAAAATGGCGAAAAACAAAAAAAGTCACTTTTTAGCGCGTTTAGTCACGATTTGGGGCCTTTTACCCCATGAAATTTAATTATTTTTAATTATCATCTAATAGAGAATTTCCCAATATTTTAAAATCCACAATTTTCTGGTTGCTATCTCTTTTAGCCATTTAACCTTTTAGTGCATTTCGATACTCCGCACAGAACGTTTGTTTTTTTCCGATGTGTGAATATAATATTATTATATTGTATCATAGAGTATAAATTAAAGCAATATTGCTATTTTTTTAAATTGCTTATGATGGGTATTTTTATGCAATATCAACTTTGTTGTATATTTGATAAAATGTATTTTGAATTTAAATCTGCCGTTACTAGATAGTCGGTTAGATGGCACTATGATGCACGTTTTCGCGTTAAATATTGCTTGTCGGTGGTAGTGAGTGCACACCATGTCCGTGTGCGATCACGCGAGTTCGCGCAAGAGATAAGTTTGTTTACGTGCAGGTATCGAATCTTTATTTCGTGAAATCAAAACACACAGTTCTCTTGATTCGGTCGTGCCGGTCTCTGATTGTTGCAGCCATGTTTCTCGCGACTCGTATCGTTTGTCCAAACTTCTATTTTCCAAATTCGCATTATATTCGTTCATCAATCAACGATTTAGTTTTAACTTGCGGCTAATGATATTTATTATTTGTGCGTAAGTGTCGAGTTGCTTGTGAATACATTTACTCATCATTACGATGACCCATCGTGCTGGTGTAAGTATCAGTAGCTTTCGCGTCAACAGCATAGATGTTTATTTTTCTCCGTTGTTTGAATATAATATTACATGAATATAATGTTTCCTTTTCTTATTTACAGTATTTGCCATGTCTTGGAGTCTGATGTGATCTGCATTGGTAAGTTTATAATTCAATTCTATTTTTCATTGTAATTCCTGCGTCGTACATAAGTTTGTAATATATTTACGTAGTTCTTTTTTGCATTCCACCGCGTGTTGCAAAGACAGTCGCGTTTCAATCTGCTCCTCTGTATCTCTTTTAGTTTTCGAGATCTTCACAATCAGATAAAACTTTCAAAAAATGCAAAAGTTTACTTTTTTGCACCTTTAGACACGATTTCGGAACCTTTACACCCCATATTTTAATTATTTTCTTATCATATCTTGTAGAGAATTTTCCAAACTTTCATAATCTTCGATCCGCTGGTCGCTAACACTTTTAGTTTAAAAACTATGTCCTAAATCTTGAAAAAACAGGATACCGCACCATTTTGTGGAATGGGAGTCACTTCTACCGCTACTCTGGTACGATGCTCTAAACACGAGTCACTATAAGCGCTAGTTCGTACGGTGCCCTGAACACGAGTCACTTTTACCGCTAGCCTCGTACGGTGCCCTGAATGGAAGTCACTCCTACCGCTACCCTTTTTAAATTATATTTTCAATTTAACTCGTTTATCTTATAGAAAATTAAGAATATTCAATCCGAACCTTTCAATCGCGTTTAGTTTCTGAGCAAATCGCATTGCCACCGCCTCGTGCCCCATGTTGCATATTCTCAAAATGTTTCTCAAAAAAAGCCGCTAAATTTTCTCCTTTTTTTAGTTTTTCCACACGTGCAATAGAAAACTGCTCATATTTTGCGAACCCTTCGTGATGTTTTAACATCTTTTCGGATCTTGTTAGCTTATATCTTAAAGATAATTTTTGAAATACGCGGTGAAAATTTGGCTGTATTTCGGGATCAGAGCTAGAAATTGTAGTTTTTTGTAGTATAGCACGTGAACGCGGTGCTACTGTAAGTTCGGAATAATTTTCCCAGATGCAAAATTTAATTCTTTATTTTTCTATATCGAAATTTATTGCAAGAAAATTCCGTAATGCGAGTTATATTCATAGTTGTGTGTATACGCACTAGTACTCGTTGCGCTAGGAATTGTAGTTTTTTTAATATAATACGCAAACGAGGTCTTAAAGAAAGTTGGAAATAATTCTGACAGATGCGGAATTTAATTCTGTATCTCTTGGTATTGAAATTTATCGCGAGAAAATTCTGGAACTCGAGTTATATTGAAAGTTGTGTGTATACGCACGAGTACTCGTTGCGCTAGGAATTGAAGTTTTTTTTTATTATAACACGCGAACGCGGTCTTAAAGTAAGTTCGGAATAATTTTCCCAGATGCGGAATTTAATTCTGTATCTTCCTGTATTGAAATTTATTGCGAGAAAATTTCGTAACGCCAGTTATATTGATAGTTGCGTGTATACGCATACTTTTTAGCACTTTTAGTCGCGTTTTTCGACCTTTTACTGTAGGAAATATAATTATATTATATTTTTATCTGATAGAGAATCTTCCAATCTTTCATAATCAGCAATTCGTTGGTAGCTATTGGCAATTTTTCTTAAGACTTAAAATTTCATCTCTCAGATTTCCCTTTTAACTATCCTATCTGATAGAGATTGGTCCGTAGATTAAGACGCTGCGAGCAGATCCTATTTATCTCTTTTAGTTTACGAGATATTCGCGATTGAAAAAATGGGCAAAATTGCAAAATGTCACTTTTAGCACTTTTAGTCGCGTTTTTCGACCTTTTACTGTAGGAAATATAATTATATTATATTTTTATCTGATAGAGAATCTTCCAATCTTTCATAATCAGCAATTCGTTGGTAGCTATCGCATTTAGTTTAGGAGATATGAATTTTTGAAAATCGTCGAAAAAAAGTATCAAGCACCCCCCCTTGGCAATTTTTTCTTAAGACTTAAAATTTTATCTCTCAGATTTCCCTTTTAACTATCCTATCTGATAGAGATTGGTCCGTAGATTAAGACGCTGCGAGCAGATCCTATTTATCTCTTTTAGTTTACGAGATATTCGCGATTGAAAAAAATGGGCAAAAATTGCAAAATGTCACTTTTTAGCACTTTTAGTCGCGTTTTTCGACCTTTTACTGTAGGAAATATAATTATATTATATTTTTATCTGATAGAGAATCTTCCAATCTTTCATAATCAGCAATTCGTTGGTAGCTATCGCATTTAGTTTAGGAGATATGAATTTTTGAAAATCGTCGAAAAAAAGTATCAAGCACCCCCCCTTGGCAATTTTTTCTTAAGACTTAAAATTTTATCTCTCAGATTTCCCTTTTAACTATCCTATCTGATAGAGATTGGTCCGTAGATTAAGACGCTGCGATCAGATCCTATTTATCTCTTTTAGTTTACGAGATATTCGCGATTGAAGAAAATGGGCAAAAATTGCCAAATGTCACTTTTTAGCACTTTTAGTCGCGTTTTTCGACCTTTTACTGAAGGAAAATGGGCAAAAATTGATAAACTTAATTGATTTTAACTAACCTATTGGTTGCTATTGCTTTTAGTTTATAGGGACTTTTACTAGTTACGCCACTGGCTGCACAGTAATTATTTCATATAAAATTGCAAGTAAAGTATGTTCCATGATTTAATGATATTTATTTTGTGTCATTGCCATGAGCCGTGTTGTTCTCGCAAAAACATTAATCCAATTAAGCATTTCCGACTTGCTAATTTGGCGGAATGATGTTTTTCGTCATTTCAACCTTACGTCTGACGCATTGTGGGTTCACATCATGAATTCAAACTTTTTTTACAACTTTTTAGAAATGAATACCTTACCATTTATAATCTTCCTTCAAAATTACCGCTGAATGACGCTGTTAATTAATATTTTATGCTTGAGGAATTTTTGTTGTGTTGTAAACTGAACACGTCATGGCAATATTTATATTTTAACATTTTTACAATATAAATGTTATTATTCTAATATTAATTTTTTTGGGATTAAAAATCATCAGTACGGCCCTGTTACATTATAAATTTGGCTCCGCTATTAATTATGACACAATAATACGATCATTTTCTAATCAATCAAACTTTTGTTTTCTCAATGCTACATCAAACGACTACGTAATCACATAAACCAAGAGTATAAATACGCATAAATCGCCAAAATAGTTCATTTTAACCGGGTTTGTCTTTTTGTCAACATAAACATAACCAAACATAAGCAAATTTGTGTTGTTTTAAAAAAATGTTCCACAAACTTCTAAGTTTACCTCTTGTGTTACACCTAACAATATTTCTAATCTTCCTTGTGAGTGTTTGCGAGTGCAACGAAAAGCAGGAACCAAGTATCAAGAACATGACAGCCATTGATAAAGCAAAGCCGAAACCAAAGCACAATGATGATCCGTTTAAGAAAGACCTACGAAAATTTCTACGAGAATGTGGAGCGGATGTTTCTGTAGAAGATGACGATGACGATGATGGTCCGAAAAACAACGGCGAGCATTCCGCTGAGGAAGTTGCAGTGCCAAAAGGCCAACGGCCAAAAGATGGCGCACCAAACGCACATTGGGCTTATGAGAAGAAGCGAGGAGGTAAAGGTGGCACTTATCCTTCACAATACGGTAAAAAGAAGGGTGGTGGACGTAGAGGCGGTAGTGAGGAAGATTCAGAAGAAGATGAAGATGAAGATGATTACAGAGGATCTTCAAATCGCCGAAAAGGGTACTAGTTTCAAATAAAACAAAAAATTGTTTCAGAAAATTAAATTTATTGATTTCCAGTGGGAATAACAGGAGAAATAACCGCAAAGGCAACAAAAAAGGTCGTCCCTCTGATGATTACGATGATTCCAGAGGTGATAACTGCGATGATGATAGAAAAGGAGGTGGGTATGGTTCAGGTGGAAGGAAAGGGTTCTCCAGTAGTCAATGGGGCGGTGGAATGGGTTACAATCGAGGCGGTGGGTCAAGCGGTGGACGTTACAATACGAAAAACTACGGATACACTAGTGGGTATTCCGGAAGTGACCCATTTGGACAGAAAACTGAATATGGCGTCATTTATACCAGCAGTCCAGATATGTGGGGTTCCAGAACAGGGTACAGTACATATGGTGGGCGTTTAATGGCCATGAATACTCTTAGAAGAGAAAAACGACAGAAAAACACTGAGCAGTGCATGAGTCAATGTGTTTTTGGATATTTAGAAATGGTAACATATTAATATGTTCATTTGGTTGTCTATAAGAGCTGTTTTATAATTCTAGTTGGACGATAATCGTATTCCGGCTGAAACTGAAGTGATAAAATACTTCCAGAATAAAATTCAGAATAATACCGAACGAATGCGGTTGATTAAACTCGCGAGGAAGTGTTTTGCTAAGTTATCGACAACTGGTAGGTTATAATTACAGAATTAACCTGAGTTATATAATATGTTACCTAATTTTACGTTTGTGTTACAAGAAATTGCTGAAAATGAAGATGGATGTCAATTTTCAAAGGATTTAGCAAGATGTCTACAGATTGAAATCAAAGGAGAAACTTACTAAACATATTTAATCATTTTACTGGAGATTAACATGTGCAATTCAAAGTTATCATTAATTTATGAACACATCATTAAATTTTAAGCTTAAATACACAGAAAATTAAAATTATTTGCCGATCAAGTATGGATAATGATAAGGATAATGCAAGTATGGTTTGTATAAATGTGAATATGGCGAATAAAGTGAATAATACGGATATCCGAAATAATATGGCGAATATGCCGATTCAGCTCCTTTTATATCCTCCTCTTGGTCGTTTGATTGTGGGGACGTATCCATTTCATCAGTAATTCTAATAAAATTAAAGTTATTATTAAACTATATTAATTTTTAAATCATACTTACGATGTTTTGATGTTTTTGTCAACTGTGGGTTTTTCTTTCATTGGATTTGCTTCTGTTAACAGTGTGGTAACACTAATAATCGCAAAATATGCGAACAAAATGGCTGATAGTTTTACGGCCATATTGGTAACGGTTTTAATAAGTTTTAATCACTTTTGAGACTGAAAATAAAATAGAAAATGCACTGCATTATATATGAAATTTTTCAAGGTAGTTTTGCCTTTCAAATTAGAAATCGAATTTATTGATACGTATTTAAAATCGATTTTAAATAATTATACATTTCCGTGTATTGCAGAATGCAGATGATAATGAATGGCACTCTTGTTTAATTTATTACATCTTGTTTACAATGTAATCCCTTCACTTTGTTCATCCGTTTCTTAACTGCTGTGGAATAAATTTGTTTGTAACAAACACGTTTTAGTATTGCCGCCAGAGCAGGTAAAGAATTTCTAACCTCTTCATATGACTCAGATTGTGAGCAGTTGTTGCTGCTTTTGATTGTGATTTATTCACTTAAAATCGCAATTAACGAAGTAAATTAACGTAAAATCATCATGAGTTTAAATATCGTGCAGTGTTTAAATCAAATCGCCACGTATTGCAGAATACAAGGCGCTAAAATAAGCATTGATGCAAATTCTGTAAGGTTTTTCATCATATCAACAACTTCCAGATGTTTTATTAACAAATTTATTCTTATTTTAAGGTTCCAACTTGTGTATACAAGAACAAGACTACAGTAGGTGCTTTAAACATTGCTTTGATGTTGATTGAAGCTTCCAAAACCAACTTATCTGCACAAAATTCAGTTGAGTTGGCACAAATCTATGAGTGGTTCGAATATACTCTGCTGTATTGCACAGCAAGCAACTCACAAGTTGTTATTAAGGTAATATAACATATAAATTAAATGTATTTTGTGTAAAATAATGTTTTGTTACATTTATACAGGATTTGAATGATCATCTTTCTCTGAAGACATTTTTAGTGAATGATAGACTAACAATTGCTGATATAATCCTATATTATGCAGTTTACAATATTGTGGTAAGTATAAATATTATTTATTATCTTTTTTAAGCTGTTACTATTAGAATATATCATTATTTTCAGGAAAACATGACTTATCTTGAGAAGGAGAAGTTTGTGCACTTTTCAAGATGGTTTGACAACATGCAGCAGGATAAAAAGCTTCTTCAGAAGAACAAATCCATTGACTTCAGCACTAATTACTTGGTGAGTGTTGCACCTGCAAGGCATTAATAATAATAACATGTGCAAGATCAGAAATAAATTAATTTATGTATGGTGAAAGGAAAAAAACGTATGTTGGGTTGCAGTCAACGCTTCCATTTTGTTTTATACTTTTATTATATCTTCAATACCTATTACTTTAATCACAATAAATGTTTAAAGTGCCCAATATTTCCTAGAATCTACGAGTTTAACGCGTATTACACTTAAATATTACAAAGTTGGGATAAAACAGAAACAAAATAAAAAGATTTCGGTGTTCACAAATGTTTTCATCAAATAAACAAAACAAAATGGCAGCATGTAACGGTTATTAATCGAATGGTCGTGATCGTCCGCATGATTGTAGTTGTTAGATCTGGTGGGCAGCAAAACCAGTGACTTTGGGAATTCAGCAGCGCGATTCTCGCATTTGATTAGCACGATTACACATTGCATATTGTAATTTCAACGTCGGAAATATCTAACCATCTAAACAATGCATAGCAAAGAAAACAATTGAATCGAATAGTACTTAATTAATTATTTAAAAACTTATGATGGAACAGGTTGCATTGCATTGTTTAAACTTGTTGTTGTTGTTTGTGGGTTCGTTTTGTGTTGTTGGTTTACAAAGCCGATGCACCGGAGATGATTTCAATCAACTCGCGGGTGATGACGGCTTGACGAGTTCGGTTGAATGTCAACGTAAGTTTGCCAATCATCTCTTCGGCGTTCTTGCTGGCGTTGTCCATGGCAGTCATACGAGAAGATTGCTCGGAGCATGCGCCTTCCTTCATAGCGTAGTAGATCATCGACGCCAATGAGAATTCCAAATACGATTGGATAACTTCATCGTCCAGAGAGTCGTAAATCGCCAATTTCGGTGCAGACTGCGCAAAATTTCAAAGTTAAAAATGGCTGCTATGTATTTTATATTATTTCGGATAATTAAATTTACCTGAACAGCAGACAGGCTGAAAATTGGAATTTCAGTGGTGGTGTACGAAACGACCGACTTGAACTTGTTGTAGATGATTTTGCCGGATGCGAAATCATAACCGCAGCTCAAAATGCCGGCAGTGAGTTTAGATGCGTCGGTGAATGTCGGCGGAAGGCGGCCGATTTCGTTGGCGGCCATGATGATGTGCTTTCCGTACAGACGGCGAAGAATACCACGAGACTTGTCGCCGACGCAGATGACCTTAATGTTTTCTGCTCCAGGTTGGCTCAGGTCTGTGCGAATTTGACGCGCGACGCTGGTGTGGCAAGCACCACACAAACCTAGATTATTAAATTATATTTTAAAGATATAATTACATGAAAAACATGTAATTTAGATATTTTTACCTCTGTCGGAGGTGATGGCGACAACCAGTTTTGCTTTGGCATCCTCAGGAGGAGCAATCTCAGCTCTTTGATAGAAAAGCTGAGAACCCTCACCGATGGGACGCGCCTGACGCAGATCCCTCTCCGCACGCGAATATTTCGCGGCTGACACCATCTTCATGGACTGTGTAATCTTCTGAATATTCTTGACAGACTTCAGGCGGATGGAGATGGCTTTCAGCGTGGCCATACCGCGCTGCTGTTGGCCTTGCTGGACATTTTGCACCAGCATTGGCGTGAAGTTGCCGAATCTGCCCAACATTTTGCGTTTTTCTGAAAGAATTGTTCGAATTAAAAGATATGAACGCGCAATGTGAGAATTTGTGAGATTATGTAAGATGTGTCATAACATGGAAACCGAAAATACAAAAATTGCGGACATTGGACTCGCAAGATTCGGTGAGGACAGTCTGGGAGTCTTGAAATTAGTTGAGGGACATAGTTTCGTTAGATATTGTATGGATTTTCGCGAATTTTGCAAGAAAATTCGTCACTAACCTTCTTCACTGCCACAGATGAACGAAAGCAGCCGCCGTGCTAGTCCTGACAGCTGAAATGTCTTTTATTCGACCTTCCTAAACCTTGTTTTTGACAGCAAATCATTGAACAGGCGTTGTTGTAACTCTTAGCTTTATATGTATTAATTTGTGGGTTAAATTAACTATTTCTTTGAATTAATATTATTTAGATTTTTCTCTAAAACTGTTAATGTATTAATTACTAATATTTAACAGTTTAAATTCGTGTTTACGACAGTTGACATTTCAAAATTTGACATTTGACAATTCATTAAGTTCAGATAATCCTCCACAGATGGCGCGGGTAAAATATGAACTTCAGTTTTATGTCGTAGAAAATCTCCAATTCTCGGAAAGTTTTACAACAGAATTATGAATTATGATAATAAAAAGAAAGATGCGTTGCACAAAATACCATAAACCTTTAGGCAACAAACATTTAAACCTCCAATAATAGGAGGACTTAAATTTACTCGTGATATTTTTTAAATTTATTGTTGATAACTAAGATTAGCGAAAAGCCGCATTTCACTCCAACTCTGGGAGATTATTTGTTAGTAAATAAAAAGTTGGTCTTAAAATATCAGATTTTTATAACTTCGTTGAAGTACTCCGGTATTATGCGCTTCGCAGAAATGTGTAATCTGAATGTTTTCTAAAAGGGTTACATTTGCCAATCAGAGTGACTAATTTCTCACAATTTTGTAATCAGGCATCACGCAGGAGAGTATAAAAACATGCGAGTGGTCCATATCAAATTCATAGTCTTACTATCATCATTTAAGTGATTTTGTCTACTTTTTCTCAAAAACAACTCCAAAATGTTGAAAATTTGTTCTATTATTGCTTGTCTTATAGCAATGGCGGCCGGACATGGCATGATGATGGATCCACCCAACCGCAGCTCCCTTTGGCGATTCAACAACTCATTTCCCATCAACTACGCAGACAATGAACTTTGGTGTGGAGGACGTGGTGTAAGACATATTTTAATTTACATATTTATCATTTTTAAACTTTAATTTTTACCCAGGTACAACATGGCGTCAATGGCGGCAAGTGCGGCGTGTGTGGTGATGATTACCGCAAAGAACATCCGCAGGCGAACGAAAATGGAGGCAAATACGGCACTGGTTACATCACAGCCACGTATCAGCATGCTTCAGTCATTGAAGTGACTTCTCTCATCACCGCAAACCATCTTGGTAACATCCAGTACCACATTTGCAAGATTAACGACTCCAGCAAACCAGAGATTGGCGAAGAGTGCTTCATTCCGATTCCATTCGAGGATGGCTCTGAGAAATTCACCATTTTGAACTCGCATCGTCAGGTTACGAGCAGGATTCAACTTCCGAAGGAGTTCACATGCAATCATTGCACTTTAAGGTGGACATACACTGCAGGTACGACTAAATTTAATATTCAATAGAATTATTTTAAAGATTTTGACATTTTTAGGCAACAATTGGGGTCCGTGTGGAAATGGCACTGGTGCAGTGGGTTGTGGACCTCAGGAAACCTTCCGTTCCTGTGCTGACATCGCTATTCAGTAAACATTTTAATTTTTTGGCATGTTATTAGTAGAATTTGTGCATGATAAAAACTAACAAAATAAATATCAACTAAACATTTGGGTTATCCAAAAAACACTATTGTTCCTATGATTAATTCGATAACTGATTAGGAAAAACCATTTGGTGTAATAAAAAATTACCGTAGAGTGTAGTAAACACTTTAATTACGACTAATACATTATTACGTATAAGATTAAAACAATTGTTTCCGTTGTTACCGTTAATCACTGCCCAAATTTACTTCGGTAACTATAAAAGCAAAATACTGAAAGAATTCTGTACAAATTAATGAAAAATGAACGCAATTCAAGTGTTAGTTTTGTTTGTAGGGTCAATAACGTTAGTTTCCGGTCATGGCCGTCTAATGGATCCACCGAATCGCAGTTCTTTGTGGCGGATTGACCCTTTAATGCTTCCCAATCATCATGATGATCAACTGTGGTGTGGCGGGGTATGGATAATTCCTAAATATATTAAACTAGATATATTTGACTGATTTTTCATTATTTTGTAGTATAATCATGGTAAAAACGGTGGAAAGTGTGGTGTTTGTGGTGATGATTACAACACACCGCATCCGCAACCCAACGAAAACACAGGAATCTATGGAAATGGTAAAATAATGTCCACATACACAAAAGGAACCGTCGTTGAAGTCGTCTCACACATCACAGCCAACCACTTGGGAGATATTCAGTATCATTTGTGTAAAATCAATGATTCAAGTAAGCCTGAACCAGGAGAGGATTGTTTTGAATTGTTGAAGTTCCAAGATGGCAGCGTGGACCAAAAGATCAACGAATGGGATTATGTTGTTCACAGTCAACTACAATTACCAAAGGATGTGACCTGTGAACATTGTGTTCTGAGATGGACTTATAATACCGGTGAGTAATAAGTTATTTTATTTTTTAGTGAAAAGTCAACATTGTGAGTTTTAATAGGAAATTTTTGGGGCTCATGTGACTCGTCAGGCAACTGTGGTCAACGTGTGACATTCCGCTCGTGTTCAGACATTTCCATTGTCTGAATCTGAATGAAATACACTCAAAATAATTACAAATTATCAACGAAAGTAATTATATTTGTTAATTATGAATATCCTATTCGTACAAATCAATCTCCGACTTGGTAAACGTTGATATCAGAATATCACCCTCGTTGGAAACTGAAATATTATGATCGGATTGTTTTAGCATCATCTGACTACATGTTTGCTTTATATCTAGAATCGGGTTTGAGATTCTCTTCAGTATATTCTCGCAGCGCTCGGAAAACTCCTGGCATCTTCTTTTGTATTCCGAGTGGGACATTAGTCCACAACCTTCTTCGCTTTCTGTTTGGTACAGATAGGTACCTTTACCAATGTAGTCAAATTTCTTCATGCCAATGTTGAACTCGCTTTTGATGTCATGCTTACATCCGGGACGATGTCGTACGGTCACATAAACATCTACTTTACATCCGTGCGGGCAGTCTTCATCACTTTGCAGATTGTTTAAGTCTACCAGTATTGGTTTGAGTGGAGATGGGTTTATAGTTTGTGTGGATTTTGATGTTTCAATTCTTGCGTTGTCTGTAATGAAGGATGGGGAGCAATCCTTCATTGACAAGGCACCGAATCCTATTATGACGTGGCTCTCAGACACGTCGTCCATGTTTTTAGTGGTATTGAGGAGGATATTGGGTTTGATTGCAGTAGGACGTTGTTGCACAAAAATTTTGAAGTGTGTATTGTTTGACAGGAGTATAATATGTATAAATGTGTCAACATTGATAATAATTAAACTATAATTACCAAATTTTTGGTAATTTTTGAATGAAATTATCAAATTTTTGGTAATTTTTGTTAATTATTAAAAATGTTTGGTGAAAAACTCCTAAGTAGATTAGTATTTCTGTATAACAACTTTCTGTTTTAAGAATAACACATTTTCATTGATTTTCTTTCTCCATTTTAAATTAATCAAAACTGGTGCATTTTGAGCGTTTGTTGGTGTCTGTGAGTGCACCGTGTTCATGTAAGGTCGCAGGTTGTATGCGCGATTTGCGAACGAGAATATCTCTTTGGTTTATCAATACCCGTATGTTGTTTGTTCACATTTAGTCAGTCGGTAGAGCGCTGTGGTGCGGTGAACACGTGTTTCCTTCGTCCGTCGATCTTCGTAGCGACTTTTCCCGTTTATTGAGGTTTTAATTTGATATTCCTATTAGAATCGATTTGCTAACGACTGTGTGTAGTAATAAGAAGCGTGTGTGATGTAAAGATAGTGATTTATCGCGAGTGGTGCCCAACATTGCGTGGTTTTACTATGAAGGCAAGTTGCTTCCGTCGGCTGCTGTCCGTCGGATCTTTTCCGGTAAACTTCGAATTCCTTTTGGATTAATAGGATAAAATGTAAGACAATTGTTACATCGTGGAAATAAAGTAAGTTTATTTTGTGTTGGAAAGTTTAGTTGTTTTATTTTTGTAACACCCGGTAAATTGATTTTCTTTGATGGCACACGAAAAATTCTCTAAGATTGTTGTGTTTGTGTGTTTTCTCTATTTAACTATATAATTTAATTTTAGATGTAACAGTTTTTTTAACACCCTGTATGTTAATTTTCATCGATGGAAAGTGATCAAAATTTACGTTTTCACTCGAATTTTGCATTTTTTAGAATATGATTATTATTTACTATCTGTATCACCCTGTATACGCTTCTACGAATAATTTTCAAATGTAACATTTACTTTATTTTGATTGTATGTTTATGTTGTGTTTCAATAAAATACAAATTTATAGTATAACTCTAATACATATATTTATTTATCGATCCTCATTGTCGTTCTTAGGACTAGTTTAGAGAGACAGCGATATTTGATTACATGTGTTACATTTGTTACTGATAAAAGAGCTGGGTGGCTCAGTGGCATGTGCATATGCATGCTAGCTAAGGCTTGTGTTGTTGTTTTTAAAAAGTTGAATAAAGTAGAAACATAAATAGAAGAATCAAATATTAATGATAAAAACACTCGGTGGTCGAGTGGAGACGTGCACCTGCTGGCATGCTAGCAGACACGGATCGAATCTCAGGTATGGAAGGCATTTTTCTCAAATATAAAAATATCAGGTGTAATTTGGGTTGCATATATGAATCGCAACGAAATTTAAGAGAAATTGAAATACAAGCGAAGGCAATAAGAGAAGTAAGAAAGTAAATGGAGAAACGAGAACAGAGAAAAAGAAGGAGTAAAGAAAATAGGAGAAGACAGAAGGAAGAGAATAGAGAATAGAGCAGAGAAGAGAAGAAAAAGAACAGGGGAGGATCAGATTTTTAAATTTTTGACACGTGTCGTTATAAGACAGTCTACGGTCGATCTCCCAGGGCGCCTCCGGCGCTCTGGTCGATCGCCTACTGCTTCGATGCGTCCATTGCTCCCGGCCCATCCTACAGCTACGATGTCTCTGCGCTTCATCCCCGAAATTATCAGGCATATCAACAATTTTTATGGTGGGGGATCATCCCCGAGTGGGAGAACTCCTTATAAGGACATCCTTTTAAGAACTTATAAAAATATTTCTAAGTTTTAAGTTCGTCAGGAGAGGTGACACTTAAAAATATTCTTACAAGTTCTGACCTGTTGCTGAAATGAAAGAAGGAGTACACAAATCATACAGGTTACCTTAACAATTTTTATAGAGGGGATCATCCCTGAGAGAGGAACTCTCTTAGAGACCTGTTCCTGAAATGATAGAAGGCGAACACACAAATCAAAGAAGTCAATATATCTTACTATTTCTTTATTAACAATAGAATACAAGTTTATTGCAAGATTGCAAGTCAACAGAATACATGTCGCCATATTGAAACAGGACTTACGACCTGCTAAGCCGCGCACATATAAGCAAGTAGCACTTCGTACAGTTCTACCGGAATAATGAAATTAGCAAATAGTTCATTTTCTATGTTATTGAAAATGAAAATAAATATACAGGGTGTTACAAAAGGAAAATTTTAAGTGCAAACAAAAACTCGCTCGTTTTCATTCGACGATCAGAGAAACTAATATACAAGGTGTTCCAGAAAGAAAATTTAAAGTGCAAACGGGAAAATACTAAAAACGACAGCTAAAGCAAAATTTTCACGGACACAAAAGAAAACATATATACAGGGTGTTACAAAAAGAAAATTCCAAGTTCAAAACAGAGAACACTCAAACCTTACAACTAATGGTGATTTTCTACGTACTGTTAGGAAAACTAATATACAGGGTGTTGCAAAAAGGAAATTACTACATCACAAAAGAAAATGCCAAGTCCAAGAAGGAAAATAATAGGAAACACTAAACATAGACAGTTTTTATAGGAAATTGAGGAAAACAAATGTACAGGGTGCTACAAAAAGAAAATCAATAGTTCAAATTTAGAAATCTTATAAGAGAAAATCAAGAAAAACAAACATACAGAGTGTTACAAATAATAAATTCCTAAATCTAAAACTAAAATACAAAGTTTAAATAGAAAACGACAAATTTACTCAGTTTTACATTAGAGAGCAAGGAAAATTAATACATAGGGTGATACAAGAAGAAAATCGCTACATTTAATAAGAAAATTCAAAATTTTCCATGCATGGAATTAGATTCACGATTAGAAAGAGTGACACAACACAAATACAATTACATTTTAATTTAAAAATAAAGAGCAAGAAATTTTGAAATTTTCTTTGCGACGGATTCTCCAGATACACCACAAGCTAAGCAAAATGTGTCCGCCGACGGCAACTCAATCACACACGCGGAAGGAAATTAAAATCGTCTTTTACAGATATATTACTCTCAATAATTAATTGCCAAACTACGAAAATGCGTTAAAGAGCCTGCACATTTATGAAATAAAAAGAAAATGTCAGCAGGGATAAATTCACGTTATCATTGACATGACCATACTCTGCGGGTAGATCGAAGTCGTCGGACGCATCAATTTTGTTTTATTACGGTACTCACGTTACATGCAATTTTAGATAAATATATAATTATGATGTAATAACGTTTACAAACTTACCAATGCATTAGGTAATCAAAGATAGTACTGAAACAGAAAAAAAAACACGTGTGTGAGAACTCGCACTATGATGAACACTTATTTAATTACACTTACTTAAAGTTACGAATAGGATACAAATTTCTAATTCCAATTCTCAGCATCGAAATAATCCAATAGCCGACACGCACTTGTAAACACGAGTTTTATAATCATTTTACGCTTAAATCAACCTTAGCAAAACAGTTTACACGTCTATTGACATTCGGTGTCGTAATTAATGCTGACTTATAATAAATAAAATGTAATGTTATCTGAATGAATGAAATAATGATCCCAAAGCGCGTGCAGGTAAGAACAGACTGAAGCGGTCGAACGTTCGTAACGTGAGAGGCAGCATTGCGCACGTTTATAGCGATAAAAACTTGTTTATACACAAACCCCGATAAGCGTGTAGAATTGAAATAGAACATTTCTGATGTGCACTAAAATAAAATAAAATATAATATTTCATTACATCAGTTGTAAATTTTGGTGCAACTTTACCAAAATGAAAAAAAATATTGCGCCAATGGTTCCCGAGACACAGCCAAATTCCATTTTTTTTCACACAATAAACTTTAATACAGGAAAATGCAGAATTAAATTACGCATCAGGGAAAATTATTCCGAATTTACTTTGACATCGCGTTCGCGTGTTATACTAAAAAAACTACAATCCCTAGCGCAACGAGTACTACGGCGCACACACACAACTTTAAATATAGCTCGCGTTATGGAATTTTCTCGCAATAAATTTCCATTCAGGAGGATACAAAATTAAACTCTGCATCTGGAAGAATTATTCCAAACTTATTGCGACACCGCGTTTGCACTTTTAGTTGCATTTTACGACCTTTTCCTGTAAGAAATATAATTATATTATACTTTTATCTGATAGAGAATCTTCCAATTTTTCATAATCAGCAATTTGTTGGTTGCTATCGCTTTTAGTTTAAGAGATATTAATTTTTGAAAATCGTCGAAAAAAAGTATCAAGCACCCCTCCTTGGCAATTTTATCTTAAGATGTAAAATTTCATCTCTCAGATTTCCGTTTTAACTATCCTATCTGATAGAGTATAGTCCGTAGATTAAGACGCTGCGATCAGATCCTATTTATCTCTTTTACTTTACGAGATATTCGTGATTGAAGAAAATAGCCAAAAATTGAGAAATGTCACTTTTTAGCACTTTTAGTTGCATTTTACGACCTTTTACTGTGAGAAATATAATTATATTATACTTTTATCTGATAGAGAATCTTCCAATCTTTCATAATCAGCAATTTGTTGGTTGCTATCGCTTTTAGTTTAAGAGATATTAATTTTTGAAAATCGTCGAAAAAAAGTATCAAGCACCCCCCCTTGGCAATTTTTTCTTAAGATGTAAAATTTCATCTCTCAGATTTCCGTTTTATCTATCCAATCTGATAGAGTATAGTCCGTAGATTAAGACGCTGCGATCAGATCCTATTTATCACTTTTAGTTTACGAGATATTCGCGATTGAAGAAAATAGTCAAAAATTGAGAAATGTCACTTTTAACACTTTTAGTTGCATTTTGCGACCTTTTACTCTTTGCGACACCGCGTTCGCGTGTTACACTAAAAACTACAATTCCTAGCGCAACGAGTATATGTGTATACACACAACTTTCAATATAACTCGCGTTATGGAATTTTCTCGCAATAAATTTCAATACAGGGAGATACAAAATTACCGGATGTTACAAAAAGAAAACAACTACATTTACCACGCTAAATAATCTAATTAAAACCCGAATAATGGCAGTTTACTTTCCCAAGCGTTTAAAAGTTTTGTTTTAGTTTAAAGTTCAGTACCTGCATATAAAAATGTTACATTATAAATAAACAAAACAGGTTCTTCGATGCGCGATGCGTTCTAAGTACGCTGCTACTAATTTATTTATTGAATGTTGTAAAGCAGTTACCCTAAAATCCACACTTTCCTTAATCCGTACTTTGCAACCAATCTATTTAAAATACTTTATTTTTATTGTACCGAAACCATTTTAGTTTAAGTTACGGTTACCTCCCTTACCTGTCTAACCAATCAGAAATAAGCAATTCTAATCACATGAACTATAGTTTCCTTTAAATATGTACCTAACTTCCCGAGTTCAGTTTGTTTCGCGAACATCACGCTGCCCGATCGTTGTTAAAGTAATATACGGTGTGTTTTATTTCAATTTTATATTTATTTGATATACGGCTAGAGTGAAACTTGAAGCAGATAAAAAAAGTTGTTTGCGTATATGCACATCAATAAATGCGTTGAGGAGTAAATAAAAACAATTCTATTCAGCAACGCGAGAATTTAATCCGAATATATTTGAATCCAGTGGTGCCAACAAGTTACCGCCAAAAGTCTCTAGTTGACAGTTGACAGTGACCTTGACGCGAACTGGCGCGATAAACGTACCAAGCTGGCGTCGGTTGGCGCTGACGTAGCAAAAATGGCTGGTAAGTAGAATCAGAATCGCCCAGGCTCGCGCACGTCGCGTACGTCATTGTCATCACGATGAACGCTAATCAACTTTCCCCTTCAGCGTTCTTTCAGGTGAATTGCACCTATTGCGCGGAGGAAATAAACGGGGTGCGTGTACAATGCTGCGAGTGTGTCGATTTCGACATATGCCTACAGGTAAGATCGCCAATCGAAAACCTCTCGCTTCACTATGTCACGTGACCGCCATTGGTCAACGAAACAGTTGTTTCATTGGTGGGAGATAAACATGTTTGAAGTGGCAATTTCAAAATAACAACAAAACCTTCAAAAAGTTCACATTGTTGCAATACATAATCATTATGTATAATTGTAGTGCTTCAGCAGCGGTGCAGAGATCAGCTCACACAAGAATGATCATTCCTACAGACTTATTGTAAGTTATTTACAAGTAAATATACAAAAACATTTTTAATAAATGTTTAAATAAATTTTAGGAACCTTGTGCTGGCGGTGTGTTTGGCGGACGTGATAATTGGACTGGCCAGGAGGAACTGCAACTGTTGGAAGCCATGGATCTGTGCAGTTTTGGCAGTTGGGAACATGTTAGTAAACTAATTGAAACAAGAACACCTGAAGGTAATTTATAATTATTTTCCTATCTTTGCATTATACTAATATTTATATTGTCATCCATAGAAGTAAAAGAGAAGTACATGTCGCGATATTTTGATGGAAGAATTGGCAGGGCTACTTGGAGTGAAATTGGTGACTGCAGGCCAGTCCTAATCGATCACACATCACCAGACAAAGGTCCACTTGCGCCTGAAATTACATCACGCTTGCCACCAATTGATGCAACGCCCGAGGAAGCCGCCCAGGTGGGCTATGTCGCGCATCGAGATGATTTCGAACGCGAGTACGACATCGAAGCGGAACGTTTGGTGTTCATGCTGCAGTTGAAGATGAACGAGGACACTGAGATGGAAATCGCGTTGAAACTGGCTCAGGTCGATATGTATACGCGCCGGTTGCGTGAACGCAATCGACGGAAACGACACGTTCGAGATTATCAACTTGTGGCGAAGTTTAACGCGGAAGAGAAGAATAAAGACCAACCATCTGATTTAACAACGGATCAAAAGTATGCAGCCTAATTTTTATATCAAATTTTGATTAGTAAACTAATAATTTGTTGTTTTGTAGAGAATTTCGATACAAGATGAGAGTTTATAGCCAATTCTTCACATCAGGAGAGCATCAAAGACTAATAGAAAACATAGAAAAGGAGAGGGAATTGAGACACAGACTGGCCGAATTGCTGAAGTATCGAAGTCTTGGATTAACAACACAGGACGAGATTGTTCACTATGAGCAACACGCCGCGTTCCAGCAGGAACAACACGTCCACCATCGGAAAACTGTAAGTTTCGTTTCATTCTATACTCCCGATTTGCAATAGTACAACTTTAGTACAACGTTTGTGTGCAGGCGAATATGAACAGACACAGATTGTATCAGTTTGCATTTCACTTAGGGCAGCAGTGGCTTCAGAAGCATAGAGGAGCACCACTCAGAAAACGGGTAAGAATCGCACGCCGCAGACACGCACACACTCAAAACACACGAATAATCAGAGTTTATTGATGACAAGTTTCACTACTATCAATGCATGCAAATACTGAAGTTATATTTATCGCCCTGTGTGATTGTAGAAACGGCGAAGCAAACCGAAGTTCAATCGACGAAAGGTCTGCATTGCTGCACGTCGACGCGCCCGCCAGCAGCAGCAATTGCAGCTGCAGCCAGCTGGATAGTTCAAAATTGCCGCCCATTACCACCCTTCCCAAGGCTTACTTACTCTCACATACTGAATTACAGGTATTTGCAAAAACAATAAAAATAACATGATTTTTATAACTTTTAATTGAATTTTTCTAGTTTTGCACGATTTTATGCCTCCTACCAGCCCACTATCGAACGTTAAAGTGCAGCATTATACTTGTAAGTATTTCTATCATCTAATATTTGCAAAATTAAATCAACAGAAACGTTTTTTAGGATAATATTAACTCGAATGGTAAACGAAGAAAATTAGACGAGTCCGTGTGCAATGGCAACGAACTGAAGCTGAAAATCAACGAACCGCCGACGATCAAAGATGTGATTACAGAGTATCTGCGCGTCTGCGGATGGTTACCGACGTGTCCAGTCGATTAAAATTATCAGGAAATAATTTGTTTATTCATTGTGGGACTCTGGTCAGATTTTTGGTGGAAGATTGGGAGAGGGATATACCAAAAAATATGTTATAAGTAAACTGTTTTACTTAAGCGTTGGTTGTGAGCACCAGCACGACGTCTTGAAACTAAACGAGAGGCGATTATACAAAAAATTATGTTCAAAGCTGAAATGTTTGTGCACGCGCTTTTGCATTTATGCGAATCTAGCATTCACGTACATCTCAGGCGTCTGTCTGCGCCACTTTAACTGATGCATCTACTCTCATTGTATATATTATGTTGTTAAATTTAAGTTATTGTGATATATTAAAAGATGCGATTAGGAAATGAAGTTTTGTGGCTGGTGATTTTAGTTTTATTGAATTGCAGAAGTAAAATGAGTGAAAAACTTACGATTTTAGCAGGTTAGTTACTGCAGGTATCTGCTCCAACACCTTTCGGTATCCTCTATTAGTCCTTGGTGGCGTGATCCTCTTCTGATGTAAAAATTTCACAGTAAACTTCGAAATAACTGAATATTCTACACAAATATTGATTTTTCTTTAATTGTTTGAGTTTTATTGTTAATTCCGTTGTGTATTTTTAATAAACTGAACAAAATCACAAATAAACTAATAAAAATCACCGCGTGCTGCCGCATGTACGTCCGTTCACACCGGCGACTTTGTTTATACTGATTTGCACTTGAGGCAAAACAAGATTAGAGGACGTTTAAAAGAGATTGCTGAAAGATATTTTATTGTATGCAACCAGCATTACATAATAAATTGAAGAAAATATTAAAGTTTCAAATAAAATTTAACATAAATTCAATATTATTCAATAATTTAATACAGAATTATACAAAATAATTTATAATTTACACAAATTTATTAAAAAATATATAAAGAGTTTCCTGAAACACATTTTGTTGTATGCAACTCAAAAAGTTTGTCACACGGGCTCGTCCGGGATTTGAACCCGGGACCTCTCGCACCCGAAGCGAGAATCATACCCCTAGACCAACGAGCCGTTGCATGGACTAAGTATATATAAGCCTGAAAATGCCTGCATCATATTCAACATTTATTTTTACAATTATTACTATTCTCAACAACATTTATAAATTATATTCATTATACCACACTCAATTCACTAAAAAACAACTACCACGAGTCAAATAACACTAATAAAATAATAAAACTGATTAATTCGCAATTAATATTATCAATGCCCGGCGTCCATTTTAATTTTCCGTAAGTTTTCATTAAACAATTATCACGCGCATCGATTTCACACCTACGTACAAACAAAAACACCAACACACACAACCCACATGAATTAATCACTCCAAGCGCAAATTAAACGTTAGTTTTTTTTCATATTAACGTAATTGCTCAGATTGGCAGGTGCTCAACCAACAAAACAAAATCTAACGGTGAAAAACACCTAGACGAGAGCTGCGTATGAAACATGTTGGTACTTATTATGTTTTCTTAACATATTTGTGTCTATTAATAGAAATTAGGAAACGACAGACTGCGCGGCGTGGAAATCGGCGTGACGTTGAAACAATTTGCGCGCATTATATACTTGTGGGTTTAATACGGCATTATTGTTACAAAACGCGTCGAGGTGACACCAAGAGAGAGTCGGCTTTCATCCCGCATGAAAATCAATGTCACATTGTTTGAAATTTGTTCATCAAGCGATAAATTTCGAAAAACACGACAAAATGTTGAAGAATTCGTAAAATATGTGGAATCCATGGAATTTCTAAGCTCGAGGGTCATGAATGACCAAATCTATCCAACGGGTTAGAGCAGCTTTCAATCGAATGCCGAATGTTTTTCTTTTCTATCTCCCCATTACATTCCGATGAGTGCGTGGTGAAGGCGCGCTGGGCGCACCTGACTCAACTTAAGTCAGAGCGAGGAAGACCGCGTCACACGCGCCTGAACGTCAGAAACTCAGAAATCCGTTATGTAGCCGCCGAAGCCGCCATCGGCGTGTGCTTCTTGCCGCAGTCATCCGCAAGTGTTCTTGCGCGCCGCTAGCGCACGGCCATCGCGTACAATATTCCACTACGCATTGACTTAAGTTGACTTAAGTCAAATCAAACAAGTTATCTATTCAATTCAACTAATAAAACATAAAAAATTAAAATTTTTATAAAAATATTTTGTTTAAAATTAAAATAAGTTAATAAAAAGTGACTTAAGTCTTTTACTTAACTTCTGGTGTGCATCATCGTGAGCGTCGGCGCTGACGTTGACCCAATTACCTCGTGAACGTGCAACTGAGCCAACGTTCTGAAAATATTTCACATCCAACTAAATATTTTACGGTTTAAAAGAAAACAAAGAAAAGTTTATAGTGACTTAAGTGTTTTAGTGACTTCCAATAGTGAAGTGAGGATTATTGTGTACAGTGTATCACACACACAACATTTGGATTATATTTTTATTATCAGGATTGGATAATTACAAATACAATTGGAATTTGAAAATCGCCGTGCAGGTTCAATGCTAACATCTCTTCGGCGCGATGCGATGTGATTGACCTCCAATCGAGAAATGGCAGCCATCGCGACCGTGCGTCGATCGCCGATCGCCGGCGTCTTCTTCGCGTGCATATTTGCCACGCTCATTAACGCCAACCTAGGTAAATTTAAATATTTCTAATCTTATATTAAGTTATACTAAACTACTGCTGACATAACCTAATTTTACATCTCTCGGTGCTTAAATTGCAAGCAATTAAAATCGTTGAATCGACTAACTAGATTTCACGCTCTTATTAATAATTTGGTAGGATTTTCATATTAAATTCTGTCGCATGTGATATTTACGTGATTTTTTAAAAATATATTAATTTTTCGTTATAGTGTTACAGTTTCTCTGTGTAACGACGAAAAATATTTTCATTTCTAGCAATTTTTACTAAAATAATTAAATTTTTAATCAATTTACAAAAAATTGGTTATGTTTTGTTGTGTACCCTATGTATTGAGTTGCGGTACAAGTTCTGAACATAGCATTTTATTCTATTCACAATATTGTAGTAATTTTCGTCCAACTAGTCGTTTTCTTGTAATATTTGCATTCACCGTTCGCATTGATGCATTTTTTTCATCCACTGCGTCCCGTTTTCATTCCGCAGTTTGCGTAAGATAATAATAGCCGCTTTAAATAAAAGCAAACAAACAGCGAAGATCCGGCGTGCAGCTACCCTTAATATACAAATGGTTTCGCGTGTGCGCCGCGCGCGTTTTTCGATTGTTTGCTCGCGGTCGTGCGGCGAAAGAAGCAGAAAACGCAAAGAAAAGAGAATAGAAAGTTTGCAATATCCGTGTGCTCAGCGCGCACGTCGAATCCGCGTCGAACAAAACAATATGTACTTTAAACTAAAATCGCAACAACACAATGCCACAACACAACAGCGACATAAAGAAGAAGACAGAAGGCGCAGCAGAAGAAAAAACTACGCTACTGCGGGCGCGGTGGTTATTCCAATACATGTATAAGATCTTAAACTCAACTCAGACGCGTGCATGCAAAGTAAAGTATGAAGTACGAAATGCTTTTGTCGGCGGGCGAGTCGAGAGCAACACAAGAAAAAAGTCGGCGAGCGGCAAAAAAGGCACGATGACAAATTACTTGTAGTTACATCGTAGCGCAGCGCTCACTTTTCTTAGTTTCGAGCGTTATTATTCAGAGTCGCGTGCGGAGAATGATTCATAGGACGCTTTTAGGACTTTGTTGTATTATTATTGTCTTATTAAATCTCTCTTTGTGGCGAGCACATTCTATTTATAGTATTTTCCTTTGAAACTAGGTTATCTGTAGGTCTGCAACTGTCAAAATCAAAAAATGACATTTGACATCAATATAATCTCATTTTACGTAATCAATGACACATTCCGGATGTACGCTAAAAGTAAAAGTCTCTTGTGACAAATGAAACGTAAAATACGCGATTGTGAGTCATAATTTGAAAGAGAAACTTCATTATCAACGAAATAAAAAAATTACAATGTCAAATGTGTTATGAGGGTTAATATCAAATTTAACGCACTGAATTTGTTTTGAGGTTAAAAGTGACAGTCGACAGTGTTGCCAATATACCTAAAATGATTTTATGATTTAGAATCTAGATCTATGCGATTGAGAAAGTTTTGTTTGCAGATCGGTAAATGTCACAGTTTCGCTCAGTGTTTGCATACTCCAGAACTCTAGATTCCGCCGATTTGCTTTCGACTGTCAAGTGAAGTCTTCCTCCTAATTGGAAGCGATTTCAATGGGCATTTGCATCTGCCAATAATGCACATTTGCATTTCGATTGTTTCAATTGCGTTGCAATCTTCACTTCCGGTGAGATTTACGGTGACCATGACAGCTGCGCCATCACAGCTGTCAAAATATTGATGTCAGCGTTTTACTCCTGCAATATTTGGTTATGGAATGCAATTCGATGAAATTTTGTTGTGAAATTTTTACACCGTGTGCGTCACGGCGAATTAGTTTGGCGGAGCGCTTTCGAGGCGGCGAATGGCGGCGCATAATGAACGTTATTTCCCCGACGATAAATTGATGTGCAGCATTGTTGTACGCTTGGTTTCGTTCGAAGATTAGAAGAAAGTCGGTTACTTTACGGATTTTACATGCGATGCACATTGTACAGGCTTTTTCATTATTATTAGCATTAATAAATTTATGATAAAATATAAAATTTTGTTACCGCCAAAAGTTTAACCTCAAAATGACTGAATTACAGTCGAAAACATTTTGTACGCGTATTGTTAGTAAATGCTTTTGTACTCACCTACAATATGAATTGTTGCTGGTTATTGTTGATACACTAATCACCACATGTGGGCGCTAATTGTTATGTGTTGTGAAAGTCAATTTCACTTGTTTTAATCGCGTACAATAAGCAATTTTAGGTTATGTTGGTGTAAATTGACAGTTGACAATTTCAATAATATTCAACAAGAGTAAAATATGTTTTAATAGAAAAACTGTGATGAATAATTAATATTATTGAATATTTTAATGAGGCGTGCATTTAATTTTGTTTGCTTTGTGTTTGGAGTGCATCTCTCGTTGTCTATTGTCAAGAGGAGCGTGGAATATGTGCCGCGTCGAGCCACACTTTATGAAAACCGAACAAATTGCACACAATTTTCGCCCGAATGTATTATTTACGCGTGCGCATTTTTGCCTTTTATAATTCGATGATTCGCTTCGACCCAATTGGCGTGCACAAAACCACGAATTGAATATTTAATCAAACAGCGAAAACGCACAACACATATTAATATTTCAAACAAATTTCGAAATGTAACTTTATAATTGCCTAAATAAACACAATTACCCCAAACAGCGCAATAATAATAATAACAATAATAATACATTTTATTTGAGTACACAAATGTAGCATTACAAATAGGTTATGTTGTAATAAACGTATGCAACCAGGTATACGCTGGTGAATAAATTGCGCAAATAGTTGAAATAAAATAGAAAAAGCGGAAATCCCGTCTCGCGATTGAAGACGCACGGCGGTTTTAATTAAAACATAACCGTACTTGTGGCGCTCGCGCGCACAGTAATTACTTTTTAATCCTGCTCGAGCGGCAGGAAGAGGAAAAAAGGCGCACAATTTTACTTAATTTATCTGTGCGTGTGCTACCGGTATCAAATTAAATTAAATCAACTTTGCTCGCAGGTGGACGTGGCCGTGGAATAGCGGAAAGACGTTATTTCCTTTTGCCTTTTACTAAAAATACACGAAAAAAAAAATCCCAACATCACACAGCGGCATGAAGAATGGAAGAAATGAAAACGCGCGCGGACAAAAAAATACAAGCGAGCAGAGAAGTGAACGTGAAGCGTACTGCCACGAGATGTACAATGTAATGTTTCCATACTGCGGGCAAGAAATATATGAAAGAAAAATAGAAAATCGTGAAAAACCGCGCCGGTTGCACCTGGGCGGAGATTCAACGGATTGCTAACGTGATTATATTCCATAATTCGCCATCGCTTTACACCGCGCGTCGAATAATAATTAATTTCAGCGTTATTAATCGGGCAATCTTGATTAGCAAAGATTAATTACATTGCGAGCTTATTATATTACCGATATACTCGATGTAAATATGAAAAATGTCCATTTTGTGCGCTAGTGGTGAAAATTCGTAATTTCTCAAACAAATTAATACGAGTAAAAGTAATTAAAACGTTTTCGTTTCGCCAGCGATCATGCTCAACGAACCGACTTTGAATTTAATCAGACACAATGCACTGCGCGCCGCCATTGAATAGATAAACCACAATGAAGAAAGCCACTCGCCGAGAGTGTGGCATGCTTCAGGAATCACGCGCCGCGCTGGAAACATACAAGACTTACATACTCATTACGCACTTAAGTCGGAATAACCGTTAAGAAAAAAATTACGCTTCGGACATCTGTCGATTTCGGACGCCATGGACACCTCCCGACCGGAAGTCGCATTAAACGCCATCTGGCGGTGCAAAGTGCTATTTTACCTAAGCAGCCAGGAAAAGTAATTAAAAGTGATTGCTACCGTATTCAAAATGGCGTCGATCGTGCGCAATGGTTAAACACAATAAATAATTACACCATCTGGTGATAACAATCGGCGAAGGCAACAATTGAATGCATTTTATTGTATAATTATTGCATTGTTTTGCGATTGTGATTGTATCACAAGTTTATAAAATAAAACAAAAAATTTCACAGCGCGGCGCAACAACTGTAACTCGTGCGGTTTAATTTTTTCATCGTTTCATCAATGCGCGAAGAATTTTATTTGCAACACGTGCAAATATGCAGATATTTTCCAGCAGACAATGAGGCAATAATAATCGGAAATAACAGTGTTTAAGCGCAAGAAAATGACGTGGAAAGAAAAACAGTAATTGTATTCATACGATGATCCATTTTACACAATGGAAAATTATCTTTAAGCATTATTAGCGGCTGAAAACTTAGGTTATGTAATGGTAAAATCTCATAACCTAAAAGTTAGGTTATGTATTAATCAAATATCATTTTTCTTATGTTGTTTTAATAAAAATATCATAACCAAACTTTTGTCCAAACAAATAAAATATTCGTGTAATGTTGATAATTGTAATAAATTATGTATTTATATATCAAGAAATGCGCAAAACGACGTACCGTTGCTAATTGTTTAATATTCCGCGTGTGGCAGGTAGGCCGTTGCAAATGTTTATAATTATCATAGCGAACGGAATCCGCCGCGCAGCGGTCCCGCGTATAACTTACACAGTTTACGCGCGTTACGCCCAAGCGCCGACGCACCTAACCTCCAACTTTAAGCTATTTAATCTGTATGTATATACGAGTAAATTCGAACGGAACTCGAATACGGATCAACGGATGACTGCAAACGATCGATACGAAAGTTGTAATTAAAATTCCGTTTTATTTGTTTCCACAATACAACAATACGAATAAAATATTGTTGCATGTTGAATCGTTTACAGCTAAATCTAATTAAATTTCTAATTATTCTTAATTAATGTGACACTTTAGTAATGTTTAGAAATTTTTATGAAATGTTCCAAAACAATAGACGGTAGTGTGTCGTCAGTTCATTGTTTGTAAAACGTTACAAGTGATATTGCGGTAGGTTTTTTTTTCGACGTTAACCTAAGTTTAACACGTCGGCCATTTTGTTTCGCATGCATGATGTGGAGTCTTATCGAAATTGGATTTATGCAGGCGTGCACAGGTGCATCAGCAGCATCATCCTGCGAGTTTGTAGCGGATGCAGGAGCAAGCCAACGCGCCGGTAACTCGGTAACCTTTTGACATAATTAATTTCGACGCGGTCGGCGTACGATGCGGGCAACGGCACTCAACGACGCGAGGCGTGCCGAAGGTATCGCCGCATTACACAAGAGCAAGAGTTGCAGGAAGCATACACCTTTGAATGACCTAGAAACCATGAGAATTTTCGTGCGTTTTGTATTTCACTCAAACTCTAACTAAAAATTTTTTAAAATGGCGACTGGGAAATTTTAATTTCACACACTTCTGTCGTCCCGGTATGAAAACGAAACGAGTTGTATCAAGTGTAATGTTGAGTTGTAACAACAAGTGTCTTGTCTTGTGATGACCACGACTTTGCTCACGTGTACCGTTATTATGAGCTCGCATTGTGTGTGGAATTCGTGTGTACACACAAGATGTTTTTGTTTGCCTGTGTGCGCTCGAGTATCCGTTATGTTATGCCCGCGGGCAATGTGTACGCATGCGAGCAAAGGAGAGACCTTAATCATACGCTTGTCCACCTCACTTCACAAGCCCCAAGAAGACCGGAATGCTATCCGAAATTCATATTACCTAACAAACAACAAACAACTTGTCGACAAATTTTTTTCTTCTTCGTTTTACAGGTCTTGAAGATTTGTATTCAAATTCGTACATTTCGCCAAACTCGGCAAAGAATGCCCCACACATAACACCAAATCAAGTAGAATCAACTGTTATTTCTGAGCAAGTGGATGATGATCATTCAAGGGTTGTACGTTCAGCTAATCCCATCCTGGTTAAGTCCTATGATGACCTGAACCATTTTAAGAATCTTGCTGAAAATATTGATACCAATGATGTGGAGCAGTCTGGAAGGGTTGGTAAATTGATTCATCCTTCAAGGACAACGAAGCATGATGGGTTGAGTTTCACGCAGACGCTGATCGACGAAGGCAAGTTGTCGGGGGAAGGCTCTGGGGCTCCACAGGCGAGGCAACTGTTGGAGCCCCACAGCGATCAGACTGCGACGACGGAAGCGACGAAGGTGTCTGCTACCGTCTTCAAGCAAGCACCGGCGGACCGACCGCGACAGTCCAACCCTGACATTCAGGACATCATCACTGGAATCGTCAAGCTTCTCAATGGCAATGTTAATGTACAAGCCAACACTGCGCCGTCGGTGGGTGGTAGACCATTGAGACCATTGAGTACTAGGATTAACAATCGAGGTCCACCGAGGATTACAGATGTGCCAGCTTTACCTCCAGACTTTGATGTTCCCTCGCCTCCATTACCACCCCTCCACCGACTAATCAGAAACCACCACCTGTTACAATTGGGCCAATGAGGATGCCAACACCGTATCCGTTTGATTTACCACCGCCGGTAAACCAGAATACGTCCCCTGCAAGACCTATAAATCACAATGGTCCAAATGGTCCTAATCAAAATCAGAATACAAAAAGACCGGGATTATATAGACCTGTAACTATTCCACCATGGAGTCGTCCACCTTATAGGAGACCTTTCCCACCTAGACGACCCACACCTATTCCTCCGTACCAACCTAAACCGGAAGAGACCATCAGTTTAACCAGTGAACGACCTGGGGAAGATATTCTCACTTTAGACTTAGGATCAGAAATGATTTCTTCGTTTGAAGAGCACAAAGATTCTAATGTGGGTATAACCACACCAATGCCAACTGCTAGTGAACCTAGTGAACCCAATGAACCTTTAGAGGATAACTCCGAGAAAGAGTTTGAGAAAAACAAGGAGAAATCATCTTCCAAAATGGAAAAACATAGTAAAACACATTCCACTGATCAAACTACGACAGAGACAATCACAGAATCTGAATCAACTCTTGTGGAAGACAAACCCTCTACAACCAATGAAGTGGAACCGTCTAGTGTACACACCAATGAGGTTTACTTAACTGAGACTTCATTAAATCTATCAAATTCATCTACAATTGAAGAAATCTCAAATAAAATCGAAAACGAAACAATCCTTCTTCCATCATTGGTAGAATCTTCGATTGAAGATGTCTCTTCAAAGGTTTCTACCACCAGTGAACCCACGGAAGCGCTGCCTACCAGTTATGCTTCCATTATGAGTTCCACAGCTAGTCCTGTAACATCTACACAGAGTGTGGCAGAAAGACTGAATATGACAAGCACTTCTCAACCAAAGACCGAGAATAGCACAGGTCAAGTAGATAACCAGCAGAGTTTTCCCTATTACCCTTATCGCCCACGACCTGGAATTGTTCTGGATGATACTGAATACAAACCAGGTGGAGTAAATCGTCCTCCAATTTTAACTGCCCGACCCCCGATTGGTCAAATTGGAGAGATATTTGATGTTACCGTTAGCGCAATCCAAGGTCCAGGAGGTAGTGGTGGGCATGGAGGACATGGAAAACCATACGTCATTCCAGGTATCTTATTTATATTAATTTAAAGTTGATTGTGTTAAATAAAATTTTGGTTTTAGTGGACATAGAAAATATTCACGGTTCCAGACCACATGGGGGTCATCATGGTTTAGGAGATGTCATCACATCACCCGTAGGCGATGAAGGATTTGTATCTATTGATGGCAAAAGAACATATTTGAATCTATTTGGAGATCAGACTGATCCTCCAGTTGATGTACCCGCTGGTTCTTCCTTGATTTCCCCAACCCCGACGAAGTCTCATGTTATTAAAGCAACAGGGTATGCTGAGGTAGAAAAGACGAAAGTAGAAAACCCAGTTGGGTCCAATGGAGGTCCGAATGGTTTGAAACCTACACCAAGGAGACCCCTGTATGGAAAACGACCCGTTCAACCACCAGTCAGGTAGGATTACCAACACAATTTTTTTTTAGGGAAAAGATTTGTAATTTTGACCCTTTCAGGATTGATACCTGTATAGTAGGAGATGACTCCACCTGTGATGCTTCCCAATACGAATACTGTATGACCGAAGCAGGTGTGAGTTCCTGTCACTGTCGGCCAGGTCATGCAAGGCGCAAACACCGCGAGCCATGTCGAAAGGTTGTCTCCCTATTGATATCATTAAGGGTTGACCGCCTGTATGACAGAAGAGTCGCGTGGTCCCACGAGTTGGCAAACAAGGGCGCAGAGGTGTACCAACAGTTGTCCTATGAAGCTGAACGAGCGGTACGTCCACCATCTTGTATGTAAACCCAAATAATCGTTATTTTTATTACATAGTTGGATTCTGCAATGTCAATGACACCCTTCAGTGACGAATTTCTTGGTGCACGTGTAAACAATGTTTATGAAGGAGACAGATCCCAGGGACAAGCGGGTGTCTTCGTGAATCTGACACTTCAAATCGAAGAAAACTCCGAGACTGCACGTCAAAACGTCAAAGGAGATATTCAGAGACACCTTCTAGGGGTAATACAAAGAAGAAGCAATAACATTGGGAACAGTGCCCTTTGGGTAGACAGTCCTCCCGGATCAGTTTCAATGTTACAAGGTATGTCAAATAACACCCTGTAGAAAAAACCTAACTATTCAAAAATTTTACATTGATCAGATGTCGATGAATGCTCAGCAGTCGAATTAAACGACTGCCATCAATGGGCAAAATGTGTCAATACCTTCGGTGGGTTTAAATGCATCTGCAACGAAGGCTACCGAGACCTATGGTCAGATAACAAACACCGAGCTGGTAGACAATGTGAACAATGCTCACCAGCTCACTGCAACAATCGAGGAGAATGCAAATACGAAAATGGGCAAGAGGTTTGCGTGTAAGTAACCCTCCATACTTCAGGTCAACCGGATTTTAATGCTGATGGTTTTAGATGCTCTGGAAATTACTATGGAGCTCAATGTGAACTTGATGGTGAGGTGCTGGGAGTCGCCATTGGTGCCAGCGTTGCTGCTGTAATCATCATCGGGTTGACTTTGGTGTGTCTAGTCATGTGGAGGTACCTAAATCACAACCTGATGTTGTTCAGATGAAAATAACAAAAAATCAATTTCAGTCGTCGTTGGAATCGTGAGCAGAAAGCAGCAATGGGCAGCCCCGTCTTTGGGTACATGGCAACCGCAAGCAATTCAGTAAAAACCCCCGTGGTAGGTGGTCCACCATACCAGCTGACTCTAGAAGACCGTCTAAGATGGGCCCAGATCGCCGACGCCATGGCCCAGACAAATCACTACGCTGTAAGTCAATTATTTACAACTAAAAACCTCAAAAACTAAAAAAAATTCTTATAGCCTGAACCAGTCCACACAACAACACGCCCCTCATCAGCCATGTTTGGCTACCCTAGTTTATCACTAGCAGGAACACTCCCACATGGTAACCTCCACGGGACCTTACCACCCATCCCCTTACCACGTCTTACTATACCAACATCCCTCGCGGGAAGAGCCGCCAGTGTCCATGGCATGCGCCCACTGGACAACTCCAGCTCCAGTGAGGAGGAGGACAAGGCCGACCTCCTCGGTAGGAATTTCCACGTGCCACGTCCGAAGAGTCGCAGCAATGCCTCCATAGCCGTACGTACACCTAAACACACAAACGCATCACATTAATAATCGATACCGTGAATTATTGCTTGCAGAATCAGAGCGGAATCTACTACGACGTCGATTACGATCAGAACGATATCTACAAACACCCCTCGGGCAACATACCGATGAGCACGTACACGGCCGGCAGACATCCGTTCTATCGCAACTAGCGTCCCCCCCACTCGAGTCAAACATTACTTACCGCTAATCGTGTTAATTGCGGCCGCGTTAATTAATTGCACGCCGACAGCATCACCTCACCTCATCATTCATGCTCATCGCCAAAGTTATTCATTCATCACACATCACAGATTTTATTTTAGATACGATACACACACTGGTGCAGTTGTACATTTTAATCATAATAACATTTCGGCTCAATTTTACTCCGAATACAATACTATTACTGTATATAAATATATAAATATATTATGCAAACGTTACGAGGAGTTTTAACACGTGACTTGATGAAAAGAAGAAAAAACGATATAAGTTATTTTTTATACGTATATAAATTATGTATTGTTAAGTTATCCTAGTTATATGATAAGTATTATATTAAACTGAACTGTTAAAAAATTATTTTGTTTTTATTTTTCCATTCCCATGAAGAATTTATGTCTAAACGGATTACAATTGAGATTATGATTATTTTGATGGTCGTAACCTCACTTATAGAATTATAATTTTTACCTAAAAATTAAAATGTTTAAATAATGGTCATCGAACCATACTTTAATTAATATTTACTTAGTCTGATGTTTAATATTTGCTAATTTATTAATTTCAACCGTTAAACCGACAAAATTTCTTAAAATTTGCCAAAAATACGAATTCCTTATTCCATCTTCTGGTATAAATAGTTCTACACCACAGCTAGAAGTCATTCGTCGCCAAAATGTCCACGATTCAACTAAAGTTATCATCACTATTGATTTTTGTGATTCTAAGCTTGGAATTGCAGTTATCCACCGCGCAGTATGACATTTTCGATATGGGCTTAGATAACCCGCTGAATTTAATCTGGAAAAACCGTCAAACAGGTACGTACCATCTTATTATCATTCAATTTAATAGAAATTATAATGTTTAGGACATAATCACGATATGAGTACCCGAATAAATTGTCCAACATATGACAATAACAATCGTACTGGTACATGCATGACATCAACTTCCTGCAAGTTCCAAGGAGGTATATCCATCGGGAGAAGCACATGTCGCCTGTGGAACACCTGCTGTGTTTGTAAGTCTTAGAATCTCCCCGAAATACTAATCACAGATAATCTACATTTCAGTTGAAATAACCTCGAATCAAACCTCGAATTCCCGCGTGACATATTTTGTCAACCCGCCGAACCCACGCACCAGAACCCAACCACACCATGTGCATATTCAACTGCTTCAAGATGTCTGCCAACTACGTGTGGACATTATAAGCATGAGACTTGCACCACCGCTGGTAGAACCCGCGATGCCAGCTGGAGTTACCAGCACTTGTAAAGATGAATACCTTCAGATAGATCCAATGACTTCTGATAATACCCTACCAGCATTTTGCGGGACACAGAATAATCAACATTGTAGGTCACCTTCAAGTTAAAAACAACATAAAATAGAATTTAATACTACGTATGTGTTTGTCTAGTCTATGTGCATTTGGATCAACATAATCACTGGTCCACTTTCACCCTATCCATTTTCTTGGACCGACCTGCAGCGGCAACCTCCGATGCCACGTGGGACATCAAAATCACGCAACTTGAGTGTCCCAGATATAGAGGAACACATGATAAACAAGCAAAAACAGATCGCAATCAACTTGCGAATGATTTTTATCTGTTAGCACCTAGAAATTGCTTGCAATACTTTACTGAACCTAGAGGTGAGGTTTATAACTTTGGGTTTGTCCCAACAACAATGAGCACTTTGACCACAAATCAAGATTATGCGATTTGTTTCAAACGCCAGCCGGGATCTTGCGGAATATCGTAAGTTACAAAGAGTATAATAAGTATCACATGGCTAAAACCCGTGACTAAAGTACTTTAGCCACTGCCGTGTTTAAAGTACAACTTTTTGTGTTTCAAAACCGTAAAATAAATAATTAAATTATCTACAGGTTCAAAGTGAATCATTTTTTTCTACGATCGAAAGCACCATGCGATGAGGAGTATATTTACATACCAGAAGCGGTAGATACAGAAAAGATATGTGATGAAATTCCAGCGATGCCAGTTACTACTTTAGAATGTAAGTAATGTGAAATGTTTATAATAATTAATAATTTTATAAAATTTACTTCTTTAGCGATACATCCAGGACCACTTTACATCCATTTTCATTCAGATTCCGTGGTGGAAACACCCACAGGACAACACGGATTTCATTTTGAGTATAATAATGTACGTTGTCAGAACAAAAAAAATCTGTAAACTTCTTGCAAGTAGTTGAATAATGTAAGCTTATTTAAAAAATAAAACCATGTCAGATTTCATTTCAAACAGATATGTAGTTAGCACTTGAGATTGTAAAAGTACGCACCGAAAGTCCAAAACTAATCCGGTTAGACAAACAAACGCGCAAATGTTTAGTTTGAATGTCCTTACACTTGAAATGCACGCAATCCCGCACCAAGTTCAATACCATTAGGAAATAATTAAGTAATAACCATAAATACCACCACCACACACGAGATTCGCGCAATAAAATTGCGATTTTATACAGCTAATAGTATTTTTTATGTGCGTCTAATAAACGCGCCGCTGTATGTGTTTAAATAGTCATATTTGACGGAGATTCGGGGCGAGCTGTTTGCTCACCGTATCGAAATGACGAAAATCAACCGTTAAAGGGACACTAATTGTTTTCTTTTCACTTTAAACGCGACCGGTACAGTTATGTTGTTTGCCGCCGACATCGTTGTTGGAAGAGATGTCACCGCGATGTAAATTTACTTTGCTCTCCCTGCCACAACGCCAGAAAACCGAAAAAATCACGCCGCTATAAAACCATCCCAAACGCAATGGACACCTTCACATCTAAGTTTAGTTTCGTTGAGATATTTTTATTTCTGCGCGGTAAAGAAGAAAAAATGATAGCGTTTACCAAATGGGTATTACTAGTGCTTGTGGGTGTGCAGATGTCCCTGGGTCAAGATCTCACCGACTATGACCTGGGTTTCGATAATCCGTTGTTTAATATTTGGAATGGAAACAGAAGTACCCGCTTGATTTTTATTGAAGAAAATAGAAATTATACTTGATTATTGCAGATACCATTGTTCCGGATACCCGAAGACCTTGTACAGTTACTGGGGCCTCAGCTGGGAACCGTGATGGTACCTGTTTGAATCCAGCGGCTTGTCGCTTCCAACGTGGAAGGGCAGAAGGTCGTGGTACCTGCAGTATATGGAATACCTGTTGTGTTTGTAAGTTGTTCCCTGGTTAAAACCAATTTGATCCCTGAATATGTTTCTCTTCTGTGATAGTTGAAAAAGCAGCCAATCAAACAACCGACGCTCGAGTGACTTACTTCGTATCAACACCGGGATCTCGAGACTTGCCCCAGGCGCAGAAAATGTACGTCCGCTTGGCCAATAGGAATGTCTGTCAAATGCGGGTGGATATCATCAGCATGAATCTAGCTTTACCAGATCTAGACGCGGCGGGTACTGCGCAAACATGCACCAAGGACTATCTAAGAGTAGATCCCAACCCTGTATCCAACCCAATCCCACTTATTTGTGGACTGAACGCAAACACGCATTGTAAGTCACCTTCAATCAACAGATATTGAATACTTTATTATTGATATTCTTTCAGTTTATGTGCATCTGGATAGAACCCATATTTCCAACAATGGAATTATCCTCTCGGTGAATCTGAACACAGAAGAGACAACCGAACCCAGTTGGAACATCAAAGTGACCCAGTTGGAGTGCCCCGGCACCAAGAACCTCTTGCAACACCACAAAGACAATCGTAATCAAGCTGTGAGTGACTTCAGCTTGTTAGGTAACAGAATCTCATGGTTATCATCTTGGAATCAAGTTAAAAGTGATTATTTTCAGCTCCTGCCAGATGTCTGCAGTACTTTACCGAACCAAGTGGCAGGTTCTTCAATTTTGGTTACACGGCAGATACTACCACAACAATGACGACCAATCAAAATTACGCGGTGTGTTTCAAGGCCATTGACGGCTCTTGCGGTGTCAGGTAAATAATTCCCCAATGCGCATGCGCGTCTGACTTTATTATTATAAAAACATGATTATTTTAAGTTTGACGCCAAGTTTTTTGAACCTGCGACCGACCACAGATGCTACCTGTATTGCTGAAGCCATCATCATTCCGGAAGGTACCGCCAAAGCCAGAATCTGTGGAACAGTTGATGCTGGTACCACGTTCATATCTAAACACCCAGGACCACTTTACGTCCATGTCTATTCTGAGTCTGTTGTGGCTGCAATCACCGCTACAACGCCATATGGTTTCAACATTGAGTACAGCAATAGCGTGGCATGTCCTTAAATGATTTTTCGTCCCCGCCGATATTTATTTCCACTATTTATTTATTCGTGTCAAAAATTAAAACAATAAACGTGAAAACAAAGATTGAATCGTGTATTGAGTCGTCACACGCGTTTTGACTGGCAGCCGGATGGTCGATTGTCGTCGGATTTCCAATATCCTATCTGTCAAGTTGTTCCGTTGGCGTGCTATTATTCCACGAGCGCCATCTCGATTAGCGAAACTGTACCTGAGTATCAAAGTGCGTTGTCATGACAACCATGTCCTTTCAACGTAAATTGAATAAAACTCTCATCGCAAAATTAACCGCAAGCGTAGAAAATAATTATTACCAGTGTAGATATTGCTGTTTTATTGCTGGTGGTGTTTTTTGCCAAAGTCGACATATTGATTTTCGGCCGTTAAATAATGATAGTGGTGCGCTCGCGCTGACTCCCCCGCATCCGCCGCCATCTCGTGCGCTACTAAATAATTCCTGATTGAACTCGCTCTCGAAACCCCCAACACCCTTATCCCCGAGATGTGCATGTACTCAAAACACAACAAGCGGGGACCATTGTGGCCGACAAAAAGTTCTTGCGATGCCAATTATTTTGCGGGGAATTTATTCGCGGATAAGCCGATATCGTGTGTTTTGTTTGCGGGGAGCCGGCGAAAAAGGTGCGCGCGCGTGGTGCGTGTCTATGAATTTTAAACGCGGCATTAATTCAGCCGTGAGTCGGGGGGTGGTACGCGCGCACGTATACGCTGATGGACGGCGCATCGACGCGATAAGCCCAAAGCCAAAGCCGGCAAAAACTAATCTTTTACCTTGTCCGGCGACCCGTGTCGTAAATCCACCCGCGTGCGGTAATGAACGTCCTCCGAGTGAGATTCAATTCTAAGACGCACTCAACAACGTGCGTATATTTTCAATACCGGTATTTAGAAAATTGATTATTTCACATCGGTATACCGGTATTTATCAGGAGTAAAACATGTTGAAAAATATCGCTTTTTTAGAAAAAAAAATTCTGTTTTCCTTTCTTAAACTAAAAATACCGGTTTTTAATTTGTTTTAAATACCGGTATACCGATATTGATACCGGTTTTTCACTCCCCCTAATTCAAAAGCTGGTTGTTGCTATTGCTGTGTTGAAATTCGATTTGTTGGACGGATATTGCACTTCGTTATCCGCGCACGCTCATCAATTCATCACGCGCATGGAGCAAAACGGAAGCTTATCGGACGCCATCTTATCGCACTCTAAATCTTCAATATACAGTTTTTTTCTATTAAATTTCTCAAAAAAAAGCAATTTTTTTCAATTTCATTGCATTCAATTCTTATCTCCAAAAACATTAAATTATAATAATAATTTCCGTTACAATTTCTTTCATTTTCCCGCCGAAATTTAATCAAATTCGCAAATAATTTATGGATTATAAATTACAGCGGCAAGATGTTGAAGTAATCTAACAAATTCATTGGGGTATTCGGAAATTTGCAACGTCAAGTCACATGACTACGTATGCGCCGAATTAGAATATGAATGCGAAATTAATTCGGATATGATAATGCGATGGAGAACGTGTGAGAAATATTAATTAATAATCAATATTGTGCTTGCATCGTATGCAACCAATATGCATTTAATTTGCGTTGGCGAATATACAAAATGTTTGAATTGAAATTAAATCACGATTGCTGTAAAACAAGTTTTTTTTCTTTCTGGAACTAATGGAAGTCCGCAACCAAGCTGGCTGCGATTTTGGCTGCTTGTTCAAGGAGGGCGGCGTGCAATCGAGCGTGTCGCGCGCGCGCACCCGTTATTTGATTTATACACTCGTGATTCTGATCGTGAAGAATGACGAAAGGAATCGAGCCGAATAAAAAAGTATTAATTTCGTGCGCTGGGGGGCCGTTTTTCATGTTTTTTCATGCTATTAGAAACATGTCGATGGTCTGCACCAGCGATTGTTTCTGTTTTACCATTTTATTCCACTAAGATCGCTTTGCTTGGAATTTTTTCCCTCCACCGCGCGTTTCTATGCATTTAATGGCCGCCCATCAAAACAACCGCACTGGCACTAAACCACTAATGGAATATAATCGAACTTAATCGAATGGGCATGCGAAATGGACGCGATTTATGGTCGAATAAAATCGCATTTCTGCGCTGTAATCGAAACAATTTTAAATTCAACATCTGCGCGAGATATTTATGCATAAAATGCATAAAATTTATATGAACACACACTCGCGAGTAGAAATAACATTGTGTCGGTGGGCAATTCAAAAACGTCCGGCGTGTAATGCATGTGCATTAGTAGTATGTGCCGTAATGGTGGAGGCGGTCGAGGATGGCGGACGAAAGAATGTTTTAATTAAATTTTTAACGCGGCGCGCGCGTGCCAACCGTGGGGGGACATCTATATGTGTCACTGGGCTTCTCGTGTGTATATTGGGTTGCCTAACCGCTGGCTAGCGCATTCATACACTTTCAAATTTTAATTTTCGTTTCGCCATCCCCAACACATAATAACACTTGTAAAAACATCGTAAAACGTTTTATTCCCTGGCATGAATGATAATGAAACATAAATTTATCCTACACTAACACACACACACACACACACACTGTATATACGTTATATATTTATTCTATTAGTGCACTAATTAATTGCGCAATAATTCAATAATCATAGCATCGTTTATCACGACTTCGAATTTCTTCGCTTCTCGACTCTGATGTTATTTGATCTCATTTTATTTATTTCTCTGGTGGTTTGATGATTTTTTTCTCGTGCGCCCGCATTTTCCTGTTTTCTTATATTCCGTTCGGGCGCGTTTTTGTGTGTGCGTCCATTATTTGTTCGCGGGTTACTTTTCATCTCGGCGCTCGTCTCACACGATATCATATCGCTTTGATTGCCATCGGAGGGTGGAAAAGCGAGAAAATCGCGATTCTAGTTTTTCGATTTTTATTTTATCTGTCGAGTTGGAAATAAGCGAAAAATAAAATCGAAATCAGCCGGAAACTGTGAAAAATACTTCAAATATACAGTGTGTTATTAAGAAATATTTAAAAAATCTACTTCCATTTTTTAAACATCAGTTTCACGGTTTTTAGATACAAAAAGTTGTATTTTAAACATGGACGACCAAAGTCGTGACTAAAGTACTTTAGTCACGAGGTGAAGTTTACGCCTGCGTATTTGCCAGTAGTGTCTAAACAAATTTCAAAGTTTAAAATAAAAACTTCAAATACAAAACCCTAAACGTGGTTTAAAGTGCCGTTTAGCGCACTTGATGCTTAAAATACTATTATTTACGACTATTATTTGTTTTTATAGTTTTTATCAACGTCAGTAGATTTTTTCCATTAAAAAGAACAAAAAATAGCATCCCTCCACCCAATTGTATACAACTAATAAACGTTTCTCTTTTTCCGTGTTCCTCTCATCCGCCTTTTTTCGTGCGATTTCTTCCTCAACTAGTTGCTCGCGTTTTTCACTCGGCGGGCATTCGGCGCGAACACAACACGCATTGTTACGTAGTATTTGTTTGCGCACTTATTTCGTGCGCCAGCCGAGAACGAATTCGTTGTGTTCGCCGTCGTTATATTGATACAAATCCAATAAAGCGTCCGGACGACATGTATTGCCTTCCGCAAATCTCGACTTGCACCCCGCCAGCCCCACCCGACACGCTCGCATTCAACCGTTTACTTTTCTTTAAATGCCGCACATACAATGTGTTCAGCGCAAGCAATCAAACCAGCCGCAGGCTGGCAAATATCTAATCCCTAGTGGGCATCGCTGATTAACATTTAGCAATCGAACAATCGACGAATACAAAAGCAAACGCCAATCTAATATCTTTTAATATAAAATTTTATGAATTCTGATGTTGGAGGCGGATGTGCAGGCGCATATTTCAATTAACCCAACGCGAGTGTTATCACCGCGCGTTATCTCTTTGGGGGTGGGCGTTAATGCATCCTGCGGAATGCAAACAATCGCCGCGGACGTTTCGCGCACGTTTGCAGTAAATACTCGACCAGAAACCCGAATAAACAACGCTGACACAGCGGAAACTAATTTTCCGAATGCTGCGCAAGCGCATAACAAAAAAATATGTTAAATTCACACGAGCGCAAACTCTCTAAAACGCAATAATGATGATGATGAGTGGATGCTGGCTGGTGTTTCAGGAGGGCCAGCAGAAATGAATGATGAATAGCGGATAACGATGTATTGATGATAAATAGATAGATACAGACGCGTCGAACGCAAAATGGCTATTAAAATCGCGTCGGCTGAAATCCTGATAAATGTCATCATCCAGCCGCCCCCGTCGGCGATAAACGCATACGCGCCAAGATAAAACGGATCAATTCGTGCGTGGTCCGCCACCATTTTCCACTCTGCAATTATTTAAATTTGTTGCGAGTTGTCAAAAAGGCTGGAAAACCACAAACGCCATCGAAAAATACTGACATCGATCAAATGTGACGCATGTCACTCAATTTATTAACCCCATTGCGGAACATACGTCTCAATTTATCACCCGCCCCCCCCCGGAATGCCGTCGTTTAATTAAGACGCGCAAACAAAAAGCTAATTAATAGGTGAAGACGTGGCCCCGACAGACTGTCAACATCATCGACTACCCGCACGCGTTATTACATCCAATTCCTGTACAACCCCCCGCGATGGAGGAGGAAAAACTTTATGGCCGCAAACAAATTAACACCTTTCGCAATCTACCCCCCACACACACACACACATAGATAGATCTATATATATACCAACGTGTAAGAAGGGAAGAGAATTGATTGGTGTATAGGTGGCGCCAGTATCGACGTCGATGGCGGCGATTGCGGCGCGAAGGTGGGAACGCAACATTATTAAGTGCTAAGAGCGGCGTCGGAATATTAAATTAGTCCGGGGTGCGCGCACCGGGTGAGGCGATGATTAAATTTGTATACCGGCAACATCCAGCGCTAATGCCCCTCTCACCCACACACATATCCCGCGCGCAAATACCTTAACGTGAGCGTGGTGGTGGTGTGTTTTGGTTGTTTGGTTAGCGCGGTGGCGTTTCATCGAACGCACGAACCCCGAAGAAGAATGATGCCCGGAGTGGAAGCGCAGATGCTCTCCGGCGGCGGCAAGGGTGCACCATATGCGGATGGATGGATGGATGGATGTCGGTTAACTCTTAAACAAAGCTCAGGGCGCGTGCTTTTAGCTCACACCCCACCCCTCCTGGCAAATGGTAAATTGCAGCGGCTGACGAGTAACAAGTGAGTCGCTGCGGCGGAAGAAAAACGACTTTGCTTGGATGTGAGCAATCTTAATTTAGACCTCTGGATCCCAAGATTTAGATGTGGAGCTATTACCAGTGCTGCGTGTAATAGGGATTTGGTGGCGACACCTATACACTATTAGTGGAATTAACATGTGGAGCAAATGCTTACCATTCTGGGCCTGAACCGTTGCAAATTGCTCGTAAGTCAATCGCGTTTAATTTCACCATCAAAGATTTTCATTCCAACAGAACATAACCTCTTTGTATTTTTTTCTTTGTTTCAAATTTTTGATGATGTTGACTGATTGCATTGCGGTTCTCGTCGCCATCTTGTCATCGCTTATTGTTCAAAGTTTATGCACATGTTCTTAGCGCGCAGAGGGTGCGTCACGTCACCCCTTTCGTTATTAACGCACGATGAGGCCGACGAGGGCGGTTGAAGGTTGAAGGAACGATTGGCTTATTGCTTTAAATACCTCGTTGTTCCGCGTACTGTGAAAGGGCTGCGCGACGTGTTAATTAATCATTAGGATTGAAACAACACTCTAACCCACTTCAAAAATACCCAAAATGCGTTGTTTTCTTGCGCGTATGTGCGAGTTAATTTTTCAACTGAACTCGCTGGGTTTAAATCAACAAGTAAATTACATTTTAGAAAGGTCGTCTTGCGTTGCCTAGCAACGTCAACAAGTCGCCTAGCAACGCAGAGGGGTGTTGCTATGACAACGTAACAAACTACACACTATAAAATGCAAGTCATCGGTTTCTGTGTATTCAGTGTGCAGCAGATGATCGTCGAGCAGGTAAGTATATTATTTTATTAAATTAAACACTTTGATGGATTAATTTCCATCAAAGGCAAACACGAAGTTGTTGGTTTTGATTTTCGTCCCCGGCGAGTTTGGTTTGGCGTCGGTTTGTTTTGCTCACACCAAAATTTGCATTAATACGAAATCATCGACCGCCAGCGCCGCCGATTCAAAGGTGGCAAAGTGGCGACGCCGCCATTGATGTGGTTAGACGGTTACCGCTAAGTGTTGGCAACTCATCCTCTGTCTACCGCCTCCCACGAACCCAACATCAACATTATCAAGGTCTAGTCTACGCGCAGTGAAAGCATCTTTGCTGCATTGTCATCAAGACTCGTGAATTTTCGTCAAGATGGAAGGGGGGACGATGTAGGAACGTCGATTCGCAGCTTCCAGAGGTAATTGCAACTACGCGCACCGGTGGAAGGTGTAATCGTAAGACCCAAAACTTAATGCTCGCGCTAACACCGGCGGAGCAGCAACGGAAGGGTCGAAATGTAAGAATCGAGGGTGGCTCTCGGGACGCCGCCACCACCAGCGCACGGGGACTAATTGATTAATGCCCGAGATCGATTAACGACCGCATCGTTTAGAACTTCAATCAATAAAGCGACCCCTCTCGCAGCAGCCCAAACAAGACGAGCAATTCTTGTTCTGTATCCCTTCGTCTGTCACTCCTAAATTTGCTTTCTAGGTAAGACCTTGTAATACAAGAACAAGTTTTTTCTTATTCCCCAACTGCTTCCGCAACCCTTTAATTTTCTATATTTCCTGGTTGTAAACTTGTTGATTGACAAGCCCGGCCCCCCTGTAAACAATCGACAAATGGCGGGGAATGCTCGATACGCAACGCGTCATTACGCGCTAATCGCATTAATTGTTAATCAACGCGAAATGATCGATCATCAATCAATCAGGGTTCTCGCGGGTGCGCGCATGCTGCCCAATTACATTTCCACCAGCAGAGCCAGCAGGCACACGTCATGTCGTCATGTTGCGCGCATAATGCACAGCGTAACATGTTTCGCGTTTTGGGACTGCGATTACAATTTGTGCATTCGCTGGCGCCCAAATCGAATTCGAACTATAATTCAAATTAACTTAATGTTTGTGCGGGCGGCGGGCGAATTTAATTAACAAATTGCAAGCGCAATGAATTTCGAAACAGGTGTTGTTTGGAAATTTCAAATTTAACGCCTCTCACGTGAAATGGCGCGCAAATCAAGTTAACAACAAGTGTCGGAAGTGTTTTCCGGCGTTTACGAGTTTGGAAAACACCTGCAAACGTCGAAAAAATGAGCTGTGTGCGCGCGCGAGGAAAGTTTTGTTTCGCAGTTGCCGAAAGTGGATACCAAGTAGGTAATTGAAGCTAACGTTTATTGTTAACGGTTATGGCCGAGCAATGCTGTTAACGTCGGAGTGAAAAGAACAAAAAGTGAATTTTCGCCCTTCGACGAAGAAGTAATTTCCATCTGTTGGAAACCACTCACGTCATCTGGTAATAGGATTAGTTTAAAAACTAAAACTAAAAAAAAAACAAAGGAGAAGAAGAAGGAAATCTGATGAGACCATTCCGACAACAGGAGAAAATTAATCACATCCTGCGTGACCACACATGCTTACCTCTGTGCACTGCGCCCTTGAGCTCTGCTTCCAGGGATTGTCGAATTGTGTGCACAAAGAGAGCAATCGTATGATCAAGAACGGTCCCAATCAAATTCAAAGACAACCAAGCAGATTGTATTCCAAGTTTAATTAAATTTTAAATTATAGCAAGTTGAAGGGTTCAAAGAAATGTTTACAATCGCAGCGCGCCCTTAAGCGCTCCGCGTGATAATGAAGCTGATTTTGTCGCTCATAATCATAATGAGCGCGCGCGCGCGCAAAAGTTTCAGATGCATCCCTCCGCTATTCGTGTCAGTCGTGTGTTGATGATGCGTTCGTGCCTGGCTCGCCTCATTATCACATCCGCGTTCGGTTCCATTTCATTCGCGGCGGCTTGTCTCATCGTTCTTGTTCTTGTTATTGCATGAAGAAGGAGAGGAGGAGGGTTGTGGAAGCACCACACACAGTTGATATTGATAATGTCGCTCCGTTCGCATTCATTTCCACGCCGGCATCGGGACGCGCGCGTTTATCAGTTACAAACACTCATTGTCAGTTCCATACCGATGGCACCACTGCCACGCAGCAGTGTTTCCGTCGTCGGCGTCGGCGTCGTCATCTCGGTCGCCCGTCATTCTTCTATTCTTCGCAGGGGCACAAAGCCTTCCAGGCAAAGCGTGCAAGTGCGCGACTCCCAGGAAGAAGGAAGAACAAGCAGGCTTTATATTCGCACTTGGGTCGCGCAGGTCTCCATCAACACCAACTTCGTATCTCTTACAATTCCATTCAATACCTACTCATTTTTTGGCGGCTGCACGATGTGTTGCTCCCTGCGTATCTTTATAGAATATCGCCCTCTAAATGAGAGGGCGCTCCTCTTCTCTCGTCTTTAATCACGTTCGCATTCACCGGGGCGCGAGAATGAAGATGACATCAATCAAAACGAATCTTAACCTAATTTAAACTTTCTTATTTTCGGTGTGTTCTATTTTTAAACTGCAAAAAATCCGTCGATGTGTGGATGATTTTGGTTTCCCACAAGCCCTTATCAGTTCTCCGTCCAGTCGAGAAATGCAAACACCGGGCGAGAGAATGACAAGGGACTGGAAGAAATCAATTTTATCGGCGTCTTATCTCCCGAACACAACCATAACGACACAACGGAAAAGTTGTCTCGCATCTTTCCGTTATCTGCTATCAAACCGCCAGTGTGTTTGACTAGAAACCGTTTTTGATAAGATTTAATTCTTATTTTCATGCATAAACTGTAAAAAGTCCTCTCTTGCTTTGAAGCCGGCAGGGTAATAAATGTCTATATACTAATTGGCTTAATTATCCACCCCACGAGTTCCGGGAATAAACTATTTCGCTATCCAATTAAAATTCATTATGTTGCTCTCATCTTTTTTTCCAGCCGCATTTTCTTTGTGCGAATCTTTTGTGTCGCGCAGCGCCAATTTACTCCTCGTCAACACACAGAGGATAGCTTAGTCCTTATTCGCCGCGATATGCCCTCTTATGTCGAAGCAAAACACAACTTGGATGCTGCAGATGAAGAGAAGCTGTGAGAGCAAACTTTGACCACTTTTTTCTCAGCCCGCGCGCGCTGGCCTTTATTTACTCGCCATCAAAGGAGACTTAACTATATGTATGCACATCTCATCAGTGCGGACACGACACATGGATAAACACTACCACGACAAGAAGAAAGAAGGGTAATCTGGACAATGCTTATGATCTTCTTTGTGTTGTAATATCAAAGCGCGAAAACATCACAGAGTAAAAGCACTGAAAACACGTAATATAATTTACTCATTTGTACCCGTCGCAAACAAAGTTAAGTATTAATAAAACTAATACTTAAGTACAAAATGATTACTAAATGACGTCGTGGTCAAGTGTGCAACCAGCAACGATACGAGATAAAACCGTCTCATATTAATAAATCGCCCGACGGCCCACTTTTGATGCTGTTGCTGCTGTGCTTCAAACATTAAGTCCGAGCGCGCATGTCTGACTCATCCGCAGCGTATTTCTAGTTCAGCTGATAAAATTATTATTAGGCGTTAATGAACTCAATTAGAGAGCATTTATATTAAATACACTGTTGCCAAACAATTCGGTTAAATTTTTGTTTGTGAAAATCTCGCGCTAGAAAGCCGGAAAGTTAATTGTTTTCGGTTTTAATTAAGCGCAAGGCGTGTAGCGAATAAATTCGCGTTTCGACTCCGGTTCAATTACGCAAAACGAGAAAATACAAGTGCGAAAGTTTTTAATGCGGCGCTGCATTAAAACTCGGAACTCTTCAACTTTGAACTGATTCGGATATTGTTCGCGAAGAGGATAAATATAAACGTCTAGAATTTTAATTTTCATTTTTCAGTTGAATTCTAAAAGCAAGTAATCAGCTTGTGTGACATGTGTTTTAGAATTCAGTGGATCGCCGGCATGTGAACGCGAAATGAATTAAACAGACAACATAAGTAGCGCTTGGGGGGCTTAAGCCGGGTGCGTTCCAAAATTCCCGAATACGTGTAATGAATAAAAGCTGTGAAAACACTGTGACATGCCGAAAACCCAACGTAATCACAATGAAAATGAAAATATCACGAATTTAACAATTAATTTACCATTTTAAAACAATTCAACATAAAGTTTTAGTTAATTTTATTTTTATTTCACTGACGTGTGATGTGTGAGCAACGTGCAGCATGATTAATGAAACTTTTTAAATTGAATTCTTTAATGATGATGGCAACAGTGGTAGTTTTGTGTTGCACATGTGCGGCGAGAAACATGTGCAGCATAAAAATGTGAAATTTTCCCACAGTAGCACGAAAAAGTAAAAAAGAACAACTTTGGCACTTTGAATCATCATACTCTCTCAACATAAAACAAAATACTCACAATTTCAGATAGGAAATTCCACGTTTGTAACACTCAAACATTTTAAACACCAATCGACACTGTCGCGCTGAAGTCTGAACATGATCTGAGCGTGTCCCTTCGACGGTTAGCGCATGAAAGCTTATCTGGTGCGGTATTGAGAGGCGCACGCATCCTAGGGATTCTCCCTTACTCTCACCCACACAACCAGATGTTTCAAAATGAATCGTAACACAAAAAAAAACAACGAATCCAACATTTACGCGATGAAAATTGAGGTTATGTCTTACCTTAATGCTTTGACTATCCGTATATGTTCAATCACATCTGTAACAAAGAAGTAAATTAATATTTTTATTTTTTTGTGTGTAAAACGTGCGTTTTGCTATATCCGACCACTCTACGAGTGTCTACAAGCAGTTTTCGTACTTGTTTTGTTCGAGCTTCCGTCTTGGCGGACGGTGCACGTGTAGAGGAACGCATACATCTCATAATCCTAACCAGCATGACCCCCGGACCCCATAGGGCACGCACGCGAGGGTTTTACGCACACGTGCGACCCCGAAACAGCTTCCAAGGCACAAAATTCGCCGAGGAGAAGAAAACACGCTTGTGTTATTCCGAAATCTCTCAATGAGAAACCAGCCTCGGCCTTACAACTATTGTTATTGGTTATTTTTATAACTGAAGGGTCCAAAGGTTCCGGGGGCTTTGGACTTATACCTGAGGCGTAATATTAAATTTGCATGACATATGTTTGCGAGTTTCGACTCGAAATTCCATATAAAAATTCGGTCGTAAACTTTGTATTTACAAATTAATCTAATCTTCTTTCGTTGCCATCGTGCGTACAACTTCGCCGAGTATGCATTTTGTACGAGGTCAAAGCAGCGCCGACGTTTAGTAAATAATTAAAGTATTTAATTCGCAAACGAGACGGAAAGCGTCGTCGTTAACGCCGTGCAAAGTATGCAGTCAATCTGTTATCGCACGCCTTCACTCTTTTAATTACTCCGATAACTCGCAGCGTGTGTAATTTATTGAATAATATAGCGTCAGTAAATTATTTAAAACAGTTTTTCGGCTACGAAACGAAACAAAACAAAAAATGCGTTTCAAATGTGTTCAACATCTGTCACAGAAAAAAAATTAAAACAGATGAAGATGATGATGAAAATATGAATAAATTTCCGACACCGTGAGATTAACTGCTAAATATATTTAGGTTATGATAATATTTGGTTTATGATAACAAACAAACGAAGGCCCCAAGCCTTTCACACCATATTGAATGTTTTGTTATGAAACTAGGCAACCAAGTCTACTCTGTATCATAGGGTTTTATCTTCTTCGATGGGTGAATTTCTGAAGAAGCTCTGAGCCCTCGGATGTATTAAAAACTACGCATAAGAAAGTAAGTGCACTCTGCTTCGTTCTCCTTCAGGCCTGAACAGCAGTTGGTGGAAGTTTCTTACCCTCGCACGGCCCTTGAAAGGTACAGGGCTGAGGCTCCGAGAGGGTTGCCGTTGGGGTCGGCGCGAAGAGGTCAAGGATCGTTCAGATATCGATGTAATCAGGAGCGTATTGTTCCGACCCTCTCTTCTTCCCGTTTCCTTCAAATGCGTATGCAGACGGACCACTACCACTACTCTCACCTTTTCTTTCTCGCCCTTCGGCGAGGCGTTCAGGTCCCTTTTGTTTAATGTCAAAACGAAGCCCCGGCGATCGGCCGGCAATAACCACTCCGCACAACCCTTAATAGATCTATGTCAAATGTCAAACTCCAACAAATTGCTGCGCCGCCATCTTGTTTTCTTGTTGTATTATTACCCTTGGGATGCGTTTCCGTTTCCAGGCGTGCGACGTTTATGAAAACGTTATTAGCGCTTCTGACATTTTCAGACCGGGGCGTATTGTGTGTTTTTAGGACGCACTCAACGAGGGAGTCTCTCTAGATTGGACAACAATCGAGCCATCAAGCTATCGGTTACACGTAAAACAAGCAGCGAAAGATGAAACGAGCCCCCAGTTTCATCGAATTGCTTCGATGAATAGAACAATCAAACAAAGCGACACAAAAATGTACCACAAACACAACACCGAAAACCAGTTTTGAGGTTATTTTTAGGTTAGATGTCAGCGTGTCAACTTGTAACCTTTGTAAGTACGTCCGACGCCATCATGAGTTTGTTGGGGTCTCAAGGCTATTTTTACAATTTCCTGCGCCCGCGGCGCACAAAAAAAATTTAATTTGCATCTGAATGCGCGCGTTTTTCTTTTGTTTGCCGCTCGCGCAGCTTCCTTACTCCCGGCGCGCGGCGGTATTCATATTCAAATTGTGTGTATGGCATGAAATAAAATAAAAACAAGCGCACAACGGGAGCACACGGGAGGAGAGACAAGATAAAGACGCGATGCGGTGCATCCGGACGATTCTCGTTTTGTGCTCATTTCGTTCGCCGCTTTTCAAAAACGGCACAGCGTTTGTAGGTTATGTTTCCATATTTTATTTCTAAGATGTGTACCTTTTCACATTTCGCAGCGTTTTGCGAAGAAGTGGGCTTCGTGTGCACGCTGCACCACCACGCTTCTATGATTTCTTTGACGCCATCGGCATTAATATCATTTCTCTTATCTTTCTGAGCGCTGCAGTATTATTTCGCGCTGTGTCATCACACCAACATGGCGTGCGGCGCACAGCGTGTTTCTTTCATGTCTGCCAGACGCATAAAGCAACAAATGAAACTGTGTCGTCGCGAGCGGAAACGGAATGGAAACGAAATCAAAGGCCAACTAGGCGAATGCCGATGAGGGCCTAACAAGCACTTTCCAAAGGTCACAGAAAAGCGAAGAAACAAAGCTAACATGGCGACGAACGCAAGCAACCAACCGTGCATAATCATTTGAATAAATGTCAAGCAACGAATTTAGAAAATTTACGAACTACTTGCATTGTGGTTATTTGACATTAACAAATGGCTAAATAAATAACGCGCCTGCATGTTGATAATTAAAACCACTTCCTGATTAACTTTGATTAGTCGCGCTGGGAGCAGTCACACACAATTGAAACTAATACCTGATGAAATAATTTTCTGTTTGACGAATGAGTGTTGGCAGATGATAAGAACGTGTGACCGGAAACTGCCAATCCGGTTAGTACTAATCACACAAAAAAAAACACAACGTTAGAACAAAATAAAACCAGAATAAGCTGTGAGTATACTACTGCTGTAGTATAATTGGTTGCCTAGCTACGCTCCCTAGTTGAGCGCTGCGCTACTCAAAGGTGTGTGCAACACTCGAATTTCGCTAGTTTTAGCTGCTTTGACTAGAATTTCGCTTGCGGCTGTGAGCGAAAACGTAATTCTATTCCTAACCCTGTTTAAACGCCGCCGGCGGCGCGCAAACACGAAGCATTTGCGCACGTTCACTGCTGGATTATTGCGATTTCAATTAAACCAGGAACCGACCAATTATAATACCCTCGGACTAATCAACTCGCCCTCGTTACCGAATCATGAAAGAAAGAAAGCAGCATATTTACGTAATACCTACTCGTATCTTCTGTGCGACATTGCTAATGTGCGATATCATAATTTAAGCTTCTGGTGTTTTGTGTTGCAGTTGTCACTTGTGCTTCCGACCCAGCGGATGAGGAGGAGAGGATAGTAATAAGTGACCCATTTTCGGCGGCGTGCACGTCGCCCCTAATGAAAGGAAACAATTATCTCATTGCCGACAATTAATAATAACATCCCGTGTGCGTCGGGCGATGACAATGCAATGAATTATCGCATGTATAACATACATAACCTAGTTTTCTTGCTACCAACGAGATATACTAAGTGTTTCAAAACAAGTAAGCAAAAAATTATAAAATTTTGAGATTTTACGCGGATTTACATCTTTTTTTCATTTGTAAGCTGATTATAAACTCAATTATTTTAGTAGAAATGCCGGAAAATATTTCCCGAAGTCTAAATATGAATTCCCCGTCGCTCAGTTGTATGCACTTGTGTTTTGTTTAAATAATTTTGTAGTAACGTAACGTGCACCCCAACAAATTAGCTGAAAAATCGTGCTTCAGTTATAGAAATTTGCATTGCAATTTGTAGGGATGATGGGTTGCATAATTACAACAATATTTCAAATGTTACCATCGATGTCATGTCTTTAAAAAATATTCTAGCTCATAATTGCTCGAAATGAAAATATTTTTCGTCGTTACACAGAGGAAATTAATATAAACCAACCAAATTGTACAAATTTCGTCGTTGAATCTAGATACAAAAATTTCAAAGTTATTGAAATATCAGATTCTATGATATTGATTCACGTTCCGCGCCGAATGCAATTCCCGAGTTTGTTTATCAACTGCGCGGCGGCCGCGGTTTTATTTTTAGCCGGCCGTAATATTTATTCAAAGCATCATAACGCAATGCATCCGGGTCCCGAAGCAAAAGTTAATTAATTTCAGCACATTGCGAGCAATTTCGCCAAAGATTCATATATATTCATTTTTATTGCATTTGTTTACATTAGATTGTTGGTGTAACAAAGTAGCGCTGGGAATAGGCAACCAAAGTAGCAACCGGAAGGCCGACCACAACGTCCAGCGCACATTTGTATTTATTATTTACTGCTTAAACTACACGACTATCCGACTAGTTTCAGCCGCAACAGAACGTGAAACGAGTTCTAAACTTGCTGCTGATAACTAACTAGTCAAAGGTGAGTGCAAGTGTGCAAAACAAACAAGAGACACGCGTATGAATATGAATCTGAATGAAAAGTTGCGAGCTAAAATGAACATTAATTTCGTACATAAATCTCTATCAGCGCTAAACAACCGACGAGTAATTTATACAAATTGTACTCACCACACGGACGCCATCTTGGTTTGCTATCACGTGGTGTAAAATTCGTGTTTCTTGTGAAAATGTCTAAATAAGTGTTGCAACGGGTCGTAAAACACGAAAAGCACGCGATTTCGAGTCTAAATATAAATTACATGATACACTACAGCTAGAATTTCTTGTAACGAAACGTAACGAAATTGTGAAAATATCAAAGCTGTGTTTACTTGTGTTATCAAAGAATTTGGACACGTAATCGTCGAAATTGTTCAAACATTTTTATCTCCATCACACTCCCGGTTACTTAGTTACAGTAAAACGTTAAAATATTACTTAAATCACTGCTTAAGTTAAGTAATGTTAGGTTTTCACATAAATAACACACTAATTAAACGCCTCGCACTGTAATTATTGAAATTGTACAGAAATTCGTCCGCTGAACCGAACGCAGCTGAACGTGCTGAACGACTGCGTGTGCAGATTGTGACTAAACATTTTCATGACGACGCGCAGCGCACCACGGACGAATTACGAATGCGCGTTGTACGTTTAGCTGGGCGTGCGTGTATGTGCACATTTTGTTTGCTCTGCTTACAGTGCTCACTCACAACTACCCATATAAAACATTACACAAACACACATTCATTCCCTGATCCGTCCCTAGTCCCCTACGACGGATTTCTGCCTGCGTCCCTTCGTTCGCTCCCTTGTCAATTCATCCATTCATTATGATTCAAACGATTCCAACTATGTGCATCAACAAGCAACTCACAATCGTTACGTTTCGGAAAAAGCTGCAAATTTATCGACGAATTATTCAATATCGGAAATTTATCTGATGTAAGCATTTTGTTTTCGAGTGATTAAAAGTTATGCAGACGATAGGTGAACCCTGACGACCCTGAATTTAAATGAGGTTTATTTTTAAATTTAAATTTAAATTTGTGTTGGATTGTATTGATTACAATCTGTTTTTTTTCGATTTAAAGTAAAAAAAAGTTGCGCCCAACGTGGGGCTCGAACCCACGACCCTGAGATTAAGAGTCTCATGCTCTACCGACTGAGCTAGCCGGGCTGTCTCTCCCAGGCTCAATTTTAAAAGAAAATTTTAAAATTTCACACTTTACGTGATAAAATGATGAATTTAACGCTTTTTTGTTTTCCCTTTGCCTTTTACAAATCGAAAAAATGAAATAAAAGCCCCTGCACCATCATATCGACCCCGTGAGCAGGTCGCACAGCTCGTCGCAGCGTCGCGTCGTACATCTCCCGCCTCCATCCATCGTGACGACGCTGTTTCGCTGTAATTGTGTGCTTGGGCGTCTTTCCGCGCCGCTTTTTGCCTCTTTGCGCGTCCGCTTTTCCATCAAGTGTGCGACAAAAACGCTGCGCCCGTCAAGCCGTTTCGCATCGCGAACATCAACCTCATTCCTGCGCGCGCTAACTCTATTTACCGCGTCCCAGTCGAGACCTTTTCTGGCATCCAGCGGATGGTCTGTCAACTCGAGAGGTATATGCGACACTTTCCTCCTTGCCTATCCTGCCTTGCGACTTGTTACTCACCACTACAATTCACAATGTGCACGATTCATACAGTGTGTCCATGTGAATCAGGAAGCAAATATAAATTGCTAGTATGTACTCGTATTCAAACGCAGTGTGGAGGAAAAATATTACGACGCGTAGATGTAGAGTTGAAGCAGTCGAGAGCGGATTAAGAAGAAAATCTGACAGGGATTATTTCATACGCTATGCGCGAGCGACGCTGACGATGGCTTGGCACTTTTGCGCCTTGACGTCGTCGTCCGCATTCAAACGCAGCAGCGCTTTTCAAAGCCGAACTTTTCCCAACTCTCGACCGGTGTGTGCGGATGTGCAGAGACATGCGGAATTGCGGAAATATCATATATGTACGGTGTAAAAGTCGAGCGGGAAGCCACTTGAATAAAATCGCAAACGCCGCCAACATCGGCACACGAAGGGACTTAATTAAATTTTGTGGTTTCGCGATCAATAGCTACGGAAGTCGTAAGAGGAGGACACGGAAAACTCGCCTCCACCAAGCGAAAACAAGCGATACTTTAAATTAAATTTAGATACTTAGATAGAAGAACACAGAGAAAAAAAAGAGATGCGCCCAACGTGGGGCTCGAACCCACGACCCTGAGATTAAGAGTCTCATGCTCTACCGACTGAGCTAGCCGGGCTTGTTGCATAAAACCAATTTCCTTTCGCTGTACAAAAGTCACATCGATTTTCTCATGGACAAGTAGAAGAGGTCTGCGTGACATTTTCGTTGTAAACTTGTCCTTCCCTTATTCCCCAGTTCCCCCGAGGACACTCGGCACGTCGATTCCAGCCGCACGATTACTCGCAAATGTTGTGCTACACGCTGAAATTCGAAGGTGCGTAGGTGAGTCATCCGTGCATCACTCGTTATTATATCGCACTGTATCTACCACCCTACCACCCGCTGTGGAGTTGGAAAGGATGGCGGGTATTAGCCGCACGCCGGCGGACGCACGAACGCGACAAGACTATTCCGAGAGACACGTGTTGCCATGCCAACAACACCAACTAGATTCGCACTCACTGCCTCACATTCGCGCACACAACTTTATCCACGTGTGCATAACTCCGGAAACTAGAATTTGCATGATGAAGGGACAAGGGATTAGGGATATTAAGGATAATGCGATGGAATGACGAACAGTGGACCTGGACCACCGACCTCTGAACTACCCTTACAAAACCCACGGATTTGATTAGACCTCTACTCATCCCTACAAAATGTCTCCTACCTCCAGTGGCTCATCCAGTGAGGTTTGTAAAACTACAGAACACTTTATTTAATTGATCACTTCTCCTGGAGTCCTCGAGTGATATCGTATTGGATTACACAATGTATCCCTCCGGCGGAGGTGATTGCGTGCGATTCGCACGTGCACTTTACCGAGCAACTTGTCGTCGTGTCGTAGTAAGAAGAGAGAGTTTGAGTGTGAGTAAAGGAGAAGTCCTTGAACCAAACCCTAGGTTGCAAGCAGTTTCGAGCTCCTCGACTCGCTTCCAATTAAGCGTTAAAAGACATACGTTCCTCCTAACGACCGGCTACAGCTTATTTCCATTACGCGCCCCATCTAACTTGGTTAACGCGGAGATTTCGGAGAGTCAAAGAAGACTAGACTTGGTTTTACAACTAGAAAAATCCTACAGACATACACCAAGAGTTGATTTTTTAGGTTATGTTGTCTTTCCTCCAACATTTTGGTATGTCGCTATTCTCTCAGCTGGCAGCGTGCTCATCAATTTTCTTATCGGCGCGGCACACTCCTCGCTGGTGGTCGCACCTAGTTGTCGATGTCGATAAACAAGAGCGCATCGTTGCCAAGTTTCATGTACTCGTAATTCACAACCAAACAAAAATAAAAATTTCGTTGAAAAATGCTTCGTGACGCAACCAATTAGTAGAAAAAACTAAACAGAGGGTAAAATGTAATATTCACCCTCTAAAAATTTTAAGGTTAGATTTAAATGTGGAAAATTCGAGGAAGTTTCTAAGTTATAAGTTTTATTTAATCTCCACGAGGTGTTATCTAGTATTTCAGTGTATCGACACTTTTATGTTGAGCCCTCGCGCCCCTCACACCCCTAACACCATTTTTCCGAGCTTTACGATAGCTTTTATCTACTTTAGCAACAGTTAAGAGTGTTTATAAGCTTTGTAGACTTCGCAGATGTATGAATACAACAAAAGTTTTTATTTCTTACCAGAAAATTTTTAGATTTTCAACATTTCAGCATCTGTAACAGAAAAAGAGAGATTTTTAGTATTTTTCGTATTTTTAGGGTTGGTAATGAAATTATCATGCTTGGCACGCGTGAGCATTTAACTTTTTGCCCTTTATGCATATGTAATTCGAATCGGAAGCACAATTTTGCGCCGTTTTAACCCTCCGTTAGCGGCAATTACTTAACTCGCATTCGCCCTCGTTTTTAGTTTTCGGTTTTTCAAACGCATATGCACGTCGGGGGTTATTAGATCGTTCACCTTGATCGTATGTGCAGTGGCAACCCCTTTCGGCGTCGTTTTTATCAATTACGTAGAAAGAGCCGCCCACGCACTCATTACGTCCGTGTCCATCGACGCTGTTTACTATTTACCGAAAACATGCCCTTAATGCAATTTGAACACATGGTATGTAAATATTGTGGAGTGGACGCGTATTGCGTAAACACATTAATGACGATGGACCTCACCCTTGTCGTTTAATAATTTCTGTAATTTCAACTTTTCGAAATACAAGCACGCATCATATTACTTGATTTATTTCGGTGCGCGCACATATTTTTTGTGCGCGCCTCGTGAGAGGGAAAATGGTGTTATTTATGTTGGGGATTTTTGCATAAACTGTTCGACACATTTTTTGCGCTCGAGTTATTTTCGGGGCTTGGGCGGGTGTTATTTACGAGTCGAGTGTTCATATTTTTCAGCGCCGAAGAAGGTCCGGTCCGGCATTCTATTAACTCCTGTTGCGTTCAACCCCGCAATCCGCTTTCGTGTAAATCCTTCGCGTGGGGATGCGATTTTCGGAGGAAATGCGACCACTCCCATCACGATATTGCCACTTTCAACACGGCTGCATCCTGCTGATAGGTAATGTTTCAAAAACTAACCTCAAACTATTAAAATATTAAATAATTCAAAAAAACTTTAAAAAAATCAAATTTATCGCATTTAATTTCATCCGACAAAAGTGGCTTCCTTAAATTCGAGCATTGAACATATTATATTTTACATATTTCAGAGAAAAAAAATGAAATATAGGACATGAAGGTCCTTGCAGATCCATACATATCTCACATTTTGCATCCTTTTCCCACAGCATGCGTGCGAACGTTTTCCGATTTTCCGTCCGCTGCCACCCCGGAGTTTTCGGTCATGTTAGTAAGATTAATAACGCTCCCCGCGTGCTCTTTTTCTAACCTCAAAAATACTGCAAAGGCTGCAAACTGCGTGCGGTGTTGTACGCGAAATCGACAGCCGCATGAATGGCCCTCTCGAAATACGCCGGGGGAGAAAAAAAGGACAATACGAAGCATATGGAGTGGAAAAAGATAAAACGAGAGCGAAGATGAAACTGTGGAGTTAAGTGACGTATTTCGAGGATGTGCAGGATATATAGGGAATAACTCCACATGTGACGGAGTTTTGCGGGATAAAACACACCGGGGCGAGGCGGGTTGCTGGTCCCGGGTAATTTAAATGCCATTTCGAGGACGTCTCGCACCATTTTTGTTATTTATGGATTTCGGGGAAGTTATACAAAGTGTTATCAGCCTTTAATTTGTATTAATCCACGCGTTAAATTCATCCAGACGACGTCAAAATTTACATAACCTCTAATTTGCTCTATTTCCAGCAGTCGTCTTATTTATATGTGATATGCTAAATGTGAACTTTGAAAATAAGCCACGCCCACTCCGGAAGACGGATGTTTACTTTACCGTGTGCGCGTCGAGCAACTATTCAAGATGTCTCAATGTAGCTCTGTAATTAGATTTTCATGATCAAAGTTTGCGTCAACGCGAATAATTTCGTATTTCATTTGCATACAAATACCTAAATGAGCTGAGGGGGTGGGGATGCGATATTGACCTAACCTAAAAAACTGTGTGAGTGCGGGTGGATTTTGTTGTCGGACAAATATACGCTAAACTAATGGGTAATTTGATGCGCGCACAGTGATTGACTGGATGGCACAATGAACTCGTGTGCGCTCGCATTACATAATAATCCCTCTAATGACATTAAATGCTCATGGAGGCCGGTTGCTGGCCGCGTGCGACGTGTTATTGATTTTGCGGCCGCATGCTAATCATCGGCAAACCGCGCCTCCAGCCGCTTCCAGCCGACGTCTATGCGACACTAGCGCCTCATCATAATCGCAAGTTTAATTCAATTCCACCGCTAATATTGCAGATATAGGTATTGATATTACATTTGCATTATTAATTGCGGAGAGATTGTAGCTATGGATGAAAAACATGTATTTTGGGTTGCCTAGCAAAGAATCAGATCAGTGGCGTAGCAAGTAGTAAAAATATTGTGGTTTTTAGGTTAAATACGTCGAATTATTGATTTAAAGTACAAATATTTTGGTTGTATATAAATAAAATTGTTTAATTTCAATAAAACTCAAATATTTGCAAAAATATTGGCCAAAAACACTTTAATTCCTAAAAAAATCAATTTTTCATCTTAAAATTAGCAAAAAAATTCTAAAATTTTAAAAATCCAAGTCTAAAAACCCAATTTTCTCATATTTTTCATAATTTCCTAGAAATCAATACACATTGCGCCATCTATCAATCCATATTTATACCCTACCTAATATAAAAATATACACTACCTAAATATATTCGTATTGACGCCCGAATAAGTTTTATCAATGCCAATTTATCAAACGCATGAATGTTCAAGTGTCCTCTCAATGAAACGAGCCGAAAAAAAAAAACGTCATATCCTGCTATCACGCGTGTATCCTGCTTATATCCCGCTTATTTTTTTTGTGTGTTGCTCATATTTTGAGGGGCGTTTAGGCACGCTCGGAAAAACCCCGCGGATCGTCGTGTGTCGTTTTCTCCCTTCACGCATGACAATTTGCGAATTTCGAATTTCACTCGACATAAAGACACGCATTAGGTGTATTGAAACGATTTGCTGGCAGGTTCCTTCTGGATTCCGCACGGCCTACAACACATCCTTTACGTAAGCGATTTATATTTTACATTCGCTGTCGTTTTCAATCGCCTTCGAGGCTTATCCTAACGTTTTCTTAAAGTACAGGATCGGACTAGTAATAAATCATGTGTAATAAATAAAAAAAATAAAAAAAATGAATTATTTGAGGTAATTTTTATGTTTTTTTAGAAAATTTAATTTTTTTGAGGTTAGTTTTAAGTGCGACACTGTAAATTTCGTAAATGTCTAAACGAGCGTAACGTTTTACATCGCGTTCACGGTTTTACATCTTCAACAGGCAATTCCGGACGCGATCCCCAACGCGTTCGACGGAAGTAAAACGTTTTGGAAACGCGCAAAATCTGCCTAGGCAACCCACCACACACACACATACGCGGATACAAACATAACCCTAATAAACCCCCTCTAAAATGTAGAAGTAGAATGTATAAGCGCGCCGTGCAGGAAAACGAATTGAGGTAACTCGATGTGAACTGCACCGGAATACACCACACCTTCTCCTGCTTCTTCACTTTCCACCCTCTAAGCCATCCAAGTAGCAGTAGTAGGCAGATCTCACCCGGATTGCTTGCGTCCCGACTCTATGATTTCGCGATTCCGGCTGAATACGAATGTAAGACGCGCGCGTGAGTGTGATGTCTAAGTAAATCTCCCGAAATGGTCTCTCCACCATCGGCAGGAAATAAACCATCGAAAAGACGGCGCGAAATGTATAAAAACATGCATCAAATGCGGATTTTCCCGCGTCATGACCGATGATATACCGTCTGGCTATTTGTGCAGATCAGCGCTTTTCAAAACGCAAAATTCATCTAAACTTTGATATTAAATTCTACATCCGGCAACAAAATAAATATAAAATTAAATTCGCAACCGGTGTTAAATATTCATTGAGTTCTTAGCGGTTTAAAAACTCTTTTTTTTTCTCTCTGTACAATTCTATTTGTCCAACTTTCACAGCGCCAACTTTTTCATTGGACTTTTGGACTTTTATTATTTCAACCGTTGAGCGCGAGCTCGGGCAGTTTGTCGGTGGTTTGGAAAATTTGCCTGCGGAATTTCGTCCTAATTGCCGCCTGGACGAACCGCGAACCACCGAATCGTCGTCGTCGTCGCTCACCAAATGGAATTATCACAACGTGCACAATGCTAACAGTAGCATTACGCATTAGTTAGTATTTAGTAGTGACTTTAACTCACCGTTCACAACTCTCAACGAGATGTTTATTTAGGTAATGTTGGTTGCCTATAGTGAAAAATGGTGTATATATGCTTGCAGTTTAAACGCACCCGATGCACATTCCGACATTTTATTGTTAATTTCATACCCCGACCCCTCGACTGAAAACAGTGGAGCCGACCGGTGGAAGAATGCAACCGGCAGTCATACACATTCATGTAGCGCGACCGGCCGGACGAGGAAATGCTTTTAGCTCGCCGCGGCCGAGCGCAAACCGTCGGGGTGGTTCTCCCCGATGCCACCCCCGGCCACTACCCTCTCATATTCCACGGCACTCCACTCACCGCCTCAACGTCCATGAATGTCCGTTATATACCGAGTGTAGCGTAATTTTAACCTTAAAATATCTTAAAATTTAATTTAAAAGTAAATTTAAGTGATTTTAACCTCAAATTTTTTTTTTTAATAAAATATTTTTTTTAAAGATATAATTTTGATAGCAGCCGGTATATGATAAAGTGTCCGTCGACCTTAAACAGCCCTCCAATTTACACCCTCGCTTATTCTTTTCGGACCTTTTTCGGCCGGAGAGTAAGTGACTCCGCAATGTGCGAGGCGGGTTGCGGCTAGCAGTTGACAGCGCCACTACTATGTGATTCAGCGGCTTCGACTGTCATTACTCATTGGGGAGTTGTGATATTTTGTAGGTTGTACTTCACACACTCTAAAAATTCGGTGTGATTTTCTGATGGAAAAAAACACTTTTACCACAATATCATATAATAAAACATAAAAATAAACCGCCACCTTTGGCACGTTTACAAAAAGAAGCGGCATATTTCATAGGCGCGTTTAGTGCCATTACGCGCGTCCGCCATTTCGCGTCGGAAGAGATTCACCACGAGACGCACGCAACTTAACCTCGCTGAGTATCTCATTCCATCACCTCTGTTCGTGCCACGTAACATTGTATAATGTTGTATATTGGTTGCTTCGGGGGTGGCGCGGTGGAGCCAGCATCCCGTATTGCTCGGAGGTGCGCTCTCCTGTATCGACTAGTAGTGGGGGGCGGTTTAAATCACAACCGCGCGCAGAATTTATGATGGAAATTTGGTGGCGGCGACGGCGGAATAAAGTGTGTTCCGAACACGTAGCGCGCCCAAACACGAAACTATGTTGTCGCAGATAGAACGGCAGAGGGGCGGCAGGGGTGCGTTGCGCATGTTGCGCATAGTTTCTGCTGAGATTCACATTCACTATGACCATCAAAACTATTTTATTCTAATTTTTCAAAAAAAAAAAACGAAAAAAAAAAATCAAAATATTAAAATTTAATCCACTTTACGATGTAAAACAGTAAATTTATTTAAACTTTATTTAAACTAATGGTAAATATATTTATATCCAAAAGATATAAACGTAACATCACGTTTTATTAGTTCCGCGTGTATGTTGGGTTGCCTATATCAGGATATTCACTTCCATTACCATATTACTCGTACTCGTAAAATTTAACCAAACTCACAGGTGAGTTTCTCGGGTTCGCCGCTATCCGACGTTTCGAAAGTTAAAATTACACTCCCCGGGTGATGTATGCGCTCAATCGATGGCTAAGTGTAAAGTGTAAACTGTAAGTACTGACTTTAAACGCGCCCGGCGAGCGAATGAAATTGAACGAGTCTTCTGCCACCTCCTGCGGGTGAATATGCCGTCGGAATGTGGGTGTAATGATAGAAAAAGAACTCTAATTGAAAAATACCTTCGGCACGCGCGCGCGGGGCGTAATAAATCGAACGCTAATTTGGATTTATGGACGCAGGAGACTTTTCTCTCCCTATTTTTTCAAACTAAAACGCGAAAAAAATAATTCCGGATGCATTTTTAAGATGTTAACATTTCAAACGAATAAAAACTGTTCCACGTCGTCAATTATACAAGTAAAAGGGCTTTCCTTGTCGTTTTTTTCTTCCTAGCTTTCTTCACTTCACGTTTCTTACGACGTTCTTTTTAATAACGTGCTGCTAGAAATGTCAGCGCGTTTAATGTTACATCTAGTCTTGGGGGGCGCTGGCATCGCTATAGCCGAAACGACGTCGGATGGTATTTAATACAATGTGACATTTAATTTATGGCCCGTTAATGTTGCGTCGGTGCGCAATTATGGCGAAAATCTCACGCCGCGTGAAAATTTTTTTCGCACCTTCCAAACTAATCATCGTTTATTATCCCACCCAGAGATACACAAAAAATGATTTTTAGCAAGTAGCGACATCTACGCGCAGATTATTAAATTAATGATGTGTTTGATGTGAAATGATGAAAATTGATGATCAAAAAGTTGCGCTCAATTTATAATTATCGCCTCTCGTTGTGAAATGTAATCGGGCTTGTTCGCGAATCGAGGAATCATACCAACCCACCCCCAGGTGTTGGCCGCCTCCGCGTAATTGAAAAAGTTGGCAAACTCGCTTCGTTATTTTCATCTCCGGTGAGAATTCCAACTAATTCCGCTCATATTTAAAAATATTTCGCTTCACGCGTGTGAAAACTACCTTTTTATGAAAAAAATTTAGAAAAAAATGTTTTTAAACTTATGTTGGCACTTTTTTTGTTCGAGGGTGTTAACGATATGAAAAGACGCAAGGCGTCAAGATTCAACATCGCGTCCTTTCATCTTTCACGAGCGAATGATTCCTCAAAAGAATCAAAGAATAACTTCCTTACACTTCTTTACGCTCGCGCCCTCTTTGCACATCCTTAAAATGGACTCGCTGTCGTTTTATTTGCCTGATTCTTCTTATTACTCCTCTCGCCAGCAGCTAAACTTCCACCTACTTTATTTCTGATGATGCTTTTCATCTCGATATTCGTCGATTCTCTCCTCTCTTCGACAGGCGACAATGGAAAAGGGGAGAGAAGAGACGTTTGCTAAATTTGACTCGCGTCTTTGACTTGCGAATTTCGGTGCAAATTCGTTGACTTATTCTTTCTAATTCCCATCTGTTTTACTTGCCTAAGGGTGGCGCCTTTTTACTACCCTGTTAGTACATAAACGTCACGTTGATGTCACTTTTGTCGTCGCGAACGTCTTTCACGTTCAAACTTTGTTTGACGCGAAATTAATTAAAAGAACCCAACTTGTCGACGCATTTTTGACTTTTTATTCTATTCACGATTTACCCACCGAAAAAAAAAACAATATTTTTGTTTCCGTGCTTTGAATTGTGCAATATTAAAATATAATTTACCGTTGATGCGCGAAATTTGCATTCCGTAATCGAATATTTCCACATACACACGCAAAAAAACTCCGCGCATATTGTTTTTTCTCTCCACCTCTCCCACAAGCGATGATTTCCGAATCGCAACCCCTTTGTAATCCAGCAATCTAAATTTTTAACGTTTTGATGAAACATTTTTCCGGCGCAAAAAATGTTTCTGTTTAAATTTGATTTTTTTGTTATTAGTAAATTTAAAACATAAAACACGATCGACTTGCAAACTGCAAGACATGATACGATGTAATATAACATGAAATTACCACCCCCATTAGACGCGCTTGCACCCTCACACTCGGCGTGAGGCAAGAAGAGAGTATTGCCGTCTTGCTTGCGCGCGCGGACGTAAAAATGTTTTCTCGCCATTTTTCTCGCGTTTATCGATTCGGATGCTCCGGCGGCGCTCGGTTGCGTTCGGCGGAGGCGGCTGCGGGGGTGGTTGGCACTCGCGAACGCCGAATGCGGTCGAAAGCGGAGCGCAATGGTCCAAACATGCGATGCTCTCGACGTTCCAGCGTTCCGACGGTTTTATTACTTTCATTACGTGTAACGTGCAAAATTCAGGCACGTATTAAATTAAAATTTACTCCAATAATAATTAAATTAAACTAAAATCACCTTAACACCAAAAAAAAAACAAAATAAATAAATTTTTACATAAAAATTTAAAAAATTAATCCGGATCTGTAATTTTACTTTTTATGGACCGTCTAGGACGTGATCCCGATGTGTAACCATCAATTCGGTTTGTTTCGACGTTCCTCAAACATTTTAATCTGTTTTCCATTGCATTGCACAATTTCCTCGAGTGTATTCAATAAAAAAATTAATAATAACTGTTTGTATGGTTATGATGTGTATGCTTGGTTGCATATAGTAAGAAGATTAAATTTCCACGATGCGCAACGCAATAAAACGCTTTTAAAAGTGCACGGGAAATAAAAGTGTGCATATGAAGCACGATTTGCGTTAAGTGTATGTACACTACGTATTCGACTTACCTCCTTCTCGGTTGGCGGCGTTTATTTATTCATCGCGCAAGAAATTTCATCTCGGCAACGCGCCGCCGCTCGGGAGATTGCGTCTGGTGTTCTTGTCGGTAATCGTCGGAAACTTGTATATTTTATAATCTTCTTAGTCTTCGAAAACTGGTTGCGAGTCATTAAATTATTCAAAAGTGTTCATCAAAGCAGCACTTTTCTGATGGCACGACACGTTTTCTTCTGCTTGTCGTTTATTGAATTTTGTTTGAGTTTAGCAAAAAGTTTTTCCAGTGAAAAAACTTTCGCACACTTTTTAGCAGAAAAAAAAATAATAAAAGAATAAAAAACACACCACTCACACACACTCACCACCACGTTGGAGTGGCGTGTGGCGGCGGCGCGGCGCGTGACACGACGACGTCTCGCCGACTCGTCGAATGCGGTCGTCGGCGGCGGCGGCGCTGGCTTTTATACTCGTCGGGGGGGCTGGCGGTGGGGATGGATGCTGCGCCGCGTGCGTTTCCACAGCGACACGCAGCAGCGGAGCGGCGGAGGGATAGGATCATAATCATATCATGCCATTCCGCCGCCGCCGCACCCACCCCCAACGCGCGCACAACACTCACACGTCTCGCTCCCCTTTGTTCATCCCCACCTCTAACGTCGAAATACATTCGCTAGTTGCAAAGCGCCCTTTCTTCAGTCGGTGACTCTTCCTACCCCGGACAGCATGTTAGTGAATAGCTAAGAAAATGCAACCAAACATACGCGCGACGCACAAAAAAAAAACTGTTTTTGTTTGTTTTATCTTGTAAAACAGCTTGACGCCTTACACCAGCGACTTGATGACATTATCATTAGCTGTCCCAACATCCTAATATCATAATATTAAGGGTTGCTAGCGGGACTTCTGTTTGAAGGGGGCGCAAACGACGATTATCATTACTATCACTCATTATCATTCATATCTGCCTTTTCCTCGAGTGTCCCAAAACGACACCTTGTTTTTCTTAAGGTGTCTTCTTCACCCCCCACAGCGTGTAATTATCATTTAGTGGATTGCGTAATGCTTTACGCAACAAAAACGATGAAATATTGAGGCACGTATTCATTTCATTTCCGTATGCATAATAGAATCGAATAAAACTAAAATAAATTATTACGTATGCAACCAAACATACATAATCAAAATTTTCGTATTTCTTCGGTGTATAATTGTATAAATTTGCAATTTTCCAATTGTGTTGCATTTAATTTCCAACTGGATTAAAATGAGCGATATATTTTACGCCCGAACATCGCGCACAATGTAATTCACTAATCGGGTATTGTTCGGCTGTCATATTTACATTTTTAGCGATTTTCAGCTATTGAAATTCTGTGTTTACAAAACTCAATTCGACATAAAACTTCAATTAATAATTTTTCGCGTTAAAATTTTTTTATTTTTTAGAATTTAAATAAACGCTCATTGAATTTGTGCGTTATCACAAAGCGAGCGCCTGAAACTTTTTAATCTCTCATCGGTTTCCGGTTTGTGCTAAACACACGGTATCACTGGCGGCGCAAAAAGTTCCGAATGAAACATTTTGTTGTTCTGTATGCGTTTGCCATCTGTTTTCATCGCTTCACATATTTGTGAATAGAATTTATTCCAGATAGGTGACAAAGGGTGGAAAAGTTGAGTGAATATAGATATGTGTGCGGGTTTTTCCGAGGTAGAAGTGAGTTTTCTCGACTGCAGGCGGCCTCTACAATCGATTTACTTCAACCACAACGCAGTTCCGGCAAATATCAAGACGCGTCTTGAAAATACTTTAAATATTCACCAATGAATGATTTTTATTTACGAAAAATTTAATTATTATTGACGCTGGAGGCGTAAAAGTATTTTTTTGCGTCGATTTTTATATGAAACGCGCAAATTTATTTCTATATCCGGACGATTTGCTACAATCTGTCTGTTTTTATGAATTGTTTTAAATATTTCCTGCATTTTTTTATTGTATCTGAAAATATATACAATGTGTTTATGAAAATGTAAAAAATTTTCGAATTTGTCAATTTTTTTCTCGGCAATTTGTAAGCCTGTCAAAAGTATTCATTAAGTGCACGGTGTATAAAGCAAACGCAAAGCGTGGAATGCATGTTCATTTGTATTTTGTTGTTTTTCACGCTGTGTGGTGGTTGGTTTCGGTTTTTTTTTTCTCGCGAATGTTTTCCAATGTTTTTCAATGCGGCGTGCAAACGCGCACATTACTGTCACATTCGGTGGTTTAGGCGCTGGCGTCGCATATTTGCACATTATTTTTCCTTTCGGTGTTTTCATATTTCGCGCATTTCGCTCGCGCACCGCGCGAAATTAATGCAAACGTCATAAATTAGTCCAAGGGCCGTTTGCATTGTCCACGCCGGGACTACCACCGCCATTAAATTCATACAAACGTATACTGGACATTAGAAAAGCGCTATTTTGCAAAAAACAAAATTATTTCTTTCTTAAAACTTCACACAACAATAGAAATCATTATCCAAAACGCAAAAAATTTAAATTTGAAGTTAATTTCTTGTTTTTTTGAAGTTTTAACAACAAAAAATCACAAATTTGGTATTTTTTTGATAAAATAACTTGAAAAACTTTAATTTAACGATAAAATTTGTACAAATTTGTTAGTTTATATTAATTTATTCATTAAAACGTTACAGTTTCTTTGTGTATCTCAAAATTTGGTTATTTTTGAGTGTTAATTGCAATTTTTAAAAATAATTTCCCAAATAATGAAATTTTACAATGAAAGCATGAATTTTATTAGTTTCCCATCGAATATCGTTAGCAATTTAGGCCAATATTATAAATTTCGCCCCGCGCCGCGAAAGGGTTGCACGCGATATTTAGTATCACATTGTTGGTGCGGTCTGAGGTCCGATTATTGGTTTATCCGTTCGTGTCGCGGCGGGGCGGCACGATCGCCAGCCGCATTATCAATAACATGCCTTCAATATGGAAATAATAACCCGCCAACCGGCGTATATGTGTGTGTGCACCCCAAAGCTCGACAATCATACGCACCGCGTCGCTTTAGTGGGTCGTCGGTCGCTAATGCTTCCAATTCAAAACATTCAGCTCCCGAAACAAAACAAAACATATTGGTTTAGCGTTGAAACAAAGCCAACCGCACAAAACATTCGATTAAAACACGTTTGCGAAATATTTATAGGTTATATCTTAAATGTTAAGAATTTTAGGTTATGTTGTATTCTTTTCGCTGTGAGATTTCGCACAGATTGTTATTAAGAGCCTGGAAACACGAGAGAATCTCTTCTTCGACGCCCCGTGGTTTAACCTCCGCACAGGGTGCTTTTTTTCGTTCTCTCATTACGCCGCCGCGAGAAAATTTACACCCGTTTATTACCACCCCCGAGACGTTGATCTAATGAACAGCGCGCGTGTCGATAAAACACCTAATACGGAAAAGCACATCACGGGGGGTTCTAACCTAAAATAATGCAATCACTACAAAGAAACACACACGCAAAAAACACGCCCAACTTATACACGCCGCATAATCGTAATTTTTAACGTTTTTTGATGAAACGCGAAATTAAATTTCAAATTTGAGGTTATGAGATGTTGCAACTGAAACTTGCCGCATTGAAAGTTATGCGCTGCAATTTACAACATATTCCAAGTAATTTAAACTATGCTGCATTTTCGTTTATATTTTAGCACTCGCGACCACAATCATCATAAATTCCCACCACAAAAGTCACGAACTGAAACCACCGCCACAATATGACAGCGTTTTGATTTAAGCAGCGCAGCAGGGAGTCTTAATGTGACACTCCGGCGACGATCTGTCATAATTCGTCTTCTTGCTGGCGTGTTTTTCGTGTTGCGGTGCAATTAATTGCATTCTATAGCTATGCAACCCAAGTAACACGATGTGACATCTAGCGGTTTAATTTTAAACTGCTTTTTAGTAGCTGATTATCGCCGGATGGCTAATAACCTCACTACCTGAACTTGGGACGTGGGTTTTGGTAGCAAGTGGAGTTTGCTAGGGGGTCATAGTTGGTAGTTTTGGTCGTTGGCATGCCGGAATGGCATGCGAGCGGCACGCGATAATCTGGCGATCGCGATGATGACGATGTTGTTGACCGCGTGTGCTCTGCCCCCTCTGTAGATAGGCATTCCAGCGCATACTCTACACACACTACACTACCCCTTAATGTAGGCAACACACTATCATCGCCCCGGATTATTGAATATTAATTTTCGGACTTTAAATTAGCATCCCCTTTATCTTTGTAACAATGTCACGTATTTTCATCACGTCGAATATTATTGATTTAAATTCGTGTTTTTTGATTCGAAAAATATTATTGTATACACAGAGAGCACAGAGAGTGTTGTGAGCGAAAGCAGGGTGAGGGTGGAATGCAAACGCAAAGTGCATTTGCTCGCTTCGCCGCCCCCGGCCAAACACACTCGTGTTGCACACCGCACCGCTTAAACTATTAGCATATTTTCTGGTTATAAATAAAAATTTTTACAAATTTTTCTCTGCACAGCCATTTTGAATAGTAGAATAATTCCAATTACGACCGCTAGATGTCTCAATGACTATATTTAGCATAGTTTGCGGGAACAATCCGTGCAATTGTAGCCGAGCGCAAGGTGCGTCACGTTACACGAGAACAATGCACTAATTATCACGGCAAAACATCGCAACATTCGCAACATGCGAGGGCCGACACCGCAAAACGCGCCCGCAAACATGCGCAACGGTTGCGCGTGCACGTGTACGACTACACCGCCGCCGCCGCCGCCGCCGTGCTACTTTACTAAAATTTGCGAACTAAACATTGAGCCAAACCGAGCCGGGGCTAAATAGAGCTTAACGAAAGTGGATGGAACTAAATGAAGGCACTAAATGCGACCGGACGTTCGCCGGTGATCAATGTCGAAATAATAGACGCCGCACAATGAATTATTTCCAAACTTTCAGCGTTTAAATACCGCGTAAAACTAGCATTTCTATATATTACGTAATGTAAATATAGGCAACCAAGCAAACACGTCGATTCTAACCGTTGCCATGTTAGCATGTTTTAACTTGAAGCCAAGTTTAAAATTTTAATGCATTACATTACACTCCATTACATTATCCGCGAAATGTTTTAGTTTTGTTTCCCCACGCTTCATTTGATCTCGTATCGCGACCAACAAGTGTATTCATGTGTGCGTGTTGGAAAATTTCGTAGCGTGCATGCCGTATTAGCAGGTATTGCCATTTCGTTCGTAGTTTTGCGTTAATAGCAAAAGTCTAAGCACTAGCACTCACCAATACCGATGTGGATTCTATTGTTGCACTCTCTGTGCCTGCTACAGCGGTTGCACACGCGGAAACAAAGCAGCAAACAA